CTTCTTTTTCCCCTTTTGCTGGAGACTTTTGTATAGATAGAGAGATTACAATGTGTTGCTGCTGTTTCTGGATTCTTCTGCTTGTAACATATGTAAAACCTTATACAGCAGTATGTTGGCAACTGTTTATCAGTCTTCAAACTGTGATTCTGTGTTTCTTTAATAGCTTATTAGCTCGTCGTCTCCTCATTTTTCATGCCATATCTCAGTGATTGCAGGTAATACCAAGCACTAGTACCTTGTAAAGTAACATGTAGACCATACAGATTTTCATGATATACAAATGATCATCTATTCAAACAATATGGAAAATATGAAACCAGTAATAGTGTAGTGCTTCGTCTTTACTGATTGTAGTTGGTTATTACTTCATAATTTAAGTACAATCTATCACTAGTTTGTTCCCTTGACTATTTTTAAGATATTGCGTAGTTTGAATATATTTTTGGGGAACTTTGCGTTATTTGAACTATATATTAAAAGTTTCGTCCCTTTTTTAAAATTATATTGAAAATAATATCCTTGTTTGTTTAATCTTATTACCATGTAAAACTATTCTCAATAACATCATTCCCTTCTTTGTCTTGTATTCGCAAGTTCTTGGATAAAAACAAAATAAAACATTCTTTTTCTTTTTTTGGTATAATAACTGAATATGCTTACTTTAATATTGATTGTGATGCAAAGGAATCGAAATCAACTGCCAATCAAACTGTGAGAACACTATCGAAGAAAACAACAAAATATGAAAAGAAAAAAAACATTAACCTTCTTTGGCAAAAGCAAGTATTCCAAGAAAAAGAGTAATCTGGAGAAGACAAAGTAACATCGAAATTCGAGAAAAATAGAACCAAATTTAGGGGAATAAAAAACAAATTAACAATAATCTGACAAAAATGAATAATAATAAATAAAAAGAGGAGGATTTTTACAGTAATTAATTAGAGAATATAACTTTAGGGAGAAGAGAAAATCCATTGGAGTTATACAAAATTCGTTAGTTTCCCTATGCTAAATGCTTTTGCTTTTCTTTTTCCCAATCTGCCTCCCACATGCATCATCGTAAATATATTGACACATACGTACATACCACATATGCACTAATTAAAAGTATTTGTGTAGACTCTCTTTTTTTTTGGATAAAGTGTAGACTCTTTTAAAAAATGGGTAATATAATGACTTATCTAAGAAGTTCTTTGGTGATTTTTATTTGGTAAATAGAGTTTGCGGTGATGTCTTGAGAAATTTATTACCAAGAAAGAGGAAGATTAGAAGAAGACATATTAAGGAAAACGAAAGTTTGAAGTACATATCTAAAAATCGAGCTAGTCGGGATAGTGAAAGAATGAGGTTTTTTGCGGTTCATGCAAAAATTAGTTGACATATTGCAAAAAGAGAGTTTCATGTACATTTTATCATATGGTCTACCATTACCATATTGGTTGTAATGACACGGCTAACTATTTACAAAAATCAGTTTCATTTGCTGTATAAGATAATTAGGTATAACTGCACTCTTAGTTAATCACATATTAAAAAAAAATTGGTTTTAGATTCGAAACTATAATAAACAATAATCTATATGACTATATCCTAATTGTATAACTATAGTGCTTGCTTTTCTTCTTAATTTTTTTTATGAAGGGTTTGCAACTTCTTAATTGTTTTTGTAACGCTATTCTTTGGCTAAATGATTATGGTTTATGGTCATCTCATGATAAATCAATTGAAATAACTAATTTTTGCAATAGTGTAGTTTAAATGCTATTAAAAAATTGCAAATAGGTAGTAAGATGTGATATGTTTTAGTTTCTATACATAGTCCTAAGATCTAATTATATTATTTTATTAAAAAGTAAGGAAAAGCAAAGATAATGTAAGGAAAGAGACGAGGGAGAATAAAGTAAAGATTGGAAATGTGAACCCATTTGGGGTTGGCAGTGAGTGAGATGGAACATCACATGCACTTGTGCTCTGTTTTGTCCCTTTCCTCTTGGAGCTTTCACTTCTCAAAAACCTTCTTCTAATTTGTTTTTCTTGCAACTCCAATCTAAACCCATTTCTTATTTAATTCTTAAAGATTCTCATTGTTTTTTTCCTATTCATGACTTAGTAATGATGTGATAATTTGATCTACCATGCACATAGTCTCAATTATAATTAGACAATATTGGCTATTTCAGAATATATCGCATGACTTTTCTAAGACCGTCGTAGTCACTAAAAACGCGATTTGATTTTGTGACGTCAATCAATACTAACTACTATACTATAACCTTTGATTTTAAACTTGAATGTCTTGATTTCAAAAGAACATTATTTGTTTACTATTGTATTGTGCATTGCTATCATTCTTGGCTTGGATGTATTAATTATCAATATCTCTAAACATTCTCCAGCTTGCTAAAAATATTGTAAGAAATCTCTTGAATTATTACTAACATCTTAAAAGTTGCAACTAGTATTATTATAGAGGGAGGAGTACGATATAATAATATTCAAACCGACGCGTATAAACTATAGTGAGATTGTATGATAGATATGTGTATATAATATGATTGTTGTAATGTATATAAATTAAAATATAAGAGTTGGAAGTGGGATTGATAGGTGATGTGGGTCTAGGGATTCACTCCAATTCCACAATATGCAAAAGAATGTCACTTATCGTGATGAGTGATGTTCCTCGATCCCTCTGAAAGATTCACCTGTTACATTCTCCTTTATTGTCTCTATCTTTTTTCTTCTTACATTTCCAGTATATATATATACACTTTAATTTAATGTAAGTTATTCGATTAGGGATCTAGATTTAGTTTAAGATACGATTATTTAGGTGTCAAATTAATTAACCCCTTGTTAAGCTAAAATCAGGGCTAGTAATAAGACAAAACTTACGTAAATTATGAAATAGTTACTACTGGCTTTGATTCGCACAAGTATGTAAACTTACTATTTATTTATTTCATCAGCTTAACATCAAATAACCGGACAACAAATCCAAAGCATCAACTACGTCAAGTATTTGGCCTTGTTTTGTTACTCCAAATCGGTTAATAGGTCTTTGAAAAACTATTTAATTCTGTAAATTAGTATTTTTATTAGCTCAACTAAAAGAAATTTATTGTCGAGCCTTTATTTTTTGAAACTTAAAATCAATGAGCTTGGATGGACATTGTTTCTTTACTTAATTATGCTTCTCAATTTAGCGTGCACAAACAAGTAAAAGGATGTACATACTTGGGTACTGTCCAATGGGACTATTATCAAAGTAACTGGATTATATTATTTGAGAAATGAAAAAAGATTTTCTTGAAATAGACTAATATAATTAATCCTACATATAAAAAAGAATCTCTAGCTGATTCATAATGTGCATGGAGCCGATTTTCTTTGAGACTTTAGGCCTATTTTCTGCTGTAATACAATGTTAACTTAATTTAGATTTAACAACCAAAAAGTTTAAAACAGAAACGGCTCAAAACATCATTGTGATATGTCATTTTAGATTAGCCGTGCGTGAAAGTACATAATTGAAAGTCTTAGACCGAATGGAATTTCATATTTCTCTTACTAAATTAAGTTCTATTACCAGTGTGGATTCGAGTCATTCGACATCACTTACGATATATTGGGAGACAATGTACATCCGAGACACATAATTTCTACCTCTATGAATTGTGACCATCAAGTTGTGGGGGACATCAAATATGATGTGCACCCCTAAATACCGATCGATGGTAAAACATGAGTCTGGAAAATGTGATGTGACGTAACATTTAATGACCTAATTAATAACATAGGCGCATATAATTTGATCGGTACGTACAACAAACGATCCATGTCCTATGCATATGTTACATTAGTTAATAGGTACAAGAGAAGGGATCCGGGAGGAAGATGATGTGAAAACCGGAATAAGGAAATGATGATTGCATAATCTGCTTTAATTACTGATTGAGCATCATAATATCGTTGTTCCTAATTTCTGAAGCATAAGGCAATACAATCCGGCAAACAGGCGATGACAAGTTGAGATATTACAGTGGAGGGTGGAGACAATAAGATAAGCAAAGACAACATAACAATCCAGATTGGAGCGGATGCCGAAGAACAAGTGTTAACATTGATTAAAAAAAAAAAAAGTGACGGATAAAATTAAGAAATGCTACTTCTGTTAGTAATTTTTAATATTTATGTTTCAAACTTTCAATCATATTGTATAATTTATACTATTAAAGTTACAGATTTTTGTTTGTTTTTAAGTAAATATAAGAAATTATTAGATAGCCATTCATTGGCTAGCAAAACAATATCTTAGTGTCTAAACTGATTAATCGACGATATTTTTATTTTATCTTCTGAATTAAAAAATAATGAAAACGATTATACTTAAAGTCGGTCAAGGAGACTGATGTTTTTTTTGTCACAGGAAACTGATTTTTTATAATATATTTCAGTAAAATGAGCCGGTGTAATTAAGGACCACTTTTAGAACAAAGGCATTGTGAACATCTCTGTAGTAAATCTTATTTAAAAGCTAGTAGCAAAATTGTTAAGTACAACTAGAGAAAACCCTAGTGCAACACTTACATAATAGAATAATAATGAATAGTGGCACGAATAACAATATTACAAATAATATAAAATAAGGAGCTTAAAAAACCATCTGTCAAGAATCTTTGTGCTTCAATCTTTGAAAGTTAAAACAGTAATAATAGCCAACAGCTCTTTGTCTGGACACTGCTGGTTTCGAAAGGATTCTCTTTTATACAAAGTAAAGAAACAAAGAAAAATTCAAAATCAAGAAAGATATGTTTGGCAATTGTGACCAGAAGAAGAAGATGCCTATCATCAGCTCTCCCAACACCAATCCACTGGTCTCTCTCTCTCTTTCTCTCTCTAAATAATATGACCCATTTATCTTTTGTTTCTTAGCTTTTGGATCCGAATAATATCCTCTTGTCCTCTCTTTGTTCTCTTGCCTTTAGTTAAACCACACGATCTAAAACTCCCTTCTCTCTTTCTTTTCTTTCTCTCCCTCTCTTCTCAGGCGAGTATGCAAAGCAAGAACATGATCGTGGCTTCATCTCATCAGCAGCAACAGCAACAGCAACCGCAGCAGCCACAACCGCAACTTAAATGCCCTCGTTGTGATTCTTCCAACACAAAGTTCTGTTACTACAACAACTACAGCCTCTCTCAGCCACGGCACTTTTGCAAGGCTTGCAAGAGGTACTGGACGAGAGGTGGGACTCTCAGGAACGTTCCCGTAGGCGGTAGCTACCGGAAGAACAAACGGGTAAAGCGGCCATCAACCGCAACCGCAACCGCTGCCTCCACCGTCTCCACAACTACTTCTTCATCCCCTAATAACCCTCATCAGATCTCTCATTTCTCTTCCATGAATCATCATCCCTTGTTCTATGGTTTATCAGATCATATGAGCAGTTGTAATAATCTTCCAATGATTCCAAGCCGTTTCAGTGATTCTTCAAAGACTTCTTCATCAAGTGGTTTAGAGAGTGAGTTTCTCTCATCTGGGTTTAGCAGTCTTAGTGCTCTTGGATTAGGGCATCCTCATCATATGAGTCATGACCACACCATTAATGGTAGCTTCATCAACAACTCCACAACAAACAAACCCTTTCTTCTATCGGGTCTATTCGGATCCTCGATGTCTTCTTCTTCTCCTACTACTCTTCTCCAGCACCCACATAAACCCATGAACAATGGTGGTGACATGTTGGGACAATCCCATCTCCAAACCCTAGCATCACTTCAAGATTTTCATGTTGGAGGTAACAATGAAGATATGAAGTACAAAGAAGGAAAGCTTGATCAGATCTCTGGGAACATCAATGGGTTCATGTCATCATCATCTTTGGATCCTTCAAACTACAACAACATGTGGAATAATGCAAGTGTTGTCAATGGAGCATGGCTTGATCCAACAAATAATAACGTTGGATCCTCCCTCACCTCCTTGATATAAACCAAAACTTTGGTTATATGATCTATAACTAGCTAGGGTTTATCTTTTTTTCCTTTTTGTTTTGAGATGAGAGAAGAAGCTTGGATCAGAGAGATCTAATCAGGGGAAATGTTGATCTTGGCACTATAAAGCTCCCTCGGATCCTCTTCATCTCACCATCTCAATCATCTTCCTTCGCGTAGTTCAAGAAAAAACAAAAGGGGTTCAAGATTGGTTCAAGGTTTACTATGGTCTACTGTTAAGTTTACTCGAGGTAAATGATATGTGTATGTACATAATATGGTCCTGACTTTGATCTTTTTTTCTTTTTCTTTCCCATCTATGTAATTCTAAGGTCCACCACATGGGTTGGTGTTTCTTTTCATTGGGATTAGGAGGGTATATTTGGCTTAATTTGGGTTTCTCATGGGGTCCGAGAACTCAATAGTTTAGTTTCAAGTTTTATATCTTTTTTTTTAGTTTCACATTTCTTTTTTGGTGTGGCTTTCATTGGGTATACAAACAGAGGGAGGGGTGTGGTTTTGTATTGTTATAACTTTGGTTATTCATGTATGAGTTATGTTCTTACGGTGCTTTTGGAAACATGCATGTTTGTGTATATATATTTAATCACGATAGATATGGAACGAAGGTAAATGTGGATGATTTGAATTGGCTGAAAAGAAAATGTCCTTTAGCTAGTGTCAAATAAGAGATCCATAAATACGAGAAAATTACCAGAAACAACGTCAATGGATACAATTATTCGAGACATGTATGCAATATTTAAATGTGTGCGTGTACTTCGACCGACAAAGCGAACAAACCTGGTTAGATATTTATAACGTATATTGCTCATAATTATATCATAGTGATGATTTTGTTCTTTAGCATGTTGGCTATAACTCATGGTTCCACATATGTTACGAGGGAATTATATGCATGAGAACACAAGTTCTGGTCCAGACTCCAGACTTGGAGTTTAGTGTGGTGTTTTTGTAAAGTGGGCACGAGTTCGTTACCAGTTTCTTTATGTCATTTTCTCTGTAATGATTCTTTCCGTGCAAGAGTTGTCTCGAATAAACATTTGAGTCGGTATCGTTTGGACACATCAGTTTTGTGCGGATGATTTACGGATTTAATTTCAAATATCACACGATTGCTCAGAATGTCCTGCTGACTCGTTGATCTTCCTATTATTATTGTGGAAAGAGCCTAACAAGAGGTTCTACTAGAATAGGAATACATATATTCTTCTGTGTATATTAGCTAGTAAGCGTAGTTAATTTCCCCTAACGGCTTTTTTTGTACAATATTTCTTACATAGCCGAGTACGGCGGGGTTGTCAATGCAGTTGCTTAGACTATATGGATATGAAACCTGCTTATCGAACTTCATTACCCTCTTTCGACGTCAACGATCATGTGTTGTGACAATATAACCTCTCCACAAACCCGATACAAAATCACATCGAACTTCATTACCCTCTTTCCACATCAACGATCATGTGTTGTGACGATATAACCTCTCCACAAACCCGATACAAAATCACTTGACAATACATGTTGAGTTGGATATTTTTTGTGTCTGTGAAAGAGTAGCACTCGGCCAGGTTCGTGTCCTACATGTTAGCTAGTGATTTTGTCAACATGGTTCATCAATATGAAGATATCTTCACCAAAGTCCTCCCTACTTCTCTAATCAAAGCATTCAAGTCCAGTCTTCACGTTCACAATCCCCATGGTTCGACTTGGGGAGGTTACTAGAATAGGAATACATATCTTCTTCTGTGCATACTAGGAAGCTTAGTTATAATAGCCCCTAACAACTCTCTTGTACAATATCTCTTATATATTCTCATCAATAGAATGACTCAAATCATCAAATGGATTAACCTAAGTAATCAAACAGGTTCCACGTATATGCGTCGTCGAATCTCATACAGAGCATCATACGTTCATGTGTTTGACCTGATTATTATTCTTGTGGTGGTTTCTTTAACCTTTCTTTTTCTAACATGTTTCAACTCTCTATCTAACTTGTTAAATTCTTGTAATTCCTAACTTTTCTCTATTATGTTTTTTTTTATATGCATGATCAAGAGCCGTTACAATAAGAGATTCTTGAACACCGGTAAACCAAACTGTTTCGGTGTGCTAGCGAATTAGTGATGCAAATCGATCCTTAAACCAACATTTTCTAGTCGCACATGATGTAAGAACATGTCAGCCATCATATAAGTTTAAAAGATTAAGAGAACTATTTTACGCATATCAAAATTTAGTCAACTAATCAATGTGTAGTTTGGTTCTTCTTAAAAACTCTATATATGATCGCTTTCTTAATCGAACCGTAATAAATCCAGATGACATTTTTATTTATTCACACATGTTGAGTCAATCTCATCATATAAGATTGATTTCTTATTCTATAATTCTTCTCTTGTGAATATATCTGATTCTATAATTAATCATAAATTTAAATATTTTACATGTATCACAATCACATTATTCATAGTGGTTACATGTCAATATAATAAGAATCTTTCAGATGGACTATTAATTGTTTTTTCTTAGGATATATAGGGAAATCGACTTTTTCATATCCCACAATTGTATTATGTTAAATTTATACATGAGTTGTATCATTGTGCTAGAACATATTTCATGTACTCATGTTTTGTGCAAAATCATGCATACGCCTTAACTCATGTTAATGTGTTAACAAAAACTTTTTTTTTTTGTTTATGTCTAAATTTCTTTTTTATAGAATTAGGAACTTTTCCATAATTTTCTTTAAGTACTTTAATTAACAAATTTAATTTACTATGTAGTGATATCTAATGTTTTATGTGACACGTGTCACGAGGTTATTATATATACACGTTAACAATTTTGAAAACTAAATTTTATATAATAAGATATCTTATCATATACACGTTATCACACTTAGCATTATACCTCTTGGGGATGTGCCTTTAGTCAAGTGGTTAAATCCACCTGACTCCGCCTTCCCCACCGGCCGGAGTTCGACTCCACTAAGTCGCGTTACCCCGCGTAATAGGGATTGGCTATGGATCGGGCCTTGTCGATCCAAAGATGTCAAAAAAAAGAAGATATCTTATCATATATAAAAACATATATATAAATCACTCATACATGTGAAATATTTATATATTGAAGGGCACATGTCGTAATCTCATTAAGAATAGTTATGCCACTTATTGGATGTTTATGGGCGGATGACCACATAAATTCCTATGGTTTCAACTTTTTGGTGAAGAAAAGATAACCTTAGATTAGCCACAAATCCAAATAGCTGATTTGCTACCTTAATCATTAATAGAAATTTCCTAAAAGTTTGGAGACAAGAAAATGTAAATCCAAAAATAGCAATTTATATATGTATATAAATAATATAGTAAGCACAAAAGAAATATAACAGAAAAAAAATTAAAATCTAAACATCAAAAAGTTGGAAAAAAAAATCTAAACATCTATAAAGAAAAATGAAATATCTCTTAGTGTTTCTATTTGTTTATGCCATGTGCATAATAGGTAATGTATATGGTGGAGAAACAAACACGCTCAATATCTGGAACGATCTCGATCCCAATCACAAGCACACAAGCCTCTTTGTGCACTGTAAATCTGGAAGTTCCGACAAAGGAAAACAAGAAGTTCTGTGGGGAAAGAAATATACATTTCTTATTAGGGATAATTTTTGGAAGACGACACTTTTTTGGTGTACCTTTAGACATGGGCCTCGTTATCAGATTGGCGCAGTATTTGATGTGTATGAATATAAAGCGGGTGTGGCTCAAGGAGGCACATATGAATGGACAGCTAGAGAAGATGGAATATATTTTAGGTTAAATCAAGGTACGATCCATAAAGTGCATAATTGGAAGCCAATGCCATGGTAAGAACTTTTTATCTTGGTATTGATCTTAACGAATATATATTCTATGCCGTCAAAACTTGATTATGAAATAAATTCCGTGAAGTCCAAGATGTGAACGGAAAAATATTCTTTAGATCTCTGATATTATTGTTGTTTAAGTATATTTTCATTTTCTTTTCATTTCTTTACTCTTTGTATATATTTATTCACTGCAAAAGATATAATGCATCGTGAATTTATAATAAGTTAATAACTATGTAACATTTTATTATTATATTTAAGATAACATTTTTGATATTTAAATGAAGATAATGATATATATCTTCTAAGATTTCTTAGGATGCAAATCAATGTTTCTACACTATATTTTGTATGTTGTTTGATGCTCATAGAATGTAAATTATTGATGACTAATGTAGACAAACTTGTCAAATTAACGTAGTTCATATAGAATTCTAACTCAAAACTAATAAACAATTAGTGGACCGATAAACCAGTATATATTACTATATAATCATTTTCACTTCTAATATGGAACATTTAAATAAGAAGATAGTAAGTATAGATATCACCATCAACCATGGATACCTTTTTCCGGAATGGATGATTTTGAGATAAATAATAGTGCTAGCATTCATGAATTCATATGTTTTCTGAAGTAGTATACACATATTCCTACAAATGTGGCAAAATATAGATCAATGAAGGTTTGGGAGATATGTGGAATCCCGTCAAAGATTTGTGAATCAAAACATTTGTAGTCCGCAGACCGCAAACCCGTAGGCAAAATCCATAGTCCGGATGGACTTTTCTGCGAGCATGTTTCTAAACAAATATAATATTTTATGTCTATATCTGTCATGTGGCGGACCGGGCTGAGCTTGGCCTATGGGCTTAGGCCCATTTGACACATCTAAGTTTGATGAGGGAACTTTATTGGTTGGCATGGCATAATCCAACTTAAACTTATAATTATGTATAATGTCATCTTAAAATATTATATATATATGAGCAATGAAAGAATTCGTTGCCAATCAAATCTTTGTAATATGCCGATTAGGAAGACCGCCGTTCCTACAATAGTAATACCCGCTAGGACAGAGTTATCAACTGCAATACTATCGAAGAGGTGGCCTAATTGGTGTATCTCAAATTACAATAAACACAAGTTAACCGGAGCCTCTAGCTCTGGTGGTAAAGGACCCTCAGCTGAGATATCCGCCATCACGAGTTCGAGCCCCGGCCACTGCGGTATTCACATGCGGGCTGCAGCGTCCAGGAGCCGACACGTGGAGTGCCATTTGGCCAACCACGTGGCTAGTCTGATGTGAACCGATAGTCTAACACGTGGACCCCTGCTCTGTCGGGTATCCGATAGCTAACACGTGGATCCCTGCCCTGTCGGGAAGCGTTGGGATACCTAGGTTATCAAAAGAAATAAAAAAATAAACACAACTTAATCCGTTGATCCGGAAAGATAATGACACAAGACAAAATCCTCTTCATTCGAGAACAATGTTTAACGTGTTGTCTTCTTGTATTTCGTTGGAACCCTCGAAGGGATATCGAAACAAGGAACTTAGAAAAAAATCTCTTTGATTATAACTCAACCAAAGCCAATGAAAAAAGAACGTGAAGCAAAGCTACATATACTACTAAAGATAAGACCAAGATATACTTGGAGATAAGCAACCTCCTTACCCAGACGCAAATTTCTCAAAGCAAAAGTCAAAAAACCCTAAGACAACAAATAGAGAGAAAGCCCAACAAATAAGAAAACATAGATGACGCTACATCACTAATCCCCCTAGCTCCTTAGTGTCGCTAGGAGTTACGAGTCACGAGCCTCTTGGAATATTTTCCATAGTTAACTGAGTGGGATCCTTATGCCCATCAGCCCATGCATCTTCAATATTTTTTACTTATGCACCATTTCCTTCCATTGTTCATGATATGTTTAACCAAATATAGCTATACAAAACTAGATTTCAAGCTTATAATAAGTTATAACGAACAAGAAAACGAGTTTTTCAAAATTTCCGAGTTTATGGCCGAGAATAAACACGAGCTCGGCGGCCGCGTTTTAGAACAAGATTTGTGACCATTTCCTCGCCGAATGTAAGTTTCTAATAATGCCAAAATTTTGGATTGGGACGAAAAGGTAACCAATAAGATGATAGAACTTATCGGTGGCTAGAGGTGCTTTTAGGGCAAGAGTTGAACATGTTATCAAACCTAATTTACGTATCCATGGTTAGAAATTTGGTGACAATTACTGATTAAGCTTATCCTATTTTTGATAACTTGGTTTCTAATTGTTTCATTATTAGTGTAGAAAGATCTTTGTGGGACCTTTTAATATATACTCCCTCTGTATTCGTTTTGTTGTCGTTCTACACATTTTTTCTTGTTAATTATTAGATGTCGTTTACACATCCCAATTCAACTTTTACCTAAAACTTCCTAAATTAACCTCAATTAATTGAGTCAAAAGAAAATCATTAACGTATTACCAAGACTGAATTACAAGTATGAATAGTCAAAACAATTAATTGGTCAACACAGCAAAAATCCCAGAGTCATCGATCTCTTCCTCCACCGCCGCAACATCAACGGAATCAGATGTATACGGAGCCTCCTCCGCCGATCCATCGCTCCCAACTTTTTCCTCGTTCCCTACTTTTCTCTTCGAAAGCACATCTTGGAGATTCGAAACAAGCGCGGCAGACAAACCACTGTTCTTCGAGGTCATCGTAGACAAAGAGAGAAGAAACGCAGATTGATTTGGGTTTGTGTTGAATAGTCGGAGCTCCGGTTTAACAATTCCGGCGACTTCAAAGATCCTTCTCTCTCTCTCACTCCTCAGCTCTTCGAGCTTCCCAAAAGTGAAAAAAAAAAGTGAGAAGATAAAGATTCAAAAAGAAGAAGAAGAAGAAGAAGATAAAGTAAGAATCAAAACGAATCGAAAACAGATGACAAATCTATGGTCAACATTTTTTCTAGCTCTCTACGGAACCAAAGACAAAACTTTAATTTATGTCGGCAAAATAAAAAATTAAAGGAGTAGTTGTTTAGTTGAGGTTAAATAAGACATTTTACATTTTTTCTTAATATGTGTGATTATAGTTAGAACGACAACAAAACGAATACAGAGGGAGTACTAAATAAAATTATTTCGACAAAAAATAGCTAGTATAGAAAAAGTAGATTTTTTTTTGGAATACGGGGAGGTTGTGGACCAAAGCCCGTAATCCCCCCAGGCCTGAAACCACAACATGTAATATAGTTTAGTCCCAAGTCCAATACCAATGTCCAATAGTTTAAAATCAATAAATGAATTGAGTTCGCAAAATATAGCATGCTACTCATACCATTCCTAAGACTATAATTTGGTATCTATTTTATTCAGTGTTTTAATTCCAATAAATTCTAGTGCATAGTAAATTTTCTCAAGAAGTAATTTTTCCCAAAATATGTTGAAAGTATTTTCTTAAAAAAGTACTACTAGCGATTAGTTGAGTTTCTACAAAATACGAATAAGGGCTGACTGATTTTTTTCAAAATTTATTATGCCAAATATCACATCATTTCTTCTAGATTGGGTTACCAATCACGGAGTGACTTTTTAATTAACGTGTTTTTGCCAATAAAATTTTTTATTGGGTTTTCCCTCCCTCTTAATAAATCAATCAAAATATAACATCATTTCTAAAATTAAATGGATTTGTCTTTTTCAATGTTTGAATACGAAAAATTTCTATAATAAAATTATCTTAATAGATAACCGCATTTTCAAAATATGTAAAAACGACAAAAAATATAATGACAAAGAAATTTAGTTTTGACAAAACACGAATTGCTACTAACTGAGTTTCGCAAAATATTTAATGCTATATATCATACCATTTCTAAAACTATAATTCAATAATTATTTTATTCAACTTTTTAATTCTAATAAATTCTAGTGCATAATAACTTTTTCTCAAAAAAATAAACTTTTTCCAAAATATGTTAAATGTGTTTTTATTATAAAAGTACTAATGGCGATTAATTGAGTTTCTACGAAATACGAATAACGACTAAAGTAGTTTTGGAAAATTTTATTATGTTTAATATTATATCATTTCTAAAATTATATGGATTTGTTGTATTTGAATACGAAAATTTTATGTGTTAAGGTTATTTTATTAAAATAACCGCTTTTTCAAAATATGCAAAAACGACAAAAATATATTAATTACAAAGAAATTTAGTTTATAGAAAATATGAATGGCTATTAATTGAGTTTTCTCTAAATTTATTATGCTAACCCATTTCAAAAAGTACAAAGATTCGTTTTTTCAATGTTTGAACTCCATATTAAGGTATATATAGATTTGACTATATATAGTCATTAGGAAGAGAGCCAAGGTTCCAAAATAAAATAAAGAGCCTTCTCTCTCTCTCCCTCTGAGAAAAAACACATATAGCCAATGACCTTCTCGTGGTCTTCTGTGCCATAAAAACCATTATATACATTCAAACACAATCTGGCGCCACATATACATATGTACTAGTGTATGTATATGTCTTAACCTCTATATATTCATATCTCTCTCCTTGTGTGAGTGGTGCGATGGGTATCCCCATAAGCTGCAACATTGAACCATCTGCAACATTTTGACTCGTTTTCTTTTGTGTTTTTCCAACATCTGTCTCTTCTTCACTCGCTCTCTCCTAATCAATCTCCCCAACGACCTCTCTTTTTTTTTTTTTTTTTCATTCATATCTCTCTTCATCTCTCTCTCTGCCCGGGAAAAATGGATAACTTCTTGCCCTTTTCCTCTTCTAACGCAAACTCTGTCCAAGAACTCTCTATGGATCTTAACAACAATCGTTCGCACTTCACAACGGTCCCTACTTATGATCATCAGGCTCAGCCTCATCACTTGATGCCGCCGTATTCATACCCGGTGGAGCAGATGATGAATCCGCAGCCGGTTTACTTCTCGGAGGGTTATCCTCAGATCCCGGTTACGCAAACCGGAAGTGAATTCGGTTCTCTGGTTGGTAATCCTTGTTTGAGGCAAGAGAGAGGTGGTTTTCTTGATCCGCGTATGACGAAGATGGCAAGGATCAACAGGAAGAACGCGATGATCAGATCAAGAAACAACTCTAGCCCTAATTCCAGTCCAAGTGAGTTGGTTGATTCAAAGAGACAGGTGATGATGCTTAACTTGAAAAATAACGTGCAGATCTCCGACAAAAAAGATAGCTACCAACAGTCCACATTTGATAACAAGGTTTGTTTTTTTGTTGGTCCCAATTTTTTAATATGTACGATTTTGTTTTGTTTTGTTTTTTGGTTTTCATGTTAATATATGAATATATACGATTTTAGTTATATATAATTTTATGATGCAATTTTAAATTGTTTTTACATTGTTTGGTTGTTGGTTGTAGAAGCTTAGGGTTTTGTGTGAGAAGGAATTGAAGAACAGCGATGTTGGGTCACTTGGGAGGATAGTTATACCAAAGGTATGTGAATTCTTAAAATTCCTTTTAATTTCTCTAACACATACCTGGTAAATATTTCAGTTCGTTTTCAGTATTTTCTTATTTTTCTGTTATTGTATAATGGTAAATGGAATGCAATGATGAAATAAATAATCATCAATCAGGTACGTCGTAGTTTAAATTTAAAAACACAATTCCATGGAAAAATTCTTAGAAAAATAAAGTTATTTCACCAGGATTAGATTTACATTATTTTATAAAAGAGATTTGTGGAACACAAGCACAAAAATCATTGCGGCCACAGATTCTCGCATTATTCAATTTCACAGAGTATTTATTACACTGTTTTATAAGTATGTTTATCTAAAGTTTTGTTATGTGTACTTATTAAAATGAAAAGTTTTATATGCCTTAAATGGTTTTGGTACCAATTGGGTTGAAGAAAATGGACAGTCGTTTATATGCCTTTCCTATTTAATTGTCCCTTAAATGGTTTACCTCGAAACCATTATGGGATAGTAAACAAATCAAAAATCATTATGAAAAAGATTCTACATATTTTGGGTTTTTATCAAACTTTTAATCAATTTTATTTTAGTGGTATCGTTCTTATTTTTCTTAGTAAGAATGTAATACGTGAATCATGGCTTTGGAATGCAGAGAGATGCAGAAGCAAATCTTCCGAAGTTATCTGATAAAGAAGGAATCGTTTTAGAGATGAGAGATGTTTTCTCTATGCAGTCTTGGTCTTTCAAATACAAGTAAATAAGTTGCAATTTCTAATCCATTTTTCATTGTTCAATTAACAACCTTAATTTCATGCTCAACTTTTAGTGGCTTTTTTGGTTACCGGTTTTCATACTTATTTTAAAATTTTGATTTTTTATCAATTGGGAAGAGTAAACTAGAAGACTCAATGCTTGTATTAATTAATGAAATAGGTTTTGGTCCAATAACAAGAGCAGAATGTATGTCCTCGAGAACACAGGTAAATTAAGGAGCTCCAATAGTATTTCAAAAGTACAAAATCTTCTGTAAAACTACTTTTAATTATGATTTACTTTTTCATTTTTTTTGTGGTGATAACTAAAGGAGAATTTGTGAAGCAAAATGGAGCAGAGATGGGAGACTTTTTAACAATATACGAGGACGAAAGCAAGAATCTCGTGAGCTCTCTTATTAACTTCATTTCTCTATTTGATTTTATAAAAAAAAAAAAAAAAAAAGACAAAAAGAAGTTAATTAATGATTAATTAGTAGTCCAAACTTGGAAATTTAAAAAGTGGTCATGATATTGAGTTTGTTAAGCATCCAGACAAAACTTTATTGCCTTTTTGACCTTTTTCTGTCAATGATAACTGTTCTTATATGGTAAGGTATAAAATCTTGTAAAAACTGGATTGTTAAAGAACGAAATATAGTGAAAGAAAATGTGATGAGTGTATACATGTTATATATATAAACATATTTAAGTTATATAGAGTTTATAATAAAAGATGGTTAATTTAGAGTTTATAATTATGGTTTGATTTGGTTGCTAAAAAATAATTATGGTTTGATTTGGTTTGGTTAGGACTTATGACTTATGTGTGTGTGTGTGTAATCGCTTGTTCTTATTACAGTACTTCGCCATTAATGGAAATTCGAGCAAACAAAATGAAGGAAGAGAAAATGAGTCGAGGGAAAGAAATCACTACGAAGACACAATGCTTGATTACATATCAAGAGACGAAGAGGAAGCTTCCATTGCAATGCTCATCGGAAATCTAAATGATCACTATCCCATCCCTAACGATCTCATGGACCTCACCACTGATCTTCATCAGCACCATCAAGCCACGTCGTCAGTGCCATCTGAGGATCACGCGTACGTGGGTTCGTCCGATGATCAAGTGAGCTTTAACGACTTTGAGTGGTGGTGATAGTATATTTAGATACCCCCTTATGAAAATAGACCTTAAGAATATACAAGAGAGATTAAAAGAAAAAGAGAGTATATTTCGTCGTATCAGAGATATTCAACATGAGATTCATATCTATAATTGTTTTATAGAGTGTTTTTATTAATTATCAATGTATTAAAGTTTTTAATTAAGAAAAATGATCATTTGTCTTCAGTATTACTTTTTTATTACAAAAAAAATTCATTATGAGTTTTATTACAAAAAATTTCATTATGAGTTTTATTACCCGGAAGAGATTATCGACATCTTGTTAGTAATTAAAACAGTATAAAGATTTTTATATAGTAACTATAGATATGGATTTTTGGGATTATATACCAATTAGTTGAATTCCGTGACAAGTTAATCGCCAGGGAACGACATAGGTGCTGGATTGGTTATAACGTCCAAATAATTTCTTCATAGCTAACTTGTAAGAATTGTCGAAAACTTTTGAAATTTGTCAAAAGAGAAAAAGAAAATTAAATAGTGTTTATAACATGTTACTAATGTGAAATTATATTGTATAAATTCATTTTTATTGTTCCTGGATATATCTTCTTTTTCTTAAAAAAATCATTTTGCTTCTATTTACAAATTTAACCATAACTTGGAAACATTGCCTTGCCTTACACGCGATAAACAGTATCGCCTACAAGTTTTCTTTTCATTTGTTTTTTGGTCGGCACCTACAAGTTTTTTAAAAAGGATGATGCATAGTCGGTAATACTATAGCTTTTCTATCAGGCAAAAAAAAATTGATTTTATTATCTTATTTTCTAATTAGAAAATCAAGGTAAGTTATGAGGCCTTGATGCCCTAAACCCTAGCCCAGATTTTGTAATTCCAATCCTCTAAGCCTAGCCTAGATTATAATCCAAGCCCAAAACTATTACTAATGTATTCTGTAAATATACCGAGCTCTTATAAGTTATAACCATAGCCCATACTCTGTAAGTATATAGCCCAACAGAGTTACTTAATAGTTAATACACTTCAAAACCTAAATAGTCAAAGTGTCTAACCCTTACCTGGGACACTACACTGAACCTCCGAAAATAATAGAGCTAAAAATTTCATGCAACACGTAGGTTTAATTTACAAATTACAATCCGCTATTTCAAATAGTTTTCAATCGTTTTTGTGAAAGAAAAAACATGTAAGTTTATGAAATTCAACCTCTTATCATAACCTAGTCAATTTGATATGTAGATACTTATCTGGGCTATAAATAACAGAATTCACTTCAAAATGAATCTACAAGATTAATCATCTTCGGAAAATGATATACATTGAGCTGTGGTCCTGTGGAACCAAATTTCTTAGGAGTTATTCTTTGATCTGACTATCCGATCGAAAGTTTATCCAAATGAACGTCAAATTGACAATTTATCTGTAAATTTGACACTAAAAATATCTATATGGAGTCTTAGTACATTAACATGTTTCAAACTTTTAACAAAAACAAAAAATGTTCCAAACCACAATCAAATTGTATATGCATATTTTATGACATTACATGTTTGATATCCAATTGATTTTGAGTAAATACAAACCCGATTTTTTTTTATAAAATTATAATAAGTAATATATTAGATTAAAACGTAAATCTAGTGATTTTATTTATTCTGGATTTACGCTATCGATTTTAAACATAACACGATCGCACCAAAATATAGAATCCCGTATATATCATTATAAAATTAGATCTGGGAAATAAATGTAAAATATCCAAATTTAATAATCTTGCTGTTCTCCAGAATATGCTCCTGGCTTTGCTCCGAAGGATGATTGCAGAATTTCACGTGAATACACGAGCAGATGAGCTAGTTTCGCTATTAGTAATAGATAAGGATTCTCCTCTCGCTCTCTCAGATATACTGGATTAGTGGATTATGATTTTCTCATCTATGCCTAAGTAACCTATAATAAACTATTAAAAAGCTAGTTGACTTAAAGTTATTCGGTCATAACTCATAATAGTTGACATCAAGATCTAGGCACAACAAAATCATAAAACAATTCTACATTTTGGCGTTGGATATGAATACAACAAAACATTTTTTGGTTATTACTTAAAAATTAAGATAAAATAAAAATTTCTAAGATCTTAACTTTAATCAGCTCAAAAAAATTACACATCTGAATAAAATACTATGACAATATATAACAACACAATAAAAAAAAATGCAGGAGTAATTGAATTTGAAGTCAAAAATGAAAACTGAAATTTGCTAGAACTACTGACACTAAAAAATGAATTTGAAAACAAAATATTATTTAAAATAAAAAAATATTGATTGAATGATTATTAATATTTGTAATAATTATTATGCCCCCAAAAATATTAATTTTATACAGTAGAAGTTTTGCTGTAGATGTATAGTTTTAAAATTTAAAGTAATCCGAGTAAGTGAATTTACTGACAATAACATTTAAAAAATTCCTTAAAACAGTTATAACCCATTTTTTAAATCATAGTTTCATTAAACTATAACGGATTCCAATTCCCAAGTACTTAAAATTCCTAAATAAAAAACGTAGGAAGCGTGGGATTCAATTTGGACATTAAATGTCATCATGTGATATATATGTCATATGTGGACTATGAAACTATGTATGAACGTTCAAGTGTGTGTAACATGTAAAGGTAAAAGTTGTATATATAAAGGTAGCAAAACGTCACTAAGTATTAAATCCAAACATTTCACCAAGGTATTATAAAGACAATTGGTCATGATTAGTTCTAACTTCTAAGAGATTGTTTTGTTGTGGAACTTAAATTTGTTGTTGATGTGAAGATCCGACAACTATAGGTCTAATATCGGACAATAACAAAACCTAATATCGTTCATATCGACTTGGGAACAGGAACATGAATTAAATAGGATAAGATGAAACATATAATTAAAACTTAAAAGTGTTAACTACGGGTATTTGTATATTTCATGTATGTATTCGTTTTTCTAAGAGTTTATTTCTTAATTATATATTATCGTTTTCGTTTACAGTATATCAGAAAAGAAAATGTTAATACTTTTTATTCATAATAATCCATAACGGCAAAACATTATACGTATTCTCACGTTGAAGATGAAATATATACACAATTTATAACCTTCAGAGATTGGGGAAACAAAGTACCAAATTTTAAATTTGCAACAATGGTATTATCCTATTACTAATGAAGATTTATATACACACAAATGTAAGGACAAAGACTAGCACGAAAGTAGCCATATTTCTTGGAGGGAAATGTGGTAAGTTGACGATGCATAATTTTTGGGCGTATTTATTATTTTTACTAGGACTCAGGACCCCCGCGATGTCGCGGGGGAATATATTTCAAAAATCATTTAAAAAAATATCAAACGAAAAAATTATAATGAATTGTAATAATTTTGAATTTTTTTAATAACAAATCAATACATATTTTACAAAAATTATGATAAAGAAAACCCTCACAAGCATTTATTAAGTATATTGATATTAGAAAACAATAATTTGTAACTAAAAAACTATTCTCAAGTGCAAAAAGCATAAACTAATAAACCAAATATTACAATGGTTTGATAAATAAGCCAAAACGTTCAACGTCAAATAAACCAAATGCTATTGTGTTAAATTAAACGGTAACAACAATTCATTTAAATATATATATTTTTTTTTAATATTTTTTAAAAATATGACGAACTTATCCGAGAAACGCAACCGTAGATATCAAATATTCCAAAAACTGCAACGGTTCGTCAATTATACCAAATGTTGCAATAGTTCATCAAATATACTAAAGATAACAATGGTTCGTAACACAAAACCAAAAGTTTCAATAATTCGTCAAATAATCCAAATGTTGAAACAGTTCAATTAAATAGTTACAATCTCATTTAAATACATTTTAGTAATTGAAAATTAAGAATTAAAATAATAATTTATGAAAAGTTACACCGAGAGACGCGGCGGTAGATAATTAAATGTTATGGCTATTTATAAAATAAACCAAAAATTGCAATTGTTCGTGAAATAAACTAAATATATAAACCAAAGGTTGCAATTGTTCGTAAAATAAACTAAATATTGCAATGATTCGAATAAGCGGTTTCAACTGTTTATGAAGAGTTACAATAAAAAACGCAACCGTAGAAAACATTCAGAATGTAATTTATAAAATAAAACATAACCGTAAAATATATATTTTAATTAATAAAAACATTAACGAAAAGTTGCGATAAAAAGACGCAACCGTACAGATGTGCAAATGGTATTTATTAGATTGAAATATATATTTTAATTAATAAAAACATTAACGAAAAGTTGCGATAAAAAGATGCAACCGTTCAGATGTGCAAATGGTATTTATTAGATTGAAATATATATTTTAATTAATAAAAACATTAACGAAAAGTTGCGATAAAAAGACGCAACCGTTCAGATGTGCAAATGGTATTTATTAGATTGCTATTATATATAGATTAAATTCAGTAAAACGTAAAAGCAAAGAGAATCATTCCAACGACAAGAATGATTAGTCTACTATGTAAATGTAATGATACATCATCGCGTTATCGGATTTAAACTTTTAAACAATTATGGCCCATAATTGTGTTATATCTCTAGGGAGATGTTAGACCAAAGCATCCAAAGATAGGTTTAATTTGAAGAAAAAAAAAATGATAGGGGGTGGGTCCTATATTGGCTCTATCATTTTTCCCATACTTTTGCAGGTAACACGAAAATGTAACATGACATGTCTCTCTCCGGACAAAAATATATCTCCCGCAACGGTAATAATTTAAGTTACCCGTTCGTGAATATTACTGATCATGTAGAACTGTAGAAGTGGTGGGGTAAGACCTACTCGTGAATCGATTTAGAAGTTTTAAAATTAATTTAACACAGAAAAAACAAAAACCATGCAGACCAATAACAAGAAAATATCTAAAGCGTAATTTGTTTAACTATTTGAAGAACAGTAATCTCAATAATGATGGATTCAAATTTGAATATGGTGGCTTGTTAAGAGATGAGTGATTTTTGTATTGTAGAGTTGCTTATGTATTATCATGTTATTCCGATCAAAGTTTAATGTAATTTGAAAATAAATATTTGTAAGCAATAGAGCAACATGTGCTATGTAACCCAGCAATTACGCTCAGAGTCTCCAAAAGATGTCATCAGTGATATATTGTGAGAAAATAGTGGAAAATCACATCAGCTTTACATAAAATGTGGTTTCCATTCATCACAATGTATCAAATGAAAGTTTTGTTTGCTCTTGATATAACTAATGCCAAACTCACTTAGACTCTCTACTTAGTATATAGAAAATTGAAAACTACATGTTTAGTAGGACAATTGTTGAAATACCTTTTTAGAATGGTAGACCTGTGTCACAATGCTCTCCAATCAAAATGTTTTACTACTTTTTTTCTTTTTTTGAACAAACAATGTTTTACTACTTTCAAAACACAATTGTTTGACATAATCCAAAAAATTCAATCAATTATGCAAACCATTTTTTGCAATTTATAACTTCGGATTACATTCCACATCAATACCATTCTCCTCATCAGTCGAAGGCGCTATTGATCATGAATCAGTTGCTTAGACACGAGCTTGACTATATCGAATTTTTTTACTATTTCATATGTGAATCATGGTACTAAATTCCTTTAAATAAATTAAAAGCTTGATATTACGTACCGACACTTATGATTTTTCTAAATACATATATATAAACTAGATCATAACCCATGCTATAGCACGGGTGTGAATTTTTTTTTATAAAATTAAATTATAAATTTTGTATTAAAAAGCAAATAATATAATAGAGCCAAATTTAGGATAGACCACGTTAGATCTTATTGTTTATGATATCTTCTTAAACCCATTTTAAAACCCATTGACCCGCGTTTATTGAAATGGATAGTGTGCTAATTGTCTTTAATAACCTTAATGAAGTGAATGAAATTTGTTCTAAAAGAAGATTTTTGTAATGACATTCTTAAGTAAATTCTTACAAAGGGGAAGGTTAATTAAGGGTAATTGTAAAATGTACTCCCCAAATAATAGTGTAGGATTATCAAAAACTTTTGCATGTTTCCGTGGATGCAAAAACAAAAGTGCATTCTTTGATATCATGTCAAAACAAAAAGTTCACAAAACAAATTATAATGACAATTCAAATTAACATTACCATTACTCATGCTATAAAACAATTTCCTAAAGTTTATATTATCCCAATATATTTCTTTTGTTAAAGTATTTACTAATGTTCAGTTTAGATGGATCACCAGTGATAATATCTTGATTATTCAACAATTCTTTTTTGATAAAAATACACCAACTTGACATATTTTAGACGATCTAAAATACAGCAACTAATTAATAGGCGATCTAAATCTTACACCTATTATTTATAATTTTATTATCATATATTAAAAAAATCTTACAGTTATTAGTCCATTCTTGATATTTTAGACGCCAAATGTTTACTAGATGGGTTAAGATCTTTTTAACATTGGTTCACCAGGGAGCTGACTTTTTTTTTGTTGCAATAGTAGAAAGTTTGCATATCACATTTTTTTCGGAAAAACGGTCTATTTCCCCACGAAAACTATGACATCATAACAGATAGAGCCCAATCTATGACCACGTGCTAGATATCCCCGAAAAAATATTTCGCAACCTATATCGCCATAAATTCATAGTTGGAATCCTATTACTCCCTAAAATAAAAGTTCTCATCTAATTTACCCACAAACATTGGTTCTATTCGGTTTACTGTTTGCTTACCAAACTAACAAAAACACTAAACCGGATTAAACCAATTCTAACCCAATTACAACTAACTGAACCTGACCAAGCAAACCCACCATTCTTCTTCACCCGTAACATACCTATGTATCCAGTTGAATCAACCACTAAAACGTTTCCATCCTTAGCGCTTTTGTTCTTGAAGGATGATGATGTAGCGATTTCTGTAATTCCTGAGTCTAGAATTGAAATTGGTTTGACTCTCACTCTCCTAAACCTAAGATTTCAGGATTCATGGGTTTCGAATGTTGAAACTAAAGGTGACGACTTAATCTAAAATTTTGAAATGGATTTGGAATCTTTAAAGATGGTTTTGGTGAGTAGGAGTGTAAAGTCAACCCACTTCATCTTCTCCACGCATCAAAATTAAGTGTGAAGATTATTGTATTTTTTGGATTCAATTAGTTGACGAAAACGGGTTTGGCCGAGAAAGTTTTGAGATTGACGAGGTGTCATTGTCGTTCGTGTGATGGAAATTAGGATTTGTAGAGATCTAAAAGCTTTCATTTCGGCAACAATGGCAAAGTAGCAATCTCGTACAAGTTCATATTTGAAAGATTTCAATTTCAATGGGACAATCAATTTCAATGTAGCGGAGATTGGGAGAGATTAGTGGGTCGGGTCAATTTTTTTTTTTTTTTTTTGGGCAAACGTGGGTCGGGTCAGGCTTTAATTTGGTTAGATAGTGAGTTTAGTGGTTTGGTATCCGGTTTAGGACTTAAACCGATTAAACCTAAATTTACGGGGAATTAGATGAAAACTATGGATTCGGGGAGATATAGGTTGCGAAATATTTTTTCGGGGATATCTAGCACGTGGTCATAGATTGGGCTCTATCTGTTATGATGTCATAGTTCTCGTGGAGAAATAGACCGTTTATAATGTTATTGTATAACTAAAGTTTTCCATCTTAAATATCTATCAGGAAAAAAAAAAAAAAAGAGTAACCAAAAAAGAGTAACTAAATGGTAGTACTAGTAGTAGTAACTAATAACGGAGTAAGTCATGTCGATCGATTTTTATTTATTATTTACAAATAATAGGGAGTTATTTCATGACACTCGAAGCGTGAACCTTCCTCCTATAAATACACCCATTTCATAATCTCAAAACATATCACTAACCAAAAAACAAAACAAAAAATGGGTTTCATTGGTAAGAGTGTATTAGTGAGTCTCGTAGCACTTTGGTGCTTCACTTCCTCTGTCTTCACTGAAGAAGTGAACCATGTGACTCAAACCCCTTCTCTAGCTCCTGCTCCTGCTCCTTACCACCACGGCCACCACCACCCACACCCTCCTCATCACCACCACCCTCACCCTCACCCTCACCCCCACCCACCGGCCAAATCTCCGGTTAAACCCCCGGTTAAGGCACCAGTGTATCCACCAGCCAAAGCTCCGGTTAAGCCTCCGGTTTACCCACCGACCAAAGCCCCGGTTAAGCCCCCAACTAAACCCCCGGTCAAGCCACCTGTTTCCCCACCAGCCAAACCTCCAGTCAAGCCACCGGTTTACCCTCCAACAAAAGCCCCAGTTAAGCCCCCAACTAAACCCCCGGTCAAGCCACCAGTTTACCCTCCAACCAAAGCTCCGGTTAAGCCCCCAACTAAACCCCCGGTCAAGCCACCAGTTTCCCCACCAGCCAAACCTCCAGTTAAGCCCCCGGTTTACCCTCCGACCAAAGCTCCGGTTAAGCCTCCGGTTTCTCCTCCGACGAAGCCACCAGTTACGCCACCGGTTTACCCGCCTAAGTTCAACCGTAGTCTAGTCGCCGTTCGTGGTACGGTTTACTGCAAAAGCTGTAAATACGCTGCTTTCAACACACTCTTAGGCGCTAAACCCATCGAAGGTTTGAACTATTTTCTTAATTTATTACTAGTACTTCTTTCACTTTCATTATTTATTTTATACACTCATAAATACCTCAGTAATAATCTCTGAAACAACTCAACTTGGCTCTGCATTCGCATTTACTTAACATTGTATACGTATATCTATAAAATAATACGTATTTCATATCAAACCTTCAAAAAATCATGACGCATACTTCGAAAAATAATTCAAATTTTAAAACGTTACAAGTGGGACCTTTGGTACGTATTTAGTCAATGTTTCGAAAATAGGTAAAAAAATAAAGAGAGTGACTATGTACACTTCTGCACTCATCAGTCACTGTTTTTTACAGTCTGGCCCATAAATTTCACTACTTCCCAAAAAGATAATTAAAAAACACATAACTATTTCCATTAGTCCAAAACAACAGTTAAAAGCACATAACTATATCCATTTGTCCAAAAACAAATCTAACGAATATTAATTAATATTTCTTTATGGGTTTGTTCAGGTGCTACTGTGAAACTAGTGTGTAAGAGCAAGAAGAACATAACATCGGAGACGACGACAGACAAGAACGGATACTTCTTGTTGTTGGCTCCTAAGACGGTGACGAACTTCGGTTTCAGAGGATGTCGTGTGTATTTGGTGAAATCAAAGGACTACAAATGCAGCAAAGTCTCAAAGCTCTTTGGTGGAGATGTCGGTGCTGAACTCAAGCCGGAGAGAAGGCCGGGAAAAGGTACGGTGGTCGTCAACACGCTCACATACGGTCTCTTTAACGTTGGACCATTTGCCTTTAACCCGACTTGCCCCAAATGAAGATGATTTGATGCTCTAGTTACTTTCTTGATTTCGTCATGTTCAAAAGATTGAGACTTGAGAGAGTGTGTTATTGTGCGTTGGAATTTTAATTAATGTTAGCTAGTCTTTAAGTTAAATGCTTGGGGTTTATGTGATGTATCTCTTTTAAGTGACGTTGTTTAAGTTTCGTTTGAATAAAAATAGCAGCTTTCAAGAAGATTTATTTTTGAATTTATTTAAGGTTCAAATTATGAAAATGAGATGGTTCCATTACATAACAAATCGAATGACCAAAAAGAAATGTTAAAAAATAAAAACCATAAATCGAATGAATAACTTGTAATTTTTTATTTCTCAACTTGAATTTCTTGATGTGTTTGATAAAAATGATAAATATAATTACGCTGCAGACAAAAAAATATGATTACAATTACAAAAAACGGTGAAAAGCTCGATGGGAAGGAGGAATCATCGAATAGGGTTTCTAGTCGGTTCTTGAATACGGAGAAAAATCAGCTGCGTAATTGTCGGCCACGGGGCTGACATTATTTCCCATCACAATCTCAAAGTTATAAAGGACAAATAATAATTCAAGATACTAATTTTTATAAAAAAGTTAATCGACTCGTTTGAAATAACAAAAAGTGATTAACAAGAAAGGTTTATGGGTTGTGGCGGAGCGATTAAGTTAGGATCTAAGAACATGATTATCCATAGTGTCTTAGAAATAAATCTTAGAAATATTTAAGTAATATATTTGTAAAATATGGATTTTAACTATGTTTTTGTTGCTTAGCTAAGAAATTCTCTTAGCAATAATAGCTTAATTGAGATTTAATTTTAATCATTTATTGCTAAGATCCAGCTTAAGATTTTCTTAAGAACCTGCCATTAATCATGGTATAAGTGATGATACCTTTTTTTTTGTAATATATTTATGTGGTGTCATGGAACAAGATTCGACTTTGCTCATAACTTGAGCTTCTCACGTGCTCGGCATATGGTTCTCTTGAAAAATGTCAACCGGGTTTGTTATATGCAATTATGCATTGGTTAGGACTCTACATTTTGGTTCAACAGAATCTATGTTGTTGCTTTAAATCAATTCATGGTCTATTGGTCTTGTAACTCAATCCGCTTAGTCTCATCTCATGAATGAACTTACTATTTTTTCCGAGTCGTTGATCACCAGTTTGATAATCGAACTCGAAGGTGTTAATCTTTCTAAGTTCACTCTTTACTTTCTTCTTTGAACAGACGCGAGATCAAATATCTATCCATGAGAGGTTCATAAGGTTGATCATTTCTACTATTGAGTATATGGATAAAAGCATTTCACCAAAATCGCAACACGATAATCCGAATAACACGTTCCGAAAACAAAAAAGACTGAAAAGGAAGGAAGTTTCGAATCTCAAGTCTAAATTCTAGCATCAATATTCAAACATGTGACCAAAATTTAGAAAACTGTTTTACCAAAAAATAAAATAAAATTTAGAAAACTGTTGTATATGTCATTGATACTACATAGTTTGATAACACCAAGGTAAATTATAAACTATATGATACATGGCCCAAATACATGCACACTAACAGGGCTGGGTTTCTTAACCCACACCGAACCCGTTTGCAAACAAGCAAAGCAACAACCTAAGTACACAAGAATTTTCAATAAATATGAGGCCCAAATTATTAAAGCCCAACTTCTCTCCACAATAACGAGCCTAATATGTTAATTTACTTTAGTCAAACGACTCAAATCCAATGATTAGATTACTTCCAAGAAAAGCATTTCTTGGTTGAATATATATAGCACGACGACACGTAGATAAATCAACTTACCATAAAATCATTTCGAGTAGTATTAATTATATTGACCAAAAGGTCACATAAACGTCCTAGTCATCTAAACCATCATTGGATATTGAGTTCAACAATTTCCTCTAAGGTAATTCAATGTTCTTTGTGTAAATATCGTTGTTAAGACTTGGTCTCTACCTCTATCATCTATTGGCAAGACTAAAACCAAATAGAGCACATTTTTCCCCCCACTTTCAACGACGGCGCGTGACACCACTCGCTACATCAGCGCGTGAGCAAAGACCTAAAAAACTAGAAAAAGACTAAAGAGCCAATAGCGCCCACCGAAAACATTTTCTTACCGAACCAAAACACAAAAGCTTAAACTCAAAAACAAAACACAATTTTTATCTCTCTCTCTCTATCTCTAAAAGCTCTCTTCTACAATGGAGAATTCGCCGAGATATAGAGAAGCGACGAATCTGATTCCATCGCCGAGATGTCACAATACCAACAGTTGCAGCATGAGCAGTAGCAGTGAAACTAACAAACCACCAACAACTCCGACCCGACACGTAACCACAAGATCCGAATCCGGAAACCCGTACCCGACAACATTCGTTCAAGCAGATACTTCATCCTTCAAACAAGTCGTTCAGATGCTAACCGGATCCTCCGAGAGACCCAAACACGGTTCATCTCTTAAACCAAATCCGACCCATCAACCCGACCCAAGATCCACTCCTTCTTCTTTCTCAATCCCACCAATCAAAGCCGTACCAAACAAGAAACAGTCTTCTTCTTCTTCCTCAGGGTTTCGTCTCTACGAGCGTCGTAATTCAATGAAGAATCTCAAAATCAATCCTTTAAACCCGGTTTTTAACCCGGTTAATTCAGCTTTCTCTCCCCGGAAACCGGAGATCCTCTCTCCGAGCATCCTCGATTTCCCATCTCTCGTTCTTAGCCCGGTTACGCCTCTTATACCCGACCCGTTTGATCGATCCGGGTCATCAAATCAAAGCCCCAACGAGCTTGCGGCGGAGGAGAAAGCGATGAAAGAGAGAGGCTTTTATTTGCATCCATCTCCGGCAACAACTCCGATGGATCCAGAGCCTCGACTTCTTCCTCTATTCCCGGTGACTTCTCCTCGAGTCTCAGGTTCTTCATCAGCTTCTACTTCTTGAAAAAACCCTAATTTTTATTTTTTTACTCAAATTTTTATTATCCTTTTGTGATCTTAATTATATATTATAATTGGGAATTGAGATAAATCCTGTTGAGAATTATACGAGAAAAAATTGTAATGTTGAGATGTTTGCCAAATCCAATTCGCGATTTTAAATCATCGCCTTCAATTGTATTTTAAATCTCTCCCTATGGTTTTATATTGATGAGTTTATTCTGCCGATTTTGATAAATTAGATTAGTTAGTAGTACTCATTAATTCAGTGAGTTGTACAATTTTTAGTGAAATGATCAAATTGTTTTTTGTTTCTATTCTATTTTATTTCCATAAACACACAATTAGTTGCATTCTACATTTGTTTTTTTTCAGTAAACAAATGGTGAAGAGATTGGTCTTTAGAGAGAACCAAATTGGTCCAACCTTTTTTAGCTAAGGATTGATGAAATAAAGAAAGAGTAAACAAAAGAAAAAGGAGTGTGGAAAAAATAAAGAGATTTTTTTTTTTGTTATTATTGTTTCATCTTTTGTCCTTAGAAAAAGGAGAATACAAAATTGAAAAAAGAAAGAAAAGAGTAAATTGGATAGAAGGAAGAGAAAAGAGTGGGGCTTAGCTGTCTAAAAGAGAGAGTATTAATTAAGGGGTAAGGAATCTTTTGACTATTTTTTCTTTGGATTCATGATTTGATGATAGGTTTTTTTTGAGATTTGACCTCTATTACCTATATTTTCAGCCTAATGAATGATACTGATATTGTTTGTTTTTAACCGTAAGAAGAACAAAATTGTTGTTTGGAAACATTAGAGTACAAGTTTTGGTTGTGGTCACTGTTGGGTCTAATAATATCTTGGGGTCGAAAATCATATTGAGTGTTTCACTTTAAAATATAGTTGAAGGTGGACTTAGTGGCATATGGATTGAGGTAATGGGCATTTGCTAAATGGCCCCATATGATTTCTTTAGTTTTTTTTTTATTTTAAGATCTTTTGAATATTTCTTGGTCAAAGGTTTTTGTTTAGAGGAAAATTAGGCTTGTTGGAAACTTTCGTAAATTAGGTGTTTTAATTGGTTGCACAAAAGGGACGTGGGCTACAGAAATAATTAACACTTTAATTATTTATGTATTTATCATTAAATGGTCTTCGAAGACTAAAAAAAAATTAAATTAAACTTGACTCAATCTTCTCATGGTGGACCGGATCTATTATTATCTATTTCCCTCTCTAGAATTTTTATTTTTTTTTGAAAATTTCATGTGAAGAGAGTTGAAGTTGTGGGCCTACTTCGACTATTAGTGGTGCTACTGAAAGCGATTGCGGTTGACTCATTTTATAAATTTTCTCTTTCAAAAAATTTAAATCCTACAAAAAAAGATTTTTTCTTTCACTCATTTGTGAAAATAATTTTGTTGATGTATTCTATAGGTAAATCTTACCCACTAGAATTCAATCCCTATGTTTTGATGATGTACCTAAATTCCTTGAATATATATCAAGATTCAGATGAGAAATGCTTCTTCTTTTACAAGTTACTACAACAAAGAATATTATTCCAACAACAAAAAATGAGATAAGCCTATTTGTAAAATCTCATTTACTAGTATATTAAAAAAGTTATTTTGTTTCTGGCATTCTCATTTGGTTTTAGATTTCGTTATCAGTTACGGTTATGATTGTTGTAATCGATTGTAAGGCTTAGTTTTCGGAGAGATAGAATGTTATCCGTCGACTTAGTTTCTAGGGTTTTCTCGTTAACCGCTTGTATTATCCCAAATTTTTTTATATAATTCAGCAGACAAAAAAAAAAGAAAAAAAAAGGTTATTTTGTGTGGTTTTGAAAAATAAAGAAAAGTCAAAAAGTAATGGAGATGTGGTGTGAATAGCAATAATGTTTCAAAGTTAGGTTCTCATCTCACTTCAAAGTCTTCTTTGGCTCTCTCTTTATTTTATTTTTAAATGACTTCTTGGAAAAAGACCATACAGTGCTGAATGAAGTAGTAGTGCAGGTGGGTCTTGTGACCATGAAACTACTAAACATTTCCTCAGACAAACAAACAAACAAGTAAAAAAAAGCAGCAAGCAAATGAGTCAGAACACAGGATGGGCCTAAGTGAAGAACATTAGACCTTTTCTTAGGGATCTCTTTATTGCCCCATGAACTTGAAGCTGTTTCGAGTACGACCGGATAAATACCATCAACTCTATAAGTTTTTTTGGTCAAAATTTTAATAATGCGTTCTAGTGTCGACCGTCTACATACTAAACTAGAAGTGACTATTAATGCCAGCCAACCAAATTATGTTGTCACCCATTTCAGTTCCAAATTATCATCCATAGACATTCTTAGTCTTTAGTTATGGAAACTCTTCGATTTATTTATAAGAAGTTGAATTCCAAAACACTTTTCCTAAACGTGAAGGTTGCGGGTGATTTGGGCTCGGACTTGGGCTTTTCCAATCCAAAATGAAGTCTTACATTGAGACCCCAAAACACTTCTTCTTCATTTCAGTTTCACTATCTTTTCTAATTTTATTATTTTCTTTGATAATTCACATTTGTCATTATTGTCAAGTCATTCCGTCAAAAACTCGTGTTCTGATATGTAACCGTAGAAATGTCATCATAATTCATAAATATCCCGTAACTGACTTGAAAAAAACGATGTGCTGTGAATCATGTGATTATGAATTCAAAGCCATAGTTTCATGTGGATACATCCCACAATCTTACTCGGAAATTTAAGCAAGAAACGTAAATGATTTCTCATTTGTTTATAGATTTTTTGCGAACGTTTTTTGATAAATTAAAAAAGTATTCAATATCTTAGTCTGATCGGGTTAGATCCATCATTAACAATCTCAACTATAAGTAACCAAAGCTTAATTCGCCGTGTTTGTTTCGATATAAGAAATCCAAAAGGAGATATAAAAGAAGAAATAGGTCCAATTTGGCCCTTCGTCTTAAAACAAAATGCTTAGTCGTAAAATACTAAAACATCATGATGTATATAATAGACAAAACGGAACTTAATTATATGAACGAAACGAAATAAAAAAGGACAACAACAAAGGAAAAGAAGTGATATACCAATGAATCAAAAGCTTATATGCATCATGATGATTAAATAAAGAACAAAAAAAGAATATATATAGATCATACGTATAACATAGGATACGTTAAGAAAGAATGAAAAAAAAAAGGTGGAAGTATTAAAATATTAACGATCAAGAATGAAGAATGAAGATCGAACGTACGTTGTTGAATCAAATCTTCCTCTCTATCATTTAGCGTGCGTACCTATAGCAATGCGTGATGGCACTGCATCCACGCCTATAAGGATTATTCCTTCTTCTCTTCTTGCAATCGTAGTAAGATCGGCCACGTCTACTGCAAGGCACATTGTTCTTTTTGAGAGCATCATAGCCAATGTAACGGCGTCCTCTTGCGAGTTGACGACGGTTTGTCTCTGAATCCATTAGAGATTCGAGCTCATCATCTTCCCCGATGCAACCTTGCCCGTTGATGCAAGATTTGGTCAATGGGTAGGTTGCATTGACGGATTTAGCTACCATGGCTAAGATCAAGAGACCAAAGATTAGTAACATCTTGACACCCATTTTGTTTTTTTTTTCGGTTTTGTTTTTTTAAATGAGTTATTATTACTCTTTTGTTTAGGTTTTGGTTTCTTCTACGCCCTTTCCTTGTGACAAGGAGAGGGAGAAATAGAAGTGTGTGAGAGATTATGCAGAAGAACAAATGAGAGATTGGTTTTGTTGAGGATAAAAAAAGGCTTAAGACAGATTGCGATTTTTTGCTTGTTATTATTTTGTGGTCGTTAATTCTGTTACTTTGAAATTGGGGTTTTAACCTCTTTTTTAGGTCTATTTTTCTCCATTTCTTCCGCTTGGTGGTTAGATCTAAATTTGCTATAAGTTATTTATGGCTCTGCTTTTTGATCGGCTAACTAATTTTTTTTTCTTCTGAAAAATATTCAAATGCTCAATTTTAGCATGTATAAGTCTATTATGAGTTTTGTAACCAATTTCGAAAGAACTTAAGAGTGAGTAGGATCATAGGATCATAGGATCATAGGATCTAATAATATTTTGAAGTTCTTTTTATCTGTAAATTCAAAAACTCTGCATCAGTTTTTTAGCATCTTCTAGAAAGGCAGTTAGCCAAGTATAGATTGTATGGATCTCATTAGCACATATTTCAGATACTTTAGATCATTGCATTGTATATTATTGATTGATCTAATGTTTTTTATTGATTGTTATTTTTTCATCGGTTTCCATTAATTAAAATAAATTCTTCAATGATATTTAAAATTTCTTTTACTGAAATTATATCTTAACCAATATTCCGAAAACAAATGTGGACATGTTTGTATTCGCTCTATTTCAAAAGGTAGAAAATGTTTTATTACATCCTAAAATTGACTTTGTAATACTATTAGTTAATAGGGGAAAATGAGATATTTCGTTAAAAATTACATTGAAATGATGAAATCATAAAAACAAAATGTAAAAAGGGAGTTTAAAACAATGCTGTATTTAGTTTAAAACGAAGAAAAGAGTTAAAGATGGTGCCGGTGAAGTAGTATTAATTACAACACAATGAAGGAGCACATTAATACATCTCACGTTAACCACATAAATATAATCATGATATGCCTCCAGGACGATAGACTATGTTCTCATCACCACTCACTAGTAACCTCTAGTGTTACTCGGTTAGATTTTTATTGGTCGAACATATGGAGGTGATCCTAGAGATGTTTTCATTACAAATATGCAGAAGATGATGGCTTCTCTTAAAATCTCATTATTTTTGGATGCTATTGATTTAATATCCAAACTCAAATGTTTATGTGGACATAATAAACAACATCCGGATAAGAAAACGAACATTCACCAAAGATAGAAAAACAACAATTTCACATATTTATGTGGGAATCTTTGCATGAGCTGAATGTCTTAGCTAAACAGTCAATATGTACTAACCTAATTTAGGAGCTACTTCTAACAGGACACATGCGTGTTTAACATAACAAATGAAAATTTCTGATCCAATATAATTTAATGTTGGCCCTTTACAATAACTATTTTGTTTTTGACGTCGCCTTTTACAAATCTTTTTCTTTCTTTTTTTTACAAATTTTTGTTTATTGATATGTAAATGGTTAATAAGTTAAACGATTATTAGTTTTTTTGTAAGTTGTAAGAAAGTCTTTGTATATTGATATGTTAATTTACATCGATTAGGATGGATATGAATAGAATATTAGTTAACAGTTATTAATCAATATTCAATCATATAGTTGAAAAATTCTGCAAGGTATTAATAAATTATAAACATATCTTTTTTTGAGATGTAAATTAAACAATTTTTTTTTGTTTTTTTTTTAATTTAATGATAATTCATATTCGGTAACATTATACTGTACTTATATATAAACTTAGGACCACATTTTTTAATCTCATTTCAGTTATATATGTACCAAGCCAGACCATCTACGGATTGTCAATTAATTTTTAAGTTGATTTTTATTATTCACATAGTATAAAAATCAGATTATATATTGATCTAAAATAGTAGGAGAAATAGAGAATGAAGCGGATTTAAGAATGATGCAGATTTAAAGTTAAATCTGGTCGAAATATAGTAGACTAGACAATTCACCGGAAAAAATGATGGAAAATGCTAATATATAAATAAGAGAGATGAACCAATATATTAATGATACATCTCAATATATTTATTATCAGTTTAGTTTAAAATTATAAGTACATTATCTATCAAAAAAACATTTCAGTCAAACCATTTATAATCTCATTGAAAAACTCCATTATTGAATGTACAATGCGATGTGGTACTCCATAAAATGCCAGGAAGAACAAAGACGAGAGCTGCAGTTAGTAAAATAGTGTAAGATGTCGGTCAATAAATTTCGTAAAATATATTTTCATAATGATAACAATGATAAGAACATAAAGAGATGCCAAAAAAATGAGAGAAATGGGTCAAATCATGTAGCGAACAACTACTACAACGTTCGTTGCCCGCGTTTAATTGGTTCAAATGTCTATTGTCATTAAGAAGTTAATCATACAATTATTCTATAATTAGATATAGAAAAAGTCAATACCAAAACCACTATTCTAGTCTCGTACTTATCGTCGCAAATCGCAATCTATTAGTATAAAGTATAATTGTATAAACAGTCTTGAAGAAGAGATTACATATTAGAACGCAAATACAGTTTCCAACTGCCGTTTTGAAATGTCTTTTTGATAGTGTCGAAGGCTTACTTCGTAGTTTATACATAGACACCATCACGGGATGCTTTTGAATATAATTCCCAACAATAACGTTTTTTTTATATAAGAAAGTCAGTAAAACATAACGCATGTGTATCTATCATCAAATATCGACATCAATCATCAAAGATATTTCCTCTCTTTAGTTATTTATTTTAAATGATAAATATGAAGAAAGTTGTGTTGGTAAATTTCCATTCAATTACGTGCATTGTTTGTCTTTGTTTTTAATACGAATGGGTCCATCCATAACCAAAAAGACAAGTCATCTTTTGAGGTGATGTCAAGTGACAAACAATTGTAGCTAATCTGTGATTTGTGGGAATATCAATTTCTTAATTAAACTAGTTTTATTTAAAATTATGATTATGGTGCAGATTTCTTGGAACTTTTGAACTTTTATCATCTTTTTGTACCTAATAGTTTAGATTATCATATATGTGAGTATATGAGTATATCAATAAACACACACATACAAAAAAAAACAATTTGTTGTGGAAATCTTTCCAGCAAATCATGGAGTTACGCAATCCATCAATCTATAAAAATATTATGGGCCATAATATATACACAAAGTGTATGTGTTTGAAGTTGAACCAGAGTCTATTCTCAATAAATGTTTTGTTTCAGTTTATTGCATATTTAATAAGATTATTTTTATATATAACGAGTTGGAAGGCGATGGTGTATGCATGGATAAAATTTGTAGAACCAGATAAATTCTAAAGTTAACACTTTTATAAGGAATAAATTTAACACTTGAATTTCATACTAATTGTATAAAACACTTGCGTAATCAAGATATACTTATTTACGATTTTTTCCACATCCTTTTTACAAATGCTCTTCAAGATATTTTCTGTTTTGTTTTTATAACTTTTTTGGGTCTACGAACAAACTGTTTTTTAAGATTAGGTTCAGTGGTTGATGAAATTATTTATTTTTCAATCGCAATGTATTCAAATTCTGGTCAGACAAAATTTTCTTTTATTATCGAGTCTGACAAATTCAACGGGTGTTTTATTTTGAAAGCTCACTATAAAGCTCATAGTGATGGTTTTATAAATCTTATTACATAAATGAATTCGCATATGATTACTATATCTCTAAAGTCTTGACATAGTTAGGATAAAGAAGGTTTAGCTTAAACGTCAAGGAATAAATATTTAAAAGTGGTTACCTTTTGTTTCCTCTAAACTCCTTTTTAAATAGGGTTACTTACTATATGCATTACATAGTCTAATTTTAGAGCATTTATAAAAATGATGTGGTAGCAAAATTTTAAATAAGCATATATTAATTATACGATTGTTTTCTATGAATAGTATGAAATTAAAGTGTGTTTTACAAAATTAATTTGATAACACACTGTATTTTATATGGTATTAAGAAAAAAATACACCCAAAATTATGATTCACTTGTTTATTATTTTGTTATACTTTTTTTTATATTTACATATATTTGAACATTCAAAACGACAACTTAACTCCATTCATTATTTGAAAATATATCAAATGATTCAATGAAAATTTTAAAAATTAATTTAGAGGAGAAACAAATCAATAGTTGAGCGCACTTAGGAGAAGATGAAGTGAGATAATGGATTAGATATGTATCCACCACATTTGCATCTCCATTTCTTCATCATGATCATCATCATCATTAATTCATCAACATCATCATCAGCCACCTTTGCAATTTGTCCGTTTCACAACTGAGCAATCTCTCTCTTCCATGTGACACATTTCCTTTGGCTTCTTCTTCCCCCTTTGTTGTTCCAATCTCCGTACGTCAAGGTTTCTTCTGGAAAAGTCTCTCTTCCTCTTTGTCTTTTCGTTTTCCGTCTAAAGAAAGATTCAACTCTCTCCTCCGATTTTCTTCTTCCCCTCTCTACTCTGCTTCTCTGATTGTGATATCTCTTGTGGGTTCTTCTTCTTTCTCTGTTTTTTTCCATTGTTGCTTTTGTCTCTGTACTTCTTGAATTTCATCATCTGGGTTTCATTGGTTTCACACAAAGCTTGTGACTTTGAGCTTATTCAGTTTTCTTGTAGACCAAGCACTCTGCTTTGTAATTGCTACAGTGTCTGGTCCTGAATCTTTGCTTTTGCCATCAATAAAATGCTCATCTTCTTCCTTTTCTACTGTTTATGAGAAAATCCTGAATCTTTGTTAGTTTTTCCAATGTTTCTCAGGATACTTTTGTGTTCTGTCTTCAAATTTCGAACACTTGTCTAAGATTTATTTGTCTGATTCCAAACATCATGGAAGCTAATTTAGCTGATCAGAAACAAAAACCTAAATTTCTTGTTGAGGTAAAGCTTGTAGCTTTTGCTTAAAAGAATCTTACTGTTTTTGTATATGAACACACAATTGAATGATGTTATTATTCTCAGGTTAACAACATTGAGAAACAGCTATGGACATTAATCCATTCAAAGGGTATATTGCATCCCGATGTTTCAGAACTATACGTGAAAGCTGGTTCGACATACGAGCAAATCTTTAAAAGCAATCTCCAACAAGAAGAGCTTCAAGAAGTAGAGTTCTGCCTCTGGAAACTCCATTATAAGCATATCGATGAGTTTCGTAAAGGCCTTAAAACAGATGATCAAATCAAGCATATGAAAGCATTCAAGTTGTTTCTGTCAAAAGCGGCCGAGTTTTACCAGAGTCTGATTTCCAAAGTCAGACTCTCCGAGGAATGTGGAGAGCAAAAAAGCAGATTCTTGTGCCATCGTTTCTATATTTGTCTTGGAGATCTTGAAAGGTATCAAGAACAATATCTGAAAACACATGAGCATCCTAATTGGTCAACTGCAGCTACTTACTATCTTGAAGCTGCAAAATCTTGGCCTGATAGTGGAAATCCTCATAACCAGGTAACTTATCTTCTTCCATTACTTTTTTTTGTCATTTGCCATTTCTGAGTGATTTTCTTACATTTGTGTAGTTAGCTGTATTGGCGACATATGTTGGTGATGAGTTCTTGGCTCTGTACCATTGTGTAAGAAGCTTAGCTGTGAAAGAACCTTTTCCTGGTGCTTCGAACAATCTTCTTTTGTTGTTTGAGAAGGTGATTGATTTACTGATACTTATCTGTTATCTGCAATGGATTTGTGTTTGCCTTTGCTCAAAATGCTTGTTTTAACTACTGCAGAACAGGTCTTCTCCTTTGAAATCTCTGTCTACTGATGCACAGTTTAACTTCTCAAACCCATCGGAGAGAAATATTACTGTGAAAAATGTCAGAGAGGACCGCAATTTAATAGCTGGAGTTGATTTATGGCCCCTGGTAGTGCGAACAACAAGCTTCTTTTTCCTTAAATCCAGGTATGAATTATGAGTAACATTTGAATGAAGTACAACATTTTCTCTTCTTTTAGCTCAAGTTCTTGATGACCCTTTCTCCAAAACTGTTCTTTAACTCTTTCCGGTTTGTTTCAGTTTTAATGAGTTTGGGTGTGCATTTGCATCAACTATAAGAGAACTGGATGCAGCATTTGCAGAAGATGATAGAAATCTAGAAGCCATGTTGGAGTCTTATCAATTTATGGACACGGAAAGAAAGGGACCTTATAAAATTCTCCAACTTGTTGCGGTTTTCATCTTCATCTTCCACAATTTAGCCGAGGTTAATGGGTCAGACAACGTGAAAAAGGAAGTTAAGCTAACAAATTTAGCATCAACTATGGTGTTCATTGTCATGGGGCGAGTTGTTGAGAGATGTTTGAAGACAAGTCCCTTGGATTCTTGCCCTCTCTTACCTGCTCTACTTGTATTTCTAGACTACTTGCCGTTTCTGCTTCACAAAGTAGAAGAAGAAGAATGCAGGTTTGATGAGAAGAGCGAGAGTGCAATATCTTACTTCTTTGGCAAACTCGTTGATTTCTTGAACCAGTTAAAGGTGCAAGGCAAAAACTGCTCTGCTAAATCGTTGGTAGCTCTCTGGGAAGATCATGAACTGAAGTCTTTGGCTCCTCTGGCTCCCATACATGTACTTTTGGATTTTTCAAGTCATATGGATCTAAGAGAGAGTTTTAATAGAGGGAAGGAGCTCCGTCTTCAACGGATTATTAATTCCGCAATTGAGATCACAAGTAGGCAGAAGAAGGATTCTCAAAAGTGGCTATTCTTTGACAAGCAACGGACTTATTTCTACACTACTTCGGGTGAATTGCAATGCAAAGAAGAGCTCTTTCATGGAAATGGAGAGGGTAGTAACAGAAAATGTGTTACTATAGGACCGGTTGAAATCATTCCATGTGAGAATGAAAGATCTGTGCTTGCAGAAGAGGAAGAAGTCATTCTCCTCAAGCCGCTCGTAAGGTGTCAATCTGCTCCAATCTATTCTTCTGGCATTGCAACAAAGCCACTCAGCTCTGATAGCACAACTTCAGGAAATCAAACAACTACATCCGATGAAAGCCTAAGACGTACCTTATCACTCATTGTGAACCATAGCTCACAGGATACTGAGTCTGAAAGTTTCAGCTTTACGCAAGGTCTTAAGGACACGGATCCACAACATTTGCATCTAGAAGAGGGCACTGTCTCACGAAAACCGCCATCGCTGAGTGCTTGGGTGGTTGACAAGAATAAAGAGAATGGACGACTAGGTTTAAGTAAACCAAACGGGTTGGGCCCTATTGATGAAACAGGTCCTGTCTCATCCTTTGATAGTCTCTCCATCAGTAACAGCACTGAGCATCCTGCGTCTTCATATTCACCTCCAACTCCGTCTGCTCCTCTACTGCCTGAAGACGCTTCTTGGTTTCATAATGACGCTAGTACTAACAAAACAGAGAGCTTCTATGACCACAGAAGATATATGGAACTCTCTGGTTTCATGAAGCCATACACAAACCCACCAGTTGTTGGGATTTCTTCTTCTGAATGGTTACGTCGGTACAGAGAAAGCCGGAATCTTGGACCAGCCTATTCGTATCAAGCTCAGGGGACAAACGATTTGAGAAACTTTATGGCTCATGGGTCTTCCAAGGTCAGTCTTTTAGCTAGGTACGGGACACCAAACGAACAACCGATGATCTCTTCTGAAAACTCAACGTTTTACCCTCAGCTCTACATGGAAGACCATGAATCTAGAGGAGAGAAGCTCTGCAACGGTGAACAATGCACAACAAATGCTTATGGCTTCAGTGATGATCCCGGACCGTTTCTTAGATTTTTGAGAGAGAAAGACTGGCTGAATGAGAATGGTCAGAGGTTAAGAGGACCTTCTCCTGCATATATGAAAAACTAAAGATGGACGAGTGAGTGAGTGAGTGAGTGAGTTTACAAGAAACTGTCTCAAGTTGGCAAGTTGTGATAATTTGGGTTATTGTCTTGTCTCCTAGTGTTTGTTGCTCAATTTTTCACAATAATGAAAACCCATATAAAGAGAAGGTTTGATTGTTGTACATATACAAACAAAGAAAGGAAACTTCAAAGGTTCGTATGTTTCTTAGGGAATGATTTGAGTTAGATTAGCCATTATACCACTCCACTATAAACAAGAATATGTATGGAACCATCATTTCTTACATGGGACGAACAAACTTAGTCTGGAATAGCTTCTCAGAAGCAGTTACAAATAAAGGAAACCAAAATAAGAGGAACTAATGTTGGAGAATTGAGCAAATCAAATCCTGATCATGATGAAGTTTCTTGTTTCAGTTCCCTTGCTGTTTCCCCAAGCCAAAGAAAGAAAACAAAACAAAAAGATAGAACTAAGGAAAGAGTAATGAGAAAGCAAATGCTATGTACCAACAATAGTAACTGGATCTTCTCGTTGTACCAATTCAGTCCTCCTATTTGCTTTGCTTGATATATCTGTTGTTAAATCTTCTGTTACACATGTGTCTTCCTCTACCAATGTGTCCATGATCACTTGGTTTTATCATTCGGTGCCAAATTCAGCTCCTGCATTTGTGTCTCCACTTGTACTAAGCCTGTCTGAGCAAGAAACCTACAGTACAAAGGCATTGTAAGCAACAAGCGAAGGCTAATATGCTCTGCAAGATGCATATGTTCCAGAACAAAACGGGTCACAATAAGATAACGCAAAGATGAGATCTTTTGTAAGGAAACACAAAACTAGAGAACTGAGAACCCTTATCTAATGTCTAATGTCAAATTCACAATGACCAAGGTGACACCTTCAGCTCCTAGATAACAGCAATGCAGAGAAATATGTTTAAACCCTTACATAGAACAACTCAAGAATTGATTAGTGACAATAAGACATTGGAGAAAGCTTTGGATCAAGATCTAACAAGAATCAACTAATAAGCCTAAATTTTTGGATAAGAGAAGCAAAAATTGGGGACATACCAATTGAGGAGGATAAAGAGAGTAGAGGCGATAACAATGAGAAAGCCAACATGAACAAGCAACATTGATTGGCCACTGGTGAAAGCTACAGAGAGCATGAAAGCTAGACAAAGACCCAGTAGTAGAAACGCGAATCTCAGTGTGTTCCATGTTGGACCCTGTCAAAATCACGATCCAAATTAGGGTTTTAAGTAACCAAGCATCGAATTAGAAGAGAAATTAGTACGGACATTGACGCCTGGAGCTAGAGCTCCAAGAAAAACAGCTTCCGTTGACGAAATTTGAGATTTCTTCTCCATCTTTCTTCTTCTTCTTCTTCTTCTTCTTCTTCACAGAGACTTCTTCTGGGACGAATCTGGGTTTTTTTTTTTGTCCGAGGAAAATAGTATCAATCAAAACCGATTATGTAAACCGGTTCTTCCGGTATATTCCGGTTTCGGTAATTTGCATGTGTTGACTATTATTATCAGACTTTTGGTTTTGAGGTCGAAATGTCAATCCCATGTTTATGTAGTTGACCATTGACTTTTACGACATACTCACCAAATACGCAAATACAGATCAGAATAAGCTATGCACGTACACATCAAACCTAACGTGCTAAACCTACTTAGAACGATTTTGAAACGAGATGAAATTAAAAAACCTACAAGTAGAAGCAATATAGTGTCATGTTTGATTCTACTTTAAACTCTTTTAGTACTAGTGGATCAATCGATCGAATATGGTATCACATTTTAGTTTCATAAAACAAGTCACGTGAACAAAAAATACAAACAAATGTCTTAAAGACTTTGCACTAAAAAAATAAACATGTCTTAAAGACTACCAAAGACTTGATTATACATGAAAACATCTTGGAATGTTTCTCGACGAACTGATTGACGTGTGATGATAATGCTAACCAGTAAAGACTTGGATAAGGTTAAGAGATTTTTTCTTAATTATACTTTTCAGAACACGATATACATTCTATTTGAGGAGAGAAAAATAACAGATGATATGGCGAACTACCTTCTACAACGGAAAAACTGACAAAACTGATAGACAAAAACGTTTGAAATCGAATATCCACGATCACAAGAAGAGGAGACCTCGATGGCAGCATCCAAATGTTGTTTGCAACAAAGCAACAATAAAGTTAAACTCTTTTTACAAGTTAATTTTTTTGCATTAAATTGTATAAACATTTATTTATTTTTAATGTAATTTATCATTAAATTCAAAAAAAAAAACATCTTGGAACCAAACTGAACAATTTTTTTTTTTTTTTTTTTTTAAACTGAACAATTTTATGACTATGAGACTACAACCATAAGCAATGACCATATTAATGCGAGCAATCATGAAAAATGTCTTAGTCAACCGATGTAACTTTTTCCCTTCTAATAATTCTTATAGTTTTTAGTTTGCTTAATTACATCATTTTTCTATATGCCAAGTAGAGATGGGATGAATCCATCAACTTCTCTTATCATAAGGCACGATCTTTGGCTCTGTATATGGATTTGTAGCTCACTTTGCCCAATTATATCCGTTTACCTAATCGTATTTAAATAGTTCTAAAGCCCAACCCCTTTTCTCTCTATATGTTAGTTTATTTTATTTTTTTCTTTTATAATTTATATTTGTTATAATATATCTAATGTTTTATATATGATGAGATTCATTTTTCCCATTTTGTTATAAAAAATAAAGCTTTAATTAAGTTACGTGCAGTGTATGTAATGATCTTTACAACACGAGAAATAATAAGCAAAATGTATGAAAAAATAAGAGCTCTGACAAAAAAAAATGTAAGAAAAAATGAAGAGAGATATAAACACTATTGGCTTGACGAGAAAAATACTCACGTATGTTTTAATGTTGTAATTGAACATTTTTTAGTTTTCATATTTTTAAAGAATACATTTACCTTTTTTTACCAAACATCTGTAGATCCATTCCATATAGAAATTTTCCATAATGAATAGTATAATAATTTTCTATTTTAAATAAAACTTTATGTATCCTACTTGATACAATTTTAGTATGCCTGTGTAGTCAATACTAAATGAAACATAATGGCAGATCAGAGTTAATTACTTGAAAAAAATAACATCAATACTATTAAGAAAATATCTTTTAATGTCAAAATTAGATAAAGACTAAATTATGTGCAAGAAAATGAAGAACACATTAAAACTATAATGAAACGAATGTATTAAACCAAAAAACTAAACGATAGTAGTACTATAATTTATAGCGACAGATAACGACTAATAATGACATGATTCATAAGTGGCTGCGACGTAGTGATTAATTAAACAAATGTTTTTGTTTCATTTAATTTTAAAATCTTAGTTGTCACAAACTCTATAATGATACTTACATGAGTGTTTGGACAAATAATAATAGCCTCCTTAATTTTCTATACTTCTTAATTATTATATGTTAAAGATTCCCCGCCCATCAGTAACAAATCGCCAAGTGTCATTTGTATTAGTACAAGATAAGCTTAATATAATTACACAGAAAAACAGAGAACAACATTTTATTTTTCTAATAATCAAATGTATAATGTGCTTAAATTTTCGTAAATTTGTAAACTAATAGCCACTAATCAGATTTGACCCAATTTTTTTATACACATACACACAAAAAAAAATATATATATATATCTTACTTTTTTTTTACGGACAATGTTTTTAATTAAGGTTTATTACATATATTAACAATTAATGAATGAAGATATAAAGAAATAGAGACAGACAAAAAAATAAAATAGAAATAGACAAATTGGATAAAAGATTTATCAAATTGCATTTTTTTATTTTTAATAGAGAGTATTTATTTCATCGTCCAATTTTGACAGTATTTTTGTTTGTTAGAGAGGCGAGAGAGTGACTTTTTTGTTGCCCTTTGTTAATGGCTTTGTGTGTGAGATTCATTGATTTTTGAAAATTCTGTGGAATCAAAACCCTATCTACCAATCACAAACCCTAGATTTTGATTCTTCTTCATCTGAATTTCTCTTGATCTGTGTCTCCTTCCTTGTGATTTCTCCCATTTCATTCATTGATTCTTTTTGATTCGATTCAATTCGAGCTCAATTTCGTAGATCAGAACCCAGAATCGAATTCGTGGTCACTTGAACAATATCGTGTGGTATTAAGCTTAAACTTGTTGATCTGAATTGGAGTGAAGAAGACATCGAATTCGAGTTTGGTGGAGATTTTGATGGAGTGATGATTTAGAGGAGGAAGACAAAAGGGAACGATGACTGGATTGGGTGTTCGATCCAGTAGCTATGGTTCCTTGGAGAAGACGGGACTTAACGGCGTCGTTTTGCCTATTCAGATCACTACGACGACGACGCGTACCAAACCATCTAAGATGCAGAAAGATAGAGAAGGTATTGTACATTGGATCTGCAAATTCGCTGGTCGTAAGAAGGTTGGCATGTGGCTTCTTTTCTTAATCTCCGCCGTCGTCTTCCTTCGCGTCCTTTACGTCGGAAAAGGTAATCAATTTTCGACGATTTTCGGTACTCTAATGTTATAGTAATTGTTTAGCTTGTGAATTTAGTTTCTAAGTTGGGATAAGTATTGATTCATATTGGTTCAGCTGAACAATTTTAGTATGCTTGTGTTTTGGCTTAGAATTGATGAGTTTTGTGGCCAAATGTTGTGTAGAGTAGTGGTGATAGTAATGCTAAGATTTTGTAATGCAATTCATGGCTTAGAATTGTGGAACCAAATGTTGTGTAGAGTGGTGATCATAATGCTACTTAAGAGCTAGAATGTAACTGGTTGGATTTTGATTTGAAGTTATGAACAATCAGACTTGAAATGGTTGTGAATGTTCTTTTGGTTTTTGTAATTAGGTGAAGATGGTCAAGGTCCTCCGAGTCTTCATTTCAATGGCACTTCAGGGGTAAATTATTCAAATATGTTACAAACAAATGAAGATCAAAACATGAATATTGGAAATATATCGTTTAAGGCAAAAGAAGTTATTGTGTTCCCTCCTCCTCCTATGCATTTTCTTGGCTATTCGCTTCCTCAAGGTCATCCTTGTAACAGTTTCACCTTACCTCCCCCACCAGCTGACAGAAAAAGAACAGGACCACGCCGTAAGTTATTTAGTCGTGGTCTCTTTCCAATTTTCTTTTTCTTTTCTGAGATCACTACAAGAATTTTGTTGTGATGGTTAAAAAGATCTGAGATTTACTGTTGTAGAGACGTTTTGTAAGAGTATTGGTTTGTCTGCCTGGTTTTGATTTCAGCATGCCCCGTATGTTACCTTCCAGTAGAAGAAGCAGTTGCCTTGATGCCAAATGCCCCGTCATTTTCCCCTGTTCTTAAGAACTTAACGTACATATGTGAAGAACCGTTAAACAGAGAGACAGAGTTTGGAGGGTCAGATTTTGGTGGTTATCCTACATTGAAAGATAGGAATGATTCTTTTGACATTAAAGAAACAATGAGTGTACATTGTGGGTAAGTCTCTTTGTGGTCTTGTTTATTTCCCTTGTCTTCTTTGTTTGTCTCATCTTTTTCAAATTTTTATTGATGATTGTTCAATCAGGTTTGTTAAAGGACCTCAACCTGGTCGAAATACAGGATTTGACATTGATGAGGCAGATCTTCTTGAAATGAAGCAGTGTCGTGGGATAGTTGTTGCTTCAGCAGTATTTGGTAGTGTTTTGCATGATCCTTTTCTGTTCTGTAGTCAATTGTTCCAGTCCCATTTTTGTGTGTTTCTAATATTAGAATCTCTCTATTATTTTTCCAGATGCTTTTGATGATGTAAAAGCCCCACAAAATATCAGTAAATATGCGGAGGAAACAGTTTGCTTCTACATTTTTGTTGATGAAGAAACTGAATCAATTTTGAAGAGAGAACGAGGCCTTGATGGCAACAAGAAAGTAGGGATATGGAGAGTTGTTGTTGTTCATAATCTCCCCTATTCTGATGGAAGGCGCAATGGAAAGGTAGATACACCTCTCTTATCTTTCGAATAAGAAATTTTATGGAAGATATTATGCATGAAGTTAGTCCAAACTGAAACATGAACTTAATGACATGCTAGATATTTCCCCTTATTATTAGTCTGTCTCCAAAAGTACTGTAGTACTACCCACACTACTGTAACAACATCCTTTTGCTTTAGATCAGGCTCGAAGTTGTTACTACTAATTGGAGAGCAAAAAGTTCTTCTTAGAAACCCAAGAAACTCAGATTTGAATTTACAACATAGATCTCACTGGACATGGCTGATTCCAAAATGGACAGAGTAAAGAGAGAGAATATAAATGCCATTGATATGCTGATGCCTTGTTCTCTTGTAGGTGCCCAAGCTTCTTGTCCATAGGATGTTTCCAAATGCTCGCTATTCTTTATGGATTGACGGAAAACTTGAGCTTGTCGTCGATCCATATCAAATTCTTGAAAGGTGAGGCCTATCATATTTTTTCTCGTATGAGATCAATCCCAGGAAATCTCTAGTGATATGCTGTATGTAGTGTTCCTAAACACCAAACATTCCTCTAATCATATTAGGAATCTGCTAGTTCCACCCCTTTTTCTTCTTAGATGAATTTCCTTAATCAGCTTGCTATCTGTTCTTAACATTCAAGTACGTTAAAAATATTCAATTGCTTCAAATAAGTTTACAGTTTGAGTTTAGAAGGCCTTAGGCTTGGTGATTATGTTTCTGGGCTGCAGCAATTTAACTGACATCTCTTCTCATCAGGTTCTTGTGGAGGAAAAATGCTACTTTTGCAATTTCTAGACATTACAAACGATTTGATGTCTTAGTAGAAGCCGAAGCAAATAAAGCTGCTGGTAAATATGATAACGCTTCTATCGACTTTCAAGTGGATTTTTACAAGAATGAAGGGTTAACCCCTTATTCTGTCGCAAAGCTCCCAATCACAAGCGGTATGTCTCTTTAGCTTATTCTTTCTAAAATTCCCTTTTCAGGATCAAACACTAGTTACATAGACGACTACATGTTTGGGCTATGCAGACGTACCCGAGGGCTGTGTCATTTTAAGAGAGCATGTTCCCATAAGCAACCTCTTCACTTGTCTTTGGTTCAACGAAGTTGACCGATTCACTTCAAGAGATCAAATCAGTTTCTCAACCGTAAGAGATAAGATTGCAGCAAAAACAAACTGGACAGTAAGCATGTTCCTTGATTGTGAAAGACGCAATTTTGTAGTTCAGGTGATTTCTTCATCTCCTGCTGACTTAGCCTAAACGTAAAGGTTGTAAAAAGATCCTGACTTTATCGAACTCTCAAATGCAGAGATATCACCGAGCAGAACAAGAAAGATTTGCAAGGCAACGAGCTCTGGTGCCTAATTTTCCTCCTCCACCGCCTTCACCGCCTCCACCAGTTTTAATCAGCACCGATTTGCCTAGAAAAATGTCAAGTGGAAGAGCGGTTAGCACAACGCCGCCTAGAAGACGTGGAAGAGACAGACGGTCTGGTCAAAGGGGTCACAGGAAAGCTAATTTGCCTGTAAGATTACCAGATTCAGCTTAAGAGTTTGGCGTCTTCTACTTCTTCAGGGTCACCCTCATCACCAACCTCACATTCCAATTTTACCACAGTATGTTTATTTTTTGTTTCTCTATTTGATTCTAAGGATTCAAAATCAATTTTTTAATGTATATATATATATATACACGAACATTTTGTACTTGGATAATAAATTATAGTTTCGAATTTTTGATGTTCAAAATCTACAAAAGAGACCATCCGAGTCTTCTGAAAAATTATCATTTTTTTTTTTGGGTCATAAAAATGTAAAAGAATTTATTTGGATAATTTATACCTCAGTGTTCAATTTACTTCTTTAAAGAAATTAATATTCAAAATTTATGGTCATGTGGCTCATGTGCGTATGCTGCACCAATTATGTGTTGTCGTAGACGATCTTGAATTTATGGTATTTGCTTGAATGCATTATGCATATGTCTACCACTATGTCAATTCATTACAATTAATTGAATGTATCTTTTTGGGCCATGATTAGAGGTTCTATCATAAAGAGAAATCGACTTGTTGGTGGTAATCAATAACGACCATTTTTTTTTTTGTTAATAAATAATATAAATTTTCTTTTGTTATTTACGTACCAATGTGTCTCACAGAACATCGGGTCAAAATTAATGTCGTCAGTGTTTTCAAGTCTCGAATAAAGTGAGCCTGGAATTCACATCAATTTGGAGAGGAAAAATGTTATCCCATAAGTCACTTTTATTTTGGCTTATTATGAACTAACACCACCAACTTGACTTGGTCTTAAAGCTATAATATAATACTTTAATCACTAAAAAGTAAAAACAAAACAATAAATATTGAAAGATAAACCGTAACAAAGTTTGTCACAAAGAGTTGTAGAAAGTAAAAAGATGGTCTAGAACCACCACCGCTAAAGTCGCAAAATAAAATATATATCTAGCAAAAAAATTTAATCTGATGGTCTCAACAATATACTTCTATTTCAGACCAAGAATTTCTTACATACAACGATCCAACTAAAATGTGTTCCCTCTTATACTCTACTTGGTGAATGATGACGAGGCTCAGGTCACTCGGTTCATAAAAAAATCTATCATTTAAAAACCAAAAACGAATATATAATTAATGAGAAAAAGTCCAAAATATCTTCAACTGTGCAAAAGTGTTAAAAAAAAATCCTCAACTTTGATTTCAATAAAATATATAATCAATTTTTGTTGATTTTTCAATTAAATTGTAAACTTTTGTTAACTTATTATTTTAATCGTAAAATTGATTTTATCAAAATAGCCACGTCATTAAGTTTGACTGATAGAATAAATTAACGATGTTAGGATGTTAACTCATAAAACAAAATTTTAACGAAGACTTAACTCTATTAAATGTATTGGAGTATAAAACATAAATTGAATCACTTATTTCAAGCCAACGACTACTCGAATTCAACAATGGAGGTAAGAAACAACTAGTTGCGATCAAGTCTACAAACAAAATAGCTTAAGTCAGCATTCCATGTATTAATGTATGGCAAATTGATTGACTAAATATTCCACAAAAGAAGATAAATGGATGCTAAAGATAAATTTCTAATCAAGTTTACTTTTCTACAACAATATCATCATCTAAAGATAAAACCAAGTATAACGATATTTCACTTAAATCACGTCCTGTCTTTTCTTGTAGAAATTTTGTTTTCTTGCTTTTCATACACACAAGTACACAACCATCTCTTCTAACAACAAACAAAATTTAACGTAACACATAAGAGTGAAGAATTGTTTTTTTTCCTATTTCAACAATTCAACTCTTTGTTTTCTCATACTTAATGTGTGTAGAGCAGAAAATTACACGTCTCTTTTTTTTTTTTTATCATGATAAAATAAAGGACCATTCTTAGTTGGAAATTAAAACCCTAGAATAGCGTTTTGAAATCGCAAACGCGCCCGCTATGTTATGTCCCACCGTTTTAATTTCCCCAACTTCCTTGATAATGTATCACACGATCCAAAACCACAAACAAACAAAACACACCAAATAAAAAAACATATAATTGCTCATTGACCCTCTTGAGCTGATGAGAAATATCATCAAAAAGGCCAAAACAGAGGACAACAAAAACAGCAAGCTAGCAAGAAGAAGAAGAAGATGAAGAATGGTTTGATAATCATAAACTGTATATTCCTCACTGTAGGAACATGTGGAGGTCCTTTGTTAACTCGTCTCTACTTCACCAATGGCGGAAAACGTATCTGGTTCATGAGCTTCCTACAAACCGCTGGTTGTCCAATCATCCTCATTCCTCTCTTGGTCTCCTTCCTCAGCCGTCGCCGCAGCAACCACAACCCTAACAACGCGGAAAACAAGGCGAAAACAAAGCTTTTCCTAATGGAAACTCCTCTGTTCATCGCCTCCATCGTCATCGGATTGCTCACAGGACTTGACAACTACTTATACTCTTACGGATTAGCGTATCTGCCAGTTTCAACTTCATCTCTCATAATAGGAACTCAACTAGCTTTCAACGCTCTCTTCGCTTTCTTGTTAGTCAAGCAAAAGTTCACTCCTTTCTCCATAAACGCCGTCGTTTTATTGACGGTTGGTATCGGGATCCTTGCGTTACACAGCAATGGAGACAAACCGGCTAACGAGAGCCATAAACAGTATGTGATAGGGTTCTTGATGACTGTGGTTGCAGCTGTTCTCTATGCTTTTATATTACCGCTCGTTGAGCTAACTTACAAGAAAGCTCGACAAGAAATCACTTTCCCACTTGTACTCGAGATTCAGATGGTCATGTGCGTTGCTGCTACTTTGTTCTGTGTCGTTGGGATGTTCATCGTTGGAGATTTCAAGGTAAAAGAATTTGATTTTTAATGGTATGTTTTTAGCATAAGGGTATCTTTGGATGGATCTTGATCAAAAAAAATATTATGCAGATTTTGATGAAGACTTTAATAGCTGAGTTTTTGGATTCCGTATTTTTTAAATTTTCTAAATACTATAGTTTTTTTTTTCATTTTATGATATTTATCCAATATTTAGTACGGATTCCCAAGAAATGAGGAATACTAAGATTTGTTCTCTTGTATTATTAATTGAGAAAATCCATTAAAAACAATTAAATATATAAAAAGTATTTCAAAATCATTGGTAGTCAACCAAAATTTATTGGGATGTGTATTTTAACATTTTCTAAACCATTTGGGTATTTTAAAATATTTAACATAAATTTCCAAACATAAGGTTTTGTGTAATATTTGTCTTCCTTATCTTTAATTAGAAACATTATTTAAATATTGTTCAAACCTTTTTATCTTGTGTTTCAATAAATTAGTACTAATTGTTTAACAACTTGTATTTTCAATCATGGTTGAATAAATACAAAATTCTGATTTGGATTTCCAATCAATCAAATCAAGCCCCAAAACTTTCATTTCTATTTAAAATAATAATCGAATAAAAAAAAAAAAAAAAAAAAAAAAAAAAAAAAAAAAAAAAAAAAAAAAATTATGATTAAACTTGAGAATCAACTAATAATATCATCATCATATTATGTAGGTGATAGCAAAAGAAGCAAGAGAGTTCAAGATTGGAGGATCAGTGTTTTACTATGCATTGATAGTGATCACAGGAATAGTATGGCAAGGTTTCTTCTTAGGAGCCATAGGGATTGTGTTTTGTGCGTCATCACTAGCTTCTGGTGTTCTCATCAGTGTTCTGCTTCCGGTGACTGAAGTTTTGGCCGTCGTTTGTTTCCGGGAGAAGTTTCAGGCAGAGAAAGGTGTCTCTCTACTTCTATCTCTCTGGGGCTTCGTCTCTTACTTCTACGGCGAGATTAAATCCGGCAAGAAAGTTCTTGATAAACCTCAGCCGCCGGAGACAGAACTGCCTATTCTTCCAGTTAGTGATTCTGTTGCTTAAAAGGTCTATAAAAGAGCATTACTGTCATGTTTTGTTTTTAATATTATGTCTGATTCTTGTGTGTTTTGTTATTGTTCTTGTGCAGATGAATAAATTTTAAAGATATTTGATAAATGAAAAATTTAATACACTTGAAGTAAAAATAGAATGATAGTGATGACTGATGACAACAAAAAGATATGATATTGGATAAAATCATAACATATTGATCAATTATATATTTTAAAAAAAAACATCTCACACTTATAAGATTAATGAGTTTTGTATTTATTTTTATTATTGTCCAGGAAATAAAATTTGTATATTAGATCAAAGAACCTAATAGAACCTAGAAGGAACCAAAAAAAAAAAAAAAAGAGATAAGTCAAAGAAACAATTAACTCTCCTTTAAATCTTCCAATTATAGAGAGAATGATGAACTGAAAATTCTTAAATGTAATTGCACTAAATTTAGAAAGAAATAAATCCAAGAATCAAAACTGTAGAATTGGATGGAAACGTAAATTAATATTAGAGATATGGATATTATCTGGTCTATATAAGATAATTACTACGATTTAATACCAAATTAAACTGTTAGCATAATTTGTGGGTATAAAATAGGAAAAACAATGTTATAGCCATTGAAGCCTCGCTAGATCAAAACAAACACAAAGATCTATCAAGACAGAATCTAAAACCAGACCCATTTTGTTCCAAAAGACAGCAACACCAACCCTTATAACTACTAACTCCTGCGAGCACCAACCCCTAAAGTTTCATTACCCACAAGAAATCAGACAAGAATGGTGAAGGTTCTTGTGATCATAAACTGCATAATTCTAGCCATAGGAAACTGTGGAGGTCCTCTGATTATGCGTCTCTACTTCAACAATGGTGGTAAAAGGATTTGGTTCTCTACTTTTCTTGAAACTGCTGGCTTTCCAGTTATCTTCATCCCATTGCTCTTCTCTTACATTGCCCGGCGCAGAAGCAACAATGTGGGTGATGATACAAGTTTCTTTCTTATCAAACCGCGTCTTCTTATCGTGGCTGTTTTCATAGGCATTCTTTCAGGCTTTGATAACTACTTGTATGCATTTGGTATAGCTTATCTCCCAGTTTCAACAGCTGCTCTCATCATTGCTTCACAGTTAGCTTTCATAGCTATCTTCTCATTCTTCATGGTTAAACATAAGTTCACTCCTTTTACCATTAATGCTGTTGTGTTGTTGACTGTTGGAGCTGCGGTTTTGGGAATGCATACCGAAACTGATAAGCCAGTTCATGAGACTCATAAGCAGTACATTACTGGGTTCTTGATGACTGTAGCTGCAGCTGTTATGTATGCTTTTATCTTGCCATTAGTGGAACTTGCTTACCAGAAAGCTAAGCAACCCATGAGCTATACTCTCGTGCTAGAGTTCCAGTTGATTTTGTGTTTCCTTGCATCTATTGTCAGCGTCATCGGTATGTTCATAGCTGGTGATTTCAAGGTTAGTCACTCTTTTGAATCTTAAAAACCTGCAAAAGAGTTTCAACAGAGACTTGAATCCTTCACTCTTTTTTTCCAGGCCTTACCAAAAGAAGCAAGAGAGTTCAAGCTTGGAGAGGCATTGTTCTATGTGGTGGCTGTGTTTTCAGCCATCATATGGCAAGGCTTCTTCTTGGGAGCCATTGGATTAATCTTCTGCACATCATCTCTCGTCTCGGGTATTATGATATCAGTGCTTTTGCCAATCACAGAGGTTTTAGCTGTTATATTCTACCATGAAAAGTTTCAAGCAGAGAAGGGACTTTCTCTAGCTCTCTCCCTTTGGGGTTTTGTCTCTTACTTTTATGGTGAGATAAAGTCTGGCAATGATAAAAAGAGAATTCAGCAGGAGGTGGAGACTCCGGAGACAGAACAATCTTCTTTGTCAAGTGAGTGTTAAAACTAAACGAAGCATAGTTTTTTGTTTAAAGACATCATAGCACTCACTTCAGCAATGTAGATTAGAAGATGTTTAACAAACTTGTGGAACTATGCCAAAAACGCAACTCTTATGGAGTTCTTTTCTTTTTCTTTATTTCAGCTTAACTTGTTTGATGTCTCTTATTATTCACATCAAATGAGTTTGTAATAGAATATGAGGTCAAATCATGACCCTTTCTCTTATGCTGTTGAACTCTTTGTTTTACCAGCAATAAATGAAATTAGTCTTGTGTTATCTTCTGCTGAATGCTTTTATCTTTCATCTCTCGTGGTGGCTTCATCCCATTAACTTGTTCAACAATAGCGCCACCAGCACCATTAACGAGAAATCGCGTATGATCTGAGGACCCGTTAGATTCCACCTGTAAGTTCAACCAGTAGAGAGCTTCTGGTAAATCCTGTTTGGTTCATTTTCATGATTCTTCATTACTATAAGGAACAATCACTAGTGAGAGGAAATAACATTCATTTGAATCAAAATGTAAAGAAAAAACCCTTACACTGTTTCCCCTAGAACTTCTAGTTATTTGAATCTACATATCCACTTTCTAATTCTTATTTCTAGGCAGGCCTAGAAAATCCACCAGTAACGTATATGCATCATCACTAATTCTTCTATTGTGATCAACTACATTTCTCTGAGGTGAATTATACCAGATATCCATTTAGGTCTAACAATCAGATATTACCCACATTATGCTGATATCAATACAGTAGTAAAAACAAAATTTACTTACCAACTTCCTTCAGCAGAGCCGCTCAATTCATTGTTGATTTCTTCTTTTGCAAACTCTTCCAATATAGCACGCTGACGTTCATTCACTTCACTGGAGAAGACAAGGAAAAAAGTACACCGCATAAGCATATACCAGAAATCTATCAACATTAGCTCTTGACGGAAATGACAAGAAGAGAACCCAACTCATCTACATGCCAACAGAACATCAAGAAGCTGATCATATCAACGTGAACTTATATAATCAGATTTAATAATCGGACACAAAATAACAGACGGCAGGGAAACCAAAACAAACTACCGGGGAAATTAATTAAAAAACCTCAACTTATAGAGAAACTAAGTGTCTTGTCCATTCCAAACACCAGTAGAGTTTTTAGCATTGCATAATGTGGGTGTCTCCAGCAAATTTATTACTTGAACTCCAAGTAGAAGAAATCTTACGTAGGAAAGTTAACGCGGAAGCGGACATACTGATCTCCATGATCTACAAAAAAGCCTTGTTTCGGTAGTCCTGCAGGAACTAACCTATTATAAAGAATACACACAAATACACAAATTTTTTTACATATAGGCTGATAATTATATGTACCTTTGCCTCTTAAAACAAGAAGTTGACCAGGCTGAGTCCCCTCTGGTATCTGCAACAATTACAATAAGGCACCTCTATTATCTCCAAAGGCTTGAGATCTAAACCTTTCTCTTGGTCAGAGGATGAACACCAACTTGACTCAGTTGAAAATGGAAAATGCCAAATTGTAAACAAACAAAATATTATATCGATCTCACTGGGAGACGAATCTTACATCTAGCTGTATCTTGCCTGAAAGTGTTGGCACCACAACTTTGCCTCCCAAAATGGCCTGTCAAATAAGTTTTCTAAGACATGTCCAGTATGGCTCAAGGGAAAAATAGTAGAAACAACGTGAACCATAAGAGATGAAAGGATGCACTATAAAAGAAAAATACTGCAGCCGAGGTACTATGGCTGGGTGGCAAAATAATGCAGCAGCATGCACTTGAGTTTTATGACTGTGTGCCATCAAATTGAGTTGGAACCGATATGCAACATTATCTAGTTAAGAGGACAAGCACATCATATACATAATGACAAAGATGCTACTAGCTAATATTATTAAACCTAGTAGTTTAGTAAACTTTTGGCACATAAACTAGTTGAATAAGACCAAACTCATTAATTTTCAGCTAGACTCCAGATAACTTTTATCTAGTATATGTCCTCTAGAGGTTTTATTTTGTCATAGGACATGCCCAAATTATGTTACTGCAGAGCTTTATCAGCTAGCAGTTAAGGCTTTTGAGTTTTGACCACAAAGTGTCACCATGCAGGAAAAACATAAGTTTCGAAGGTACTGCTCTCCTTATAACCCACAATTCAGGAATCACCAGTGTGCTTACTTGTGTAAAGCTAATATTAGCATCCACATATATATCTGAGCCATCCCTAGTGAAAGTTGAATCATTAGCAACCTGTGAGCAGAAGAAGATTAGATACGTGTCATTAAGGGAAAATGCAGCATGCAGTAAGACCTTAAATGAGGCAAGAATGATGATAGAATTAAAGAATACTTAATAATCTTACAAGAGAGCATAAACAATTGATTCGCTGAATGTAATAAGTCTTCATTATATAGTGACACAACAAACACAGTAGAGTAGCCATCACATATAAATCTGTGAACATTGGTGTAGATCATTTTTGAAATGAATTCATTCAAAGTCAATATATGACTTATAAGTTATAACATAACTTTGACACTTATATTAACTGTTTTATCTCTTAGGCTAAATTGATCAATGGACTTGTATGGTAGATCAATCATCAATGTCAAGGGTGAGTTCGATTCAAACTTCTCTAGGCACGTCTCAGAAAATATACAAGTACAAATTTGAAGAAAATACAGATGCTTTTAACAAACCTTTAGTTTGATATGCAAGTTCCCAGGTTGACTTGTTCTTGATCTTACATTACCAGCACCTCCGATTGTGATCGTAGCTTCAGACTCCACCCCTGTGGTCAAGTACAGAGAGAAGAAAGCAAATTAAAGTTTGACAGAATATAGTCATCAAAAACCTAATTCACTATCTGGTCCAACAAACTCATGTAAGATGATAATCGGAAATCACAGTCCCAAATTCTTTGTTTCATCTTTGCCCCAAAATACCAAGCGCAGAATTAACCAGATCATGAAAATTGCCAAGCATAATCTTAGAAAAGAAAAAAAAAAAGCCAGTCAAACAATAAGTGTGACCGATATCTAAATTGGATTACATCTAAACCACACAAATACTCAAAGAAAGGAACGTAACAGAGTGAATGAAATCTTGCCACTCGTTTCATAGCAGAACTGACATGTTTGGAATCAAAACCAAGTTAAAGCATGAAGATTTCAGACCAACCTCCAGGGATCACAAGTTCAACTGTCTTTGTGGCTTCCACAATACCGGATCCTCTACAAGACATGCAGTATTCCTGAAGAAATAGACAACATATATACTCGTAAACAGTGCCAGAGAGATAACTACTGAAGCATCAATAAAAGAGCTCTTTTTCTCAAACCTTAATAATGTGTCCCGTCCCCTTGCACGTCTGGCATGATGCTGTAAAAGGAGGAATAGTTACCTGTTAAAGAGACAGACGGCATGTACGTAAATAGAAATTGTATAATTTATTAACCCTCCAAAGAAAACAAAGATTATATCCTCTAGTTGGCACTTACTCGTCCAACCCCCCTGCATGTTGGACAAACGCTCATGGCAGCATCACGAGGGTGGCCAAGCCCATCTGTAAAATGATAAATAATGAGAGATTGGGATTCATGGTTTTGCAACAATATTACTTTCACCCAACTGAGTTACTCGTCCTCTCACAGTTGGCTGAATCAGCAACTTTTCAAAGACAAAAGGCTGTAAATGTTACCAGAAATCAAAAAAACAAAAGAGAGACAACAAACTGTAGATTACATGTACATTAACATCGATTGATCACAGAGCCATTTCCAGAAGACTATTCTTCTTTAAGAATTTTATTTTACCATTTTGAGCAACTGAATAATAATGTAGCATGACGAGTAACTCCTCATTTAAAGTGTCTATACTCTCAAGTATCTTTACAGGAAATCTTGTGAACCATGACTGGCTTGTCAATATTAGTAAATGCAAAAGAGACAATATAAGAAAATTCTGTGGCCACTCACCACAGGAATCACAAAAGACATATGCATCAAAAGACAAACGTTTTGTGCACCCTTCTGCAGCTTCGGAAAAAGAAAGCGACAGTTCCACCTATTCAATTTTTAACAACATAAACATGTGTATTACTGAAGAGCCCTACACAACAAGATTTACATAAGTCAACCAGCTTCCAATTGTATAAATTAAAGAGAGAATCAGAGAAACTGACCCGAATATCAGATTTTATCTGATTGTTCTCGAATATCTGAATAAAGTGTACTAATGTTAGAGATTTGACTAATCACATAAACAGATGAGCAAACGGGAAACATAATACTGATGTACCTCAGAAAAAATCTTGTGGAAAGAATCCGAGAAATTGGACTGGTATGCACGTCTGAACCTCTCTCCATCACCACCGTCATTATTTACATAATCCGAATTCTGATAGCGTAGCTGGATTGTGTGATAACAGCAAAAAATCTATTTAGTGATCTCACCACTAGATAAATAAGAATAAAAACAACAAAAGCGTACCTTATCATATTCTTCTCTTCTTTCCGAATTTCCCAGGGTCTGAAGTTTTTCAATCCAACACAAAAGTATATCAGAAGATACATTCAAAATACACAGATGGTGGCAGATGGAAGAAAAAATACCTCATAAGCCTCTCTTATTTCCTGGAATTTCCTTTTTGCTGACGGATTATTTCTATTTGTATCAGGGTGGAATTTTTTCGCAAGCTGCACAATTGTGCATTCACTCATCAATTTTGAGCAGACAATTTTTACTAATAGTTTTTGCTTGATGTAAAATTATGTTAAAAGCTAAAGAACAGTCCACTAACAATGTGCCAGAAGGCTCACCTCATGGAATGACTTTTTAATCTCCTCCCTTGTAGCTTTTGGAGAAACGCCAAGAACATCATAGTAATTACGAGCACTGGAGCTGTATATTCCTGAGAAGTATTATCCAAAGCAAAAAGCATTTAATGAATAAAAATGATAACAAAACACATTGTCTCCATCAAGAAAAAAAAAGTAAAAGCAAAAAAACAAGACCTGTAGCGTGAATGTAACGCTCGAACAACGGCTTCTGAGACCCTGCAAAGAGTCAAGACGTCCAAGTAATGAATGAGTTTTCCTATAGATAAACCCAAAAATCAACTGGAAATTTTCCTAGTGTCCCTAATGTTAGCTACCACTACATCCTCAAAGCATCAGAAGGGTATAACTACCCCGGACTCCTCCAGATTCATTTCAATTCTCTAAAATCAACTCTTGAGTTACCTCTAATGGTGCCCAATACTTTGATCCCCCTTCTTTATAAACCCTATAACCCCATTTCAGCTAAAAATTATCACTACATTAGAGATTCTAATAAACCCAAAAAAACTGACATTGTCGTTGCTGTGTTGCATATACACCTAAATCAGCTCAGAGAAGGACATAAACCTCGAACAGCATATGTATGTCATTTTCTGATTCCTCTTGGAAACAAGCACAAATCATGATTCTCTGACGAAATCAATAACCCTAATCTAAAAAACTTATACATTACCTTGACGCAAACCAATCGGGGAATCAAATGTTCTTCGTGCTTGTACATGCCGCAGAACCTACGATAAACATAAATTACAAATGATTTCAGCTCTCTCGAGGAATCAATTTCAAAAATTGAGAGGACGAAAAAAACGAAGAAGCGAAATCTAGAGAGGGATGAAGAAACAAACCCAGTTGAATCTTCGCATGACTCTTGTGGATTCAAAGCAGAACCAGAAAAAAAAAAAACGGAGAGGTTTTTGATTTTACAGAGTTAAACCCTACGCATATCCCGACGAGACGAGAGAAGAAGAGACGTTCGCTAAATCTTTGCTTTCTCGCCACTTCGTTCAAAGTCTCTACCTGGTTCAGAAGATTCGAGATGGGTTAAAAACGTTGTACATTATCTTCTCTGTAATTTACTTACTCAGCGGAACGGTAAAAACAAAATGGTAAGTCATTTTGAAAAAACATGAAAGAAATGAAGCAATGATCTCTCGGACCAGTCGACCAGAGACTATAGTACACTAATGAGAGATTCTTCCACTTACATGTCTGTTTTTGTGTGGTCAAACATTTTTTGAATTTTTTAGGCGATGGAGATGCTCTAAGAAACTCAAAAAAGTGATTATTCGTTTAATATCATCTAAAAGAATGTGAATTGATGGCAATTAGTTTCTCGGTGTGATCACTTTGTTTTTAATACGGCAAAATTTCATCGTCGGATGCCTAATTACACAAAAAGGATAAAGACTCGACTCGGAAACTCGATGGAACATCAATAGCCATTACAATCTGACTCGTTTTGTTGTTGTTAATATGTCAAACATGAACCAAGAAATTGAAGAATTGAACAAGATATTTCCAATAAAAAAAAAAAACTTCGAATAAAATCTCGCTTCCATCAAAAAACAAATAAAGTGATCAGAACTAGGAAGGTCTGAATTTGTCGAGGAAGAAAAACTGGTGAGAATGATAGATGGATTATATATGTTCTAGAGGAAAGGGATAATTCAGCACCTAATTCGTTACAGAAGCTAATTGCATTTAAGTTTCGTATAGTATAAAGGAATTCCTAGTATAAAAGAGACCTCACGATATATGTTAGACCGACTTTGCGGAAAGAGACTACTTAAGATTATTTTTAAAAACGATTAATAAAATGCCAACGTAACGCGGCCAGATATTTTATTTCAATTTATTAATTGTTGATTTGTTGCCTTATTTCTTTACTAAAACTCAAAAAAAAAAATCATTTCGAAAGAAGAGAAGAATCGCGAAGAAAATCAAATCAAATCAAATCAAAATCATGAGTGGGCAAGAGAATCATGATGATGGTCGGATCTCTTCTTCAACTCCCGCCGCCGCGTCGGAGCCTTCCAAGGCGGCTTCTCACTCCTCTGACTACGCTCCTTACCCTAAGCTCGACCCTACCGACGTCACTCCTCCTCCTCCTCAGCCTATTCCCACCGGTGCCGCCGCAACCACCATGCCGTCGGAATCCAATCCTTACGTCTCTCCTTCCCCTGCCCCAAGGAGTGAGTTCTTCTTCTCTCTACCCGATCTCGCATCCTAATCCAATTTCTGCGTTTGATTGATTGATCTTGGTTTGGGGACAGATACGATGGACTCGGTGAAGGATACGCTAGGGAAATGGGGGAAAATGGCTGCCGACGCCACTAAGAAGGCAGAGGATCTCGCCGGAAACGTCTGGCAGCACTGTAAGCGTCTCTCTTCTTCTTCTTCTTCCTCTCCGATCAGATGAATTGCGAATTAATAGTTTACTGAGAGTTTCGGTTATCTCTTCTGGTAAAGTTATCATTCATCAATTTATGCTTCTTCCTCGTTTTACTTCACGTTTAACCACCGACACATAATCCGGCCAACAATTGTTATGTTTTTGCTCTTCCTTTTGAGTTTAAAGCTTATTAGTTCACATTAGAATTCAAAATTGCTGAAACTTTCCTTCATTCATAAGTTCTCTCTGTCTCTAGTTTATTGCTTTTGGACTCTTGAATCTTCTCTAGTATAGGTTGTTTTGACTGGAAATCAAGTTCGTTTCTTGCTTTTATGAGGAATTAGTATTATATACATATGGTTGTTATTTTATTTGAATTGAGAGTATATGTATTTTATCTTTTCGCAGTGAAAACAGGCCCTAGTGTAGCCGATGCTGCTGTCTCACGAATTGCTCAGGGGACAAAAATACTTGCGGAAGGTGGATATGAAAAGGTCTTCAAGCAAACATTTGACTGCCTTCCTGATGAGAAACTTCTCAAGACCTATGCTTGCTACTTGTCTACATCTGCTGGTCCTGTGATGGGAGTTATGTATCTTTCGACTCACAAACTTGCCTTCTGTAGTGACAATCCTCTTTCCTACAAAGAAGGTGAACAGACCCAGTGGAGCTATTACAAGGTATACTCGCTATCCTATGGTTACATTTTTCTTTCTAACTCTTTATTTGATATCTATTTACATTTGAGAAAACAATTTCAGAACACAATACTTGATTTTGATGATAAGATGTTAAAGGGTTTAGTGACTTAGTCATTTCCAATCATCTATTACAGAGATTCACTGACTATTCTAGTTATTGACATATAGAACGTAGTGTTTGTACGCTTAATCTAATTGGAAACTACATAATCCTTCTTAAGGAATTGGGTATCCAGCTAGTTGCATGTTTTTTCCTGAGTAGAAAATTAGGATATTAGTGGTTTGCCTAAGAGAACAAGCTAAGTCTTATAGGATTCCTGATAAAACTAGAGGAACCATTGAATATTTGCTAGTTTGAGAGTTTCGTCTGGTTCTAGTTTAATGCTTAAGAGGAGTGTTAAACCCCAAACACGAGCTGAAATCCAATTCAACCAAGTGGAAAACGTCTTGACAAAATGATCTCTCTATTATTGAGAACCTTAAAGTCTATTTTGATGTCATATTACTTTGTAGAGTCTGTGATTGATGATTTTGATCTGATGATCAGGTGGTACTTCCGGTGAACCAGCTGAAGGCAGTGAACCCATCAACAAGCAGAGTGAACACATCTGAGAAATACATACAAGTGATTTCCATCGACAACCACGAGTTCTGGTTTATGGGGTTTGTGACTTATGAAAGCGCTGTGAAGAGCCTTCAAGAAGCGGTGCAGTCACATGGTCCATAAAGGTCCACTGGTATAAGTGCAGCTCTTAGTGGTATTGTGCATTAATATATGGAACAGTGTGTTTTAGTATTTGATACCATTTCAATATGTGTTGTAGATTTCGTCCTCTTGGCATTTGCTCATAAACATTGCTTTTGTTCATTTGCATTTGTATGAAATTAATTTTTTTTTATTTAACAAACAACCCCATTTGAATCTAATCTTGTTCCACTTAGATCCAGAGATATTTGTCCCACCATGATTCTTGATGGTTCTTGCTATTAGGCAATGGTGCAAGAACAAGAAAACCTCACTGTCATTTGTCAATGGCATCAGTAAATAATGCAAGATATTACAGGTTAATTCGAAATCTCTGAAGTTTCTTCAACTTCAGGGTCCAAGTTTGGGCTACAAAGGCATCAAATTTTTAATCTTTGCATTACAAAGTTCAGATTCTTGGACCCTTTTGTAAATAATAAATTACGGAATATAAATCTTTAAAGCAGTTAAAATTTGGAGGACTTATATTTAATTTATCAATACTTTCCAGAGACGAGTTAGGTCTTTTATAAAAGCCGCCGCTTCCATAGCTCAGCCATTAACCATCAATCTGCGTTTTCTGAGAAATTAGGGTTCTCTGTTTTTCGATTCTCGATTTTATGTTTTCGGTTTTCTTATTGATACATCTCAAGTTCCCGATGATCGAATAACCTTTATATATAGTTTCAGCCTTGTCTGAATATATCAATGTAGAAGAAAATTCAATTTTTCTGAGGGAACTGAATTTGTGTCTCTATTTCTTTGCATCGTTTGAGTTATTTAGTTACAAAATTTTGTGATTTGTTATGTGTCCCCAATGATGATTCAAGAATATCTATATATAAGTTTCAGCCTTGTCTGAGATTAATCAGTGTTGATAAGCTCTTCGATTCTGAGGGAACCTCATCTTTTCTTAGTTCTTCTTTGTTTTGTGAGAACAAATATATAGTACATAAAAATATATATATATATATATATATATATATATAATCAAAAAGCAAGCGTGTAAATTGTATTGTATGGTTTGTTTTGTTACACAATCTGTAAAACTATACAAACAAAACATCTAGTGTACGGTCCCTCTAGATCTAACATTCATGATTTGTATTCGTTTTCTAAATTGATTTCGGTCTTTTATTTTGATGTAGGCTAGATAGTTTTTTATAGGTAATGATTGGGTTCTAGTTCTTTTTCTTATGTATTCGAACGTTTCTATTAATCATGTAAGAAAACCTAACAAATAAAACTTACAAGTTACAACCATAGGTGCATTAAATTTGTAGAGGTAAAGAAGAACTTGAGTTTTTATCATCTCTTTTTTCCGACAGGTGATCAAGTAAAACCTAGACTAACGAATTTTCTAGCCCGACAAAAATACCAACAAGACTCATACAAGAGGTCAAACCAACCTAAAAGAGCAAAATCAGTATTTGGACTGCCCGAAACATCTCCAATGGGCCTTTTTATAATAGCCCATATACAGATAAGCATGCATGAGAAGGAGACACGGGCTGAATAACAAACATGAATTGTTTCTGAATGAATATTGTGGTGAAGAAACGAAGATTAACACTTTCATCATTGATAATCCTATGTTTTATGTATTTTAAACAAAGTCTAGTATGAGTTTTTGAACAAATGGAAATAACTCCAAATGGTGGGGTTGTGCAATCTCCTAAATTGTTTTTTTACTTGTATTGGTTATATGCAAATATCTAAATGATATTAAATATTTTAAGCTTTATTGTATCATTCTTATGAAGTGATCAGTTTTTAGAAGTTAGCGAATTGTCGGTCACTAAGATTTGAACTTACTCGATCAAAGCCTATTATTGCACGTTGTCGTCTTATCTTTTGCTCACCATTCACCAACCAGCTACGCAGAGCCGTGCCTCTACCTTTAAAAAATAGGCAATTGCCTAAGGCCACATCAAAATGGGAAAATAAAAGGCCACATTTTATTCCAAAATAAGCTATTTATTTAGATTGATATTTATGTATTTGAAGTTCTCTGTTTAAGAAAATGAATGCAGCTAAAATTATGTTGTGAAAGAGAGGTTAAATAGTTTGATTTTCATATTTATAGTAAATAAATTGGTTCAAATATTTGATTTGGTGAGTTTTGTGAATGAAAATAAAAGAAGAGACATATATTAATGTTTAGAATTTCTATATAATAAATTTCCACTTATTAACCTTTAGTACATTTTAAAGATAATACTAAAAAAAAAAATTTAAGAAGGCCACAATTTTTAAAACTGCCTTAAGCCTCTATACCTCTGGGCACGGCACTGCAGCTACGTCGTCTGAATTTCTTATTCAAGTTGTTAGCATATAAACTATGACTAGTGCCCATCAAATTTTAAGATTTAGCATTTGGACTCTTCTTGTGTCAAATGAACATGGTCAGTCTTACAATATCTATATATTTGATGGTTATTGAATGATTATGTTACGGAATTTTATTATAGTTGAACAATATACATCCGTTTAAACAACAGCAAAAAAATAAGCAATATATTTTCTTATTTTATGTTGTTCCACATCGTAAGTGGTTAATTTTATGCTACTAACACACGAACAAACATATAGGAAGATAAATCTATTAGAAACTTCTAGCTCTGAACTATCTTTGTAAGAGTATTTGGAGACTAAACAGAAACCACCCTATACTATATATGTCGAACCGATTTCTCGATTATTCTAATAAGATGGCATACCAGGTGTTATATGTGTTTGTGTGTACACAAAACAAAGATAATGTAAAATTTATATTTTTTGTATGAATATTAAATTTACTTGCCAAAAAAACTTTGGTTACAATAAATGCATCCTTAGTCTTAGCGGATTAAATCCACAGTTTAAATGTTAAATTTCATACACAAAACGAAAGCTAACCCACATAAGAAAGAAGCTACTTCTCATGAGCAGAGCAGGAGTTCTCTTCGGACGTTTTCCCGCACCTTGTGAAAGTGAGTTTCCCTCCCCATAAAACTATCTAAATTTGCTAGTGGACCAAATATAGAAGTTTAGTAAAACCAATCTCCGGTTTCCACCTTAATTTACCACTAATCCAAGCCATAAAAAAATACAAGTTATATCACTAGTATTCTTATAAAAGTTTATGATAAATTTTGAAGTAAAGGAGATATATGGAAATCATGCAAAATAAAAAAGATGGCGAAAAGGAAAAGAAAGTAAGGCGGGAGTGGCAATTCAAAACAAAATAAAGAAAGGAAGAAGCGAGTCAAAGCAAGGCAACATAATTACGTACACTATTTGATGAGTCAAACTTACATCTTTCTATGACCAAAACTATAAGAGGTTGGCTACTTCTCTTAGAATTTGCAACTTAAAAAAAATATGTTTCGTATCTAATCTAAAACTAGGATGTTGATATGTTTTGTTGAATAATAATATATCTAATTAACATCAGTATTGGATTTTATTTTCATATTGAAAAGTATCTCCTTGATTAGTTGACAACAACAAAAATTAATTAATACTTATATCATAATCTCAGGAGGATCATTGCTCAACTAAGTAGGGATTGGGTCTATCACCGGTTAAAAGAAGAAGAAAAAGGTGAAATGATTATTATAGCTAGAGTTTTCCGTAATGTGTGGCTATTAAATTACTTAAGAAGACAAAGAACATAATGTCATAATCCATTAAAGTTGAAATACCTTAAAACCAAGATTGAAATGTCTAAAAAGAACACTCGATACTTCCTTTTCCACCGGTCTAAGTCAATATTTGTAGTATCATAGAGTTTTAACATAATGCCGTCACGCACGTTAAACATAGTCAAATTCTTTATTCATTATTATTATTCTAGTCGCTTCTTAATCACAGGTAATTAACACCACAACTTGGACCAAACCTAGTCCATCCATATCCCAACTTTTAAAACATGGATGTTTGATAACATAGATAACGGTTTATACTTTACAATTCATTTATTCACATGTAATACATTAAAACCAAAAAAAAACAAATCACATAATACATGCACATGTCCAATGATTTAATATATTGGGGTCAGTCATGTTCTTCATATTAAGTGATGTTTTACTTAATGCACATACAATAAATAAAAGTATATAAATATGTAAAAACAGTATTAACTATCTAAACTACAATACATAACTAATCGTTTATATTGTAAGAATAATAAGGAAATAAATAATATCAGTCATATTCGTACCGAACCGCATCATATCACTTATGTAAACAACATTCCCCAGAAATGGCTCTTTTGAGCATCTATTTTATTTAAGCTGTTGACAAAAAAAAAAAAAAATATATCAGTCATGAAAATGCAAAATATTACTAAACGTATGGAATAATAAAATTTCCGTATAACAAATTTCCAAAATGAGGATGCCTATTAGTAAGAACTGAAAATAACGAAAAAGATAAAGTGAAAAATAGAAAGAAAAAAAATTCAAATATAAGAGGAAAGCCGAAATTACTTAAAAACGAAAACATTATTTATTTGGGCCCCTATTTGTTTACCAAATAAAATGAAATAAAGGAGAACTTATATATTATGAAAACAAAAATATTTTAGAAGCCTTTTGTATGTAAAATATTCTGAGTGTTATATATATACAAACCAAAACTTCGTCTCATTCGTTCACATTGAAACCACAAAACTCTCTCTCTCTCTCTCCGCACCAATTTCTTCATGACCTTCTTCTTCTAGCAGAGAAGATTAATTAAAAAAACCCTAAATTCTTAAACCCTGAATCCAGTTATATCAAATGGGTCACGATAACATCACAAAACTTGCGAGTCTACTCGTAAAGCTACACAAAGCTCCTTCAAGTTGGCTCTGTCTCCATCCCCGACCAGACCGAACCAGCAACGGCGGCGGACGAATCAAGCTCGTCAGATCCGACGGTTCTTTAGAAGTCTACGATCGTCCCGTAGTAGTCTCAGAGCTCACAAGAGACTTCCCAAAACACAAAATCTGTAGATCAGACTTACTCTACATCGGACAAAAAACCCCTGTTCTGTCTGAAACCGAAACACTTAAGCTAGGTCTCAACTACTTCCTCCTCCCATCAGATTTCTTCAAGAACGACCTCTCTTTCCTTACCATCGCCACCCTAAAAACCCCTCAAAACGGCAGCGTTCTGGTGAAGAAGACTCAACAACAACCTCAGCCTTTTCTTATACAAAAGGGAGAAAAAGGAGAGCGTTTAAGGATCCGTGTGTCTGAAGATTTCGTGTCGGAACTGATGATGGAAGGAAAGAAAAACAGAGTAAACAAAGAGGAAGAAGAAGAAGGAGAAGGTAGAGTTTGTACTACGGTGAAGTTGAAGAAAGATTATGTTCAATTGGTTGGTTTACGTAAATGGAAGCCAAAGCTTGAGACCATAACAGAGACTAAGGCGATGAAAGCAGCAACGATGGAGAAGACGAAGAAGAAGAGAAAGAGGTTTACTGTGATGAAGAAGAAGTCTCAGACTGATTCAAGTTCGAAGCGTAAGCTTCAATCCAAATTCAAGTCCAAAACTAAGAAAACTGTTCTTCGAAAGATAGATTAATTTTTGTTTTTAATTAGTTAGCAGATTTGTGTGTTGATACATAGAAATTGTTGAAATTTGATGTAAAGAAACTGAGATTAATTAACCAAAGGGGATAGTAATTGTTTCCGAAATTGTTGGATTCTTCAGATTTTGTGTTATATGAATTAACGAATCAAACACTAAACTATTTTGTTTGTAACCTACTAATTGTTGTTGAACGCCAACTACTTTTAAATGTTGTTTTTGCATGAAAATAACAAGTTGCTTTTGTTCTTCTAGAGAAAAAAAAACAGTTGCCTTCGTACATAAACGTTGGTATCTTTCGAATAATGTTAAATAACCATTCAAATAAACTGTAGTTTGAACGACTTATATTATTTATAAACTATCTGAATTCCCTTTTTCCGAAATAAGGAGTTTTCGTTTTTTTCCTTTTTCCTTCTATTTTGGCAACTTGGTTTTATTGGGTTTTAAGTTTTTATTTTTATAAAATATATTAAGAGATTAAACATTTTGTCTTTAGTTTGAATGAGAAATGATTTTTTTTGTCTGAAAATATATTTCTGGAAATGAAATTTGATTTTGTCAGTTTATGTCGAGTTTTGGCGGTTTCTGGCACAAAATTGAATAGGTTAAAATTATTAATATAGGAGCTAAACATATAAAAAAAATTCGATGGTATATAGGTTAACATTTCTATTCATGAAAAGAATAAAATAACGGAAAAAAATTTCAATGATAATATGTTATCTTTATATAAATAAAAGTGATTTGTAAGAACAACGGAATAAAAAAAAAAGAACAACGGAATTAACGAAACTGATTTTAGTTTCATCATTTTAGTCATTTTCTCATATTTGATAAATCTTTGAATGCAAAAAAAAAGAAAGAAGCAAAACTGGTCGTAATATGTGATAAATGTTTGAATGGAAAATTATAGGGAAGAGGGAGGGAGTGATAGAGAAGACACGTGGTTGTAGGTGTTTTGTGTCACTGTGTCAGTCTCGTTATTTGATTATTTGTTCACAAAAGTGTGAAAAAGAGACAAAAGAGGAGTCAAAGAAAGTCACCTAAAGACATCTCTCTTTTCTTTCTTTAGCAGCTATTTCAAAATAGAATAGTAGCCTTCAATTTACGACGATGACAACCCCAATAGTTTATTTATATAGTAATATAAATATATTAGGTTTACTGTAACAAAAACATATCTCTAGATTGGAATATTGGATATACCAATTATCTTCTGGAATGTGAGTGGATTGAGACGCATTGACTCCATGATCCTGCCTATCTTCTTGGAGACTTTTTTTTTTTTTGGTTGGAATTCTAAAATTTGTGATCTCTATTATTTTTGCTCGTTTTTATTAATTAGATCCAAACACAACACTCGTTGTTTCCCTTCTATTTATCGAAATGTGATAGGTTACAGATCATTCAAAATAAAATTAAAGTAAAATTAAGAAGACATTTAAGATAGCTTTTTTTTTTGGGGTAGGGAACATTTAGGATAGCTGTACTTAGACCATCTTTATTGGGAGGTGCTTAACTTGGTTCTTAGCTCAAAAGATCTTAAAATTAAAGGTGTAATTGATGATTTTGCTAAGGAATGACTCTTAGCTAAGAGTCAAAAATTGGGCTAAGAACCAAAAAATTTACTAAGAACCAAAACTAAGCACCTCCCAATAATGTTGCTCTTAGGGTTCAGATTTTAATTTTATTTTTATTTTTAATTCAGAATTGTAAAAAAATCCATTAAATACATTGATCACTACAATTTTATTTATAGGAAAAGAATCCATTCATCCTAAATTGTAATACTTGTACTCCACTTATTATTTTCATCATTTAATTTTTGTTTTGTTTGTCCTACAATATTTAATTTATCTCTTGTGAATCTTCCGCATCAACAGCACTTGAGCTACTTTCTCCTGTTTGATTTGATGGTCTCGCTCTGCGCAACCTGATATTACCATTTGAATCTTAATTAAAAATCTTAGCATCTATCTATATGAGTAATTTTTAACAAATAAAATTTATATGTTATAATGGAATAACTAACGAAAGGATGATATAAAAAGATTTGAAAAATCATTACATAGTAAATATGAATTTAGTATCTTTCCAATATAATTTGATTAAATCGCCTGTTTGAAGACCTCTTGCATTTCTGATATTTGTCCATCCATTTCCGATATGATAACCAACACCGTGTTTTTTTAAATTTACCCAATAAGATTGGTTATTATCCTGAATTTCCACTTGAATACCATTTCGAGGTACTGTAATTCCTGTAGTTCTAAGTATGTTTTCGATTTTTGCTTTGGGTAAAAACAAACAACCTCTACCAGAAAGATCAGAGTCTTTTAGTGTTTTTTCTATCATCATTTTAGGATCCATTCTATTAAAGTTTTAACTACCTTAGAAATATAACTAAAAATACTTTCACAAAGTAAATATTTTAAGGAGTCTGAAGACTAGAACTCAGCACATCTATTTATATATAGTTATTAACCAAAATAATTTTCCTTATTTTCTATGTTTATCTTTATAGTATTTAATTATGCTAAAAAAGCTCTCTAAATTTAGTTAATTCTATGGATTTTTTTTTCTAAATTAGCTTTACATTATTTTGACAAAATTTAATTTTAAATTAAGTATGCTAAATCGTATTTACAACAACCTTGTTTTTACTTGTTTTAATTTATATATATATATTTTTCCCTAAATATAAGTTAAATCTTTTACAATATCTAAGACACATAAACTCATTTAATATTATCTATAAAAAAAAACTCTTTTCCAAAACACTTTGAAATTGGGCAATTGGCATCTTATACTTTTGATTTGTATCTTTTTACTTTTAAAATAACTCTGTTGTTTTAGATATTTATTATATTCATTTCTAAAATCACACTATTAATATTTAATAACAAAAAATCTAGTAATTAATAGATGGATGTCGTATGTATGGACTAGGGACTTTTTCAAAAAAAAAAAACATTGAATATGATTATATATATTTTATAAACAAATATTTAATATGCTTATATTTACATGACATGCCATTAGAACGTAGGAAGATATGCTCTGAATACTACTGGATAGGCCTTATGGGCCTATATAATGGGCCTTGTGAGTTCGGGCTTTTTTTCTTCAGTTGAAGTAAGTTTCCATATTTGGAAGAAAAACGGTTCTCTTCTTTCCATCTTATTCACGGTGAAGCCCTAAATTAATGAAGCAATCGTTCGAAGGGTTCATGCAAACTGCGATGGAGAAGAAGACACTCGATTCCGACAATCTTATGAAGCCCGTATTCCTCACCAAAGCTCAGAGAGAAGAATTAGCCCTAAAACGCCGTCAGGATGAAATCGCCGATCGTGATCGCTGCCTCGTTCAGATCTCTCGCTCCAACCCCGCCGATAATGGCGATGGAAACCGTTACAGAGATCGGAAACGAGAGCGTCATTCAGGCAGTGACCGTAAACGAGACAGAGAGAGCGATCGAGAGTTTCGTGAACGTGACGTCAAAGCTAGGGTTGAGAAATTAGAGAAGCTAAAGCGCGAGAAAGAGATTAACGCAATGAAAGAGCAATACCTAGGAACTACGAAACCTAAGAAGAGAGTCATCATGAAGCCGAGCAAGAGTTTCTGTTTCGATTGGGAGAACACTGAAGATACTTCAAGTGGAGATATGAATGTTCTCTACCAAAACCCTCATGAAGCTCAGCTTCTGTTTGGGAGAGGGTTTCGCGCGGGAATAGACCGCCGTGAGCAGAAAAAACTAGTGGCGACTAAGCACTCTAGAGAGAAACGTGAGGAAGAAGATAAGCATTGGAGTGAGAAGAAGTTAGAGGAGATGAGTGAAAGAGATTGGCGTATTTTCAAGGAAGATTTCGATATTTCTTACAAAGGATCCAAGATTACTCATCCGATGAGGAGTTGGGTAGAGAGTAAGCTTAGTTACGAGCTATTGAATGCAGTGAAAAGAGCTGGATATGAGAAACCTAAACCTATTCAAATGGCAGCTATACCTTTAGGACTTAAACAGCGTGACGTTATCGGTATTTCACAGACGGGTTCTGGCAAAACCGCGGCTTTTGTTTTGCCAATGTTGGCTTACATATCTAGATTGCCACCAATGAGGGAAGAGAATCAGACAGAAGGTCCTTACGCGCTTGTTATGGCTCCTACAAGAGAGCTTGCACATCAAATTGAAGAAGAGACGGTTAAGTTTGCGCGTTATCTTGGGTTTAAGGCAATCTCTATCACTGGTGGGGAGTCAATTGAGAAACAAGCGTTGAAACTATCACAAGGATGTGAGATTGTGATTGCTACACCTGGTCGATTGCTAGATTGCCTTGAGAGAAGGTACGTGGTGTTGAACCAATGTAACTATTTAGTTCTTGATGAAGCTGACAGGATGATTGACATGGGTTTTGAGCCGCAGGTCGCGGAAGTGTTAGATGCAATGCCTTCGAGTTATTTGAAACCCGAGAAGGAAGATGAAGAGCTCGAGGAAAAGAAGATTTACAGAACTACGTACATGTTCAGTGCCACTATGCTTCTTAGTGTAGAGCGTCTCGCTAGAAAGTACTTGAGGAATCCAGTTGTGGTCACAATTGGAGAAACCACAAAGTTTATCACTCAACAAGTTGTCATGACCAAAGAATCAGACAAGTTCTCAAGGTTAAAGAAACTGATTGACGATCTCGGTGATGATAAGACAACGATTGTGTTTGTGAATACCAGGAACAAGGTTGATTACATTGTCAAGAATCTAGAAAAGTTACCAAGGTGTCGTGTGACGACATTACACGCAGGGAAGTCACAAGAACAGAGAGATTATAGCTTAGAAGAATTCAAGAAAAAGAGATTCAACGTTCTTGTTACAACAGATGTTTTAGGTCGAGGGCTTGATATTCTTGATTTGGCACAAGTCATCAACTACGATATGCCTAACACAATGGATCTTTATACGCATCGGATTGGACGAACAGGACGAGCAGGGAAGACAGGTGTTGCGACAACGTTCTTGACTCTTGAGGATAAAGATTTGTTTTACGGTCTGAAACAGAAGCTTATTGAGTGTAACAGTTTGGTGCCACCTGAACTTGCGAGACATGAAGCCTCTAAGTTTAAACCAGGAACCATTCCTGATAGATTCTCCCATTTTTAGGGGATCTGGTGTCACTGTTAGCTAACGATGACTTGATTCAATACTATGTTGGAAAATATACAATTTTATTTATATATTGCAATTGATGCTTCACATACGTTTTTTATTAAAAGATAATAGTTAAGTATTTTCCAATGATCATGGAGTATACTGGAAGTATGGAAAAGAAGATTGAATTAAAAGACAATTGTCGTCAGATAACCCACTCCCCAAGTAATAGCACCATTAGGACAATTAGCGAAGTATCTTGCCTTCTTTTTTGGATTCACATATAGTCGTCTAAAAAACTTTTTGGGACAATTATCAAAGTGTTTATTATTGATTACATATGTTCTCATTCTGGAAATATAATACAAAATTTTCAACCGCAAAAACTAGTCGCTTTGGTTTCAAATTATTGTTCTCAGTTCAACGAAACTGAATTCAACACCAAAGTAGTAACAAATGATACACATGATCATGAAATCATAAATCAAAATAACATAAAATGTAACAACAAAAGGTACTTTGGTCAAATAAAGCACAATTAAACCACACATAAAGATAACGTAACTCAGAATTTTAAATCCGAACCTCGAAATTTCTCCTCGATGATCATGTCAATTATCTTCTCCATTTCAGGAGTCAGATAATTCTTGGAGTCACCGACTTCCCCTTTACGGAAAAAATTCTTGTGCTCGGGCCCTTGAAGAGTTTTCCCGGTCTTGTTGATCTCCAAATTCTTCAAGTTACCCAATGAGCAAAGGTCTAGTATCTCTTCCACTGATCCGCTCTCTTCTTCTTCCACGGTAAAAGGACAACCCAAGAACTCGGCAAGTATCACGAGGCTCCTTTTTCAACTCCTCGTACTTCAAGAAAAGCACATGCTTGGAACAGAGCCGTGTCAACGTGGATAATCAACAGAAGCAATAAAGAATAAAATGTTCCCTCTTATTACAATAATTACTACTGTATCATTAATAAGACATGTAAATTATATATATATATATATATATATATATATATATATATCTCTTTTTAGTGGAATGCGAAAGCAATCGTTGTAGTCATATAATGGTCTTAATAATTAAAACGCCCCCCAAGAAATGTGACATGTAATATATTCTACCCATCAAATGTTCAACTGCAAATGCTATTCGTTTTGGTTTCACATCACTGTTCTTAATTAAATCAAACCGAATTCGACACCAAAGTAGTAACAAAAGATAGACATCATGAATCACAAATCAAGAAAAGAAACAATGAACATGAAAGCAAGCATAGGTTCAGCATAAATCAAGGAACATAAAAACGAGCACAAACCACACATACATAACTTAGAATTTCAAACCCGAACCTCCAAATTTATCCTCGGTGATCATGTCAATCCTCTTCTCCATTTCAGGAGTCAGATAATTCTTCCAGTCACCGACTTCCCCTTTACGGAAAAAATTCTTGTGATCGACTCCTCTTGACATTATCCCGATTTTGTTGATCTCCAAATTCTTCAAGTTACGCAATGAACAAAGTTCCAAGATCTCTTCCACTGATCCGTTCTGTTCTTCTTCCACCGTGAAAGGACAATCCAAAAACTCGGCAAGTCTCTTAAGCTGCACACGAGGTTCTGTTTTCAAGTCCTCGTACTTCAAGAAAAGCACATTCTTGGAGTCTTCCAAGCTTCCTCTCCAATAGCTCAAGACATGTTCCCAGAATGGTCCGCCATAGCTAACTCCTCTGCAAAACGATTCGAACATTGACTCCAACAAGCTTCTCTCTGCTTCTACCTTCATCAGTGCAGACTTGAAATGCCAATAAGACACCAACACATCTTTCACGTTCCTCCACACGTACACAATCTTACAAGAAGAGTTCTTGAGAGCTTCTTGCAGCGTGTGGAGCGGCACATGAGTCGCGAATACCCTCGGGGTTGATGAGAAATTGGTCATATCTGGTTTCGAGCTTTTGGCGTACAGATCGAGCTCGAAGAATGGTACTAGGTTATGAGGATTATCAAGTCGAAGAGGATGAGCATCAGAAGAGTGTTTGGATCTCTCAAGGAGGGCTACAGTGAGAGCTTTGAGCCAAGTAGTGCCGGCTTTGGGGAACGAAGCAATGATTATGTCCGTGTCTTGTGGCTCGAAACCTCGTTGGAAATTGAGTATTGCTTGCAACATTTTGTTGCCGTACCAAGATTCTTGGTACTTGAACAGCTCTCGGCCAACGAAATCTATATCTGAAGGAAGTGAAGAGATCAAACTTACGTATTCTTCGTCGTCTCTCTCCAGGTTCTTTGGGATCTCCTTCTCATCCATTCTGTTTTTTTTCTTGAATTGTGTGTTTTAGATTTTTCGATCACAAAAGACCAACCATAATAATTGATATATAGTTGTGTTGTTTGATAACGTACGCTTTTTTAACGAAAAATTAAAACATGAATATGATTATTTAAATTTGGTTGTTATACCACCCAATTATGTACCTTCTAATTAATTTGTATCTTTTCCATAAAAAAATTATGGACGTGGTAGGTAGAACTGCTACTGTATATCATAATTTTGAAATCTTCTAACATGTACGTACCGATGAATATGTCACGAGAGTTGCGTGCAGTATAATAACCACGCTGTTTTCTGTAGCTATAGACTAAAAGATAGTCTCTCCTTGGACGTATATTTCAACTGTTGATAGTCATCTATATATTCACTTCAGTGTTTCAAAACTTTTAGTGGAAATGCTACAGAACTCGTCGTAGCTATATATGGTCTTCAAGAATAAGGTGCCCAGTATTGTCTAATGTAATGTGTTCCACCATCCAAACGGCTGTAAATTCGCTATACTCGTGGTCACTAATATTTGGACATGCATATAGCCGTCTAAAAAACTTTTTGGAACAATTATATCAAAGTATTTATTTTAAATAACCTAGTTATTGATTACATATTTTTTTTTTGACGGCAAAAAACTCCATATATTATTAAGCTGGTTCGAAAAGGTTGGCATTAGTAGCCAACCAGCATCACGAGATCGAGCACCTTTCGCAAGGGTGTCAGCTCGGATATTCAAGTTTCTAGAAATATGAAAAATCGAAAAACATCTCAAACGATTACGCATGAGATTAGAGGACTCAATTTTTGTTTCAAAGACTGGCCACATGTCTTCTTCCTCTATGACTTTTACCACATCCGTGCACTCCGTTTCAAAGTGAATTGATTCAAATCCATAATGTATCGCATAATCCATAGCCCATAAAAGGGTCTCTAGTTCAGCATGAAGCGGGGAAAACAATCGTGTTTTACCTCTTGATCCAAGAAGCCGTCCTGATGGAGAGTCGAGCACGAAACCAAGACCAGAGGTATTACCATCACTTACCCATGAAGCATCAACTTGGCATCGGATCTGTCCATTAATTTATGGTATTTATTGGAAAAAAAATTAGTGATGGTATGTTTAAAGCAAAACTTAAGAATGTGGTACTCTTTAATTTATGGTATTTTTTTTTTCCTCCGATACTAGTTATCTAGTTGAAAAACCTTAATTGTGCTAGTTAGCCAGTTACGCCTAAAATCAATATCACCAAAAGGTATATGGACCGAAACAAAAAGAGACTTTGAAGCAATCACAATCGTATGCGTTACACAGAGTTTACAAGTACTGATCAAGAGAATCTTGCATTTGGTAAGCAACAATAACAAAACATTTGATAAATTTTCAGAGAAACATAAACTCTACAAGCGAGAGAGAGACACTTGATATCTCTCATTCCACTCCATTATAAAGGCGAAAAGGACAGTGAAAACAAAAGAAATACCAAAGAACAAAGACATAAACTTGGACAACTCATGACTGTTATTGGTAGAAGAATGTGGAGGATAAAGAATTAAACCCTTCTGTTCCACTCTGACCAAGATTGTTTTGATCCACAAAGCCATCAAGCTCGAAGTCAAATGTGTCTATGCTTGCATGCGCAACATTCCAATAGCTATCGGTCTCCGGAATCCTCAGTTCAGCTCCAAAACAAGTACTGGGAGGAAGAGGTGGAAGCTCATGATCACAATGCTCAGCATTACTGGTTATAGATTGATAACCACATTCAGCCTCCTGAGGCCACCCATTGTATGAGAACTCAATAGAGTTCTGGTTTTGGTTGTTGGTCGATGAAGAGAGATTGTTGTTGTTGTTGTTGTTGTTGTTGCTGTTCATAGTTTCTAGTTGGCTTGGAGGGTTGAATAACTCGGAAATGAAACGTTGGGATTCATCAGGAGAGACAAATGAAGTTACTGAGGAGCCACGAGGCATATCGGAGTAGACAAAGTTGGTTCGAGCAGTCAAGCCTCTTATAGACCGTGCGGCTCTATCATAGGCCAATGCAGCCTCCTCGGCCGTGTCAAAAGTACCTAGCCAATACCTCTCTTTCGTCGTCGGGTTTCTTATTTCAGCTGCGTATCTTCCCCATGGCCTCCTCCTCACTCCTACATACTTTATTTCTTCATTATGTTGTTGTGGTTGCGGTTGTTGCTGCTTTTGCCTATGACTCTTTTTTGATCTAGAGGAAGAACCGGCATTCAAATTACCATTGAACTCCATAGTTAATCAATATAGTTTTTCAAACACTCAATATGTGAAATGATAGAGAGATAATTAGAAATGATGGATTTGGTTATGTTTGAACAATGAATATGGGTGTGTTTAAATAGATGAGATCACCTTCACTATGTGTTTGTGTAGGGGACCCTCTCTTTTATTCTAAAGGTTCCTTTGGGGAATTTTTTAAGATACAAAAAAGTGGGTCACATGGAAATGTGCAAAATCAGATGATCATCACCATCTAATCATAAGTGAAAGTGAAATGAGTTAGTAGCTTTTAGGATTGGCCCTAGTGAATCATGTAGGACTATGAACCAATCTGCAATGGATTTTTTTTTTTTTTTTTCTTTTAGGCCTGCTATTATTTGTAGGGGCGTGAGATTCTTTGCGCCTACTTATGATCACTTGTAGTTGTAACTTGTTAGACGTTTTGGCTTTCAATTATGAACGTTGATTATACAAAGCTTTCCCAATCTACTTACAGTTTCTTTTGTTTAAATAAAAAAAAACTTACTGTATTCTCTAATAGAAAGGAAATAAACATGACAAATTAAATACGTGCACACATACCACCAATATTTCCGGCGTAAACTCAATGTTAATGAACAACAAGTATATCACTGGCTAATTCAACGACTAGATTTTTGGATGACAAATTTGTACGTTGATTTAATGACAGGTTGGGAAAACATGTGCACATATCCAAATTAGCAAGTGTTAGGTTTGGGACGTTTTTACCAGTAAAATTCATTCGTCATCAATTTAAATAACGACATAAGCAACCATACGTTGCAGCAAATCAAGAGCTACTATAATATGTTACCAATACTTGAGTTCACCATAATATGAAAACAGTAAGAAAGCAAGAGCTACTATAGTAATTGTTACGTATAAGTATATATATCCTCTTGTTTTTTTCTCAATATCCAAGTAAAGAACCCTTTTAATCAAAAACAAGGAAGAGTAAACTTCTTAACTCTTTTCAGATTCATTTGTGTTTAGATCGATTTTTCCTTGAATATATATGTGCCACTTGATCAAATGATGGGCTAATCACATGCTTTACAATACTCATGATTGCAAGCCTCGCAATCTCTCGGATCCAAATGATTATTTTCATTTCGTTTAATCATGAGTTACTCGTTATTTAATTATTTACATGATTTCACGAGGACTAAAAAGGTAGCAATTTATATCTATATTATAGAAACTTTGCTAAAGAAAACTATTTTTCATCGGTTGCTTAATTAATTTTGTGGCGTCTCATATGACTATTCCAATGCTTTTATGATTAGTCGCATGAACTTGAACATGTTCATTATCCAAGAAAAAAAAGTAAACAAGAGATACATCATATAAATATGATAGTCTAATATAGAGGATTTACATATGATATTGGTCTTGGTTCGTCTTCGAGTTTTAATCTAATATATCCTTGAATTTAAAATTAATTACTTCTCTTTTTGTTATCTTATTATTAAAAAACTGCAAATACATACATCAGCAGAAAACATAAATATTTCTGAAAACTAAACCGACGAAGAATGTTGAAATTTTTGGAGACAATGGTTCTGTTCTTTTAGGTATCGCTCAACACGTTTCGACGATAAGAAATTACACCAACGGTGCTTGTTTCTTTCCCCTTAGTTGTCGCTGCTTTTTCCTCTTCCTCAATTATTGCAGTTTTTGTTCATAATAATTGACGTCGTAGTTTTATCCAGTGATCGCAGTTTTATTCAGCGTTCCATTTAACCGGCACATACACTACGTTGCTACTTTAGGTCTTTCAAGAGATGATGTGTCGATGGGTCATTAAAAATGTAATGTTATTTTGAGTATCGCGGAAAGGTGTCGCACGGCACTAAAACGAAAAGGGCCAATAATCTTAAAGAAGAAGACAAGTTTGAAAAAACCGTAAAAATACAAACCAAAACCGCTAAATCTAAGTTTTTACCAATTAAATCTTAATATATTCACCGGTTCTTCCTTAAATGAGAAATTGTTTTGATGTTGATGAAAACCACAAACTTCACCGAAAACTTCGGGTCTTCTTCACGTCTTCGCTTAATGTTTGGTAGACTTCTGAAATTAAAACATAATTTATTTTAAAACATAGTAGATGAATCTCTCTTTTGAGATTTTGAAACCATTTGTTATTTTGCCTACATTGATACATTTAGATAAATTTAACTAAGGTCCGATTGAGTGTAGCCAATTACCTAATCAGATCTCCACTAGATATGATTTTGAATTCGAGTTGAAAAAATTAGAAAAATCGCACAACCATTTTCACTTGCCACCGCAGATGTGGAAAGTTGTAGATGGACAAGTTTGAAAACCAAAAGAAGAAATTAGTGTTTACTAAAGATTGTAAACAAGGAAATTCAAATAGATAATTGTCCGACCTTATGTTATACACTACCATGTACTAACCTAACCAAATAATTCAATTAATCTTCAGCTTATTCGGAAATATTCGGCTAATTCATGTTAGATACGGACCGCGTCGGATAATCCACAATTTTAGTTTGTTTTTCTGGTTTTCCAAAATCACTGTGGTTTTGGTTCAGTCTTGAGAGATAGAGATAATTTCTGAGCCGAGGAAGAAGAAGAAGAAGAAGGAAGGGATGGGTTTTGTCTTGACCTGTACTTGTCCTCCGTCCTCCTCACTTGTCGTCGTCTCTCAGCTTCACCATCACCAGGTCCGTCTTCCTTCTTCGTCTTCTGATTTTGATTATCAAATTACAATCTTTTAACAATTCTCTTTTGTGGGTCACAATTCAGTTCTCCGCCGGAGTCAAAAGCTGTCAACTTTTGTCTCGTCCTCAGTTTTATCCGACTCGTCGAAGAACCCTAATTTCGAAATCATCTTGTTTCAATCTCCCTCAAGAACCCATTCTCTCCGAGGCTCTCAAGGTACTATTATCTTCCTTGAAAACCAATTAGTGAAATTTATGTATCTGATGACAAAATCAAGTACTCTCTACTTAGGATGAATTGTTCCAAATAGCAATTGAACAATTTATGTAATTGTGTGTTGTTTGTTGATCAATCAATTTCCTTTTAAGACTGATGCATTATTGTCAAAAGCAGTAGACATGTTTCCCAATTCTATTTTACCATTACCTGCTCCTTTGCACTTTGTTGATTCATTTCCTATTGTTGATGATTTGACTGCTATTCCTGCTGCATCGTCATCATCGCCTGCATCATCATCGCCTGCACATGCATCATCTTCTATTGATACACGACATAGGGACTCTAGTACCACCATTACAGATCATAATACAGGAACACATGATACTGGTGTTGAGACTGTACATGTTGCTAGGCCTAAACGGACAACTAAAGCACCTACTTACTTATCTGAGTATCATTGTGCTTTAGTACCTTTTACTTCTTCTATACTATCTTCAAACACTAATACTTCCTATACTACTTTACCACCTATAAATACAGCTTCTCCTATACTTTCTCAAAACACTATTCCTGTCACTAAACCAGTCTTACCTAAACACACCACTCCTTATCCAATTTCTACTACTATATCTTATGATAAACTCACTCCTCTTTTCAATTCATATATTCTATCCTATAGTCTTGAAACAGAACCAAAGACCTTTAAACAGGCCATGAAATCTGAGAAATGGACAAATGCAGCTAATGAAGAGTTACAAGCTCTTGAGTTGAATAATACATGGGCTGTTGAGACATTACCTGAAGGTAAAAATGTTGTGGGTTGTAAATGGGTATTTACAATCAAATATAACCCCGATGGTACTGTTGAAAGGTACAAGGCAAGATTAGTGGCACAAGGTTTTACACAACAAGAAGGCATTGACTACATGGATACTTTCTCCCCTGTTGCAAAACTAACAAGTGTGAAACTTCTACTTGGTCTTGCGGCTGCAAAAGGATGGAGTTTAACTCAAATGGATGTGTCAAATGCTTTTTTACACGGAGAGCTTGATGAAGAAATATTCATGAGTTTGCCACAAGGATATACAGCTCCTCCGGGTACAAGTTTACCTCCTAATCCGGTATGTAGACTCCTCAAATCTCTTTATGGCCTTAAACAAGCCTCTCGACAATGGTATAAAAGATTGTCTTCGGTCTTATTGGGAGCTAACTACATACAATCTCCTGCTGATAATACTTTGTTTGTTAAAGTGGCTGGAGATTCTATCATTGCTGTGCTAGTATATGTAGATGATATAATGATAGCAAGCAATGATGATACTGTTGTTGAGAACTTGAAACAGTTGCTGAGATCTGAATTCAAGATAAAGGATTTAGGTCCTGCAAGATTTTTCCTAGGTCTAGAAATAGCAAGATCAGCTGCTGGCATCTCTGTTTGTCAGAGGAAGTATGCACAGAATCTCTTGGAAGATGCAGGTCTATTAGGCTGCAAGCCTAGTTCAATACCTATGGATCCGAATTTGCATCTCACAAAAGATATGGGGACTCCTCTTTCAAATCCTACATCATACAGAGAACTCATTGGTAGATTGCTATATCTGACGATTACAAGACCTGACATTACCTTTGCAGTTCACCAATTGAGCCAGTTCCTCTCTAGTCCAACAGATATTCATCTTCAAGCGGCTCACAAGGTACTAAGGTACATTAAAGCTAATCCTGGACAAGGATTAATGTACTCTGCAGATTCTGAGTTGTGTTTAAACGGATTTGCGGATGCTGACTGGGGAACATGTAGAGATACAAGGAGATCAGTTTCAGGGTTCTGCATTTATCTTGGTGATTCTCTTATATCATGGAAATCAAAGAAGCAGAATGTTGTTAGTAGAAGCAGCACAGAATCCGAATATAGAAGTCTTGCTCATGCTACTTGTGAGATTATTTGGCTGCAACAGTTGCTAAAGGATCTTCATGTCAAGGTAACATGTCCTGCTAAGCTGTTTTGTGACAATAAATCAGCTATACACATTGCAACAAATCCTGTTTTCCATGAGAGAACCAAGCATATTGAGATAGATTGTCACACGGTTAGAGATCAGATTAAAGCAGGCAATCTGAAGACAATGCACGTTCCTACAGGCAACCAACACGCAGATATACTCACAAAACCACTTCATCCGGGTCCTTTCCATGGCTTATTGAAGAGAATGTCACTTTCAAGTCTTTATCTTCCTAAACCAGACACTTAGAAGATAAAGACTTGAGAGGGGCGTATTAGAGTCTTGGTTTATTCCGGTTTAAATGTTGGTTTGGTTATCTTATGATTGTATATATAAGCTTAATCATAGATTGATTAGTCCTTGAGTTTGTAACAAACATTTTGATTTCTCTTTAATAAGAAAGTTTGTTTCTTCTGTTACATCTCCGATCTGCTCTCGTCGCCGTCTTTGATACTCCGATCATCGGAGTTTAATATGTATATGTATATCCTTAGATCTTTTTCAAATTTGATAAGTGTTACAGTGTGTGTTTTTATATTCGATGGTATTGATGCATATAATGCTCTGTTGCAATGTGGTTATTTGTAGGAGCCAATTGCATTTTTAGGTGGTATGTTTGCTGGATTGCTAAGACTTGATCTAAACGAAGAGCCGCTCAAGGATTGGGTGACGCGCACAGTTGAAGCCTCAGGTATTACAGAAGAGGAAGTGGATGCAGATGGGATGGTTTCAAATGATGAAGACTCTCCTCAACAAATAGAGATTGAATGAGGTTTGCGTTTATTTAGAATGATGATGATATTTCTCTCTTTACAACATTACTCGTATCTTATCGCAATTTGTGATTTTGGTTCTGCCATGACTCGGCTTTACCATCTGCAAGGTCCTTTTGTATGTAAAACTCCTGTGTTCTTTATGTAAGAAGAGACAGGGATCCAACACCAACGCTTCATTTTGATATATTTGCCTTATGCGACTTTTAAAAATGTTACTCATTCTCATATGCACAATTTTTGCATTAGGTATGTACATGTCCTTCAAGATAACATGTTAACATTCTTTTGCTGGTTCTAGAGATTAAGATAGTGATCTTAACAATTAAGTATACTTGTTCTAGAGTGTTTAGAGATCAGTCGAATCAAATCAAGCTAACAGTCACTATATATCAGCCATAGTCTAGTCTCTAAATTTGTAGATCCTACTACTTTTTGTTGGTTAAACCTTCAATGAGATTACAATCATTTTTGTGGATAATCAGAGATACTTGTACTGATTACTGAATCCAGATTAATCTCTGCAATACGCAAATTTGGCATACAATATCAGAAGTATCTTTTTCATAAGAACACGAGATATTTTTTTAGCTTACTGTTGAATTTTGTCCATGACCATGAAATGATAATAACCACAGATTATTTTCAACCAATTCAACCGAACCACGTCATAACCAAAAACGACTGCGTTTTGATACCTCTGATCAATCTGCTCACTATCAAGCTATGCCAGACCAAACCGGTGCGACTTCTGTGAATTCAATTCGTGACTAGATGGCCTCGCGTGTGTTATCGACGACGACACTCATCACACCGCTGGTTAATCTCAACAAATCGCCGGCGGGTTTAACGGCGAGAGTTGGGGTGAGAAGAGGAAGGGTTAACGTTAGGGCTGTGAGCAATAGTTCGCAAGGAGCCGTCGATGGAACCGTTTACAAAGGTGTTTACGGTCCCTGGACCATTGACCAAGCCGATGTCAAAGAGGTCTCTTCTCTTCTCTCCTTACGATTCATGCACAATTAACACTTGGGTTCCTTAAAGTTGAATCCTTTTTATAGTTTTAGGCCAATCTTGTAGTTAAGCCTTATTAGTAGAGACGGTTCGATGCAAGTTTTTGATGATTACCTTTTGTTCTTCAGGTTATTTTGTACAGATCAGGACTAGTAACTGCTGCTGCATCTTTTGTAGCTGCTTCTTCTGCTGCATTTTTACCAGGAGACTCTTGGTTAACTGAAACAATCAAGCAAAACCATGATTTGTTTTACTTTGTTGGTGCTAGTGGTTTGGGGCTATCTCTGTTTCTAATTCATATATATGTTACTGAGATTAAGAGGACTCTTCAGGCTTTATGGGCACTTGGTTTTGTTGGTTCGTTGGCTACTTACGCAGCCCTTGCCAGACCAGCCGGTGATAACTTGGTTCATTATGTCGTTGATCATCCGTCTGCTGTTTGGTTTGTTGGTCCCCTTTTCGCAGCTCTCACTGGGCTTGTTTTTAAAGAAGGTGTATATTTCTTGCTTCTGCATTATGAGGATCAAATGCTTTTTATTGAATTTTTTTAACCGTACCGATGTTCTTGATTTGTATCTCTGTCTACAGGACTTTGTTACGGAAAGCTAGAAGCTGGCCTTCTTACATTCATCATACCTTCAGTTCTTCTCGGGCATTTGGTAAAGTACCTTTTTTGATTAAGATATACTGCTTTAGTTACATTGGACTAGACTTCTGAGATCAAATAAGAACTTATCATAAGGCCACATTAGTGAATAATCTGCTGTATCTCTGCTCTAAAGAGAAAGCCTCACATTTCCTACAATTGGTGATGTTGGTATTGTTTAATTTGCCTGAACGAAATTTGTATGTTGAATTCGCAGAGCGGTGTGATGAATGATGAGGTAAAACTGGTGTTGCTAGGAACATGGATGGCGCTCTTTCTAGTATTTGCAGGAAGAAAATTTACTCAGCCTATTAAGGTACACTGTTCCTCGCTGAAGATTAGCCATGTACAAGCTTTCATAGAGGTCTTGCTACTTATGAAAGTATCAAAATTTCATATTACTAATCATCTTTACTCTGATTTGGTTTTTGAAGGATGATATCGGAGATAAATCTGTTTTCACGTTCATGTCTCTTTCTGAAGATGAGAAGAAGGCTATAGTTGAAAAACTCGAGCAAGAAAAGTTGGGGTAAGACTCTTGAATGATAGTGGAATGTTTTAAGCATCTTCAAGATTAGGTAAATATCTTGTATCCATAGATTCTATATACCACTGAGGAGAGATGATGCTACTATAAACAGTTTGTATATTGTGATTAGTAGCCTTGATCGCGATTTATAAATGACCACACAAATGCCATCAAAATCTCCATGTGCAAAAACCATGGTTTACGATTCCCTGATTGAGAGCTGGTTGCACCCCATCTTTTGACTGTTGTAATGGAGCAACCTGGTTCAGTTGGACCCGGATGTGGCCTTGATTTCATCATTAAGGTCTGATCATCCCCTGGTTTTTTTATTCTTGATATTTTGCCCCTGTGTGTTGTGATGGGCCAACCTGGCCCAGCTCAATTATTTCCTGCACTGATTAGGCCGGTCCTTATTTAGGCTTGAGTTTTAGGATTTAGCATGGTCCTGTTTGTGTCTGGCCACGTATTGGCCCCCATCTTACCTGGAAAGTGCAATGAAAAAAGGCGGGCTTAGACTTAAACGGGGTCCAACGCTAATTGTGACAAAATGAAATATGGTCCAGCTCGGGCCGTCCTATCCAGAACCGAGCCAGGCTGTCCGCAAAATTTCCCTAGTTGTGAGTTGCATTTCACTGAGGAGATATGTCCCAGCGTGTTACTGTGGTATTGAGATATCTAAAGTTATGATCCATAAGAAGTACAAGGGTAAAGTCTTGTTACTGCAGCAATGAACTCAACCGGCGGATGAAGTCACTTCCCAGTAAAACCTACTGATTTTTCGTTCCTCTAGCCAATGTTATTAGCCATGCTTGGAGGAAAGTGACCATGGTTAAAACTAATCTCAATTAAGACGCATGATCCTGCAATAAAAAGTATATAGGTCTCTTTCCTTGGTAGTCCATGTTATTCATGTGTGGCAAAATCAGTCAATTTTTGCGTGTTTTTGGGCCAACAATGATTGTGATATTTGCGGGTTTCCGGATTGGAAATAGGAAAATGCTAAGAAAGAGTTGTTAAGTTTGCAAACAAAGAGCGTGAAATTAGGAATAAGGTTTTGTCCTTGAACGTGAATCGGGACAAGCAATTGAAAGACAGGACACACGAGTGGGGTGTTAAATGCGGTGTACAGAGTACGACTAATATGGTCCACTCCTTAAGACTAATATTATGGTCACTCTCTCTCTCTCTCTTCAGTCTTGTTGCTTTCTGTCTCAATCTGTTAGGAGTTTTGTCATTAATTAATATGACTACAAATTATCCAAAATACCTCTCATATGCATAAGTTGGACGGTCCAATGTAGTAGATATATACATGGCTAAGTTTGACCAAAATGTGGACAACTATGAACAATTAATAATTGCTAAGGTTTTTGAGTATCTACTTTACAAACCAAAAGAACAAATAGCGAAATTTTGATCAAGAGTTATTGTATATAAGATAATCTTTCATATAGTCTCTACCAAAACTAGCTTGTTTCTTTAGAATTGGAAATAGAGACAAGACAAGTTGGATAAGAGAGAGAATGCGAGAGAGAGAATGCGAGAGAGAGATTTATGAAATGAATCCGACCAAAACTGAGAAGGGAAAGAGCAAGTGTTAAAGGAGAGTCCCTACCACCAATATGAGGACGAACTCCAAATTGCGTGCGTAGGAAAAAGGAGGAGTCGTGTCTAATGCTGCATCTCTACTCGTGTGTTTTGTTTTGTGGGTCTCTCTTCTCTCTATATCTTTTGTCTCTTCTTTTCATTTTTTGAGTCTCTCCCTAACCTTCTAATTATTAGTTTCTCTTTGTTCCCTCTTGCACTCGTGGCCTTATTCTAGCCTCTCCCTTTACATTGACTCACACGGCTCATACACGCTCACATTTTTTTTTTTTTTTCTACTTTTAAGACGATAGTTCAATTTCTTAATCTAGAGTTTAACCATTTTCTTTGTTTAGCTTGCATGGTGTCTCTTTTTTTTTTTTTTGGTAAAAGGTTAAATTTCTATCAACTAGGGTTTAAGGGCCTGTCTCTTGAGAAATCAAGGAAACAGAGGTAAGAGCCTATAGAACAGAGGTAGCTTGCATGGTGTCTTTGTTACTCTTGCATTTCGACTTTGTTGCTTCTTAGTTGATCTTTCCACTTTCAGTTGCATGTTTCATGTCCTAAAACTATCTCTTTAGTTTTTTCTTAGCTTAGTATGTTTCAGCATATCTAGTTTGTAACAAATTTAGTACTTTTGGATTTGACTCCTTTTTTTTTTTTTTTTTTTTTTTTTTTTTTTTTTTAGGATTTGACTCCTTTAGTAGTACATAAACACATTTTACCGTGCATGTGCGGTTTATCAATTCAGGATTTAAATCCCGAGGCTATCATGAGACTCTATTTCTAATCTCAATCAACAAACCAAAGTTTCAACCATTAGTCTATTAAATTATATACGGGTGCTTTTTTTTTTTTTTTTTTGACAGCATACGGTTGCTTTAACTCCAAAAAATTAGCATGCATATATATCATAATGACTCCTAGCTCCTTTCGTATTTATAACCATCCACGATTCGTTAATTATTAAAACTCTTACAGTTACAAATGTACTTTCTTTTGCATGTGATTATAACAACGTCATATTTGACATCTTCTTACTAGTTTTATAAGATTTATAGTTGCTAAAAAAAGCTTGATTGAGTTAATTATATACATAACCAAAGTGAGTTTTGGGCTAGTGGTGAGAATTAGACCCCTCCCTCTAAAAGAACGTGTAGTCGAGCCTCTCCGAAAACTTTATTGCATTCGATTATTTAATTATAACCAGAAGGCATGAGTTTCGCCCCATAATTCCGTTGATTAACCACGATTATAAAAAATTATATTCATTATCTAAACCATGGATTGTTTTTTTTTCAAAACCTTGGGTTGTTGTGTGACTTATATACTTAATTGTCTATTAAAACTAGCCATGATGTTTCTTTTTTTTTTTTTTTTAGCCATGATGTTTCATTAACGTAGATTTTTTTATTAATAGAAAAAGACGGGCTACGACTTACGAATGTGGAAATAAAATGTTTACAAACTATTTTATAGACTACTGTTGATGCGCAACGTCTAAGTGTGGTTAGGAATACAAAGTGATAAAGTTTGGTATCTCAGACACTAATTTTCACGGGGTCTCTCTAATCAAAACTATTGTGGATAGATTCTTATCGAAGAAAAATACATTATTTGAATCTGTCATTAAGTTGACAATACGTGTATATATTTCCAGACTTACATGCAATGAACAGTTTGATTTATTTATTTTATATATAAGAAACAGCAGGATTAGATGGGGTTGCAATGGTTTTGTGTTGGTAGCGAGACGAAAACGACAGCGTTTTTGTTCTGGAGAGCGATACGGAAAGTAACATGACAGGACAGTTGAGAGCAAACTCATCGTTTTCTCTTAAGTGAACAGTAAAGTGTGTTCCCTTTTTTCTTTTGCTTTAATATTTGGGGTCATAGATCTGTCTCTTTTACCCCATTTACTCTAATAGCAACACATCCATCATATCCAACTCTTGTCGGTTACTTACTTCCACATTAACCATGCCTTGAATTTATTTTACCATGCTTTAAATTCATTCTTACGATGAATCTTTGAATGAGGGGTGGGTGGTCATATATTAGCCACATTACCGGTTTCTAGTCGATATCCATCTTTCTACATTTTGGGTATCCGGAAGTTTGAACGTTCTCAATTCAGTATTCATCCCGATTTGTTTCAAACTTCCGAGTGTCCGAAATTATGAATGTGGATACAAGTAGTTACAAACCAAAAATTGTACAAGTAGTAGAAAATTTGAATTCGGTAGCCAGTTCAACATATATTTATCAATATTGTTATTTAGATTAAATTACTATCTTATCTTGTTTTTTTTTGTTCATGATAGTTTTAAGAAAATTCTACAAATTTAATATTTTTCTACAAATAAAATCATGTTTATATATGAATATGTTAGCAAATATATTCATACAATATCTGAACATAGGTTGTATATTAAAATTCTACGGCTATATATCTTTTCGACAGCCACAATCAAACAGACATTAGAATATATATACACATTAGTAGTCCTACCAAATAGTCATATAGTTTGTAGATTTAATTATTTCATTAAAACCATAATTTCAAAGAATAGATTATGATGTGAAATGAATAGTTGATATAAAGAATTTTGGTTTTTTTTTTATTATATGTAATAATGATTTCATAAGACCACACATCGTTTATTGTTGTTCGAATATTCTGAAAATTTTCTATTCTGCAGTTTACATTACAATACCATTCAGGCACATGGTTTGCTACTAATAATATGTTTAACCTACTTTGAGCTGAAAACAAATCCAAGACTTGTTAAAATGTCAACACTTAGAAGAAATTTGCTCCGAAAATCTTGACAGTTTCCATATTAAACAATTGTTCTGCATAACTCTATTAAATTCATAACAAACTTTTTGTGTGGCTTTATTCAACTTCTTATTTGTACAATCAACGATGATATGAATTATCTTCAAGGATAATTTATATGAATTAGTGAAACCGTTGACGAGAGAGAGTTGAGATTTATGCCACACAAAAAAAGATGATGTAAGAAAGAAATGTGGATCTCAATGATGTTGCTGTGTGTTGGCTGGCATATTAAACCATCACCATCTTCATGTGCATCTATCTATACGTCACTCTTCACCTCTCTATCCAATTATTTCAATCTCCTCATTTCATTTTCATCTTTATCTTATACTAAAGTAGATATATTGCAAAAGAGAATTTCGAAAGTTTATCTTTTAAAATACTTTTTCAATCTTATAATCTTAGGAATATATTACCATTTCTATGACAAATATTACTGATATCCTGTTATATTGTTGGCATTCTTCAATATTTTCTTTTAAGTCTAATATATAGATATATCAAAGATTTATGAAGGAAAAAAAGATGAGCTAGATTTTATGTAAAGGGTTTGAATATCGGAATTTTTTTTATCTTTTTGAAGAACTCCATTAAAAAGAAAAGGAGAGGGAGACAAAGAATAATAAAGAAAGAGACACAAAAAGTATACATTCACAAAATGAGAGGACTTTGCTGAAAGTAATTTGTTACAAAAGAGACAAAAGAGCAAAAGCTTTGAAAAAAAAAAAACACCAATTAGCAACTTAACAAATGAAGTTCTTATACTTAAATCATACATTAAAAAAAAGAAAGTAAAGTCTAAGAATCTAAACCAAGTGGTTCCCATTGGGGAACTCTCTTACTGAAGAACCTCCCAATAACTCTGGAATCAAGAATCTCAAGAGCTCCTCCAGATTTAACACATCTTGGAGTCTTATACTGATTCAAAGATGATCCTTGTGAGACACAAAAATCCATTAACGAATCAAACGTGCCCAAACTTACCACTCTTATCTCCAATGGCCCAATCGATTTATCTCTGTTCCTGCATCTCCTATAGACGTAATCCAAACAATCCTCAACCTCAGAGCAACAATCTTCCATTGTCTTGTCGTCTAGCTTTGGTGGGTCGTTGCTGTGACGTGGCTTTAGCTCCCAGAAGAGCACGTAATGCCCGGGGATCGATGACGTGTCCGCGTAGCTTGTGTACTCCATGAGCAAGAGGCTTGAAGGGTGTTGAAGATGGTTGAGTTTAGCTTGTGTCACCGCGTTTAGTAGATCTTCCTCGCTCGTTTTGTCGGTGTCGATGCTTAGTACAACGTTTCTTCTCTGAACGAAACGGAATTGAGGCGCTTTGTTGTGGAAACCGGTCACTTTTAGGATATCGCCAACTCTGTATCTGTATAAACCTGTTGACAAAAACATATTAATAGGTTACTTGTGTTACAAGTTACTATCTGTTTTAGGAATTCACATCAGACCTAGAATAATATACTAGATAGACTATGTTCGTAGAGAGACACTGACCTGTGAATGTAGTGATGACAATTTCGTAGTATTGACCGACTTCGACATTAACAAGATCGACAATAAGATCTTCCTTGAGAGCATCATCGTCGTCGGTGTTAGAATGCGATGCAAAGTGAATCTCTTCATGGGATTTGTCGTCGACGGGCAAGAACTCGAAGTAAGCCATGTTAGGAAGAAGCGTATAGGAAACATCGGCAGGATCACACAACGGATTAAGGTTGATACCAAAGTAACACTCAGAGGAAGCATACATCGTTGAAACCAACGGTAAACCTCCACTATAGAACTCAAGTGTGGGAATGTATTGAGCCATCGAACCAGTCACAATCACCTCCACATACTTAGCCTTAGGCCATATCCTCTTCAAGATTCCTTCCCATGACTTTTCAGCACACTCACTCTCAATTTCATCAGCCAATTCTTGATTTGGGCCGTTAAGGATCGACAAGACCGAGTCTCTGCAGGCTGAGTCAGTGATCCAGCTAGTGACAGTACCGGTTCTAATGTCAGCGCAAAGCTCTTTGTAATGATCCTCCAAGAACTTGACCGCTCGAAGGAAGGCAGAGGCAAAGACAGCTCCGACTCTTAGGACATGAGATCGCTGGACTAAACCGCAGAGAAGCTGACAGTACATGCTCTGTTTGCTGTCTTGACAAAGAATGGTTTGGTCAGGGCTAGTGTAGACGTTGTACTTGTTGAATGGTCTGTTCCTAAAATGTTGACTTTTGTAGTAGCTAGTCAACACAGGACGCGCCATTAGACCTGAAGGAGTCTTGATCTCTGGTTTTATGAATAGAAGATACATCCCTTTTCCTTCATCTAGCCCATTCACATATCTGCACACAATCCATTAGCAAAAAATTTCCTCTTCACTGTTTTGTTCTGTTGACTAAAGAAAACAAATTTAAATTATTCTTTGTTTTTTGCCCTCACATGAGTGTAACTAGGATCCTACATATTCAATCTGCAAGGTGTTTTGTAGCAAAGAAAAAGCCGATTTATTTGCTATAATTTTTAAGCCCAATAGGCAATAAGAGAGTTGGTTACCAGATAAAAATTAATTATTATTATTTTTTTGATGCTACAAAATTATTATATTGTGTTTTGATTTTTTTTTGTCGTCTACTACGAAAAATTTGTTTTTTGATGAATGAATTTAAGAGATATTAATTGTACAGAAGAAAAAGGTTAATTATCTACGTAAATTAACAAATAAGTATTGACTCATTTATTACTTGTTCATGATAGGCACAAGCATGCTGTAGAAAAATGTCTTCCTATCCAATTCTTCAGCTGTAGAAGGCATCAACTTCGGCTTTCCTGCAGAAGTCCCTGAGCTGCATCCAATATTTACTCAAAGAAATTATGAAATATAACCAAAATTTTTAACGAAAAAATATATATAAAACGAAAATATATAGTTTTTGTAAAATTTGGTCGAAATTAATTTATGTTACCTAGTGAGGAGTTCTGTGATGGGCTGAGCAGAGACAATATCAGATGATTCTCCATCAGCGATTCGTTGAATGAAAGGCTTTATGTCGTCGTAATTCACCACAGGGACTTTGTTTTTGAAGCTTTGTTGATTCTTGTCGGATTCTCCGTCGAGAAATGCTCGGAGATATTGAGTTCCAGAGTTTTGAGAGAGTATTTGGTGAAGAACTTGTTGTTGAATAGCCTCTGCATTTGTTGTCAGATCCTCGAGAAGCTTGAGGCCAGCTTCTGTATCATTTGGGTCGTAACTTGGTATCATTGTCTGAAAGCAGACACAAACAAAGCTTTAAGTTTGTGTTGCAATGATGAGTTCAAGCAAGAAAAAAATAGAGAGAGAGAAAGAGAGTTTTTATTTTATTTTTTGTTGTTGAGAGAGTCACTTCTTCTCTGTTCTTGAAGGTTGGTTTTTGGTGGTATGAGGAGAAGGATGAAGAAATGGTTATATAATAAATTGGGAAATGATGAAATAATTATTAGAAAAATATATTTGGAAGGTCCTACAACACACATGGCCTTGTCTAGTTAGAAAGAAGCTATTGTTGGTCAATATTACCTGTGCAGGCTTTCCCTATTATTTTATAATCTTATTTTTTGTTTAATATCATATTTGTTTATATGTTGTTTAATCCTCCAATCAAGCTCTTTCTTTATGATCCGTTGAATAATATCAATCCAATCATATTCACAAGATTTGCATATGTCTGCCAAAAGATATACTCACTTGGTCTTCACTATACTCATCTAATAATATTATTGCCTCTTAGATTTTATTTAGGAACTCGATCGTTGAACCCTTTATAAACTCACATGCAATATTTCAAAAAAGTTTACATTAAAAAGAAGTACTCCTTTTTATATGATAGCTTAAGTTAACAAATTCTTAATATATGTGGCTATGGAATTTTCTTTAAGAACTTTTTATATATTCATTTGCATGTTGTTTAACCTGTATTTGCATTGCCGTGAAATATTACACAACTCTTACGTATTCGAATTCCATAGACATATATGTTAGTTTAAATATATATACTAACCTCATTTACATGCGATAATTGGGCTCCATATAGTAATTAAATAAGCTCAAGTTTGACTTATGGCAATCAAGATTAAGAGAGAGAAGGATTGCTAAGATTGTTAAATCTCTTGGATATGATAAAGTCATCATCTTGGTGATGCAGATCCAAATGCATATGATAGGGTCGTTACGTTGATATACATATAATATAAATAGAGCAATTGACTAATTAACCATACATATATGATGATAGTTACAACATAAAATAACATGCATCAACTTTATTCCATTAAGAAACGTTTAAATAACATGGAACAGTACTGTTCTTAATGGAATTAGGTTAATGTATATGTCTTGTGTGACGAGGAAACAGATGTGAACAGAGAGAAAAGAGGCGTGATATGTTTTGGAGAAGATGATCTTTTTTTTTCTCGTGAACAAGTTTCATTCAAATACGCTATGTCATACATTTTAGGCATGTTTCGTCAATTCCTTTGCTTTAGGCTTTTTCTATTGCCTCGTTTATTTTGGTTAGTTATATTTAATGAAAAAATTAAAATAAATCTTGTATTTGACAATTAAGTTGATTTGTTAAACATAGGGCGCCCTTAAACATAACAATTTAGTCATTTTATTACACATATTTGTTTATATTTCATGATAATGCTATTCCACCTAAATTTTTAATAATAAATTATAATTACTAATATATGAAAAAATGATGGTGAGAATCTCGTTTAAGATTTCTTAAACAAGGGACTTAAACATCTACCAAAAAAAAAAAAAAAAAAAAAAAAAAAAAAAAAAAAAAAAAAAAATTTGTATCAACTAGAATTTTTGTTTTGTTTTAAACAACCCAAATCATGTCAATCTTTCTTTTTGAAGGGATGAAAAGTATACATACATTGTGGATCGTAAATCCGCGGAATGATCGACCTTACCGTGCATATATATCTTATGTCTCACAGGTTTATCTTAATCCCATTGATTGTGTTCACTAAATAATTTTTGTTTTCTATCAAAACAATTATAATGATATCAAAAAGTGTTCACAAAATACAAAAACATTCCAATAGAACCGTTATAGGCAAATACAGAAAATTGATACAATTTCGATGAAAGAATAAAAATAATCCGGATATTTTTTGGTAGACTTGTACACAACAAATAAAATCTGTTAAGTCTCTCATTTACATACTTTTTATCGGCTATAAGTTTATATTTATAAAAAGTGTTTGCTAAATAATAAAAAATCTATATATTCAATATAGCTTATATTTCAATTTTTCATTAAAAGGATTTTGAACTATAGAGATACATGAGTTGAGTATAGTCGGATTTTTGAGTTGTTAATAATCTATAACATTTTTTTTTGTATTTTGGAAATAATTTTGAAATTTTAAAACTATTCCACTCGCACACATGCGAGAGCGAGACTAGTTAAAGTTGGCATATTTCCTTCCACAAATAAATAGACCGGTCCACAAAGTTTGGGAGAGATGCAGGGCATGCGCAATCTATAAGACCGACCCATCAACTTTAAAAGACATGCACTCTTTTTGAATATTTTCTAACCTTACTATTTTTGTTATAAAAGTAACTGAATTCTTGATATTGTTGTTTTGTGATAATATTTTCTGATACGTAACACCCAGTTTTTCTTTTATTATGTCATTTTAGGCAAACCATCCGAAATGCTAGTTTTATATGGATCACTACTTTGAAAGTAGTACTTTCGCAAACCTTTGAATGATGTATCCTCTTATGTGTTTCATCGTGGAACAATAAACTACTATATATCTTTTGATATATTAGATATAGATATATTTTGATTTTTCACTTCCGTAAAAGAATTTATTAACAGAAAAAATATATTTTATATTGTTCCAACTTCTAATTCTTTATTCAAAAGATATGTCAACGGGATTCTAAGCGTTTTCATTGGAAACTACGGTCATGTTGTTAGAAGTTAATTAAAGGATCAAACGTTGGTTGTAGCATAAGTCATATATACACACCTAGGCCATAAAAGTATGTTATCAGTTCGAAAGTCGACAAATAAACTTGTGCCTACAAAGCTAAGGTTAAAATTAGATTTGGGTTTCAAATACGGTATAATTAAAAGGTTTAGTGGGATTATTTTGGTAAATAGTGGTTAAGAACCATATACGTACTGTGATTTTGACGTTTGAATTCGAGACTATGGTTGAACCAAACAAATCTAGAGTATGTAGAAAGTGTTGTAGTTACTGGTTTTTAGAGTTTTGAGAGATTTTCACACATGCCACAATGATACCAAGGTCATGGATGTCGCAGATTAAGTTTTCTTTTATGATCTTGTCAATTTTAGGTGAGATCAGTCTAATGTCTAATGTGAACAAATTGATTCTCTTACTTTAATTGTTATAATTTATTAGTGAGTTTGTTGTAACCTAAAAAAAGAAAAAAAAAATAATTACATAAGAGAATAGAAAAAAAATTATGAAACCGTAAGAATTTTTTTTTTACAAAAATCAGTATATATATACGAAATTTGTTTCTACTAAAAAAAAAAAACTGTTTTGAATATAGTTGCGAGGACCTAGCGTCTAGTGGTTAGTTTACACAAAGTTAATTTGGAGTTTGACTCTAGTTATACACAAGAAAGTGGTATATAAGTTTTTTTTAACTTAGGTGAAAACTCAAAAAAAGAAAATTACAGTTTTTTTTTCAAACTTATTTATGTATAGTTCATATTTTAAAAAATGACAGAGAATAAATAGTGTATAAAAATGGCAAAGGAAAAAAAAATCAACAGTCTAATAAGACAAAAGAAAATAGGTCAAAGTTACGAGCATTACATTTATTGTTCTTTTGGTGGACTATTTCAAACCAATACGCACAACACAATTACTTCTCAATTTCTCATGGACTGGGATAACGTATTTAAATTGATATTAAATCGTGCATGACGTGAATTAAACTACCCTGATTCACGACAAAACCAAAAGAGAAATAAGCAAATGAAAATTTCAGATTAATGGCAATGACGCAATAAGAAAAAATAAAATAAAGAAATTTGATTTTAAAGTATGATCTTAAGTTTGATATAAAAGTTTGCACAAAAAAAAAAGGTTTGATATAAAATATGATATGAGTTTATAAATCTAGTAGTTTTCTGGGTATGGATTTCGATTTACCCAAGTTCAAAAATATTATTCGGCCTATTTAGGTTTTAAAAATATTAAATGTTTGAGATTAAGTAAGGAAACAAGAATTGTAGGTCTCAAATTTTTTTTTAAAAATACTAGTTCCCACAAGTCTAAAAAAAAAACAAGAGTAGCTTTTTATTTTTGATGGAAATGCACTGGTTTACGAAACATAGCTACATCAGATTTTTAGTGTTCTAATAATTAGGATTCGTGATGTATAACAAAATGCGACTTCTATTGACAAGAAAAGAAGTTAATGATCACTCCTTTAACTATATTTGGTAATGCTAATGACTTATCAAATAAAAATTACGTACCCGAATATCTTAAACACTCAACCCTTATAAATTTTTCAAACACAAGTTTGATGTACTCAATTATGAGACTTTAAAGTAATTTGGCAGCTTGCTCGAAGGGAATAATTTTAATTCTGACGTTTGTTTAGTACCACTTTTTTTTTTTAACTTCGGAGTTACAAAATTATTGAAAAAAACTGCGTAATTTCCAGATTATTATGTTTACTGTTTAGTGTAACTTGGTCAGTCCAAACAATATAAACTATTTTTATTTATTTATCTATCTATAGCATATAAAATCATTCGTGTATACATACACCTCAATTAAATTTATTTTAATCAAAACACATTAAATATGGCAATTTTTATATGACCATGACATGTAAGATGTAGCCTAGTCATTTATACTATAGTTGCGTTAGAATCCGGGTTCAAACTTTTAATTTAAATAATACTTTTAAAAATAATACTTTTAATTCAAAAGATTTTCACATTCTTTTACTTATAGGTTTAATTAGTCCTATTGATATACTTATGGAAAGATAAACCTTAGATTTTGTGGTTTCCACATTATTCTAATATGTCCTATATGGCTATATAACTATAAGAGCTCAACCATTACTAGTTAAACAAAATCAAAAGTGAAAACTTCTATTGAGTAGGCAACGTAAATTACTGGTACACCACATAAACAAAGTGTATACGTTGCTTGGAATAGAAGAGACTATGATCATATCTAGTATATTAATTAATAGCAATAAGCACATCACCGATCCCAAAGTGAATAGAACTAGTTTTGTGTAAAAGAGTTGTTTGGTCTTTGGTAAACGCCTTGAAAGGGAAAAGAAACTAGTATTTAAATTGTCGATTAGGACATTTGTTCAGGGATTTGCTTAGATATGGTCTTTAGAGGTCTTTTATTGCTCAGATTAACATAAAGTGAAATGCAAAAGCAAGTGTCTCTATGAGGGCACATGTAGTCTTGAAGTAAGGAGAGAAAATAGGAGCGAAAAAGGGTGATTAAGAAAGTATACTATATGGTAAAGTGTTATAATTATTCAACTTACTTATTTTTAATTTAAAGGCAAACATCTTTTAGCCTAGGGTTTCTTTTATTAATCATGTAAATAATGACTTACAAACTCTAAAACATCTATATATATATATATATATATATATGCTCCAACCATAGAAATATTAAAATCAGAAATTTATATTCCTAAGCTACATCGGAGGTTTCCTCCCCAAAAACAAAACTTAGTCTGGGCACCAGCCTAACTCGAGTGAGTCCGACCTTTCGAATAGAACCTCGATAAACAGTACAACGGTTTTGAGTCACTTTGAACAACAAACATAGAATCATGGCCGTGTATCCAGTATGAACAACATAACTTAGAGACAATGTGGTCAGATCATTCCCAACAAAAGACAAGAGATATGACCTATTGGTAAATATGCATGTGTAACCAAGTGTCGTTAGCTCAACTGGTAAAGACCTTAGGCGAAGCTTAGAAGTCGCCGGTTCGAGTAACGCTTGGGACGAAACTAATATTGCATGCTGTGGTTTTGGGCCTGAGAAGATTACGGGCTTCGGCCCAGAACCTCCTGGTATTCAAAAAAAAAAAAAAATATGCATGTGTAGTCTGTAGTGTTACTTTCGCTCGGCTTACATGACTCACTGATTGGACAATTGAAAAACTGGATGAAAGAGGAGCATAAGAGGGTTCACAGCTTGAATATATGTTTATTGTACCAATTTAGTTTTTTTTGGCATAGTATATATAAGTGAAGTTGTAAACACTTTTTCATTACTATGAGTAACATAAATCTTTAAACTGCTGAGTCTATTAGGCTATTAGCTAATAATAAATGAACATTTTATCTTGGTGGAAGATCGATCAAAAACCCGATACATATATACGTGCACATCGTCCATTTATTTCATATCACCTTATTTACCAAGGCACCACCAACGATATTAATTCCAACAAATCCTGCACTTTCAACTTGATGCGCCCTAACATATTCGCCAAGTCACAATTACCAACCTTGTGTAAACAATTATTAATAAATTTACCAAACATCCGAGGTCAATGTGTCTTTTCTTTGATGTTAGCTAATTGGCTGAGTCCAGTTACGTTTATTTGTTGGTCTGATCCAATATCAGCTTTCATAATATCTAAATAATACATATAGCTAGACTTAATAATATCAGCTTTGGTCTTTAGATTTCGATATTTCTAAACTCAATCAAACGTTGCACTAGTTGTAAAAACGATATTTTTTCTTTGAATATAATTTAACATTACATTCAAAAAAAAATGTAATCCCCATGAAAGGTAAATGTTTATGCTTTTGATAAGTATGGGCATATGTAATTAAGATAATGTTAATTACCTATATATATCTTCGATTTTACTCAATTGGCTGGGTCCAGTTATGTTTCTTTGTTGGTGAAAGCCACGTATCACACTTAAGCCACAAGTTTGTGATTTATGTCCTAATTAGTCGGTAATACTAACAACCAGCTCTCACTTGAATACTCAATTATTAAAATCTGTAGAACCTCCGGATAAATCTAAGACTAAATATGTTTTTTTTTCTTATGACACTTGATCCAAGTGGTTCAAACACTAAACTAATTCAATCGGGACAAACATAGTTCCGACAACTAGACTTTAAAAAATGTTGCATACTGCAGAAACCAATAATTTTTCTTAGGGCGTAGTGACCAATAATTAGTTGAGCAATGTTTTAAAAAAATGTGGCATAAGTTTAAGGTTATTTAGTCGTTTGCCCATGCGCTCCATCATGGAAAGATAAGAGAAAAACAAGTTAAAAATAATAGTTTTTCTTTAACTAAAATCGTATTATTACTTTGTCTTCTAACAAGAAGAAAATAACCATAAAATAGTAATCAAGAATTAGGGTGCATGTGAAAGAAATATAATTTGGTTGACGAGATGTAATAGAACATGTTGTTTCGGTTGGCCTTTAAACATCTCAAAACCACAAATGAATAAACATTACATAATTAGACAAAACCATACCATAGATTACTCTATTTGTCAGAGCTTATGTTTTGTCATTATGCAAAAGTTAGGCAAGAAGACTTTCAGGACTCTAGACTTTCTCGGGTGTGTTTTACTTGTTGGACTCGGCACACAGTATAAACTTGTTGGATCCAATGAAACTGTTGTCTTTCTTTTATAATAAGAAAATAGAAATAAAGGTCCACAATCACACAAACTAGGAGAGGAAACCACCTAAATTTTCAAGCTGGTTATATCTGACTGTACAAACGTCGTAAAACTCCACAAACTATCCTAATCATGTCTAAACGTGATCGTATATATGTATGCATGTTTTGCTAGAATTGGAAAACATCTAAAGGCTAAAGCCAAAAAAAAAAATAACCACGAGTTTGGTGTTCCTTCTTGTCAACTGTCTAATCGCAACAGTTTAGATAAACATCGACACAGGGGTGATCAAGTTGTTATGGGTGTGACTAGTGTCAAATGAGATAGAAAATAAAATAGAAGAATTCTTCTTGTTAATTTTGGTATGAGAAAATTTTCTTCCAAAACAAAAAAAAATTGTGTGGACCCAGAAAAAAAAACATTTTTCTACATTGCATACTAGTCAGAGCCTATGTCAAAGTTCAAGTGTTTTCTCCTTTTTTCTGCTGAAATATATATGAAAAGAGATATGTATAAGCAGAAAATGTTGAAATCTCTGAAGACAATAACACTAAAGAAGGAGATAACTTTTAAAAAAAAAACCAAAAAATACAAAGCAAAATCGCTAAAACTAAGTTTTTACCAATTATATTTTAATCCTATTAACCGGTTATCCGCCGAATCAGAAATGATCTTAATGTCAATATAAAACACAAACCTCACTGAAAATTTATGGGTTTCATGTCCTTGCTTGATAATTGGTAGACTTGTAAAATTAAAACATATGTTTAGTTATTCTGGATCGATAGATCTCACTTAAAAGTTCAAGTGTTAAGATAATATTTTTATTGTCATTTATTGTTACTATTGAATTACTTTTTGGTAAACTTCCTTTGTTAAGTTTTTATCCTGATAAATTTGGTAGTTTTGATTCTCTTTGTTTATCGTTGAGTTTGTAAAGAAAAAACATCTAAACTCATTTCCGTTAATCGTAAAGGAAAATCCAGGCGAGTAATCAAAGTCCAGATTCCTGTTGGGCCTAAATATTCAGGCCCATTTAAAGCTATACCGGTCTACCCTTTTCACATGCACGTCGTGTTTTTATGGTCCAAAAAAAAAACGATTCGACTTTTTTTCCGATTACTGTAGAGAGATAAAACTAATTAAAAAAAAAAATCCAAAAATTAAATACTTTAGGGAAAAAGCGAAACGTATCTTACCTTTTATGCCCCTCCAATCAAAATTGATTTGGTTTCCCCAATTTCAGAAATCTTTTCTTCGTCACTCTTTTCCTTCTTGGCTTCTTCTTCCCATTGCATATTGTTGTTGGTTCCCAAGTCCCAACCGCTTCAAATTAGGTCGCGAAAGATCTCAATTATTCACAATTCAATCTTTTCTTCAATCGATCTTCGTTTCAGGTAAATCCTCCGCCATCAATCTTTCCTGGATTCGGATTTTTTTTTATTGTCAGATTTGTGAATTGTTGATGAACACTTTGAATTGAGGATCAGTTGATGAATCTTGATTCGTTTCGTTTTGAATCGGATGTGAATTGTGATCAGGCTAATAAGCTAGGAAGAGTTTAGTGAAGTGAGGATGCAGAATCAGAATGATATGGTGAAGGATGAAGCGGAAGTAGCTGCATCGATTTCGGCAATTAAGGGTGAAGAATGGGGTAATTGTTCATCACTGGAACAACCATCTTTTCAAGAAGATGAATCTGCTAAAGTTCCTTATGTTGGTGATAAGGTCTGAGCCAATTCTATCATGTTTTACCCAATAAGCAACCTTTTCTTGTGTTGAACTTAAAAAGTTGATCGATGCTTTTGGTTATATGTTGTGAAGGAACCTCTCTCTAGTTTAGCTGCAGAGTACCAATCAGGGAGTCCCATTTTGCTCGAGAAGATAAAGGTTACCTTTCTTTCCATGTCTTTTTTTTTCTTCTTTTGTGGTTGTTGCTTTCGGTCTTTTTGAATTATCTTCATGTTTGCAATGCCTGTAGATACTGGACAGTCAATATATCGCAATCCGGCGAACAAGAGGCGATGGAAATTGCTTCTTCCGAAGTTTTATGTTCTCTTACCTTGTATGTTCTCAGAATGTCTTCATTTTTGTCTAGCTCTTGTTGGTATGGTTAAGGTTTTGAACTCTATTGTTTTGCTTAGACTTGGATTGTATCTTTCTTTTTCTCTTCTTTATTTGTAGGAGCATATTTTGGAATCACAAGATCGTGCTGAAGTCGATCGTATCAAGGTCAATGTTGAGAAATGTAGAAAGACTCTGCAAAACTTAGGTTATACAGATTTTACATTTGAGGACTTCTTTGCGGTAATTCTTTTGTTTTCTATTGTGTCTGCCATTTAAATCTGGTACGATCACCACCAATGCTCAATTTCATTTTTCTTAATGATACAGCTGTTCCTTGAGCAACTAGATGACATTCTCCAAGGAACTGAGGAGTCTATAAGGTAGGTCCAGACGATTTTTTAATTGGCATTTGATTTTGATTGCTGTTTTTGTGTGGATAAGTTCTGACTTCCATGAAATGGCACAAGTCTCTTCTCGTAGTATCTCATCCCTTTTTGCAAATATCTTTCTCTTACAGCTACGATGAGCTGGTTAACAGGAGTAGAGATCAGTCAGTCTCAGACTACAGTAAGTTACTCTAATTTTCTTTGGCGATGCATATCCATTATCCAATGGTACATAGTTTTGACAAATGTTGTTGTCTCAGTTGTAATGTTCTTTAGGTTTGTTACTGCTGGGGATATACGAACTCGTGCAGATTTTTTCGAGCCCTTTATAACAGGCTTATCAAATACAACAGTGGATCAGGTTTGTACACATGCTTTCTATGTTTTGGAATTCAGGCCACTTGGTGATATATTTAAAATTTTCTTCATCTGTCTCTGTGATATTTCTGTCAATTTTAAAGTCCTACCAAACTTGCTTGCTTTGTCTGGGATTATTTAGCGTTTTGAGATGTTAAGTCACTTGCACTTATGCTTAAACTAAAGATTCTATTGCAAGCTCTTCCTAATAGATTATTAGAGCATAGGTGAATGCAAAATATTAACACTGTTTTGTTATAGTTTTGCAAGTCCTCGGTCGAACCAATGGGGGAAGAGAGTGACCATATTCACATAACTGCTTTGTCGGATGCGCTCGGTGTTGCAATCCGGGTTGTATATCTTGACCGTAGCTCATGTGATAATGGAGGCGTCACTGTGAATCATCATGACTTTGTTCCTGTGGGCACTACGAATGAGAAAGAAGAAGCTTCTGCTCCATTTATAACCTTGCTGTATCGTCCAGGCCATTACGATATCCTCTACCCCAAGCCATCTTGTAAGGTAGAAAGACGTAATCACCATTTGACTTCTCTTCCTTTTAGATTCAACCTGGTTTAAAGTTAATGATTTTGTTGTTACAGGTATCAGACAATGTGGGGGAATGATCATTTGACATATCCTAAAACCCCATTAGGAGCTGTTTACAAAAACTGTGGTAATGTGGATTCATGTGGATGAAACCATGGAACAATCAACAATTACATCATCTATTTGCTCGTTCATTATGATAAAAGAACCCTTTTTGCAACATTATAGAATGGATCGTCTCTTTACTTCGATATTATCTTGTATTTTTCATGTTTATATCCTTCATGATATTTCTTATGAGCAAGTGGGACCAAAGGGTTTGCCATATCGCAGAGTTCCAAGGTTGTTTTAATGGCCTGACTAATGAGGTCTTTAGCTTGAATTAAAAAAAAAAATTAGTTAAGTCGCATAGTGCAAAATAAAATACGACATAGAAAGGCTAATCCTTTGGACTATATCTGAGTGTCAATTGGGTGGTGAACCTGCGGATTGGGCAAAAATTGTCCTATCATGGGACGACTTATGGCACGAGTTGGCTCATGGTGGATAGTGGTTTTGAGAGGTCTAAAGGGGGTGGGTTAATAACTTTGACACCCTGATAATTAGTCTTGTTAATATTTGGAACCCCTAAAAAATGTAACAGAAGAGTCCAAAAGATAAGTGTTAGTGTCAATCCGTATTTTCCTTTTTGTCACAACCATCTAAAGACTATACTGTAGAGATTCAGAAGGCATAGTGTATGTAGACGTCCTTTATTGTTTGTCACTTTCTTCTTTGGAAGCTTGTCACATAACGAAGAGAATCCATGTATATCCCAAATGAAATCAAAATCAAACTTGGTATTATAGTTCCCTTAACTGAACTATTCAAACCGAACATGAATCCCGGAATCCGGAATATGAAAGTAGACATGAGATTCACTTAGATGGCTTAGAGGGCCGATTAATCATATGCTCATCATACTCCCTCGGTTTTAATATATATATATATATATCGTTTTCAAAAGGAAAAAAAAATGTTTAAAGAATGTCGTATTCAAATTTCAATGCAACTTTTTGTCACATTCCTCCGTTTAAAATTTTTAAAAATAAATGTCGTTTGAAAACAAAAAAGTTTTCATCCTCACAAGACAAATTTTGAACTCACGTTTGGGATTCAATAACAATGAAAGTGACAATAACTAAAACGAAAAAGAAAAATAGTGTACACAAAAGGTCAGAAATTAGTCGATGAGAGGGAAAAAAAGGTGTGATTGGTATATAGGCATGTTCTCATGGGCGGACCCAAGAAGAACTTAGGGGTGTCAAATTATTAAATCAAGTTTTTATATTTAATTTGAATTAGTAGAATAATTGGTAAATTCTATTCTTTTACACCACTAAATTTTTGTTTGAGCCTCCAAATACCCCCACACATTTATATATGTCCATTATATTTTTTTTTAATTTTATTTATATGCATGTTCTCTCTTCGATATAACAATTCCCACTACAACCTTACAAAATAGACACATACACTTGTTACCGTTACAATGTTCATTAAAAATTCAAAGCCTTTTTCCTTTTGACCTACTCCTCTATCTTTCTCTTCCTCTTATATATATTCATGCTATACAAATATCCACACATACACATCACACATAGAATGCATAAAAGTAAGACATCTTTGAAAACATAAATCAAAATTTTCTATAGTTTAAGCCAGAAAAGTAGGGCTTTAAAAGGTGTATGGGATCTTGGTTCTTGATATGGATATGTGAAAACAGGTTAGAAAAAACTTTATTTCTTTATTCAATCCGTTTTGGTTATAAACTTATAATCATAAGTTTACTAAGTAAAAACATATATATAAAACCTAAATATCTTTGTGGAACTTGAAATTTGAAAATGCATATTTTCACTACATGTATATTTTTTTCTTGTGGTAGTTGTGGAGCGGGAATAAACACATTCAATAGTGTAACACACTTAGTGGGGATACCTTTCTTTAGTAATCATATAAAAATGCTACATGCCTACATAAGTCATGCTATTGTTTTGTTTGGATCATATAATTACCTTAACGTAGGTTATATAATCCCTACATGTTAAACATACAAATTACGATGGAGAGTCAAAAGTTTAAATGAACTTTAAGTAAACTAATAATTGTTCACAATAAGTGAATATAGGCCAAAAGACATTGGGACAAGAAAGCAAGAGAAGAAGACACAAACAAAGGGTCGGATTTTAGTTAGTGTTTTCATTTGTAATTATTAAGAGGATAATGAGAAAATAGGGATATAAGAGACAAGACGTGAGAGGGTGGGGATGGGCCATTCCCACTCCTTTAGCCAACCCATAAAGCCAAAAGTTGTTTTTCAGTTTCAGACCAAATGGACTCTGTCTCTTTCCCTATTTTTTAAAAAAAATTCGTCTATTTTCAGTTTCCAACAAAATGGCTATTCATATAAAATTTCCCCACAGCACAAATTTTGATATGCGATCATTACGAGCAAGTTCTTGTTTTTCTTGTTATATACTTTTGTTTAACATTGATTTACCAAGGTTTTGAATGGCTGGCCTTCCGTTACCGCGGTAAAAAAAAAAAGATCCTGTCGCAGTAACAATTACTAACCAAAGACTTCCGCAATTGAAGAATGGGAGGGATTACGGAGTTGTCTGTTAGGTTGAATATTTTTTGGTTGAATAATTAACCAAATAAATTATTTGGAAAAAGCTATACAAGAATTTGAAAATGATATGGTGACTTCCGAGAGGAATGGTAGGAACTTGTAATATGAGTAATTTCCGGCGACATTCTCAAGTGGGGAACACTGTTACCTTGACCCCATCATCATCATTATCTTCATCCATATCATCCATAATCTCTCTCTCTCCGCGATGCCTACGTTCATAAACGACGTCCAACGTGTGTCAATGAGCAATTATATCTCTTTTGACAACTATCCTTGCTAGAAAACACAAAACGTTTGTTCAAAAAGTTATTTGACATCGTATTGAATATAAGAATGTTATGATCTAATCCTGTCAAATCAAGTATTTCTAACAAAGTTAAGAATATGTTTGATACTTGTGTATCTTTCCGTTTGAGGCGTTCTTGTTCATGGAAAGATTCGTTAGTTACATGGAAAAAGCAAAACCATTGGGAAGAAAGGCTTAAACCTAATAATCCATAAAGTCAAAAATCATTTGCAAGTCGTAGACTCGTAGCGTTACGGTTAGGTATTAGTGTATATCGTGTCCTTAATACTATACATGTGGCTCGATGAGTTACATCGTCTTATGTTGTTTTTTGGAATTTTATTTGAATACCTACAAAAAGAATATTGTATAGATATATACATATATATTTGACGTCGGAAAGTTATTTAGCTTTTTCTCGAATTATAATTGGGTATAAAAACATGTCAAAAAGCTTCGAAGAATATAAGAGAAAAGGTTAAAAGACTTGGCTTACACTCAAAGTTCCCAAAAGCATGTTATACATCATTCTCCACACATTCTCCAAAAAAAAAAAACGCGATGATGTTAATAAACTTAACACTTTTTTTTTTTTGATAATTAAACTTACCACTTTTAATTTTTAAGGTAATATTAACCCTATTTTCAAACACGTCGAAAAATAGGAATTAATAGGTCTCTTCCGAATTATAAAAAAGAAAATAAAAAAACGGATGGAAATGAGTGAATAAAATGGGTGTGTGCATGGTGGATTGGAGAGAAGTTTAATGAAATAAAAATGAAAAAAAAATAAAAAAAAGAGAAATGATTTGGCCTTGGGAAAGATGGAAAAAGCTTGGCGTGAAGCATCAAATTGGCTGTAAACAATGCACTCCTTGTTTGTTTCTGTTTATCCATTTTGATTATCGCTTAGTCTGGCTACTTAATACTATAGTATTACTTTTATTCATATTAATAGCATGATATTTTAATCTAAGATAACAGCAATGATTTTTTTTAAAAAAATTGATACCACAACAAGATTTACTAATTCAATGTATATATTAAATACAAGAAAATACAACGACTACAGTAACAAAATGAAGGGCGGAAAAAAAAAAAAAAAAAGTAACAAAATGAAGGTTGAAATTAAAACAAAATGAAGGTTCGTTTTCATACAGGTAAAAATGACGATTGGCAATTTTTTTTTGCTGATAAATACGAATAGCATGTCACATGCAGACGTTTTTTCAAGCAGAAAAAGACTATAAACTTAGATGTTGAATACTTACTAGCTATGATACTATTGAGATTTGAGGCGAACATAATCACACATAAATTCCAAAGTATTGTACTTTTACGAAGCAAAATAATAACAAAGCCACAAAAATAATGTATACTTCAAAAATCTTCTATGCTGGAAAAAGTGAGCCTTAAAAGTAATAAAAATTGCTGAAAGGCATAATTGCATGCAGTGGTCTCTGCGAGTGCCATTGTTAAAAGTTCCTTTACACGCATACTATACCACTCTTGTCCTGGTAATTCTAAAATTTTTTTGGCCTTATTTCTCTACCATGCCTAAATTTTAAATTAATTATAACTGGGCCAGAGACTCATGTTCTTCTCAATCTACTATTCTTTTATTCTAAACTTTTTATGTCTATGATAAATAAGTTAATTAGGTAGATAATTCTCTTTAGGGTCCCATGGTTTATATTAATTTTTGCAGCTTCTTTTGATTTTTCTGTGTTTTAGTGAAATTGCAACTTTTAGTTAGCAAAAACGAAGCAATCACAATATCTAGTTTTGAAGCAATCGAATTGTTAGTTTCAGGCTTTCAGAATTTTGTTATTGTAGTAGATGAAAATCCTTTTACCGTGTTTCTCAAATTTGATTGTGCGTCGTCGGACGTAGAAAACATTTCATCATGACCATATAAAATGTAACTAAAAACCATTATGCAAACGATATTTCTTATATGTGAACTAAAAATAAGATGAATACACATGAAAACTTCAACTACATACAAATGATTTAAGAGTATATCATTCGACTTTCGATCATAACTGTATATTATTGTAGACTATGGAAGAACTATAAAAATAAAATATACTTGATTAAAACAATTAATTCAATGGAGGAAGAGCTCAAAGGAGAAAGAGACTTTTTGGATGAGGGTGGGAGTTGGTTAAGTGAACTCCGGCCACGCTGTGTCCACTCCCTCACTTGCAAACATCATCAAAATTGTCGTAGTACAAAAATTGGTTAATCAGCTGATTTGTCGCTCTAATTGAATTTAATTTTTAGTGTCACTAACTAGCTTTTTTATCTTGTAGATATATATTTTCGCTTTTATATAGCTACTTTTCTCTTTTTGAAAAATAATAATAGTGGACTTTAAGAGTATTAACATTATTGGATATGTGGATTTCCTTCCATTATATACCTTATTGGATTCAAACCATCAGTAGAAAGTGCTTTGGTCCACATTTGATATTCTTTTTGTTGCAAATTGTTAGATATTTTTTTGAAAAAGTTTTAGTTTCCAAAAAGTTAGATGTTTTCTATAGTTTTATTTTATTTCTTAACATCTCCATATCATTTTTTTATACTTAGAAGAATTCTTTTAATAATAATTAAACAATAACTCAAGGATATACTTGTAATTACAAATAATTTCTTAATATGTGTGAAAATTTATTTATTGTATATAAAGAAAGTTTAAGAAACTATGGAGTACATTATCATCATAGATATTTTTTTCGGGAGACTAGGGAGTATATGTTTTTTTTTTTTGGTGCTAACCCAATCAACAAAAGGTTCAAAACTCTAACTTTGGGTGATTCTTATATATCGACTGTGGTAATATTACGAATAAAATTAATGAGTTCTATTTCATTTTATTTTTTCCACTTGATTTCAGAGTTTACTTAGTTATTGTCAACATTTGATTCCAAATCTAAATAAGTTATAGACACAAAGTTATAAAATGACCTATCATACAATTATGAAAACAAAATACCATCTGGATATGGTCATAACTGGATAAGTAAACGATTTTTGGAAAAGCTCAAATGCAACATTGATATTGTTTTTTTTTTTTTTTAACATGCAGTTGAACAATGTTATAGGGAGGCAAAATGCCAAAATAAAAATCATTGGTCGATTAAAACTTACAAAATTGACTCTAAAATATATTGATTTGATCAAATCACAAAGCAGAAAGGGATTTATTTAGTAAGTGATATAAATATACAAATAGATTGCTAGTAGTAAGTAGTACCGCTAATTTTTACCGCGTTTGTGAATAAAATGTACATATCTTACCGGTGTGGTAAATGTTACCAATTTACACCCTATGTGGCTATGTTGAAAGAAAAACACATAAAACATAAAAAAAAAAAAAAAAACAGTACATAAGAAAAAGGTGAATCTTGATATAAATGCAAAGAAGCAAGTGGGAAAACAAAGACCAAAGTCATCACTTGTCTCCTCTTCCCTTCTTCTCAAAACCAAACACCAAGAAGTGACATCATGTCTCCTCCTCTCCAATGGCTCACAATCACCTTTGCCCTAATTCTCTTCCATTCTCTTATAGTCTCCTCCAGTGTTCTGTCTCACTCAGATCGAGTCACCCGTTTACCCGGTCAACCCCGGGTCGGATTCCAGCAATACTCCGGTTATGTCACTGTCGACGACAAGAAACAGAGAGCTCTGTTTTACTACTTTGCCGAGGCAGAAGTCAATCCATCCTCTAAACCTCTCGTCCTCTGGCTCAATGGAGGTTGGTTTAAAATCTTCACTCTCTCAACTACCTAATTACATTATACTCCTACATAGAAGAAAAGTCTGAAGATAAATGTAAAATGTGGGTAAATGCAGGACCAGGATGTTCATCTTTGGGTGTTGGAGCATTCTCAGAGAATGGACCATTTAGACCAAAAGGACCAATCTTGGTCAAGAATCAGCATAGCTGGAACCAAGGTAATTAAAAATGAACTCTTTTTCAACATTTCAAAAACTTTATAAAGTCTTGATTTTTAATTTTGTTTGGTGGTTGCAGAGGCTAATATGTTGTATCTAGAGACACCTGTTGGAGTTGGATTCTCTTATTCAACTCAAAGCTCCCATTATGAGGGTGTTAATGACAAGATTACTGGTTAATTTTCTTAAACCCTTAATTAAGTATCTTCTTTTTGTAAATTCTCATTCTTGTTAGAAAAAAAGAAATGATTATTAATTACCTATAAACACCAAAACCTTTCAGAGAAACTGTGTTGTGCTGAATCTATTGATTTAGACTTTGCATAAAGAAACCCATACTTTTGTGTCTTTTTTCCTTTTTCTGAATTCAGCAACAGAAAAAAAAAAACAAATCAAGAGTACGATTTTGTAACCATCAGAAATGAAAAAAGAAATCTTTTACCCACCCAAAAAAGCTTTGGCTTCTAAGTTTTTTTTTTGAAAGAAGTTATGATGATGGTGTTACAGTGACCTGTGAATGCCATTTCCTTTGTTTGTTCTACTTTTTACAGGAAAGTGAATAATATTTATATTTTCCTAAGAAATAAAAGATTCATTCAGCTTTTGTTTCTTTGTTCAGTCTCAGACTGACAAAAGAACAAAAGAATTCAACCTTTTGTGCAGATCACATCTGAGATTATTCTCTTCTTCTTGTTTCTTTCTGGTTGTCTTTAAAAATCTCAAACTCTCTTTTGTCTTCTTCTTTTCCACTTCAGCAAGAGACAATCTTGTGTTCTTGCAAAAATGGTTCCTCAAATTCCCTCATTATCTCAATCGAAGTCTCTTCATTACTGGTGAAAGCTATGCTGGTATAAACACTAATGTTCCTTTCTTTAATCAAAAGCTCTTTAGTTGTAGTTTTTGTTGCTGAAGTGTGGATGAAAATGCAGGCCATTATGTTCCCCAACTAGCTCAGCTTATGATTCAGTACAACAAGAAGCATCATTTGTTCAATCTGAGAGGAATTGCTGTAAGTAAAAAAATATGATCACATTCTTATTTCAGTATGGTTTTATGTTCTTATCTTTAATCTTGTTTTTTGTAGATTGGCAATCCGGTTCTGGAGTTTGCAACGGATTTCAATTCGCGGGCTGAGTACTTCTGGTCTCATGGCTTGATATCGGATTCGACTTACAAAATGTTCACATCTTACTGTAATTACTCGCGCTATGTGAGTGAGTACTATAGAGGGTCAATGTCTAGTATGTGCTCTAAAGTGATGAGTCAAGTTAGCACTGAGACAAGTCGATTTGTCGACAAATATGATGTTACTCTCGATGTTTGCATTCCCTCTGTGCTATCTCAATCCAAAGTTGTAAGCCCCAACGTGAGTCACAACACAACAAACATGAATATTAGCGCTTTGTTATTTGCTCTGTGACTGTGTTTATGAACTTTGTTGATTCTTTGTAATGAACAGCAAGTGGGAGAATCTGTGGATGTTTGTGTCGAAGATGAGACGGTTAACTATCTAAACCGACGAGATGTGCAGGAAGCTCTTCATGCTCGGCTCATTGGAGTACGTGAATGGACAGTTTGTAGCAAGTTAGTATTCACTTTCTTCTCTAAAAGCTTGCAGATGATTCCAAATGATGTTGGTAGTTATTGAACGTTTTTGTTTTTGGTTTTCTCATGATTATGACAGTGTACTTGATTACCAATTGCTTGATGTGGAAATACCAACGATTAATATCGTAGGGAGCCTTGTTAATGCTGGAGTTCCAGTTCTTGTCTACAGGTAAATATCAATGTCTCTCTGTTAAACTTTTACTTGTCTTCATGATTTAATGATGGATGTTTTTCTTGCAAGAACAGTGGAGATCAAGATTCTGTGATCCCTTTGACCGGAAGTAGAATCTTAGTTAGCAGATTGGCCAAACAATTGGGACTGAGAACAAGTGTGCCTTATCGAGTCTGGTTTGCAGGACAACAGGTAAACAAATAACATTCTCTAATGGTACAAAAAAGAACGATGAAAACAAAACTAACACATTGCATTTCGTGTTTCAGGTTGGCGGGTGGACTCAAGTCTATGGGAATGTCTTGTCATTTGCAACGGTGCGAGGAGCTTCACACGAGGTCCCATTCTCACAGCCTGAGAGATCACTTGTGCTGTTCAAGGCGTTCTTGGACGGTCATCCTCTTCCTGAAGAATTCTGATATTTTACCATGATCTGTTGAGCTTATGTAAGTATAAGATAATAGATTTTGGCCAAACGCTCCTAGGAATGGCTTATTTAATCGGCGAAAAGCGGAAAGATTTGTTTTTGTAAAGATGTGAACCTTGTAGGAAGGAAGCTGTATGTTCTTGGATTTTGAGTGTTGAGTTTACTTTGAAGGGTGAATTACAACAGGAGCTTCTACTTGCATTGTTAAGCATTTGAATTGAAGAGCTATGATTGGTTTCGATAGCATCACGGCTATGCTTAGCCGCCTTTCATTTTCAAGTGACTCTTGTGATGTGTGATTCTGTTCTGAAAAATTCTCTGTCTCATCATCCAAAGCCCTTGAGACTACGGCAGGTCTCACCGGCCTCACCCTGCAAAATTCAATACAAATTCCTTTTAATAAGTGTTCTTTGCTATTCTATCAATAGATTTGTCTAAAGTAGAAGCAGTAGCAGCACCTGCAGTGGAGGTGGCATGAGTATTTGAGCAGGTTTGAGTTATACTTTGTATTGCCACTGCCATTATTTGACATCCTTGATGAGCTTAAGAGCCAAGTCTCCCAATAAACATTCACAAGAACCAAACTTTACCTAAAACTTGGGAGAGCCATTTTGATTGCAGGTCCCATCCAGTTTCCAACTTTGGTCTCTGATATTGAGGTGGACAGTTTAAGACCATAGTTAGATATCAAAACATATGCCAAGAGTATTCCTAGGAAATATTACATACTGGTTAAGTAGACCAATGAGCCACGAACTCACCGTCTGATCTAATTTGGATGTTGCAGATATCTGCAGAATCAGCACCATCAACTTCACTAATCTTAACCTCCATCAAATCCTGCGGATGAGACAGAGTAGTTCCCAACCCAAATGATTCCAGGAAACCAAAAGCTCTGTCCCTTTTCCGTTTAGGAACTGCAGTAATGTTCTGTTCCCAACCACAAAAATACACTTTTACTCAACGAAAAAATGTAAAAGAAGATCAATCAAGACAACATGTTTCATCCCATTCTCCAAGAGTTTAGGAAGAATGCTTTTTGTAGTTAATAATTACAATGTCTCCACTTTATGTAGACAAGAGTCAAGAGTTATCTTGTTTTCCTCATTTACTTATTGCGAGCCTAATCAGTAATAATTAAAAGCTAAATAACTTTTAAGAACAAAGTGACACTAACTTTTGAAAATCTTGCAACTTGGCTTGGGAGTCCTACTTCCTGCAACACCACCATGTTATATAATAAAGCATTATTATCCACCAATCCCTCATCATTCCATTGATAGAGAGCAAATATACAAAGTAGACCCACCTACCTTGCGTCCATGATGACAAGCCTCATCGCTATTCACAAGTACCCTCGCGGCCCATCTGAAGGGATAGAAGAAAAGACCACTTCATAACTCATGTTTTGATAATCATGAATCTAATTAACAGAATATTATTCCACAACTTGGTCACTTGAGTCAAATTCTGCTTTACTAAAAAAATGGTTATATTAGTGGAAGAAGGGGAGAATCAACATACGCGCATGATGTAGGAGGGTTCCAAACAATCCCTGCAATTACTACAAGCTGGGAAAAAGCAACAAAAAGTTGAGAGAATGTTGTGGGATGATTAGTTTGAGCAAGTAGGGAGAAAAGGAAAGGAAAGAAGAGACCTCATCAAAGACACCAGCGGGGCTATCATCGTAGCTAGCAAGGAAAAACCCGCCAAGAGTGTATCTGACAATCCCACAAGCACAACAATGGTTAAGCAGTTTGAGAAGATAATAAACAGCAACGAGAGAGCCTCAATAGATGTTTTAATACCCAAAAGCTTCAACTAGTCGAAACTCCTTGGGGATGAATGCCCGAGCAGTCGCAGCTTTCACAAGATGAATCTGGTACAACGCACTGAAAGCACAATAAGAAGAAAATTCAGCAAAGCAGATACTAGAAAGAAGACTTAACTGAGACAATCTTGAAAAGCTAAAAAAAGGGTATTTCTTACCTTCCTTTGAATATCCATGGAGGCTTGGCATAGCCAGATGAAACACTCTTTTCTTCAACGTCCATGGATTGATGCAATCTATGCCACAGGTGAAAAAACATACCTTAGGAGACAAGTTATGACGAAACCTCTCATATCAGACTTATGTACCTAATAACAGAGATGATAACCAATTAGCAAAGAACCATAATTGACAGCAAATCATTTAGAATCTTCTGCACCACATTCAATCAGTGAAACTATACCAAAAAGATTGTGTTTACATATATTTATATACACATGAAGAAGATAGAGACAGAATCATAAACACATGGTAGGTAAACAACACAATCATATCCAAATTGCCAACTTTTTTTTAACAGTAAAATCTAATTTGGGTATATATTCCTTTGCAAGAAATCTTAGGAAATAAAACTTAGAAAAGAAAAGAAATATAGCAAGCAGACTCTAGTGTCTTCAATCTAAAATGAAATCAAACCAAAAACTAGAGATTGAGGCACTTTTGTCCTGAAATTCCAACTATTGCAAGTGGGATATTTCTTATACAATTACGTAAAAACAAATAAAAAATAAACAGCAAAACCATTGGAGGAACCTCTTAATAAAACAGAGTGTAACCCAGAAACTGTTGCATTCATGTGTCCACAGAATCAAAATTAAAAATCGACAAGATGAGTAATTACACAAGTAGATTCGCAGAACACTATTACATAACAAATGCTAATCCAAAATCCAAAACCAAAAATTGAACCGAAAAAAATACCCAAACTTCGTTGAAACCCCTCGGAGGATAAAATCTTGAAATGGGTTTTACGAGAAGATTCAGATAGGAGCGAAAGGTTTCGGCTTGAGTAAGGAGGTTCTTTAAGAAAAAAATGTAGACTTTCTTGTCGAAAAAATGGGGATTTTCTTTTTATATATCTGGAATTAAAATAATAAAGAAAAAGAAGGAGGAGGAACCGACAGAGAAGGGGAAGGTTCGTTGGTAATAGAGAAGATTGAGAAGTGGATAGGCTTTGGTTCTTTCTTTGTCCAATCAAAAACTTGTCTCTCTCTCTTTCTTTCTCTTTGAAGAAGTTTTTTCTTATTTCGCGCCAATCCGAAGTTTACATCATCTTCCACCTTCTTCATTCGCTATCATTAATCATTTCTCTAATTTATTATTCTATTTAATCACGGAATAGTTAGGTATAAAAGATACTACTAGATAAATTGTCATCTTACTAGATTTATGTTTTGAATGGATGTGAGGACGGAGTTTATAAATTTATCATCTAACAATTCGTCGCAAATTAAGTTTATATTTTTTAAAAACGATTTGTAGTTACTACAATTTTATTTTATTTTTTATATGCATGTATCATTACAGATTATATGAGTAATTAACAAAAAGTGGTCTAATCCGTAAACGGTTTTGCTTGCTCTATATATTAGAAGCCTTATCAGTGTTACCGTTAATGTTGGTTTAAGTCTAAATTTAGAAAACAAAAAAAAAATCTACAAAGCTTTGAGAAGTATAATGGTTTATTTGTTTATTTTAAATAACCAGAAGCTAAACTGAAAAGTGAAAACTACATCAACTTAAGGTATAGAGATTACAGGTTTTGTAGATTAGTCTGTGAAGCCATAACGCGAAAGTCATGCCTTTGTGTATGCATTGCAAATCAAAATCTCAATTATTACGGCACAAAGACATCCTCAAAAATTCAAAATTGAATCGTAGATCCAAAAAAAAAAGTTGAACCGTAGATGATCACTAATGAATCAAAGCTTTGGAGACAACAAAATATTGGCAAAAGATGTGTGATTGCATTTGGCGGCAGCTTTTTCATTTTTCTATTTACAAAGTTAGTGGAACTTTTATATGTTTCGATCTTCTATTTGTGAGTGTAACTAAAGCAATCACTTTAGAAATATCTCACAATCTGCCATTCATAGAGAGATTCATTAAGATCTGCATATTTCATGTACGCCTAACTTTTTCTGCATAATCTTATTTTAAAAGCACGAAGTGACAAATAAATAAGAAAACGACAAAAAAAAATGTACAACTTTTTAAGGGATCAGATTCTGAGGATAGGCCAATACACAATTTGGGATTTGCAACTATCAATTAACATCTATATTTTATTTATCAAAAGAAAAAAAGTAATATTGATATTTTGTGATGAACAATTGGTATGAAACCGATCAATTAATTCAATGTTTAAATTTTACTAGAAAAAAGTATTGTGACATTTCATGGTTTGGAATTTTGTGAAACGGCTTGGTTCAACGACTTCGACTCATGTCTCTTTCAAGATTTGCTTACGACGGACAGATTGTGAAATTACTACATTAGTTTGATTTTCCTCATAGTCTTGTGAATTAGCTTTTCAAATGAAAAATATAATTAGAAATATCTGACAGTTGGCTTTAAAGATCTTATAACCGATAATACAAAATGTTAAGAGATAATTTCTTACGAAAAAATTTGAGAACAAATAAATAAAAAAAATTGGTGGGATTTTTTTAAGTCGGAGGGTAAATGGTATCAAAAACAATCCGAGCAAAAACACGACGTGTCTCGTGAAAGTCTCCAAGAGCAAGAGACTTGTAGTTTATCCTACGCTCTAAACTTGGGACATCCTCTGCCTCTTGGTTTCTCTTTCTTCTCACACTTCCAAACATTTTCTCCACTCTCTCCAACATAGGTCTTGACAAGAACACCTGAGATAACAATTAATAATCTCAATGAAGAGTATGAAACATTTCAGCTATTGTGATGGCAATGTTTTACTGCAATGTGTGTGTACCATATCAGAGCCCGGTGCTTGCGGGTATTCGCTCATTGCGTTAGCTATGTAGTCTCGATCATTCAATTTTCGCGCAGCTGATCTTATTGACTCTGCTAATTTTATGACCTGCTGCGATATTTTGCTCTCTGAGTCGGCGGTGTCTTTTTCATGACCAGAAAGCTCTTGGAAGTGTGAGTTGTGTTGTTTGGAGTTGCTCCTTGCAATCGCGATGGCTTCTGATAAAGATACCTCACTGTAGATGGCAAGGCAGAAGGAAGCTACTACGGTGGGATCCCGAGGCTGATCGACCAATGCTTTGTGGAATGCTAAGATCCCAATCCTGAGGTTAATAGTCCTTGTTAACCTTGCAAGCCAATTACTAAGATAGATGCATTAAAGAAGATTTCTCACCAGAGGAACTCGTTGCATGGTCGATCAGGTGCTACAAGTCGATCAAGGTTGCGAAATAGGGACTGCAAGGGCGAGGGTTTAATCAGTTTAGCCTTATGGAACCATACTTTCACTCTCTAGTGTAAGTGTAACTAATCTAGACAGGAAGTTGCCATGTCTATTTGAGATTTCAAAGATATATACCAGAAGCATGTTGGACCTTCCATCACGCCTCCGGAAACCTTGGGAAACAAGATAAGATGCCTGCAAATAGATTAGTGATTTAGATGTGAACAATGGAAAATACTCAATGTTCAGGCCATAGTGCCACAATGCTAAAGAAAATTCACCATACCTGGATAGGTAGAAGAATTTCCATGAGCCCAAATCTCCATAATAACCGTAAAGAAGCTTCTGCAGACCCATATGCCAGCATATAATTAATTTCCATCCGAATCCTTGACTGCATAATTATTAGAACACGAGGGAACTTTTTTAGTCCTAACCTAACAAAAAACTAACAGGAGGGAGAACAAGAGAAGGGAACGAGATATACAGGGTCAAGTCTCAGCAATGAAGAAGAAAGCTCCTTCACAGAAATAGCAACGTCTTTAGTCAAGCTGAATCCTAACCTCGCTGCAATCCTAATTGCACGTAAAATGCGAGCTGTAAAGTGAACACCGTTACCTTTTTTTGAACCCTTTCCAAACAAATAGATTTCATACCAAAAATAAAACCATTGCATCTGCACACTGAGTCACTGACCTGTATCCTCGACAAATGAAAGTTTCGCTGCGGATACTGTTCTAACCTACAGAGCAAACTTCGACTGATTAGGAGTCTTCTACCACCAATTCATTCACATGTCAACTGATTTCTATAAAGCATGATAGCTTAAATTGCAAAACCTACTTTAGAATTCCTTAAATCTTCAACTCCTCCTATATAGTCATACACTACATTCTCTGATGGATCAAACATCAACCTGAAAAATCCAACATATGAATGTTAACGAATGCTGCATATGGATTTCTATTCACAAATATATGAGAGATACAGATAGAGAGGTACTGTCTACCCGTTGACTGTAAAATCACGCTCTAAGCAATTCTTCCAACGGATATAATCACGCTCATCACAGCCCGCAGGCTTTCTCAAGTTTTTACTGGGCGCTTTACCAGTCCTTGCTGAAGTACTAAAACTTGACACCTGTAAAAGAGAAAAACTCCATCAAGCCTTGGGATACAATTTTATGAACTTGAGAGAAAGATGGAGAAAGAGAGATAGGAAAAAGTGTAAAATAAGTGAAATGTTGAACAAACCTCTATGATAATATCATCAACATAAACATGACATATGGGAAATCGTCTTCCAACAATTTGACAGCGGGGAAATACTTTCCGTACCTATTCACACACAAGCAATGCTTCAAAACTTAAATTTGTGAAGGAAGATTGAGTTCATTATAAAAAGGATAAAAAATACTAGTGTGTAGTTCCATAAGCTGATTCAAACCTCCTTGAGTTCAGCTGTAGTGATAACATCAAAATCCTTGGGGATTCTATCTAGAATAAGATCCCGAACACAACCTCCAACTAGGTAAACTTGAAATCCTGGAAAATCATATTTCAAGGAAAAAAAAATAAAGCCTTTAGCCATTCTTCACATTGTACTAAACTAAGCAATCTCAAAAGCTTGAGAAGGGTTCACATTATACTAAAGCCACAGTTCAAAAGAAAATCCAACTATCTCAGTGCTAATTCAAAGCCCAAGTAAGCTATATACACAAAACTTGAGAAGAAGTGAAACCTTTTTTCTTAAGTTTATTGAGAACCATCCGTGTAGAATCTGGGATCATTGACCTCTGAATACCAAATTCATCAGCATCTAACTTCTTCCACGGCATTGATTTATCCTTATTACTTCTCCGTGCTCCACTAAAATCTTCGATCGTTTTTACATAAGTCAAACAAAACAATTCCCGCTTCGTTAGAATCAAAATCACAACTTTTTTTTATTGAATTGAATTCAGAATCTTCAAAAAAATGATAATCACCACGACTTTCTTCCTTGCGCGGTTTCACGACATTTCTAGGTGCTGCAATAGCTCCAACACAGCCGCAATGACCAATCTGAACAATTCCGATTTTTGAGTCGTTGTTAGCTACGAAGGTGAAGGATAAAACAAAGAAGATGGAACTGAATCATAGAATTTCAAAAGGGAGACGAAACTGTAGACGTTCGGAGAGAGAAAGGGAGGTCTCTAATGGAGCCATAGCAAGGTCGGCAGAAGACTAGAGCTTTCGATGAGACACCAAAGGAACCATACGCCATTGAAGAAAGCTTATTGAACATATCACGACATTACTAGAGTCGGAGAAGAAGAAGTTAAACAGATCGGAATCTCAGAAGGAGATTCTTTGGGGAAGAAGATAGTCTTAAGAAGAAAAAAAAGATATGAGGCCTTTAAAGCCCATTATAAGCCCATTATAAGGTTAACTTTGTTATTGGGCTCGTCATTACCATTAAAATGATAAAATCCCAAAACCAAATTAACGGTTCAGTCCTGGTTTCGGTTTGGATTATTCAATTTTTCTGATTTACGGCTTCACAATTAGTGTCAGTTTAGTAAAGTGTTTGTTGGTTTCGAATTAGTATGTGTCAGATTAGTAAATTATAAATTAAAATTTGGTTCGTTTTTTTTTTCCAAAGTTTAATCGGATTGGTTTCGATTTGGTGTATATAGAAAAATAATCAACATTTTATTCATATGTTTAATTTGTGTTTTTTTATAGAATTTCTTTTATTCGGTTTGAATTGGATCGATTTAGTTTGTCCAAGTTGAACACTTCCAAAAGAAACCCAAACACCAAGCTAAGTCAGGGAGAGGCTTGTGTTTCCATCAATGAGCATGGGCTGTGTTCAAGTCTTTTAGATCATATGATCATATCGTCTAAAAACAGAAAATATGACTACAAGCAGAAATTTTAAGGGCAAAAAAATATAATTTAACTTTTGTAAGTTAGAAGTTAGAACATACATAAACACTTTTTGTAGCTAGTTTGTGTTTTCTAAACTAAATTCATTATGAAAACTTGGAAAAAGTTAATTAAAAACCTTAATAAGTTTGCATGTTTTCGATAATATATTTGTAACAAATTACAAACACAAAAATTAAAAATACGTTGATGCCTTGAATGTTACTTTGTTAGTGGGAAAAGCCAAAAGAAGTGTTATTTAATTTTATCAAATTAAGGGAAAAAAGATAGACTACTTTCACAATGCCCCTGAAAATTACTTATAATAGAAAATAGGAAAATAGTAATCATGATAACATAACCAACCAAATGCAGGAAACTAAAGTAATAAGAGCGTGTCTAGGGCTTATAGGCCAGCAGTCAGACCACTTGTTTGGCTCGTACGACACCACTTCCCTACAACGGGATGATATGAGGCAGAAAGTAAAAAAGTAAAAAAATAATAATAATAACATTGAGGAAATGGAGGGATACATCAAATAAAATTAGATCAGAAACCCAAACAAAAAAGAGAGGGATATATAATTAAACACAATATGATGATCGAAAAATGTTACTTAATGCAAAAACTAATTGAAATAAAGATTTAATTAAGCAGTCCTACCATAATGCAAAATCATTACATGATCAGTAGTTGATGAGTCCCGAAGCAAAGTGAAAGAGTGAGATGATGGTGATTTTGGAGTCCATATGGAATCTCTTACATGCTGCATCGTCAACAACGGTGATAATTGTTGTCCTCTGCATCTTATTTCTACCTGTTTCCATCAAACAAACCAAAATTGGAGTCAAAATCACATCAATATCCATAATATGTGCTCGTGTGTGTGACACACTGACATGAGACGCTAGCTAAAGGTAAGAGTGGTTTTGACAATTAAAACTATTAAATGTAAATTAGGTCATCTTTCTTGTCGATAGAAACTACTTCTTCTATTGTTTAAAGATTTTTAAATAATTAATAAAGACCCATTTAATCAGATTCAAACGGTTGGCCAAAAAAATTGGACTGAACCGTGATCTGCAAACTTGACCGGTTAGATAGCGTGTGTGGGTTTTGAAAACATTGCATGGTCTATATAACTATAACTAGTGGTAGTTAAACACTTTAACTTGATTTTGTTTTAACCGTTTACATTGAAGAAACTTGAGCTTTAGTCGTAGTTAGAAGTATATGTAACGTATGCCGTACACTAAAATATCCACTTTTCCTCGACTTGACGCCAAAGATACGAAGTGGAAAGTAATTGCACCAAGGAAAAAAAAATACGACGTGGAAAAACAAATTTTAAAATTTGACACTGAAAAAAAGATAAACCAAAATATGGTCAGCTCGAGATTAGGATAAGATCATCTCAAACTAATTTTTGTAGGCTAATTTTTTTTTTTAAATTCCGAGGATCTTGTTTTACTTTTAAAATTGTGTAATCGAGCACGAATTCTTTTTAATAAAATAAGTATTAGTCGCGCCTTAAAATCTGTCAAAAACCTTGTTTCTGTATAAAGGTTTTCCTATATTAACGTGATGGAGGCTTAGCCTTATATACATACAATGAATCAATATTAAACCTAGATACATTAGGGAAATAACCAAACTATACATAAGTTATTTCCTAATTGCACAATAGACCCCCATATATCCCAATACCCCCCCTCAAGATGGAGTGTGGAGGTCCCGAATACCCATCTTGAACATAAACTCCTGAAACTCTTTGCGTCCGAGAGCCTTGGTAAGAATGTCAGCGAGTTGAATCGTAGTAGACACATATGTGGGAGCAATGACACCGCGAACAATCTCATCACGAATGAAGTGACAATCCGATTCAACATGCTTTGTACGCTCATGAAAAACCGGATTCTTGCTTAGATGAATCGCCGATTGATTGTCACAATGTAAAGGAACAGGCGCAGAACAATCCACACCAAGAGCAGTAAGTAACTCCCGCAGCCATAAGATCTCACAAACGGTATCCCCCATGGCTCGATATTCAGCCTCACATGACGATCTAGAGACCACATCCTGCTTCCGTGTCTTCCAAGAGATAGGAGAGCCGCCGAGTTGGATAAACCATGCGGTAAGAGAACGTCTAGAAAGCGGGCAGCCTTGATAATCGGAGTCACACCAAGCTACGAGGCGAATATCGAGACCAGCCCGGAGTAGAATGCCTTGACCCGGATTAGTTTTAAGATAACAAACAACTCGAACCGCCGCATCCCAATGGTCCTTCTTCGGAGCATGCATAAACTGTGAAAGAATATGTATAGCATAGGAGAGTTCCGGACGAGTAACACTAAGATAAATAAGCCTACCAACAAGCCGGCGATAACGAAACGGATCCGGTAAAGTATCACCACCCACCAATGCCAATTTATGATTCTGTTCAATAGGATGAGAAACCGGCTTTGCACCCAACAAACCGGTATCGGAGATGATATCAAGTATATATTTTCGTTGAGACAAGTACATACCAGAAGAGTTTCTTGCAACTTCGATACCCAGAAAATACTTGGAGATGCCAAGATCCTTCATATGAAAGCATGAACCCAAGTATGTCTTAAAATCATTAATAACCTTCGTAGAGCTTCCGGTAATAATAAGATCGTCAACGTATACCAGAACGTGTAAACGTGTGTCCTTGGCGGCGAATGTGAAGAGAGAGTAGTCTTTGACACATTGTTGAAAACCATACTCTTTAAGTGCAGTGGAGAGTTTAGCGAACCAACACCGAGGAGCTTGCTTCAATCCATAAAGAGACTTGTGTAGACGGCATACTTGAGATTTATCATCAGTACGAAAACCCGGAGGAAATCTAATAAACACTTCTTCCTCTAAATCCCCATGGAGAAAAGCATTATGCACATCCATCTGGTGCACTTCCCAATCACGGGCAACCGCAACCTCCAAAAATGACCGGACCGTAGTCATTTTACACACTGGTGCAAATGTCTCGGTGTAATCTAAACCTTCAGTTTGATTATTACCAAGAACAACAAGCCGAGCCTTATATCTCTCCAACGTACCATCGGACCTATACTTCAATGTAAACACCCATTTACATCCAAGAGCTTTCTTTCCTGGAGGTAATGTCTCAACAGTCCAAGTCCCATTCTCTTCTAGAGCATTAATCTCTCCACGGACTGCCTCACGCCAATTTTCATCTTTGACAGCTTCATCATACGTACGAGGAATCACACCCGCCGTAATTGCTGCAAGAAACGCACGGTGATGATCCGAGAATTGAGAGCAATCAACATACGTATCAATGGGATACCATGACGAGTCGACAAAGTCACTATCGGAGCCAATGTGAGTCGTATTGGTAGCATATCCTTGTAACCGTGTATTAGGGAATTTTTGACGACAGCCTCTTCCCATAGGAGCCTCATGCTCATCCGAATCAGAAATAGAATCCTCAAGAGATTCAATAGAAAATTCAAGAGTTACCGGATCCAAGGCCGCAGGTGAAGAAGAAGAAGAAGCCGTACTCTCCGGTGTAGACCGTGTAGAAACCACCGGAGGCGAAGTAGTATGTTCCCGAACTGGAGAATGAACCGGAGTTGCCCTTAACTCAATGTTATCATCCAATAGGGAAGTCGTATGTTGAACCAAAGTCTGGTCCAAAAAATCATCCTCATCATCGTGAAGAGGAGTAGTCGGAGAAGGCTGGCATGATGGTGTAGACGAAACCGAGGGAGCAGTAGCAAATGGAAACTCCGTCTCAATAAAGACAACATCTCTTGATGTTGAAATAATACCGCTTTCAAGGTCATATACCTTCCAGCCCTTCTTACCAAAAGGATATCCAAGAAAAACAGACTTGTTACCTCTAGTAGCAAATTTATCACCGCCATGTCGTTGATTATGTGCATAGCATAAGCAACCAAAAATTTTTAAATGATCCATAGGTGGTGCTCGTTGATAGAGAATCTCAAAGGGAGTCTTGCCATGAAGAAGCTTCGTTGGTGTACGGTTTATTAGGTATCCCGCCGTGAGAACACAAAAACTCCAAAACTCAATTGGTATAGTAGATTGAAACCGTAAAGCGCGAGCAACATTGAGGATATGTCGATGCTTTCGCTCTACTCGTCCATTTTGTTGTGGAGTTCCAACACACGAAGTCTCATGTATGATACCCTTTTCTTTAAAAAATATCCCAAGACTTAGAAATTCAGACCCATTATCACTCCGGATAGTCTTAACTTTCTTTTCAAATTGCCGTTCCACCAAAGCAACAAAATCACGTAGAGTAGCAGCCGTTTGAGACTTGGTGGGCAGCAAATAAATCCATACAGCCCGTGAAAAATCATCAACAATTGTGAGAAAGAATCTTGATCCACAAAGAGACGTTGTTCGATACGGACCCCATAAATCACAATGAACTAACTCAAAAACTTCCGAAGTTTTATTAATGCTCAAAGGAAAAGAATCCCGTGTTTGTTTTGAACGAATACAAACGTCACAATTCTTGGAAACAAAACTATCACTATTACTACTCAAACTTGATAACTGCAACATCTCCATGGTCGTGTCCGAAGGGTGTCCTAACCGACAATGCCACACATCCTTAGGTTGCTGATCCAAAGCTCGTGTCACTGCCACCTCTGTCACCCCCCGAAAAAAATAAAGACCTCTTTGCTGCTCACCTGCTCCAATCACCGTCTGTGTGATGCGGTCCTGAACAACACAAAGCTTGTCAGAAATCTGAAAGATACAGCCACTATCTCTTGTTAACTGAGAAACCGATATCAAGTGACACTGTAATCCATCAACAAAGAACACGTTGAGCAACCGGAGATGAGATCCAAGAGAAACTTTCCCTTGTTTAGTAGCAACAGTAAACCGACCATCGGGTAACTTGATAAACATGGGAGCCATATCACAAACATCTAATAGAAAATCAATGCTGCCCGTCATATGATTTGAGGCACCCGTATCTATAATCCATGATTCGATAAAAAACTTACCCGATAAGCGATCATGAGAACCGGAGTTTCTTTCATTCAACATGATCTTCAAACTCTTCCATTCTTCATCATTCAAACCACTAAAACCCACCCGATCAGCCTCCGTAATCGCCATGTTAGCCGCAGATATTGGTACCGAAGTACCGACATGATGAACTTGGGCAGTCTTAGCCGGAACAATCGACCCGCCAGAACCTCCGTTTTGTGGCTGTGGAAACTTTGAGCGAGGACGATCACCCCACCACCATGGGTAACCAATCTTGCGGAAGCAATTTTCGGACAAGTGTCCTTTCCGTCCGCAGCTCGAACACACAGCCGAAGGGTCACGGAGCTGTGATGGTGCGTCACGGGGCTGCGAAGGTGGATGAGGACGCGATGAAGCTTGAACCGCGAAGCTAGCTCCTTCATTCCGAGCTTCCAATAAACGTCCAGCACGTTTAGACTCCTCGTCTTGAGAGACAACTTGGTAAGCTTCATCAAGTGAGGGAAGAGGATCCCGTGAGAGGAGAGAAGACTTCACGGCGCCGAAGAGGCTTTCATCGAGTCCCATTAAGAACTGATGCAGCTTATCCTCTTCTCTCTCTTTCGCGATTTCTTCTACTGTTTTAGCTCTCTGGAAATCCGCAAGACTCGTCCAAAGCTTCGTTAATTTCCCGTAGTAAGCTTCAACTGCAGATCCTTTTTGTTGACAATTCGCCAACTCAGTCTTCAATCGTTGAACTCTTTGGCCATTCTTCACAGAAAATCTCTTTTGTATGTGAGTCCAAAGATCAAAAGCAATCTCATGATGTGAAAGTGAGCTACTCAAATCGGGAGCTACAGTCAATCGTATCCATGATACAACCATGGCATTATTAGCCCACCAATCTTCAATATCATCAGAGTCGTCATCGGGTTTAGGGATGGAACCATTCGCAAAACCAAATTTCTTCCTTGCACGCAACGCAAGTCTTAGATTCATCGCCCACTCATCATAGTTAGGACCACGAAGTTGTGGCTGGGAGATGACAGATCCGGGATTATGACCGGAAGACAAATCGTATGGGTCAATTCTTTTCCTAGTTGACTCAATCCGTTTGGTAACAACCTTGGTGTGAGACGAGCCGTCGGACCCATCCTCAAGTGTGCCACTGCCGGATTTTTCACTCGCCATTTAGGGAAGAAAAGAGAGAGTATATCGATTAGAATAGATCGATAATACTAAGATCAAAGAAAGAAGTCGAAAAACAGAGTATAAAAGTAAAGAACAGAGGATCGTATGACCTAAAATCTTAGGTTAGGCTCTGATACCATGTCAAAAACCTTGTTTCTGTATAAAGGTTTTCCTATATTAACGTGATGGAGGCTTAGCCTTATATACATACAATGAATCAATATTAAACCTAGATACATTAGGGAAATAACCAAACTATACATAAGTTATTTCCTAATTGCACAATAGACCCCCATATATCCCAATAAAATCATGTTTCCATGCACGCCGGCAATACGCTTGCTTTTAATTACTTCCTTCATATGCGTCATTTTTGTATATTTTGTGTAATATAGTTGAATTTTATGCTTCAAATTTTCAAGATGTTGTGAATTCTAAAGAAAACAGAATGATATGACACCAAATGCAAGGTTCTGCAATTATGTTCTATGCATCAAAAAAAAAAAAAAAGTTACTGTTTCCTTTATGTAATCAGACAAAGTTTTGTGTATTATTTTGCTGTTGAACTGTCGAGCGTTTCAAAGCTAGTGTTTGATTTATTTAATGAGAAATGCATTATTTTGAGTTCTATTGTAGGAACGTGATTGGTTGGTGAGGAGATGATCAAGTTATTTCAAAATTCATGAAAGTGCCCCACTGGGATTACGATGCGACATTTTACACAAACCCTCTAATATATGCTACTATAATTGTAGAGAATATAAGATAATAGCTGACCTTAGCAAGCATAAGCATGACGACAGAGTTAGGATAATTTTGTTTTCCTTTTTTACATGCACCATTATAAGAAATTAACAATTCCACTTAAGAAAACTGAACCATGGATTGGAGATTGGCTTTTGATAGAACGGTCAAGATCTTATACAAATTAATTTGAAAATAAATTTCACAAATAGTCATGTAGTATATTGTTATAGATTTCCCTTCTAGTATATATTAACAATTTTCAAACCCAGTGTTCACGGCATTTCTTTTAGAGGAAAATTAAAATTCAATAATTTTTATTATGTAGACTTATGTCTGGATCTTAACAAATTTTCTGACGGTAATTAGTTAACACACATGAAAATTTAGATATGGCATGTCCTATTTGAACCAATAACATAGTGATCATTACCTTACTTTTTCTATTCATCGCACACTCTCTTAATTTTCAAAGCCTATATATAGTTGCCGTATAAATGATGTAGTGATTAAAGAGAATATGTCTATAATCGATTCCTAAGAAAAAATATCAAGCACAAAACTAGCATGACTTAATTAGAATTTACCATGCATTAAAATGTTTAAGCTAATTTGATTGACTTTTAAATGGAGTATCAACTAATTAACTGACTAGGAAAAGTATGAAACTATCCAAAGATCATTTAGGGAAACTTTTATATGCTTGTGAGTGGGAAAGACAATATTTTTGGCTCGACGGAAAAGACAAACTTAGCCATGCATGCATCAATGCTTTCAAATCACGTTTTTCATCAAATGATTATTTGAATGAGAATTTAATATGTCACCTATCTATAAGTCTATCATGGTGCTATGTAGTTAAAAGTATCAATATAAAATGTTATATACTAACAATGCATTAATTAATTAGTCGGACCAAATATCAATATATTCTTGGGACGACATACTCACGAAAATAAGTAAAAACCTGAGAACTTGAGCATTAAACGAAAAACTATTGATTTTTGTGAAATAAATCATGTTAGGTTACTTGATTACCAAAATATTAGATTTTTGGTCCAATATTTTCTCTGACCATGGCAAATTATTTGGCTAGCCACTTTCCTATCGCTAAAACATGCTGTTTTTTGAAGAATATTTTTTTACACCAACTAGATATAATTTCAAGAATATTTTTTTCTTTCAAATTATAAATTAGGTATTTATCTCAACTATGATCTTTAAGTGTACTTAGTAGAAATTGATCGCTAATCTCGACCATGAAGAAGACATCAACTAACGCATGCAACTATTTAGACGTTAAATACAAAGCTAATGTTTATAAAAAGTATTGGTCGTTTATTAGACATTATTTTAACAAAATATATTTATCATGTAGAATGAAATCATGCGTTTAATAATTTAGCAGGCGCTAATCTATTAATCTGGATTAAATACACTATACATGTGTACACACACATGACCTATACATGCAATTGATTCTTGTAGGGCACAAGAGTTTATATATCGCATGAACATGTATTTGTGAGCCTAGCTAGAGGAACATGCAATATACTTAGATTATTGTAAATTCTGATTAACGAGAGCATCTACACACACATACGCATGTAAGCTTTTTAAGTTTGGATTAAGATATCCTTTCTTTTCTGGTTTCTACTATTCTCAAAGCAAGCATGCCTGATGACTCAGACTTGTTTTTATATTTTTCTTAAAAATTTCATTATTATAAATTATTACTATTAATATAACTATATTATGGCATGAAACTGATGAAATGGCCAGTTATAGTTCCCCTCTCGTTTTCCAGTTTCCTATGAGAGAATATATAATGATAATAATTATTGATAAGGTGGTGGGTACTTCGAGAAACGATCAATCAATAACCTAATTAACCACTATTAATTTTGTTACGTTTAGTTTTCAAATGCGATAAAGACTGATTTTTGGGTGATCAAAATTCTGATTAGAAAGTTGCTTAGGAAAAAAATTCTTTTGATGCTTCATTGTATGCCAAAAACATTCATTTATTTTTTGAATTAATTAATTAATTGAACACATCGAATGGAAGGAATCGAATTCATAACTCCGAACCCTAGCTTATTCATGAGTATTAATTAGATTGGCACCTAAATAAGGATGTCATGTAGCTCTCAAAATTCAGAAAGTGGTTTTTACTCAACTGTATTACTATAATTTGAATATCTCTAGCCTTATTAGTTATAAGACTTGAAACTGAACTATATAAGTTAGAGAAGTTACGACACCATGACATCAGACTTGTGACCTAATAAGTTGGGGATTTAGTTCCAATGTCATTTTCATTTCGTAGCCCCAAAACTTGGAAGATTAAAAAAACATATAAAAGAGTTAGAGTTTATATATTTACCTCAGATTCGCTATCCAAGTCAAGTTTCTTCATAAGGTACTTAATTAGCAATCTAACGGTGATTCTCCCATCTCTTATCCATGCAAATTATATAGAAAACAAATTTGCAAATTAGAATATAATTAACAGAAGTAATCGTTAGTAACTCCCCTAAACTAAGAACTTTTATAACGTATGAGACAAAAATAGACTTACTTGATTCTCAAGTAGCTTTTGTTCACTTGAGGCAAGAACGGTTCCTTTTCCCTGCGTTCACAAATCGAATGTTATAGAAAATATAGAGAGAATATATAGATACACATGTGTAACGTACTAAAATAAATAGAATTAAATTGAGAAATACATACTGAAATTGTGAAGCTTGAAGAAGAAACCAAAGACCAGAATGTGGTCTTCTTGGAGGATCAAGAACCCTAAACTCGGAGCTTGGTCCAGCTCCTCCCTCATCCACACAACAACTCCTTGAAACACTATTATAGTTAGTGACGTCACGGTCACTCAATGATGACGGTCTAAACGGCGCCGTATATTGTGGTATCCACGGCTTTGAAGATGGAAACGAAAAGCCGCGATTTAATAACGTTTGAGACCTAATTAATTGGTGATTGTAAACCAACGACGGTCCACGCATCGTCAATAACTGATCATGATGATATGGTAGCTGCGGCGGTTGCGTCGGTAGGTGATCTACACTATTACTAACCGCTCCTGCCGCGGTTGAGGATGAAGAGAACAAGCTGAGCTCTAATGAATTCTCTCTTCCACTTCCGTTTTTGCTACAACAACGTTGGAGCTTATACGACCCCGTGTTATTGTTGCTCTCCTCAGGGCCTATACCTAAACGGAGCCAAGATTTGTCTTTATTATCTTCTACGTTAATAGAACAAACGACGTCGTTCTTCGCGGCCGTTCCATCGTCTTTCACTGGAGAAGAAGAGATGTTATAATAATCAGTAGAAGCTGCTGTTGGATCGGAGACGGAGCATGTATCTCCGCTAGGATCTTGATTGTTTGTAGATGTTTCTCTCATCATCATCGCGTCCGTGAAACCGCCGTAAACACCAAAAAGCGTTGAGGATTCAAGAGGAACCATATTGGTCATATGATCTCAGCATGAGTCATATATGGAGATTATTGAAAAGTGAGAGGAGGGGTTAGAGAAGGCATGGTTTTGTGGAGAGGAAATGATTCTCATGAAGAAGATAAGGGTTTTGTTTATTTATTTCTTTTTTAATTATTTAATATATAGTTTTTTCAATTATTTTATATGCGTAGGGTTGTGAGTGAGAGAGGACGAGGAAGAGAAATTATTCCTTTGAAATCTTACTTTCCATTAATTCTCTTTGTTTGGAAGCTTGTGGGAATGTAAGAAAGAGAGAGGGGTGTGATGGTCTCTCTGTCTGTCAGATTTAATTCAATAAAAATATCTGAAATTATGAAAAAAATTCATGTACGTAGAGATCATATATACGTAATGTAAAAGTTTATATAATTTAGGATTACACTTTTTCTTTTTCTTACTCAAAATGAATAAACAATATTAATTATTTCTGTAAAAGTTTATTTGGGTTTTATTGACTTTAAAAGGACGAAAGGTATGCCTATGTGAAGAAAAGGATGAAATGGGGTGTGATCGATCCAGCTAATCGCTTTTTTAAGGCCATGTTCCGAGGACAAAAAATTGACAGCCAAAGTTATTATTTTGTTTTTAAGGGAATTTAATTATTAATATCCTTAAAAAGTTTGTTTTTAGCCCTAATTGGGTTGCTTTTTAATGAGATTTTGGATATTTTCTAGCTATTTATCTCTTTCAAGTTGGTTTCTCTTTTATTTTTTTGGTAGAATGGAAAATTTTCAAGGATGTACTCTCAAGTCAAATGTAATTCTTCTCTATCTACACACATATATATATATATATATATATATATACATATATATAATGTGTGTGTATGTTTCAGAGCATAATCATGTTAATTTAAAGATTATTTCGATATTATTTATCATATAATTTATTTTGCTATACAATAGAGGTTAACCACATCACTCTTTTAGAATTTTTTATATAATTTCTTACACAAAACACAATAAAGAGTAAAGACCATGAGATTTTTGTACAGAGTTTATTGAAAAAGTAATAAAAGCACCTGTTATTGGTTAACTTTTAACGCACAGAAGTTCATGTTAATATAACTTTTAATCCGAACCATGTTACATATTCATGTAAAAAGATCATATATATGTACGTTCCATTTTTGTTGTAATGATCGTCAACTAATTTAATCTTCAATTACGATCATTGCAATCTCCTTTTTGGTTTCTATAAAAATCACTCATTTCCTAAAATATTTCAACAGTCTTACAACTTTATCTTTTCATTAAAGTCTTGCGAAATAACATCATAAGTTAATCATGTGTATCAACTATCAACCCTAGCAAAAGAATTTGTGAATATCGAGGCGCTAATAGATGTTATACTGTGTTATATTTATAACTAAAAATAGTCTGTGTAGAAGTATTTTGGTCATAGAAATTAAAGTAACTTAATATTGAAAATTGACAAAAAAAAATAGTAGCATTAGTTTCAATAGATATGCTAAATATTGATTTAAGAAAAAATTCTAGTATATGTTTCTAATATCTTAAATAAGTGTTTGTGGTTAAGTGTTTATAATATTTATCAAATCGATGATCAATTTATATAGTAAATGCATTTTTTTTACTGCGCCTTTTATCTAGTGATTGATGGTTTGATGTTTTTTTTTTTTGATAGGAATGTGAATATCATATAAATGAAGTTTGAGGTTTTACAAAAATAGTCAATCTAAAGCTTGTAGCCTTGCCAAAAAAAAGTTTAAAAAACAAGGGTTACAAAGAGATGTTGGGTGTCAATCAACAAATTATCGGATCCAAAGGGCCATCAGGTTCCTGAATTGCTTCCGGTTCCGTCTAGCAGAGATGGTGTTGCGCAATTCCTGAATTGCTTCCGATTCCGTCTAGCAGAGATGAGGTTTTTTTTTTTATGATAGGAATGTGAATATCATATAAATGAAGTTTGATGGTTTGATGTTAATAATGTGTAAAACAAAGGTACGTGCATCTTGTTTATTTTTTAAGATTGTTTTTTATTACATGTAGGAGTACTTGAGTTGCACTTAATTACACATAATCACATATGCATATAGAGAGAAAGGGTGCATGAGTGACTTGATAAAATAATAAAATATATCATTTAGATTAGAAATGAGGCAAGTGGAATGGGCAGAGAGTGGAGCGGAATATGATGACAATATCTGTCAAAAATGTCAATAATAAGATAGATTACTTGGAATTTTACATATATAGAATATAATATCTATACATGCATGATGGGAAGTTGAATCAAACTAAAAGGAAACCATAAAAGGGAGCGTGAAGAGAGAATGAAAGGCTAATAATAAAGAAATGATGTAAGGGAAATAAAGTAGGAGTAGAAATTGGTAAAGCATGGATTCTTTTTTTCTTTTTTAATATTGTAAGGGAAAAATGTGGGTTATATATTCGATGGTTGTAGGACGACATGAATATACAAAAGAAAACCCTAAAATGGTATAATAAAAACCAAAAAAAAAAAGATAAAAAAAGAAAAGAGAAGAATAATGAAAAAGAGAGTTGGGCATGCATGATGGTGTTTGGTATCCCCACAGCCCGAGGACCCAAACCACAGACGACGTGGGGACTCTTCTGCTCTTTCTCTGAACTCCATGTGACCCCCACCCGATTGTTTTCACGTATATACATAAACATATATATATATATATAACCAGAGCTAGTAGATCCAGGACCGAAAGTCCGAAACCCAAATTACGTATAATATACAAAACCGAATATTTTTGCTATTTAAGACGTTTATAGTAGCCAAGAGGAGACCACAAATCCACAATAATGGTCGTAGATAGTGAAACTCGATCTTCAACTTTGAATCATTTAACAAGTTTTCTATCAATTCGAACAAATGATTGAATGAAAAATTCCTGATTACATACATATACTTTGTACTCCGATTATTTTTACATTTTGTTCTATCCCTACATGCATGCATCTTTCACATAATTTGTCTATAATTTTGAAGTCTTTGCTGCATGCTGTCACTTTCTTACCTTCCGAAGAGCTATTATGTGCTTTTTGAATCAATATCATCAACTGAAATTCTACCACAAAAAATAGTCTATAGTGGTCGACAAAAAAGGTAGACAATAGCCGAATCCTAAGGGGGAGTTTTTCTACGTAACGAGTACGAGTTTTGATGGTAAAAATAAAATAATTTAATTTGATATGTTCTTGAACTTGAATTATATTATGTATCGAATAAATGTTTGGAGCTTCTTGATAATTGAAATAGAAAACAAATAACTTTAATAATAATATACGAAAGTGTCTATATAAAGCTCATAGTTTATCCCTATTATCTGATCATAAATATATATTTTCGTATAACAAACTTCCCATGAGATAGAAGTAGCCAGACATTCCCTAAACTAATTAATAGACAATTATTGCTAATTTATGAATGTTTAGTAAATATACTTCTTAATTTCTTTTTGTTTATTTATGATTAGTTATTGATCCGTACAACCAAAAAAAAAAACAAAAGATTTTGCGACGGTGATAACTGATGGTAAGCATGAGTCCAACGTACACTAAGATTGATCTGGTGATCCTACTAATTAACTTAGCAGCTTGTTAATCTTAGTGAAATATTTTAAGAAACATTATTGCTAAATCGTGCAAAAATTTGACGAAATTTTGACGTAGCAACAACTACTGGTTGACTATTTCGTTGTCATATCTCGCTAATTTAATGTAGTAATATAGAAAAAAGGTTTTAAAACAGAATAAAGATAACTGTGTAGTAAGGAACCTTTTTGAGCATGCATATTAGATGCGATCGGAATACTCATTTAACTCTAGCATTGTCTTTTTTTTTTGGTAAAGGCACTTTAGTTCGACCTGAAATTCTCAAAACATGCATGTATATATATTTTTAACTCGGTTTGGTCAGATCCGTTTTTTTTTCCGATCAGATTTGTATTTCAAAATCCAGTCCAGCCTAGATGACTACAAGATAAACCTGAGTTTTGTTAGGAACAACACAAATTTTAAATATTTACGAACCAATTATTTTTTAAAAAGTGAGTTAATTTAAATGCAAAAGTGAAAGAACCTTATAGTATATATTAAATCCAATAATATATACACAATTAACAAAAGTTATGTTACTTTGTTTATAAATTATATATAATGGTATGTTTTTCATACGCTTTGAAATCATGTCTAATTGTCTATCATGTCTATAATGTTCAAGGTTCTAAGACATGAAAAACAAACTCAGAAAATGAAAATTTGGAATTCCCATCTGGTTTATTACATAGGCGCTTGATATTAATTCTTTCGAAGTTGGAGGATCCATAGATATGGATGTTACAACTCGCTTCATGTCAGACATCATAAATAATATCGATAGTTCTGGTGAGGAGTAGAGCACCATAACACCTGAGTCTCCCAACTTTTATAGACACCCACCTTATTAGAATTGAAACAAAACTCAAAAGGAACATCATCACATCCTTAAGAGATTAAAAAAAAAAGATATGGATATATAGTTGGGAAAATTATAACATTCTTTTAAGAGAAATACTACATGAAGTGGTATAGAATGATAGGAAGCCAACATGTGAGCTAGGTAGTAAGGTAGAAGACTCCAACACAAACCATATAATTTTGAACCTGATCAGTAAGATGTTGCTTCTTGAAGAGGTTCATGTTTCTATGTGATGTGAGAAAATGCACTAGAATCACGATACCAGCCTATTCATTGCAGACCATAGGTTTACATAACAGTTAGGCCTTGAGGAATTTATCCACTTTGATAAGTGTTATAAAAGTGACTCCAACATTTAAAATCTACAATGATTTGAAAAGGTCGGTAGAACCTCGATTTTTTTCAAAGTTGTTTTGGTTAGATCTAGCGTGTGTGCCATGTTGAGGAAATCCACGACGTCCAAGAGTAAAAAAAGTTCTCACGACCTTATAACTCCTAAGCCAATCGAGTACTTCCTCTGCCTTATTAGCCATAACACGTAAGATTGTAGTTGTTTTAAGAAAGTTCAGAACGAGGTCTTTCATTCTCATAATCAAATATGAGCTTCAAAGGGCAAATGAGGAGTGATAGACTGATAGTTGCAACTTGCAAGAGCATAAGATGGGATACGTGCTTCATAAGCTAAACTGAAAACACTTTATTATAGAATGGAGCATATATAACGCTTGAGTTTGAATCACATTTTCAAAATGACTAATATTCTTTAGTAAGTTCTTAACACAATTTAACGAAACGATCTTCATCATTTCGGACAATAGCTTTCCAATATGGTTAAGTTGTTCACACAACAACTTGAAATCACGAAGATAACTAGACATATCTCGACTTCCTTTAGTAATAACTCCCACAGAGGTCAATGAATCAAAATCCCGAGATATATAGCTAATGCAATCCAAAGATCTTGTTTATAAGTTGACTTTTTAATAGTATTATCAAGCATTTAATGTGACAGTATTAAGCCTCATTAGTTATATGATGATAATTCTTCTTTGATTGTTTACATTAATAAAGAATTGATAGTATATGTAACTATGGTTCATTGAATGTGAGCTGTAGTTGCTACGAATTACTACCATTTAAAATATCTATATACATATGGATGATTGCAAAAGTTGACAATGTTAGGGGAAAATACCATTCAATTATGGTTCGATTATAATTTGTTGTATAAAGTCATTTTTATTTTGGTCAAATTCCAAAAACAATTCAAGGAAAACTTTTGATTTATAAACTAAAATGGGAAACAAAAGAAACAGAAATTGTGGTAAATCACATGCTTGCAATCATTATGCTTTTAAAATTTTCTTTCCACGCAGCGCGCGAGCATTAAGGGCTCTTATCTTCATTGACCAACTTTAATATATGCATCAACTCTTCTAAACAAAACTCTCAACACTCTCTCCTTTCATTACCAATCAATATTATCAACCTCATAAATCAGTTAGTCCCATAAAAACACACCAATCTATTAAGCAATCTCACAAGTACGTAAATCCCATAAAAACATGTAACCATATATAGTGATCGCACTTGCCCCACCCGATTCTGTATTCAAGACATTTGTTTTGTTTTTTCTATTCGATCCATTTGTTGCATTGTCTGTTCTGCTTTCACTAATCCATGTTGTTTTTCTTTTCCAACTACTTAGAGATATTGTCTTTAAATCTCGTATTAATGCCACTCACACACAACACGACCACTAGTTTATACATATACGACTCAAGAGATTTAGAAAAGGGAGAAGACAAAGACATATATAAAAGGAAAGCCACAAATCTGTGCGATGAAAAATAAAAATGAAAATGAGAAAAGAAAACAACAAAGAAAGAGAGTTTCAAGGAGAAGTAGAGTGAAGTTGATCAAAGTCATGAAGAAGCTGAGTTGCACACTTGGGGCAATCCTTTAAGAGCTTAGGTACCATGAAATACATGAAACAAGCTTTGCAACCAGCTACCACAAGAACATCTTCATCTTCTTCTTCTTTGTACTTGTGATTCTTTCTCGATGAAGGCGACGACTCTGATGAAGACTCTTCGCTTTCATAATACGAGCTAACTTCTTCTGATGAAAACACTGTTCCATACGATTCTCCACTGGATTGATCTGCATTGTTGCCCCGGCTCATCGATTTTCTAGGATCTTCCTTCACTCTCATTCCACTATTCCAGCTTCTGTAGTAGATCTCTCCTGTCTATAAAGAATAAACCCACCTCAGGATCACATTCCAAAAGTAAAAAAAAAAAAACTTAAAACTCCTAATTTGATGCTAAAGCTAATATAACCCTAATGCCCCAGAAGTAAAGTTTTTTACTTTGTTTCTTTCCAATGCAAAAAAATGCACCCCAAGTTGTGTGACAAAATAGCTTGGACTAGTGGTAATATACAAAATAATGTATGTATATTAGTGGTAATATACAAAATAATTAACTTTGCTCCATTAAAGAAAATCATAAAACAGAGATAACAGTTTGGCTGCAAAAGCAATTTCAAATATATTTCTTCCCCAAAAACCAAAGAAAATACTAGAATTATATCAGTTAAGGCATCTATGTTAGCTATTCAAATCAAGCTTGAAACCAAAACCATGTGAGCATTTAGAGACAAAACAAAATAAAATAACAATTAGTTTCCTTTTACCTTAAGATCAAGACACTGTTCCAAATGAGAAGGAACAGAGAAGTGAGAATTGAGCTCCAAGAATCTATCTGAGATCGGGATATGTTCATCGCTCATACCAAATCCATCTCCGATACTACTTCTCCGATCAATAAGTGAACAATTCTGCATCGACCTCTCCAGATATTCTGTAAGATTGGCCATCTCCTCTGAGCACTATAATATTTCCAAAAGCAGAGGAGAAGAAGAAGAAACAAAAGAGAATGTTTTGAAGGAATGAAAACAAAAAACACGAAAGGAAGAAGACTCTTTAATCAAGGAAAAAAACAGAGGTTGAGGGGTAGTTTGGGGATTTCGATGAGGTCACGCGCCCGTGTTGGTGGAGATTGTTGGGTAAAGAGAAAGCTGGAGGAGGTGTAGCTGTCAGGTACAAATTGAGCACTCAGGCTCGCATTTTGTCGCAGGTTTCGACCAACTTCTACACGCGCGGCTCATGCCTCTGACCATACATAATAATGCATCGGTTAGTGGCTTCTTTAACCGTGGCTTTTTGTCTTAAAAATTTATAGTTTCGTTTATGTCATAAATTCATAATCATAGTTAACCAATAATAACCAATGGTACTTTTGGGCTGTGAATCAGATAATTCATGTTGCATCATCAACCTTAACAGTTTACCTCGTAAAAACAGATCATTCTTGTTCAAAACTAAAATACCGACAACAGAACAAGCAAGGGGAATATATGTTCAAGAACATGTCCAAATAGTTAAAGCATTTCAAGGTGATGATGATGATACGAGGAAGCTGATTTAGTCGTCTGAGTAATTGACAGCGAGATCCCAGTAGTGAACAACACCAGCATCCATGAAAACTTTCTTGGCAGTGGATTCCGTCACGCAATCGTGTACATGAAACCTATGAAAACTCGGTTTCCCAATACTTCCTTGCCAAACCAACCAACATTTGTTTCCGCCATTCACTTCTTCTTCTTCCTCATCTTCATTCTCATCCTTCTTCTCTGCCTCTTGCCAGTTTATTCGCTTCAGCATCAGCTTCCCGTATCTCTTTATCGCTTTGCTCTTGCCCTCAACCACAACCACACTCATTCCCTCCGTCATCACACTACACCCTGTTAATCTGTTCTCTCTTGCATTCATCTCCACTTTGAATCTTGTTTTAGGATGCGATAGCTTTTTGATCTTGTACACCGACACAATTGTCTCAACCGTTGTTGGATCATCGAAAAGCTTCCTCTCTTTCTTCTCACGTTTCTCTGCAGGGGTTAGCTTCCGGGCCGCATTCCTGTCCGTATGAGCCTGTTCACGCTCAGCAGCTGCTGTGCGGATCTCTTTTTCAAGCTTGGTTGGGTCTTGGGTCGCTTCAGACCCAAGAACCTTCATTAAGTTACTCATCTTCACCTTTGCCTTTGGTGGTTCCAGCAGCCCTTGTCTGATCATCTCTTGTTTCTCCTTTTCTTTTGCTAGACGCCTCTGGGTTCGCAGTTTCTTCTGTTCCTTCTTTGTCAGTTTAAGAGGTTGGGGTGGTGGAGGCGCTGCCTCTGCAGGTGGCTCTATGGGACGCGGATGCTCAATGTAATGAGTAAGTTTTTCTATCTTCAGATGGCTTTCAGTTATGGTGCCATCAGCTATGTCACCGTATTCGCCATTGATGAGGACATTTGCATCCCTGAAACATAAAACAATTATGAACTAAGAAAACTCATCATGAACATATACAGAGAAAATAGACCAAAACGGCAGAGCACAAAGCAGCCAGATTAACATTGGTCTGGCATTGAAACTTTGAAAGGTACTAAGTAGATCACAATCATCAGTAGATTCATGTTACCATATTCTACTAGTAATCACACTGTTGCTGATCACAAAACCATTGAACTTTCAGAAGTTGTATGTGGAAAACTAGAGCACATATGCCAACACTCAAAGAAATCAAAGCATTGCAAGATTAATTGTATATATCCCACCAAAACGAAACGAGAGAATAATTCAAAAAAGAAACAAATAACCCTAAACCAACATGAGCAACAAGAACACCAAACAATTATGTGAATGTCATCTGTAGTTGAGAGCTAACTGAAGTTATTTTATGGTGATTCATCACTTTCATCAAATACCCCAAACGTTACAAGTTAGTTTGATAAATGTAGGATGACTTGTTTCCACCAATTTTATGCCAAGTGAATGTCAAATCAGAAACAAAACAACTTAGCATTAACAGAAAGGGTAAGGTGAGAAAAATTACGTACCACCACTCAGTATCTGGAATTGGCTCCTTGGGTTTCTCTTTTCTCGGGACACGTTCGGATACCTCTATCAAATTTGGATTTATATCATCCGTTGCCTTTGCCAGTTGTGCTTGCTTCACCTTCAGCTCTTTCGCTTTTGCTTCACCAAAATGACTCTATAAAGAAAAGACAGAAACACACACAATGAGAAATCTAAAAAGACCACCAAGAAGGAATATCGGTAAAAAGAATCCATACAAAAGACAATGCATACCTTAAACTTCAAATTCTCAGCATCTCTTGTCCATTTACCTTCCTCAACAAACTGGAAACTCATACGTTTAGGTCTCAGAATCTTTTTTTCATCAATACCCATCCTTGTGTCAAAATGGGGGTTTTCTTTTAGATCTGCTTCCAGTTGAGGTTTAAGAATCTGAAAAGCATCTTTCTTCCGTTTGTTTATGTTAACCTGTAAAATCCAAGTACATTAGAAGCTCAATCATAAAAAGAAAAACATGAAAACTTAAGACATACAAATTAACATTGCTGACCTTCAATGTACTAAGATTGCTTGGTTTAGTCACACTAATCACATTTCCGTGTTCATCTATCTCCCTTCCTAGTGCATCCACGCGCAGAACAGGGGGCTTTTCCGGTCTCTGTGCATCAGCCATATCTAAGGGTGCCTGCCCTGGAAATAGGTTGATAGCGGGACCAAACAATGGATCCTGATGAAATCCCATCCTAGCTGCCAGCTCCTGAGCTCGCCTAACAGCTTGAATGTTGGAAATACTTCCAAAGCCAGCAAGGCCAGTATATGGTACTGCTGAAGCAGAAGATGTGCCTGTAGAGGCAGCAGGAGTGGTAGCGGGTGATGGCACTCTGGTATGTGGGCTACCTTCTGAAGTTGGCTTAGTAACCTTCTTCAGCTGCACAGAGAATAAGAAAAGCAATTTATCAAATACAAATTTTTAAGAGAAAATGAACGCAAATATTTAGAATATCTGCACATCTTACCGAAGGAAGGTTCTTCAATTTTTCAGCCAATCCCATTCCCAACTGTAGTGCTTTATGAGCTTTGGCTAACGCTGATGAATCAAGAGACAAGTTTGCACTACTTTTCCCAGCTGTTGACAGTGGTCTTCCATCTGTACTAGATTTTCCAGGAACCTCATGAGATCTGACAATACTACCCTTATTTTCATCCGTTGTAGATATCGAAGATACCTTAGTGAGCAGTGTTTGACTAGGGGCCATGGAAGCTTCCGATGCAACAGAACTATATGAAGAAGCGCCCTGCACAGAGACAAGACAATACAAGCAATTCAAAAACCATTCACAAAAGCTTCAATAGCAAAGAAAACTAGAGGTAATCATGAACAAATCACAAGTAACAAACTAAGAAGATTAACGAAAAGGTATAATAGAGAACTCACAATCGTAACGCCACTGGTTGGATTCACAGCCCCAGAAGAAGCCTCAGAGACTTGAGGATTTTTGTTCTCAACTTCCAAAGCCACATCCTCAAACCTGCTCCTACTCTCACCATTCCCATCAGAAAACCTAGATTTCTTCTTCCCATCCCTAGCCCCATTCTCTTCCTCTCTCTCTTTCCTCTTGCTCCTCGATTCTTTCTCTTTACTTCCGTCGCGAGACCTCTCATGGTGATGCTTTTCCCTATCTCTACTCCCTTCTCTCTCGCCTCGCTCTACAGATCCCCCTCTGCCCCGAGCTCTATCCTTGGTCCTATCTCTCTCATCTTCCCTATCGTCGCGCCTCGATGAACGGTAGTGATCTGAATCACGACGCTTGGAATCACCGTTGCGGTCACGGCGGCGACCGCCTTCACGTTGTGGAGAATGGTCGGGACTCGAATCTCGATCACGATCGTCACGGTGGCTCCTGGAAGATCTCTCCTTATCCATGGCAGATTTTAGGGTTTTCTCCTAACAAAAATTTGCTTCTGCTTCGCCGGTACTATTAATATACGAAAATTCCCAACCGGAATAAACCAGCAAGTCGAGATTGAACCAAAACGACCAGCGAAACCAATTTCTGAATCAGATTTTTGTTCCCTCTGAATGAAGGGAGCGAAAAGATGCTGGGAGATATATATCACATCACCGACTACTTGTCAAGCATCCCTCTTCCAATATGGGCCTAAGCCCATTTCTGAGTTCCTTCTTAAGATAGTTCTTCAAATTTGAGTCTAATGGGCTTTTATGTCATCGTTTTACTTGTTTTTTTTTAATATATTTTTGAAGTAAACGACATCTTTTAGTCTTTTGTAGATAAGAATAATTATTTATAAGATATATGAAAATTTAGTTCTTTTTCTAACACTTGGTGTGGTGGTCGCAAATTTCTTTCAAAGCCGAAATCCAAAGTTCATACCAATTACCAACTACTTTTGAGCTAAACAAGATTTTTTGGCAAGAGCTTTCCACAAATTTAACACTCGATCAAAAGTCAAAAATTCAAATAATCCATATATTAGTAGTAGTTTGCAAAAGGAATCGAAGCACAAACTCTCTGAATACGTGAAGATTTATGCTTTAGTCCAGAATCATTCCGTTTCTTACCACTCAGATATTTATACTCAGATATACTAGAACTATACAAATAAGTTATAAAAAAACAAAAAACTTATTGAAGCATATGGACAAAAAATAATATCTAGCATGAATCCTAAAATATCTTTACGATTTTAGCACATCTTCTGTCAAGAACCGGTCCTACAGACTACAGAGACGATGATATTATCTTCTCCTTGAAAATAAATATTTCTTTTGATCAAAAGAAAAAAAGGAATTCTTATTGAACTTGTGTGTATCGGTAATGGACTAACCGGTAATGTTATACACTATGCTGCAATGTTAGTAAATACCAGAAAAAGATGATTCAAGCCGTTACTACACTGATCAAAAAGTTATTGCTATATACGGAAAGAATTAATCCCATAAAAATCATGTGCTTTTGAACTAACTTTCCCTTTATACGTTAAAATAGATACTTAGGTGAAAAAGCAGATTAGAAATTTTCCTTTAGATTCTCTGTCACACTACAGTACCTCAACGTAAGCCTCGCCGTCTGATAATGGCGACTCCCTCAGCACGCATTTACACCGTCAGATCTCAACATATCTCGATCTGAACAAATCTATCATACACAAACTTCCATACATCGCAACACAGAGTAATAAATCCCAAACCCCTTACTGTTTACAATAATTAGCTTCGTTGTCTTCTTTATTCCAAAAGACCAAAAGATTTGCAGATTATTTTGACAAAGCCCAAAAAAAAAAAAAAAAAAATCCGAAATGGAAAACGTGAGTAATGGATTTGTCATCGTTCATTCTCACCGTCCTTAATTTCTGAAAGTTGATTTCGAATTTTGAGGAAGTTATGGCTAGTTCGGAGAGAGTACCGTGCGATTTCTGCGGCGAGAGAACGGCGGTTTTGTTTTGTAGAGCCGATACGGCGAAGCTGTGTTTACCTTGTGATCAGCACGTGCACACGGCGAATCTCTTGTCGAGGAAGCACGTGCGATCTCAGATCTGCGATAATTGCGGCAACGAGCCAGTCTCTGTTCGGTGCTTCACCGATAATCTCATTTTGTGTCAGGAGTGTGATTGGGATGTTCACGGAAGTTGTTCTGTTTCCGATGCCCATGTTCGATCCGCCGTGGAAGGTTTTTCCGGTTGTCCATCGGCGTTGGAGCTTGCTGCTTTATGGGGACTTGATTTGGAACAAGGGAGGAAAGAAGAAGAGAGTCAAGTTCCGATGATGGCGTTGATGATGGAGAATTTTGGGATGCAGTTGGATTCTTGGGTTTCTGGATCTAATGAATTGATTGTTCCCAGCGATACGATGTTTAAGAAACGCGGATCTTGTGGATCTAGTTGTGGGAGGTATAAGCAGGTGTTGTGTAAACAGCTTGAGGAGTTGCTTAAGAGTGGTGTTGTTGGTGGTGGTGGTGACGGTGATGGTGATGGTGATGGTGATGGTGATGGTGATGGTGATGGTGATGGTGATGGTGATGGTGATGGTGATGGTGATGGTGATGGTGATGGTGATCGTGACTGTGACCGTGAGGGTGATTGCGATGGAGATGGAGAAGCAGGAGAGGGGCTTATGGTTCCGGAGATGTCGGAAAGATTGGAATGGTCAAGAGATGTTGAGGAGATCAATGGTGGAGGAGGAGTTAAACAGCAGCCTTTGCAGTGGAATGCTACTAATCCTAGTGGTGGCCAGAGTTCTCAGGTTCAGCTTCTCTCTGTTTTGATTTTTTGTTCTGTTAATGAGCAAGTGAGATGTGGTGAAATGGTTTTGTGTAAGGTCAAATATAGTCACTTTGTGTGGTTTTATGATTTTTCAAGAAGATCCAACAATGAAGGGTTTCTTAACCTGTGCCGTGAACTTGTTTACAGATATGGGATTTTAACTTGGGACAGTCACGGGGACCTGAGGACACTCGTCGAGTAGAAGCTGCATATGTAACGAAAGGTGCTGCTTCATTCACAATCAACAACTTTGTTGACCATATGAATGAAACTTGTTCCACTAACGCGAAAGGTGTTAAGGGGATTTGCAAGGTAATAGTTCTCATAAACCTTAGTCATTTAACTACTTTCGTGCTAAAACTAAGAGAGTAGTGTTTAAAAACCCCTAGGTTATCCATCTCCAGTTCATTCTCAAAAACTGTTGTAGACAGTTGCTTCTTTTAGTGAATGATAGAATTTAGAACATGAAGCCTACTCAGAAATAAGTTACACGCTGGTTTGCTTTTCTTTGTTTTACCTTAGCACCAAACCAATTCTAACATTTTGGCTTATGATATCTATGTGCTAGGCAACTTGAATGTGATGCTGATTAGGATTCTTTTGCAGGATGACTACAAGCGATCAACTTCAGGCCAGGTACAACCAACTAAATCTGAGAACAACAATCTTCCAGTTACCTTTGGCTCAGAGAAAGGTTCGAACTCCTCCAGTGACTTGCATTTCGCGGAGCATATTGCTGGAACGAGTTGTAAGACCACAAGACTAGTTGCAACCAAGGCTGATCTGGAGCGGCTGGCTCAGAACAGAGGCAACGCAATGCAGCGTTACAAGGAAAAGAGGAAGACACGGAGGTAAATGCCTGCCTTTTCTATTCCCTTTGATAATTCTCTATTGCCTATCTCCCAGAGAACCTGATACCATATTTCGTGTCTCCCTTTGTATTGGATCTTGGGTACCAACAGATATGATAAGACCATAAGGTATGAATCGAGGAAGGCAAGAGCTGACACTAGGTTGCGTGTCAGAGGCAGATTTGTGAAAGCTAGTGAAGCTCCTTACCTTTAAGTCTCTTCACATGTTTTCCTTTTAGCTACAAAGTTAGTTACTTTTTCTACTTTCCCTGCCTCGTAAATGTATAGACCGGTCTCGTTTCATTTGGCAGCCCTTTTTTTGTTTGCCTTATCTAGCTCCTTTATGTACCTTGAAATCTTATCTAGTTGAAAACGGATTGTAACCTTTTAGAAAGCCATATTCTGTTGACTGTATATACATGTCTATCCAAGCATTTTTAAGTCTCACAAGCTAATACGCCTTGATAGTCTTTGTTATAAAACCCTCATTTATGGCTGTTGATCAAAGTTTTCCAAGTCGAGTGCGCAGATGGCGAGCGGATCTATGGCTGTGGTTCTTCTTTTTTTTTTGAATTTAATGTTAAATTATATTCAAAAGAAAAATAAACGTTTTCTACAATTTAATGCGATGCAATTCGAATCATTTTTAAGACATTAAAAAGAAAACAGAGTCTTCTCTAGATCCTTGATGCAAACCAAGTTTGGAGTCCGCTTGAGGCTCCTCTCCCTTCCATTGTGCTCAACCGATTACGGACATTTTTATCAATTAACTTGACGAGTATCTCTGTTGGTAAAGGCTGTTCACCGTGTCTCCTTCTATTCCTCTCATTCCATATTGAGTGAATAGAGTTTTGAAACGTGTACCTTAGCAAGAAAGTCTTTGTCTTGTCAAAGCCCTCCCCTTTAATAAGCTTCATGATTTCTTGCCAATGTTCCGAGAACTTATCCAGCAGTAGCCCCAGAACCAATTCTTTCCAAACTGTCTTCGAGTACGGGCACATGAAAAACAGATGCTCTCTTGTTTCTATAGGTACCCCACAGAACACACAACTTGAGTTTGCATTCTGCTTCCAAGTCAACATTCTCTCCCCTGTTGCTACTCTGTTTTTAACCACTAGCCATGTGATAAAAGCATATTTTGGAGTTGCAGCTTTGAACCATATCTCTTTGAATCCCTCCATCATTGGTTTTGAAGTGCGGATCTGCGCCCATGTTTCTTTGGTCGAGAAACTTTTGCGATAGCTACTGTTTTTCCCTTTCCATAGGGCCACATCTACCTCATTTCCTCTCAGCTGCATTCTTGCGTTTTTAATTGCTTCTTCAACACTGTTTAGCACTGCTTGGCGATGTTTTCTCCTTCTAGACATTGCCATCACTTCTCTCACTGAGCTAGATAGAGGGATCCCCAAGTCAATGCAGCCTCGCTCCCCTAGCTTCTCCTTAAGACATCCAAGGTCAGACCATGTGTCGTGCCAAAAAGATGTAGTGTCACCATTCTTAACTTCCACTCTATGAAATTGTTTTGCGAGATCACGATACTTCAGCAACTTTCTCCATATCCATGAGCCGCAAGAGGTGGTCTCTTTCACAGCCCAGAAAGAACCATTTCGGATTAGATACTTGTGAACCCAGTCCACCCATAAGGAGCCCCTTGCAGACAACAAGCGCCAAATCAGTTTTAACATGCTTACTCTGTTTGCTTCCTCCAATGATCGCAAACCCAAACCACCTTCACTCTTTGGTGTGCATACCTCAGTCCACGCCACTTTTGCTCTTTTGTTATTAAGAGAAGGGCCTGACCACAAAAAAGCTGAACATATCTTGTCGATTTCTTGAATGCAAGCTTTAGGGAGTCTAAAAGCGGCAATCCAAAAATTCGTAAGGCTGAAGGTGACTGAGCGGAGCAGCTGCAGTCTCCCGGCGAAAGAGAGTGTCCTAGCTGTCCAGGAGCTAATTTGTGATCTTATTTTTTCCAAGAGAGGAGAATAATCTGCAGAAGTCATTCTTCTTGTTAATAGTGGTAGCCCCAAGTATCGTACTGGTAAGGATCCATACTCAAATGGGAATTGCTGCAAAATTTCTGTTTTCACTTCTGTTGAAACGCCTGCCATATACAATGTCGATTTTTCAAGGCTAATTTTGAGTCCTGAGTGAGTTGCAAAGTCCTCAAAAACCTCAAGTGCTGCTTCGATTGATTTCTTTGTTCCTTCAACAAAAACCATCAGATCATCTGCAAAACAGAGGTGAGTAAGTTTCAAGTGCTTACAGTTTGGATGATACCCAATTTTCTTGTCATTTGCAGCTTTGTCGATTTTGAGAGAGAGCACGTTCATACAAATCACAAACAGATAAGGGCTCAGAGAGCATCCTTGACGCAGGCCACGCTCACTTCCAAAATAGCCGGCCAGTTCGCCATTGACTTGCACAAGGAATGATGCTGTAGAGATACACGTTTGAATCCAGGGAACAAATTGGTCTGGAAAATCAAGTGCCCGCAATGTATTGAGTAAGAAGCTCCATTGCACTGAGTCGAAAGCTTTAGAAATATCAATTTTCATTGCACATCGTGGAGATACTGAATCCTTATGATAGTCCTTGATGATTTCTGTGGCTAACAGGAGGTTTTCCATGAGAAGTCTGTCTTTGACAAATGCTGATTGATTCGGTGCAATAAACTTGGGGAGAAGAGTTTTCAGCCTGTTCGCCAGTATCTTAGAGATGACTTTGTAGAGCACATTGCAACAAGATATCGGCCTATAATCTTTCATCACCACTGCATCTTTTTTCTTCGGTATTAGTGCTAGAATGGTTGAGTTCACTCCCTTGGGCAGAAAGCCTGTCTTAAAAAAAGACTGAATTGCTACCACAAAGTCTTTTCCAATAATCGACCATGAATCTTTAAAAAATTCACAAGTGAAACCATCAGGGCCTGGAGATTTATTTGTTGGCATCGCAAACAAAACTTTTTTCACTTCCTCCTCCGAGACTTCATTGGTCAGCAGTGCCTTGTCGTTTGCATCACATCTGAAAGTCATAATGCTCTGCAACTCCTCACATGACCATTCGACATAATCAAGTGGTTTTAAAGAAAGAAATTCTTTAAAGTGTTTTTCAGCTTCAGTTTTGATGCTTTTTTGAGTGTCATCAATCCTACCATCTTCGCACCTGATCTCTCTGATGTTGTTTCGAACTTCTCGAAGTTTCGCGGCCGCATGAAATGTTTTGTTGTTTTGGTCCCCATTCTTCATCCAGTGTAACTTTGCTTTTTGTGTAAGATATCTTTCTTCGATATCAGATAGCCGTCTCCACTTTTCGTAAGCCTCAGCTTCTGCAGCAACTGCGTGTGAAGAAGGAGTGGCCATCGTCACCGCCTGCAGTTCACATAAAGCTTTATGAGCTGCTCTGGTGCGTATAGTGATATCACTTATCATCTTCTTTCCCATTTTTCTTAACATAGGCTTGAGCTCTTTCAACTGTTTAGACATCTTATACATTGCAACTGTTGAGTGGAAAAGAGGCTGAGAGTTTCGCCATTTTTCTTCAAGATCCCTGTGGTAGTCAGGATGCATTGTGACTGTATTTACAAATTTGAAAGGCCTCTGAATTCTGGTCACCCTTTCAGCAATTTGAATTCGACACCTTTGATGATCTGAACAGCCCCCGGATTCAAAAACAGAGTATGATTCCTCATACTATTTAATCCACGTCCTGTTAACCAAAACCCTATCCAGTTTCTTGCAAATCACACCTTCTTGCCTTTTATTGCACCAAGTAAACCGCTTGCCTTGATAACTCATGTCTGTAAATTCACAGTACCTAACTAAATCTTGAAAATCTCTCATTCCAAGAGGGACCGATGGAGAAGTATCATAAAGTGAGTGGTCATCACCTTCCAATATCTCATTAAAATCCCCACAAATTAGCCATGCTTTGTTTTGGAATAGGGGAGAGTCGTGATGGTGTCGGAGATCACCCCATAGAGTCTTCCTATCCGCCGCAAAATTTGACGCATAGATAAAAGAAACAAAGAATTCCTCCGTACGTCCTTCGATATAGATGGATACTGTGATCATTTGTGAAGTCTTATAGAGAGGAGTAACTCTCACATTGTTTTTCCACACCAACCAAAGTCTTCCTAGTCTGTGATCTTCATAGTTAGATAGAAGAGAACAGTCCGGGAATACCACATTAGCAATCCGTTCAGCTCGGCTTTCTTTCACTTTTGTTTCGATTAAACATCCAAAATCAAATTTACCCTCCCTCATCCAATCTCTGACAACTCGCTGTTTACCTTTTTTATTAAAACCTCTAATGTTCCAGAAGAAGCCTGACATTAAAGATTTTTTTGTTGACGTTTCGATGCTTTTGTTGAAAGAAATTTGTGACCCTCCTTCGAAGCTCTGGGAAGAGATTGCCGCAGCGTCATCCCTGCTTCTTGTGGCTCACTATTACTTTCCACTTTGTTCAACTCAAGTTTGTCTGCTTCCGTCATACTCTCTTGAGTATCCACAGCCTCCTCCAACTCAATTTCAGCTTCCTCTGTAGTGACTACATCCTCTCCTTTTTCTCCTTTGTCACTAAGACAAGAAAAAGAATTGGTCATGATAGACACCTCTCCGTACTTAAGCTCTTTATTCTTTTCAGGAGTTCGTGTAACTTTAGTTGGGGTGGACCATTCCTGGTTCTCCCCTGGAGCATTTCCCAACTTCTCCATACTGTTTGCTTCTTGTGTCGGACTAACAATAGTTACAGGGCTGTCAGCCACAGTTTTCATTGTCTCCACCAATGTTGTGGCTGCGGCAACCTCCGTTCCTTCGGATATTGTTCTAGTGACCACCTCTGCTTTCTCCTTTTTTGAAATGCAATCTTGGTGTAGATGACCCCACTTGGAGCATTCTGTACATCTTGGTGGTAACCAAGGATATACAAACTCCACCACTGTATCCCCACCTCGTTCAGATTTGAATGAGAAGAACTTAGGCAAGGTCTTTGTAAGATCCACCTCTACAAAGACCTTTGCCTCCTCAAAAGATTTGCAGGCCTCTGTTTCCGGGTGTAACTTCTTTGGAGTTCCTAATGGGCTAGTAATAGCACTCAGCACTTTCCAAGAGAAATACTTTGGTGGAACATTTTTAACTATAACCCACAGAGGTATAGTCTTGATTTCCTCCTGCACTGTGTCTACTATGGGTGTCCACTTTGATAAGACCACTGGAACACCACATAGGTTCCACATACCCCTTCTGAGCACTCTTGCTCTCGTGCGTTCATCCTTAATGCGAAATCTCACTGTTGTCCTGTCCACCACGAATACATCAATCTTCACTGTTTTATCCCCTAGTGTCCAAATCTTGTTCACTAGTGCATGGATTCCCCCCACGAAAGGAGCCTTTGCTAAAAATTTCCCCACCAGGAAGTCCTCCCATAGTGGCTGAGCTTCCTCAAACACACTATCTGGTATTCTAGCCGTCGGTATACCATCTACTTCCTCTATAGCTAGATCAACTTTTTCCATCTTCCCTTCCTTCTGCACCGCTTGTACCCACGATCCTTTCAGTTTGGGTTGTACTATCTCCAGATTTACTGAAAGCTTCTCCCCTCCCGTGCTTTCAGTTTTTGCAGCCGATACTACTTCGTCACTGATTACCAATACCTCTGTTTCCTTCACCCCCTGTGGCGTTTCCTCCACTGAACTGCTGGCCAAAATCTCACCTTCCTCCATCCCCACACCACTATCCACGTTCACCTGACTCACAATCTCGTCATCCCGCGGCGGAGTAGCCTCCGGCGGCATCGGAGCGTGCAAGAGAAGCAAAAAACCCTAATTCGCCTCTTTTTTCGCCTCCAGAGCAAAACTCACCGTTTCAAGGTCCTTGATCTTTGTTTTTCAACCTGCTGTGGTTCTTCTTTACTGTTTCTTTGCTGATTCTGGCTGTGTTGGCCAATTCAGAAGGTATACATCCCCCTACTTCAAGAGTTACTCGCAGGCACAACTTCTCAATCTATTGATTCTAATGTTTATATACATGTAGTAAATGTTGTTTATGCCTGGAAGGCATAGTTCTGAAGAGCTGGGATGCGATGCAGGTGACCCTGTACTTGGTTCTACATTTCTTATGATACTAACAATAGTGTCATTGTGTGTGCGTATTAAAACCTTAAACATACAGTGAGCTTACTCTAGGCGTTAGATCATCATCAGCTTGCCATTTGATTGAACACTAGTGCGAAACCATGAGTTTTTTTTTTTTTTTTTTTTAATATATATTAAATTTCAAGTTGGTTCTAACATCTAGTTATTATCTGAATATATAAACAATCCATTATTAGACCATCCGCAGTGGTGTAAGTGTGAGAGGGGTGTAAGATTTTTTTTATTATTATAATTTAAAGTGAGAGAGAAAAGAGAGAGAAAGAAAGAGAGAGAGAGTGTCTTACACCCGAGTGTGAAGAGAGAGACAATTTTTTTTTTTTAATACGTACACCCGACGACTAACACCCGAACGCTTGCCCCACTGAACATATATACTTCATTTGACAATTCTTCTAAAAAGACATCCAATTCTCTGACTTTCCTCTTAAATAGTTGAACATATATACTTCATTTGACAACTAAAAGAATAGTCGAACTCCTCTATAATTTTTCGTTTAACAATTCCCTTAGTACCGGACCATATTATGACTCCCACAAAACAACCCTCCTCTTTATTTTTCCTCTTCGTCTTCATCTTCCCTCTCCGAAACGCCTTGAACCCTCAAAAATGTCCTTCATCCTACTCGGAATCATACTTTAATAGATATGGAGTCTCCATTCGTTTTCCTTTCTGCGGCCATTCAGGATTCAATCTCCACTGCAACAACCTCAATAAGACAGTCCTAGAGCTTCCTATGTCCGGAAAATTTCTTGTTGATAGAATCGACTACTCAAAGCAGCAAATTTCTATCAGCGACCCTGAAGACTGTATGGTCAAAAGGCTTTTAACCTTCAATACTTCAGGATCTCCTTTCTCTAATGGCTTAAGTACTGTCTACTACACGTTCTTGACCTGTCCGAATGAGGTCGGGAAGCCGTCTTGGTATCACAGCATCCCTTGCCTAAGCAATTCTACCTCCTCCTTCTTGGCCACGTCTAATATGTCACTCGCAAATTCAATGCTGCCTTCTTGCCAGATCGTGAAGAGACTAGCTGTTCCGGTAAGCGTTTTTACTAATGTGCTTGTTGATATTGCGGAAGTAATAAGAGAGATTTGGAGAATAAGTAAAAAAACAGAGAGAGTTGTAAGAACAGGAGAGTTGATGTTTTTGTTGAGAGATTAAATAGAAAATAGGAGAAAGATGATTGTATTAATTAATTTCTAGTATTTGCGTTACATTTCCCTTTTATAGGAGTTACCAAAGAGGTAAGAACTAGGTTTGGAGGCAACACAATGATGACTGATGAGAGGCCGCCAAAGTGGTCCAACGAGTAAGCCGTACGGTTTGTTTGTATTAGGAGGACAATGCCGCGTCACTCCTTATCAACAAACGGCTATATGTGTGTTCCAGCGCCTTCTAGAAGACTTCTCCTTGGGCTTGTCTTGATAAAGGCCTCAAGCTTTGATATCTCTCGGCCTTTAACACTTATGCACATACTAGGCCATATTGACTTGCTTGTTGACCGTATGGTCACCTCTTCTTGATCAACTCTTACACCCGAATGTTCTCTTCTTTGTTAGTTCCACCAACACTGCTATCCATCACTTTCATCGACCCATCTCCTTATTGTTAGACATAAGTAAGCTTGGTCAATACTCCCCCTCAAGCAAAGCCGTAGAAACAGAGGCTATGCTTGGAGGTCCGTGAGTCATCACCTCATTAAAAACCTTAACATAGAAAAACCACTTGGGAGAAAACTATGTTAAGGGAAAAAGAGTATGATGCTTCACGGAAAGGGGACATGAGATCACGGTCTCGTAAGGTCCACAAGTCCAAGCTTACTATGTATATGATTGCAAACTTTAAGACTTGCGGCCTTAGTGAATATATCGGCCAATTGGTCTTCACTTCTTGTGTAGCAAGGTAATATTGTCCCATCTTCAATCTTTTCCCTTACTTTATGGCAATCCACTTCAATGTGTTTGGTCCTCTCGTGAAACACCGAGTTAGTCGCAATGTGGATCGCGGCTTTATTATCACAATGCATCGTGATTGGTGTTGATGACTCTATACCGAAATCTTTGAGTAAAGCTTTAAGCCATGTAAGCTCATTGGCAAGCTTTCTCATTGCTCGATATTCTGACTCCGCACTTGAGCATGAAACAATTTTTTGCTTCTTTGTCTTCCATGTCACCAAATTCCCTCCAATGAAAGTGCAATAGCCGGTTGTTGATCTTCTATCTCCCGTATCACCGGCGTAATCCGCATCACAATAGCCCACTATCTCAGTGTTATCATTCTTCCCCATCCATATACCTTGTCCCGGACTTCCCTTAATATATCTTAGAATCCTTTCTACCATGCTCCAATGGTACTTTGTAGGAGCTTTCATGTGTTGACTCACTTGATTAACCGCAAAGCAAAGATCCGGTCTTGTAATGGTAAGGTAGATGAGCTTTCCAACAAGTCTTCTATATCGTAATGCATCCTCATACAACTCGTCATCTTTCTCCCCCTTTCTATTGACCTTGTAGCCATCTTCTAGTGGAGTTTTAGCCGGTTTGCAACCTAACTTTCCTGTCTCATGTAAAAGATCAAGGGTGTACTTCCGTTGAGATAAGAAGAGGCCTTCCGGAGAACGGCACACTTCTATCCCAAGGAAGTACTTAAGCTCACCTAGATCTTTAATATCGAATGTAGATTTGAGAAAGGATTTAGTAGATTCAATACCTTCCTTCTTATCTCCGGAGATGATGAGATCATCAACGTATACAAGTACAACGACAATGCCTTGGGGACTTTGAAGAGTGAAGAGTGTATGATCCGATTCTGATTTCTTAAAGCCATAAGTCTTAAGTGCATTACTTAACTTATGGTACCATGCTCGTGGTGATTGCTTGAGCCCATAGATCGCTTTCTTTAGCCTTAGTACTTTGCCGGGTTTGATGGTATCTTCAAGGCCGGGTGGAGGTGTCATATACACTTCATCTTTAAGTTCGCCTTGAAGGAATGCATTTTTCACATCCATCTGCCACAAATCCCAAGACAAGTTAGTAGCTAATGAGAAAACAACCCTTACCGTGTGTAGCTTAGCTACGGGTGCAAAGGTCTCCGTGTAATCGGCTCCATAGGTTTGTGTGAATCCTCTTGCTACCAACCGGGCTTTATATCTCTCAATGTCTCCATTACTAAGATACTTGATGGTAAATACCCATTTTGAGCTCACGGCTCTCTTTCCCGGAGGTAAATCGGATTCTTCCCAAGTATGGTTCTTCTCCATTGCTTGTATCTCATCGCCAACTGCATTGTTCCATTCTTCCTTTTCTTTTGCTTCTTCATAGCTCTGAGGTATCGGATGTGCCTCAATCTTCCCAAGGAAAGCTTGATGAGCCGATGGTAAAAGGTCAATAGAACACACGGCTTGAATGGGATGCGCGACAGCTTGATTATTGTAATAGGTCCGAGTATTCTTCTTCAAGCTTGGAGGTGTATATCGTTGGGGAGCAACGCGTTGACGTGTGCTTCTCCTTACTGGTGCTGGAGTTGAGTTATGGATTTCTTCCTCCTCTGCTTCTATCATAGATTCTTCCTCTATGACCTCATTTTCTTGATGATCGTCTCTATTTTCTTGATTGTGGTTCTGGTCTTGAGTACTACTCGTGACAGGTTCTTCCTCTGTTTCCGTATCACTTGAAACTTCAACTGGTGCTTCATCCCTTCCTTGTCGAGGTATCTCTTGATTTCCAAGATGATCTAGTAGAAACCTCAGGCTTCTTGCTCGATCGGTAGTTGAATGAGCTAAGTCTTTTAAACTTTCCCAGTTCGGCTTGTCATAGTACCCAACTTCTTCCATGAACTTCACATCTCTTGAAACATGTAACCGGTTGTTTGTAGGATCAAAACACTTGTATCCTTTTTGACTTGTAGAGTAGCCAATAAACATGCACTTCATGCTTTTAGCTTCTAGCTTGTTCCTCAAGTCTCCGGGAACTAATACAAAACAAACACACCCGAAAACACGTAAGTGATAAAAAATGGGCTTATTTTTGTTTAGTACCTCAAATGGAGACTTGTCATGTAGAACTTTGGTAGGAGTTCTATTAATAAGGTAGCACGCGGTTAAGACAGCATCTCCCCAAAATCTTTTTGGTACATGAGTGTGAAACATCATTGATCTTGTCACTTCCATGAGATGTCTATTCTTTCTTTCGGCTACGCCATTTTGTTGTGGTGTGTAGGGGCAACTTGTTTGATGCATGATTCCGTGTTTTACTAGGTGCTCTTTGAATCTTTGGCTAGTGTATTCTCCTCCATTATCCGTCCTAAACACTTTAATCTTGGCATTAAATTGGTTAGTGACATAGTTTTGAAAGTTTGTGAATGCATCAAACACACGATCCTTAGAAGGAAGTAATGTGACCCAAGTGTATTTAGATTTCTCATCAATAAATGTCACAAAATACTTGTTATTGTCTCTAGAAGCGCATGGTGATGTCCAAACATCCGAATGAACTAAGTCAAAACAATTTTCATAAATAGTAGACGATTTAGGAAAAACAGTTTTGCAATGTTTACCAAGAATACAAGCTTCACAACTAATATTATTGAAAGAAACACTAGGCATCATTAACTCAAGAGCGCGAGAGTGAGGATGACCTAGTCTAGCATGCCACATCGCATTATTTGAGACACCTAAGCAAGATTTAAACGAAAACAACTTAGAATTAGAGACTCTCGGGGAAGCATTTTCTAGAATGTAAAGATCATCTTTGGTTCCTCCTTCTCCGATTACTTTCCCGGTCTCAATATCCTGAAAATGCACATTGTTAGGACTGAATATTGCATAACAATTAAGATCTTTAGTTGCCCTTCTAACCGATAACAAGTTTGAGCAAAAATCCGGCATATAAAACGCTTTAGTCTCCTTGTTAAATAACTTCAAGTTGCCTATTCCACTCACAGGAATTTTACCACCATTTGCAATTAACACATTTCCCTTAGCCGGTTCTATGTTCTTTAAGAGACTACGGTTACTAATCATGTGATGTGAAGCCCCCGAGTCAACTACAAGAGATCTAGATGGCTTATGAGTTAAGAAGGTGATACCGGATTCTTTGAGTGAGGCGATAGACTTGAAGAGAGCTTCCAAGTCTGACTTTCTTACGAAATCATCACCGTTTGCTATCATGGCCATCTCTCCCCCTTGCTTCGAAGTTCCGGCTTGGCTCTGGTCTTCACCGGATTCTTGAGTGAGGTTGGCCTTGTGTTCCTTGAACTTTGATGGTTTGAGATGAGGATGAAGGACCCAGCACTTGTCTTTGGCGTGACCTTTCTTCTTACAATGATCACACATTAATGACTTCTTGTCCTCATGCTTGTAAGCTCCCTTGTTTGCCGATGGTAACTCGCTTTTCCCACTAAAGAGACCAAAAGATCCTTGTTCCTTTTGGACTTGAGAGCACACACTATCAAGGCTTGGGAGCTTTTCAGCTCTTAAGAGATGCTTGATGAGATCGTTGTAGGATGAGTTTAAGGTTAGGAGGAGAGCAAAGACCTTGTCTTGTTCCCTTCTTTCGTTGAGAGTTGCTGGATCGAGAGTACTTGGCCTCAACATCTCGAGTTCGGCCCAAAGAGATCTAAATTTCCCAAAGTGCTTGGTGAACTCCATGTCTTCTTGACTCAGATTGTTGATGGCCTTCTTTACTTCAAATACCCTAGTGAGATTGGAGAGATTGCCGTACACGTTCTTGAGTGTATTCCAAAGGTCAATCGCAGTCTCACAATAGGAATATGCTTCCAGTATTGGAGCATCCAAGGAGTTTTGGAGAAGCGAGAGAACAGCTTGATCTTCTTGGAACCATTTCTCTTTCTTGGCTTCTTTGGTGTCCTTCTCGGATGAGCTCTTCTTCTCATCGTCTTCTTTGTCGGCTTCGTTTGAGGATTGGACATTTTCGATATGGCTCCACAACCCTCGGCCACAAAGAACAGCCTTTGTAGTTCTAGACCACAAAAGATAGTTTGGTCCTTTGAGAACGACCGGAAGCATAACCGGTTTAGTAGTGTTCTCCGTTAGATCCATAAAAGAAAAAAAAAAAAAACTTAGGAGATGAATAAACGAGAAAGGCGAGATCTTTGAATGAAATGAAGAGTTAATGAGGTTGAAAAACGGATCTACGCTCTGATACCATGTTGATATTGCGGAAGTAATAAGAGAGATTTGGAGAATAAGTAAAAAACAGAGAGAGTTGTAAGAACAGGAGAGTTGATGTTTTTGTTGAGAGATTAAATAGAAAATAGGAGAAAGATGATTGTATTAATTAATTTCTAGTATTTGCGTTACATTTCCCTTTTATAGGAGTTACCAAAGAGGTAAGAACTAGGTTTAGAGGCAACACAATGATGACTGATGAGAGGCCGCCAAAGTGGTCCAACGAGTAAGCCGTACGGTTTGTTTGTATTAGGAGGACAATGCCGCGTCACTCCTTATCAACAAACGGCTATATGTGTGTTCCAGCGCCTTCTAGAAGACTTCTCCTTGGGCTTGTCTTGATAAAGGCCTCAAGCTTTGATATCTCTCGGCCTTTAACACTTATGCACATACTAGGCCATATTGACTTGCTTGTTGACCGTATGGTCACCTCTTCTTGATCAACTCTTACACCCGAATGTTCTCTTCTTTGTTAGTTCCACCAACACTGCTATCCATCACTTTCATCGACCCATCTCCTTATTGTTAGACATAAGTAAGCTTGGTCAATAGTGCTAAATGAAGAGAAAGGATTCTCTGGTGTGATCAACTATGTAAACCTTTTGCTGGAATGGAGCTAGCCGAATTGCAGGGGTTGTGAAAAGAAGTCCTTGAGATGTGGTTTCAAGAACAAGGCCTCCCTCGAAGTCAAATGCTTCGCTGATCTACCCGGTATGATCTTTATGGTTTTAACTTCTTCTTCTTCTTCTTCTTTACTTATAAGTTATAATCGAAGAAAACTCCATCATTGGTAAGGCTGAAGAAGTAGTTTTGGTAGAAAACTTCAAATCCAGGTATTCTTTTAGGTTTAGATTAATCAAGAAAATTATTTACTCATCGAATAAAAAAGGAGAGAAATCCTAGTAGGAATTAAATTTGGAAATTAATAATTGACTAGTGGATTAGTTAGTTTTTTTTTGGTCGAAGACTAGTTAAAATTTAACCAACGGAAGCATTCTCAATTTCTCATTCCCCACGCTAGCTAGCGATCGCTAGAATACTCCGTATAATTTTTTTTATTAAACTGACATTTGTTGAAATAAACAAAATATCAACCCAAAATCCTAATCAATTAAACTCTCTACTTCGACTGTTTAAAACTCATTCTTGATATGTTATCCGGCAGATGAAACAAGCAGTAGATTACCAGTAATTATAATCCTCTGCACAATCGTAGGAATCACCATCTTCACTGCTTGTATGGCTATGCCCATTTGCAACTCAGAGAGGTTTGTCTTTCAGAGAAGACAAAATGCTGCTATCGCAGACACAGCCCTAACGCAGCAGCCAAGAGGGGATGTGGTCACTACAGGTCTTGACCAGTCTACAATAGAGTCATACAAGAAAGTGGAGTTAGGAGAAAGTAGAAGGCTTCCGGGTACTAATGGTATCATCTGTCCCATTTGTTTATCAGAATATGCTAGCAAAGAGACTGTACGGTGCATGCCAGAATGTGATCACTGTTTCCACGTCGAATGTATCGATGCATGGCTCAAGATTCATAATTCATGTCCTGTTTGTCGTAACTCACGCTCGTAATGAAGGTAGTTGTCCGAATATGAAGTATTTCAACATTGTAATGAACGTCACTAATTATTCTGTTTTGTGATAAATACGTGTTTATTTGGAGTGAAGATGTATATATGTGTGGGTATTTCAAGTTGGATTTATTATCTAGTTATTATCCAAATAGATAAACACCCCATTTACGTAACATATATACTTCAATATTTGACCATTCTTCGAAAAAGACATATACAATTCTCTGACTAATTTCCTCTTAGTGACTATATAAGAAATTGTTGAACTCTTTCATAAAATTTCGTTTTAACAATTTCCCTTAGTATCGGACCACATTATGTCTCTCTCAAAACAACTCTCCCCTTTAATTTTCCTCGTCCTCTTCATCTTCCCTCTCCAACACGCCTCAAGCCCTAAAAAATGTTCTTCATCCTATTCAGAATCATATGATAATACATGTGGACGATTCGGAATTCCCATTCGTTTTCCTTTCTGCGACCACAAAGATTTCAATCTCCGCTGCAACGACCTCAACAAGACAGTCCTAGACCTTCCTTTGTCCGGAACATTTCTTGTCACGAAAATAGACTACATAAAGCAGCAGATTTCTATCAACGACCCTGAAGACTGCTTTGTGAAGAGGCTTTTAACCTTCAATACTTCAGGATCTCCTTTCTCTCCTCGTTTCAGTCTCCAATACACGTTCTTGACTTGTCCGAATGAGGTCTTGAAGCCGTCTTGGTATCCGCCCATCCGTTGCCTAAGCAATTCTACCTCCTCTTTTTTCGCCACGTCTAATTTGACTCTCGCAAATTCGATGCTACCTTCTTGCCAGATCGTGAAGAGAGTAGCTGTGCCGGTTAATCTGCTGTTTGAAAATGATAAATTTGCTACTCTCATCAACATTGTCGACGTCGTGCTGGAATGGAGCTCACCGAATTGCAGAGGCTGTGAAATGGATTCCTTGAGATGTGGTTTCAAAAACAAGGCTTCCCTCGAAGTCAAATGCTTCGCTGATAAATCCGGTACGATCTTGATTATTTTAACCTCTTCTTCTTCTTCTCCTTTTTCTTATAATCGAAAAGAACTCCATTATTGTTAAGGCTGAAGAAGTTTTGGTGGAAAACTTCAACTCCAGGTATTCTTTTAGGTTTAGGTTATTCAAGTAATTATTTACTCACTAAAAAAAATTGAGAAATCCTAGTAGGAATTAAATTGGGAAAATGATGAATGACTTAATCTGCTTCGAATTATTTTCAAATTTAATATTTCACTTCAACCAACCCATTACGCTACCAAACAATATTAGATTTTTCTTTTCTTCTGAATGCAGCTAACACTTAAACAAAACAAAATACAATCATATTAGATTCATTTTCAATAGCTTTACCAACAAAAAAAAAAGATTCGATTTAAAAAGATTCAACTTGATAACCACATGAATTAAACTGAAAAATTTTAAAATAAACAAAAATCAACCAAAATCCTAATCAATAAAACACTCTACTTGAACAGTTTAAAATCATTCTTGAACCGTTATTCAGCAGGTCATATAAGCTCTAGATTACGACTACTAATTATAACCCTCTGCATAATCGGAGGAATCACCGCAACTTTTATTGCTATACGCGTTTACAATTCCGAGAGGTTTGTCAATCAGAGAAGACAAAATGCAGCAATCGCAGCCAGAACCATAACGCAACAACCACGAGGGGTTGTGGTCACTACAGGTCTTGACCAGTCTACAATAGAATCATACAAGAAAGTGGAGTTGGGAGAAAGTAGAAGGCTTCCGGGTACTAATGGTATCATCTGTCCCATTTGTTTATCGGAATATGCTAGTAAAGAGACTGTACGGTGCATATCAGGATGTGATCACTGTTTCCACGTCGAATGTATCGATGAGTGGCTCAAGATTCATGGTTCATGTCCTGTTTGTCGGAACTCACGCTCGTAATGGAAGTAATTGTTGTTTGAATATGAAGTATTCCGAGATTTTAATGAATCTCACTAATTCTTCTTTTTGGTGATATTAATCGATCAAATAATTCTGGAGTTTCCGTAAATCAGGTTTTATTACATGTTCAAACATATCAAAAACAAGCATACATAGCTAATGATCAAATGATACATAGTTTTATTTATTCGCAAGGCATAATATATAATAATGATTATATAGTAATACTTAAAGGGCACAGTAAGTGGTGAGATCAGATATGTCTTTCCTTGCATTAGGTAAGTTGCTGAATTTCAAGAAACCCCAAAAATCAAAAGGCTTATAGAGACGAGGATGTTCATCATCTACCATCTCCTCAGGCGCATTTATGATCACTCCTTCTTTAGGAATTGTGAACAGTGCAGCCACATACCGATCTTTCTTTCCGGTTATAACCACACGGTGAAGCGGAGGAAATACCCCACCATTCAACAGTACCTACAACACCATATTCTTACATATGTTAAATCACATAATTAAAGGTTATAAAAGAATGAAACTTGAGAGTCAAGGAAGCTTAATTTTAGTTACATGAAGAGAAGCTCCGGCCATAACAATGAAAGAAGAGGCTTGAGATGGCTTAACTTTGATCCACTCTTCGCCATCTTTGGTTTTGATCTCCAAGCCATCTACTGCATCGTTCTGGCAGAGTATTGTGAGGAAATGCCTATCGATATGAGGGTAAAAACCTATCTTATTCTCTGTATTATCATCGGAAAGTCCTTTGTATTTAAGTAACTGAAAGTGCTTATTCGCTGAGTTAAGATGCTCCTCCATGTATTTCTCGAGTCCGAAACTCTCCAGAGTCATTGTCCTCACCTTCAAGTTTAATTCTATTAACTTCTCCGCAAACGACTGAACATTCTTGCTGAAATATATATGTAATACATCTTAGTATTTATAATCGATATATACCTCTGTTTTAACATTTTTAAATGATTAACCATCATTCATGATATATAAAATATTGTAAACATATACTATACTGATATTAGACTGAACTTTATAGACGATTATATAGTTAAGTGAGACAAATATTTGGTTTACATGTATTAGAGCGGATTTTAGGTGATAAAAAAATAAATTCATCAATCTATCTTCATCACACTCCGCTTATTGGTTAAAATGTTCTGATTGGTTAGATTAAAAAAATTTTGCATTAAAAAGGTGACAAATCATGAATTAAAGTTGACAAATCATGAATTGCCCAAAGTGGAGAAATCAGAAACGAAGATTTATTGGTGTCATTAAACCATGATAGAGAAATGGTCCAAATTTTTTAAGACGAAAAAGGGTTAAATTAAATATTTTTAATAAGTTATTATAAAAAAATTATAGATAAAAATCGTAAGTGTCATTCAAAGAGATAATTAAATATATATTTTTCGTAAGTTATTATAACAGCTTTATTTTGTTCTAAAAACTTAACACAAAACTAAAGCTAAAACTAATATTAAAATATAAAAACTTATCTTAGAACTCATTTTTATTTCAAAAGTTGTTAAAAACCAAATACTAAATAAATTACCATTCACATTTTTAAATAAATTAAAACCAAGAACCAAATATTTCTGTAAAAGCCTACAAAAATTCATTGCCAAAAGTTTGTTTCAAGTGATAACTGATAAGAAGGGTACCTGACGAAGATGTTGCCTTGATGCCAAAGCTTGTGAGTCAAGTCATTAACAACATTAGGATTATCAACACCATAAAAGCCCATGCCCTCTTGTAAAGGGACTCTCGGAATAGTCAAGTATCCTTCGTAATGCACGTCTGTCTTTGTACTCAGTTTGGTCTCCAATGGCAAATCGAAAACCTCCTTGGAGGCCTCGAACAAGGCCTTCCTTAGCTCCATGGAAGCTCCATCGAACAAGGCCTCGAAACATCCGTACTCTTCTAAGGCTTTTCGGACTTGGGATCTCACCAAGTCCCACTCGGGGGTTTCCGGTTTGAGATCTTGACTGGAGAAGTCGATGATCGGGAGCGAAAGGGGAAGTTGGGTTTCCGAACTTATCGCCATCTTTAGTTGGTGTTGTGTAAAGATTTCAAGATTAGGAGGAGAAACCTAAGAGGAGAAAGGCCAAGTGTTCACATATATAGTCCAAGTGTTCACCACGTGTTCACACATATTTCGGCCCAAAAGACCAAACATGACAACCCACTCAAATATCACATTTAAACATTGATCATATGATTACATACCATTTAAATATTGATCAAAGGATTACATACCAAATCAACAATAAAAAATAATTAGAAAATTATGAAAATAAAGAAATAAATTGTATTTATTTTATGAAATAAGAAAATTAACTTTATATAAAAAATCAAAACTTAAATAGAAAAAAATCTCTTAACAATAATAACAATTCTAGAAAATGAATCCTAAGGGGATGTATTGGAACTAGGATTTTAGAAAATTTTGGGGGTTTATAAAAATCACTTGTTATTGAACTTGTGATTTTTTTCTTTCTCAAATCCCATGTTATTGAACTTGCAATTTATATAAAATCATTTAAAATAGCTTAGAATCTTCTAAGATTTTTATATTTTTGTCTTTTCATTAAGCAACCTTAGAAAATGAATCATCTTATTATTTGCATTTTTAAGAGTCTTACACTTGTGTCTTTTCACTAAGCAACTATAGAAGATGAATCTTAGGGTAGCGTCTTTTCATTAGCGTTTTTTTTCGTTGTAATTTTTACTATGTATCTTTTCGTCTTTAATCGTTTTTATTTTTAGTGGCATCCTTTAAGAGGTTTATAGTTGTGTCTTTTCATTAAGCAACTCTAGAAAATGAATTGTAGGGTTCAGTTTTTTTTACCCGTAATTTTGTTATTTTGTTTATCAAGTAATTGTTTATCTTATTAGTGGCATCATTTAAGTTTTTTTTTTTCTTATAATTGTGTCTTTTCATTATTATTTTTGCTATCTACCTTTCATAATAACAATCTTGGAAATGAATCATAGGGTTGTGTCTTTTCATTAGCATACTTTCGTTATATTTGTTATCACGTATCTTTTTGTCGTTAATCGCTTATCTTATGAGTTATAGTTTTTTAAGTTTTTTTTTAATCCTATAGTTCCGTCTTTCTGTTACTGCCTTTCGTTATTTTTTTTATCAAGTACTTTCTGTTGCTAATTGCTTACCTTATAAGTTGCATCACTTAAGATTTTATAGTTGTATATTTTTATCTTGTAGAGTACACTGAAAACATGATTCAATTACTGATTCGAAAGCAATCCTTACCCAAGATAGCCTATTTCTAATGCGTTCCATTTTATCGATCCAATCTAATACTTTTTAGATTTTGCGTCGATTTTAAGGTATTAATTGTGTTTGGAATTAATACCTTAAAATCATTTAATTTTGAACTTATTCAACCTTTTGAAAATTTGTGTTGGTGATAAATATGATTTTTATTTATTTATTAAATTTCAAATTGGAACTAACCTAGTTATCATCTAAATAGATAAACACTCCATTATAAGAACATATATACTTCATTTGACTATTCTTCTAAAAAGACATATATAATTATCTTTATCTGACTTTCCTCTAATTAGTGACTATATATAAGAATCGTTGAACTCCTTCAAAACAATTTCGTTTAACAATTCCATTATGACTCTCTCAAAACAACTTTTGCCTTTATTTTCCCTCTTCGTGTTCCTTTTCCCTCTCCGACACGCCTCAAACCCTCAAAAATGTCCTTCATCCTATACGGAATCATATTTCAATAACTGTGGACGATTTGGAGTCTCCATTCGTTTTCCTTTCTGCGGCCATCCAGGATTCAATCTCCACTGCAACAACCTCAATAAGACAGTCCTAGAGCTTCCTATGTCCGGAACATTTCTTGTTGATAGAATCGACTACTCAAAGCAGCAAATTTCTATCAGTGACCCTGAAGACTGTATGGTCAAAAGGCTTTTAACCTTCAATACTTCAGGATCTCTTTTCTCTAATGGCTTAAGTACTGTCTATTACACGTTCTTGACCTGTCCGAATGAGGTCGGGACGCCGTCTTGGTACCAGCGCATCCGTTGCCTAAGCAATTCTACCTCTTCCTTCTTTGCCACGTCTAATATGTCACTCGCAAATTCAATGCTGCCTTCTTGCCAGATCGTGAAGAGACTAGCTGTTCCGGTAAGCGTGTATTTAGAAGATGTGCTAAATGAAGAGAAAGGATTCTCTGTTGGGATCAACTATGTTAAACTTTTGCTGGAATGGAGCTCGCCTGATTGCAGGGGTTGTGAAAAGAAGTCCTTGAGATGTGGTATCAAGAACAAGGCCTCCCTCGAAGTCAAATGCTTCGCTGATCCATCCGGTATGATCTTTAATGTTTTCTCTTCTTCTTATTTCCTTCAAGAAAAGTTCTGTTTTGTTAAGGCTGAAGAATGTTTTGTGGAAAACTTCAAATCAAGGTTTTTTTTTCTCGGTCAAAGCAAGATAATCATGTAGGTTTAGGTTGTTCAAGTTATTTACTCATTTTAAAAATCCTAGTAGGAATTAAATTTGGCAATGATGAAATGACTATTGATTAATTAATAATTTGGTTGCTTGAAAATACTAATTATCAAATTTAATATTTCACTTCAACCTACGGAAATATTATTCTCATTCGTTCCACACGCTAGAAGCCTAGAATACTCCGTATAAAATCCCGGTGGCACTGTACTTGATCTAAATTAACTTTAACCGATTCAATACAGAAATGTTTTGTAAATAAAACATAATTATTTCCATTTAAATGAGTTACATTTTTGACAAAAAGAAGGTTCATTTTTGACATACTACAAATTTAAACCACATTGTGTATTTCAAATCTATAAATAAAATATACGTTCTAATGAAAAAACCGAACTGAAACAAACAAAATTAAATCATATATATATCTACATATATATATATATATATATATATATATATATATATATATATATATAAAACATAATCATATTATATTCAAGTTCAACTTGATAACTACATTACTTAAACTGAAAACTATAAAGAAAACTTACTAAAATTCTTATCTTTTATCAACAACATTCAATATGCGGTTTTCAATTAGGCTGGTGATCGCACAACAATGACATTAATTAATACAAACCTACAAATCTTGATCATTATTTCCTAAGTAACTGAAACACTATATATACACGGTTTAGACTCATTCTTGAAACGTTATTTGACAGGTCATTTAAGCACGAGATTACGAGTACTAATTATAACCCTCTGCGCAATCGGAGGTTTCACCGTCTTCGCTACTTGTTTTGCTGTCCGCATATACAATTCCGAGAGGTTTGTCAATCAGAGAAGACAAAATGCAGCTATCGCAGCCAGAACCATAACGCAACAACCACGAGGGGTTGTGGAGATTACAGGTCTTGATCGATCTACAATAGAGTCATACAAGAAAGTGGAGTTGGGGGAAAGTAGAAGGCTACCGGGTACTAATGGTATCATCTGCCCCATTTGTTTATCGGAATATGCTAGCAAAGAGACTGTACGGTGCATACCAGAATGTGATCACTGTTTCCACGTCGAATGTATCGATGAGTGGCTCAAGATTCATGGTTCATGTCCTGTTTGTCGGAACTCACGCTCGTAATGGAAGTTGTTGTTGTCAATATACTGTATCAACATTATAAATCTATACTATTAATTGGGAATCACTAGATAATAAAAAACCTTTAAGTTGTAGAATATTACATAGGATGCCATTAATTTTTTAAAATTTGAAGAAAGATTAAAATATTTTACATTTTAATTAGAATTTAAATGATATAAATTTTGAAATATCTTTTTAAAAATGGGTAGTTTAGATTTTTAAATATTTCCTTAACAAATATATATACACAATAAATACGCAATAACAAATCTTTCTATAGATATATATATACGCAACAGTAATGTTAAAATCTGAATGTTCTCAAAATATTGCTACAAAAAAAGATTTAGGAAAATTAATTTTAATTAAAAGATTTACACATTAATTACAATTAATTCAAAATGATTATCTAAAATTTATTCACATTAAACCCTCTCTTCATTTTAAGATTTTGTTAAGATTCGTTTTAAAAAATTATGGAGCAAGTTTATCAAATAAATTTAAAATATCTATATTTAATAAATTTGTCTCATATTAGAAATGTATTCTCTTATGCGACATGAATTGGGAAACGGGTATAGGATATAATGGAATATAAAGAAAACAAACCGAATTACGCCAACTTCTAAATATTTGTATTTGTTTAATCATTTTTAACGGTTTTATATACGGTTTGATAGTTCACAAGTTTAATAAAAATCTAACTAACCATTAATCCGTTTCAATTTGATCCCGGTCCGACCGCTAAGTTGTTACAAATTTTAAAATACTGCTGAAACCATTATTATTTCAAATATTCAAATATTAATAAGCTAGATTAAAACCAAACTAAAAATTAAACTAAATACCCAACTGATGAGTTCGAGTTATAAATACTATATAAAAATATATTTGTTTACATCAATCTAACCTATATTATATTTCAATCTAAGATATTTTCCTAATCTACTCTTCAGTCTTCAGTTTTAAATTCCAAAATTTGACATATAGTTCACAATAGTAGTTATTGTGTCATAAACAATATAAATAATATTCTACACTTTTTTGGGTATATTATAATTTATATATACTACAATATATATCACCAAAACAACAAAATAATATATATTTACTAACAATTTATTACAATACATTTCTTAAAATATGAAACCCCGCACGTATGTGCGGGTCATGATCTAGTACGTGTTTATATGGGCTGAAGATGTTCTGGATTAACAACTAATAATATTGTTTAAGCAGCTTATATATACAAATAAAATAAAAAAAATCCCAACCTTTTCTCAACTATTTCATTCACTAAATAAATTTCTAACCTTGCGTTGATTTGAACTGTCATTAGACACGCTCTTCTGTCATGAAATGCTTACAATTTACGTTATTTTATTCTTTAACAAGATAAAACAAATTAAACGAACAAAAACACTTGCTACACAAGCCTAAACAATAGGAAACTACACACCAGCATAATAATATCCTATCATAATTAAAATAAAATAAATATATATATACACTATCACATTTCTTAAAATTAACTAATGAAATTAGTATCCACAAAAGAAAAGGCACAACACTCACAAATCCAACATAAACCCTAGTCCGTGTATCTATCTTCTCCTTCCAGCTTTAGGATGATGAGAATTCTTCTACAACACGCAACGCGTCACAGGGTTCGCTCCTTCGGAACCCTATCATCCCCCACAACGGCGAGCCAAACATTGCAGCATCGTATCACCGATGCTCTCCATCGGAATGCACAAATCATTCCAGTGCTAGAACAGTGGCGACAACAGGGTAATCAAGTGAACCCTTCGCACGTGAGAGTCATCATCAAAAAGCTTCGTGATTCCGACCAATCTCTCCAAGCCCTTCAGGTTTTCATTCTCTCCCTTTCCCCAATTTGGTTTAATTTCTCCATCTCTTATAGGTTGATGCCTTGTGGTTGATGTTATTAGGTATCAGAGTGGATGAGTAAAGAAAAGATCTGCAATCTAATCCCAGAAGATTTTGCAGCTCGGCTTCATTTGATAGAGAATGTTGTAGGTTTAGAAGAAGCAGAGAAGTTCTTCGAAAGTATTCCAAAGAACGCAAGAGACGATTCTGTTTACACCACTCTCTTAAACTCGTACGCAAGATCAGACAAAACTCTGTGTAAAGCCGAAGCCACGTTCCAGAAAATGAGGGAGTTAGGTCTCCTCTCGAGACCTTCTCCTTACAACGCAATGATGTCTCTCTACAGTGCACTAAAAGATCGAGAAAAAGTGGAAGAGCTTTTGCGTGAGATGAAAGATAACGACGTGGAGGCCGATAGTATCACAGTAAACAACGTGTTGAAGCTATACTCGGCTCTGTGTGACGTGACCGCGATGGAGAAGTTTTTGAATAAGTGGGAAGGGATTCATGGGATCAAACTTGAGTGGCTTACGACTCTTGACATGGCAAAGGCTTACCTGCGAACCCGTTCAAGTGGAAATGCTATCAAAATGCTGCGTTTAACAGAGGAATTGGTGGATCGTAAGTCGCTAAAATCAGCTTACGACCATCTCATGAAGCTGTATGGTGAAGCTGGAAAGAGAGAAGAGGTTTTACGTATATGGAACCTTTACAAGACGAACATAGGACAACGTGATAACAATGGTTACCGAACTGTGATCCGTTCGCTTTTGAAGGTAGACGATATTTTTGGGGCAGAAGAGATATACAAAGTGTGGGAATCGTTGTCGCTTGAGTTTGATATCCGAATCCCGACTATGTTGGCCTCTGGTTATCGAGAGAGAGGAATGATAGAGAAGGCTGAGAAACTCATAAACAGTAAAACCATTAAGGACAGAAAAATGAATAAGCCCGTCACTCCGCTTTTGGAGCAATGGGGAGATCAAATGAAACCGTCTGATCTTAAATGCCTTATCAAGAATCTCCGTGATTCCAATCAGTTTTCCAAAGCACTTCAGGTTTGTTGATTATAAAATCTCCCTTTTACACTTCCACTCTATAATATTATTGACGATTACTTTGACAAGCTTGTTTTCAATTGGTTAGGTTTCCGAATGGATGGGTGAAAAACGGGTTTGTAATCTTTATTCGGAAGATTATGCAGCTAGGCTTTACCTGACTGAGAATGTGTTGGGTTTGGAAAAAGCAGAGAAGTACTTTGAAAACATCCCTGAGAACATGAAGGATTATTCCGTCTACGTAGCTCTCTTAAGCTCTTACGCGAAATCTGATAAAAATTTGGGTAAAGCCATGGCCACTTTCAAGAAGATGAGAGAGCTAGGGTTCCTCTTGAAACCTTTACCATTCAACTTGATTCTCTCTTTTAACGGTCAAGAAAATATGGTGAAAGAGATTCTTCATGAGATGGAGGAGAACAACGTGGATCCTGATAGTATCACGGTGAACTATGTTTTAAAGGTATACGCGGCTGAATCAAAGGTGGAAGCAATGGAAATGTTTATGAGACATTGGGGTAGAGAAGATGGAATCAAACTAGAAAGAGGCACAATGGTTGCAATGGCAAAGACTTACGCTAAAACCGGTTCAACAAAAAAAGCGGTAGAGATGTATGGTGATGTGGCAGGTTGTAAAAGAGAGGTGCACAATCTTTGGGAAGAATGTAAGAATAAGAAGGAAGAAAAAGTGGGGGATGGTAAGGAATGTTTAAATGTGGTTAGCACTTTGTTGAAGCTGGACGATGATGGATATCGAACTGTGATTAGCTCTTTGTTGAAGCTGGATGATGTACAAGGAGCAGAGAAGGTATATGGAGAGTGGAAACCGAAGGGACGGAAGCTGGATTTGAGCATACCGGGTTTGCTGATTTCTCGGTTTTGTAGAGAAGGGAATGCATTGAAGGTTGGGGAAATGTTAAAGTCGATTGGAAAGAAGAGGAATGGGATGCATTTAAGGATGTTGAAGGAATTTGTAGTCAGCGTCTTGATATGTGTTGCCGTTGTTGTGGGCGTCTTATTTTTACTGCTCCTATACTGTTGGGTCCACCCATACAGATATTACCGCTACTACTAACCCTTGTTCTAATAAACGCTAGGCGCTAGTCGGGCGGCCGGGGTGGGCCTAGCGCCTAGCGGGATTACTCGGGGATTAAACGGGATTACTCGGGGATTAACTTTAGATACTTTTAATTTAGATTTATGTATATATATTAAAAAAACGTAAGTGTACATTGATGATAACGTGGTACAGTGGTCTGTCTCCTTCCTTTGACCTTGGGAACGAGGGTTCGATGCTCAATTTTGATATTTATCTCTTTTTTTTTTAAGAATCGCAAATTTACAAAATTGCCCCCTTCCCCTTCCTTTCTCCCTGCGACAACAAAACCCTAGTTTCTGCGTTTTTTTGTTTTTTTTTTCACAATTCCATCGTTTTCATGTTTTTCTTGTAGGTTTATACCAAATTATGATAGATCTATTAGTTAACTATCGATTTCTAACTTAAATCAAAGCAAAATATGAATTTTTTTCTGAAACTCCGATTTGTTGGACGATTTGGACAAATCGCAACGGTCCACCACCGCCGAGCGCCTCGCCGGCGACTAATCGGCCGCCTAGTCCGCGTTTTTGAACAAGGCTACTAACTAGTAAAAAAGAAATGAATTTTCCATTTAGATTTTTTTTTCATTTAGATATATTATGAATCAAGAGTTATTATTGATAGTTTATGGGTATTTCTTTATTATGTAAATACATATTTTGATTTTGTAATCTATCGAAACAAAATCAAATTATTTCTTTGTATTCTTTTTGTAACATACAGGTTAAGTCTGTGATTGTGCAACACAACGATTGTCTCTATAACTGTGGTTAGCACTTTTTTTCCAATATTTCATGCAGGACTACAAATAGTTTTTGGGTCCAGATATTCCTAACACAATCCGACAATCGTGTAACACTTCAGAGTATGTGTATAAATTTGAATTAAAAAGGTAAAATAAACTTCAACGATGATCAGTCACACCACTTCTTGAAGACTCGTCAATTTCTTATAAAACCCATCGGATTTAGATACAAGTTCTCTGTGACTTCCCTTCTCCACAACTTTTCCTTTATGCAACACAACGATTGTGTCTGCTTTTCTTATGGTCGAGAGCCTATGAGCCACCAGCACCGTGGTTCGTCCCTTCATCAACTTGTCTAGTGCCTCTTGGACCAGTTTCTCCGAGCTCGTATCCAAAGCACTTGTTGCCTCATCAAGGAGAAGCACTGAAGGATCTTTTAGAACTGCCCGTGCGATAGCCACTCTCTGTTTTTGCCCACCTGATAACTGCACTCCCTTATCACCCACGTGCGTCTTGTACCCTTCTTCCATCCTGCTTATGAACTCGTGCGCGTTCGCGGCTTTTGCGGCTTCAATGATCTCTGCCTCTGACGCGTTCTCGTTCCCATACTTGATGTTCTCGTGTATGGTTGTTGAAAACAGAGCCGGTTCCTGCTGAACTAACGCTAGCTTCTTGCGCAAGCTACGTAGGTTTAGAGTTTTTATATCCTGCCCATCGATACAGAGATTTCCCTTGCATGGATCGTAGAATCTCATGATCAGTCCGATCACCGTGCTCTTTCCCGAACCACTAGGTCCCACGACCGCAAGACTTTTCCCGGCAGAAACTTGGAGATTTAGATTTTGGAAAATGGCGATTTCAGGTCTCGTGGGATACGCAAAGCTCACGTTTCTAAACTCTATATCTCCTTTGATATGAGTGACCAATCTTGAGTTAGGCTGGTCTGGAGTTATTTCAGTCTCTCTATGTAAAACCCTAAAAACTGACCCGAGTGCTTGTGTGCCCTTCACGATATCTGGGGTTAACGCAAGCGTTTCCGCAACAGAGTAAGCAGTAACGAGCAATACCATGAAAGATTTGATACTATCCTCAAAGTTTGTCTCGTTGCGCTTAATCAAAACTGAGATGTACCAGAGACCAAGTGCGTAGGAACAGAACGCGAGACACTGAGACAAACCGTATCCGAATCCAGAGATATGACCTCTGAGTAAGGCACTCTTGGTGGGTTTGCTTAGTTCACAAGTAAACTGTTCAGAGATTTGCTTTTCAGCACCAAATGCAGCCACGGTCCTTATATTCGCAATCGCTTCACGAGCCAATGAAGTTGCCCTAGAGTAAGCCCTTGTGTAATCTCCTCCAAAGCCTTTTAGAAATAGTTGCTGTAAAATATAACATTCAAGCTTTTTCAGTTTCAAGATTCAAAATATGGTTGAGAGTATCTTTATTTTTGAGTTACCTCGGTAAGTGAAGCGGCAATGAGAAGAGGAAAACAAGCAGTTACGACAGCTGCAACACGCCAGCTGTAGAAAAAGGCAAGTGCTAAGGCTGTGATAGTAAGTGATAGGTTTTGGACTATTGTCGAGAGGCGATCCGCTATAGCACTCCTCACCAAGGTTGCATCAGCAGCTAAGATTGAAGTGAGTGAGCCAGTGTTGTTCTCATCCAGATCAAACCACCCGATCTCATTTGAAAGAATCGCTGAAATTGTTGTAAAGATATATAAACAATTCAAGAATCGAATCGGTCTCAAAACAAGGATGTTTAAATTTTTTGTGTTTACCTGAGAACAAGGATAAGCGAACCCGAGAAGTAAGACGCTCTCCCATAAGTGTATAGAAGTAATGTTGGAGAAGATATATAGGTGCTGTTACTATTCCAACTCCAACAAAGATAATAGCTACCTTATCGACTTCGCGCTTGATCAAACTAGGAAAAGGTGAATAAAACGTGGTTAACACGTAAGCAAGCCCCATGGAGAACAATGCAGGTTGTGATCCGGCTAGAACTGCACCAATTGAGCCAAGTAATGCATAAAGCCATTCTGGAGCATTCAACTTTATAAGTTCCCATATCATTGAAGACGAGCTTAAATCTCCGACATTTGAATCTTTTTCAGTCTTCTCGTAGTCTTCCCTGAAGCTGGAAGTCCTTCTTGAGCTAAAAACTCTTCTTGAACTATAAGATCCAGCTTGAGATCTACAAGATTCATACATGACTGATCTCAAGTTTTCTTGAGGTTCTGTGTCTTGACAATTCACAAGAGTCGCGTAATCCCCTCCTCTTGACATCAGTTCTGAGTGGCTTCCGGTTTCCATAACTTGACCATCTCTCAATACAACAATCTTGTCAACATTTCGAATGGTTGACAATCTGTGTGCAACGACTATTGTTGTTCTTTTTTCCATGACATTGTCAAGTGCTTGCTGAACAATCTTCTCGGATTCGGCATCTAGAGCGCTAGTTGCTTCATCCAAAAGTAATATCTTTGGATTTCTTAGAACCGCTCGAGCAATTGCAATCCTCTGTTTCTGTCCTCCAGAGAGCTGAGTTCCTCCTTCTCCAACCTATTTATAATGGTTTAACCAGTAAGGAAGTGGAAATATGTGTAGATGAGTATGAAAATTCGGATAATATACCTGAGTATTGTAACCATTAGGTAATGATTTAATGAAAGAATCTGCGTTGGCTGCTTTAGCAGCTTCTATGATCTGATCCATATTCGCTTTCTCTTTACCAAGAAGAATATTGGAAGCGATAGTTGTGGCGAATAATGCTGGTTCTTGACTCACTAATCCCATCTGTTCTCTTAACCATTTTAGCTTCAGGCTCTTGATGTCATTCCCATCCAAGAGAATGTCCCCTGAGTTAGGTTCATAGAAACGTTGCACCATTGATATGATTGTGCTTTTCCCCGAACCACTTGGACCGACAAATGCAAAAGTCATGCCTGAATGTATTGTGAAACTAAGATCCTCAAAAACCATGTATGGTCTCGAAGGATATGCGAAAGACACTTGACGAAACTCAATCCTCCCAACTACGTTTTGCAATGTTGTTCCGTTGTCTAATCTCTCAAAGCTTTCAAGATTGTTGCTTCCTATCATTCTGAAAATATTTGCAGCAGCAACTCTGCCTTTGGAAATTGCGGATAAGCTAGGAACGGCTTGACCTAAGGCGCTGCAAATGTAAGAAAATAATTTGTATGGTGCAATTTGATGATATATCAAGAAAATGTCTCGGATTTCTCGGACTTACAATCCACTGTAAATGACATTGAGGATCGTTGTGAAAGCTTTTGCACCGTTGGTTTTGCCGTGGCGTACAAGAAGACTTGCATACCAAAAAAGCAATGCCCAAGCACAGAACAAGAGGCTATATGTTAATCCAACTCCTAAGCCTTTAGCAAGACCACTTCTTTTACTGAGTTTCAGAGCTTTCTTGAGAGAATTTGAGTAAGATTTTACAGCTTTCTCTTCCCCAACAAATGCATACACTGTTCTCACCTGTGATATGACCTGATAATCCATAGAGAGAATTGTGTATTTCAGGATCAATCCAAGTGTTAAGAACTGAATAAAAAACAGATTTAGGTCTTGATTTTTTATTTGTGTTTGCTTTGATTTTCCATTTTTTAGCATGTTATACAAAATTCTGTTGTTAGTTCTTAAACACAAACTCCAAACGCAAGCAAGGACTTAGGTGTTTGCCACTACAATTTGCAAAAATATTTTGTGAAAAACTGAAATTATTATTGCAAAAATAATATTATTTTGTGAAAAAAGTTTTCACAAGTAAACACGCATATATTAGTTCTTTGAAACAATCTCAGCCTTGGTGTATAAAACAAACCTCTTCTGCGACTTTTCCTGCATCAGCATAAGCAGCTTCACTCTTCTCTGAGATTGTAGACATGACTATAGCATAGCCTCCTCCTGCAATTGCTATCAATGGAACCACTCCTAACGTGAGCAACGTTAGTTTCCATACCGACAAAAAACCGATGACAAATCCCGCGATGAACTGACATAAGTACCGCAATACATGGCCGGTCTGAAACAAAACAAAACATTTCATCAATTACAAATTTTTGTTTTGTGGTTAAAATTAAAGATTAGAAAGGGTACCTTATCGCCAATTGCATCTTGAACCAAGATTGCGTCGCTTGAGATGTGGAAAATGAAGTTTGAATCTCTAGCTTCAGTATCGAAGAAAGAAATGTCTTTTGCTAAGATCGATTTGAGATAATTTATACGCAATCGCGCTGTTTGTCTTTCCCCTGTTTGCATCCAACAAGCAACTCCTGCCAATAAACCATTCCAAACTGTAAACATGAAAAACAGTTTTTTGTAACACTATAAAACATATCAAGTAGCTAGACACGTACCGATCCATGCTGATACCAAATTGACCAATCCTAAGTAGACCAAGTATAGAGCATTCTTGAAAAGACAAATAACAAAAGTTTTATGAACTTATGACCAAAAAAACAAGTGAGAGAGAGAAAGAGAAAAAATATCGGTTTCTGAAGAAAAACCTGTGAAACGCGGGAAGATATGGCATTTGGGTCTGTAGAAAGATTCCCAAGAGAATCTAACATGCCCCCGAAGAACACGAAGAAGAGCGGAAGCGTACCGCCATGAATACACGTGCCTAAACCGCCAAGAAACATGAGAAAACAATCAACATTATCTGCTGCACTAAACAAACCCATCAATGACACTGATTCCTTCTTCATCTTTTTCTTCTCCTCCTTCTTCACTTCTGTCTCAGCATGGATGTTTCCATTAGAGGGTGATTCTATGTTGTCCATTCACTTAACACAGTTACTAAAACAGAGAGGTACTCAGTCCTGGAGGTACTTGAGAGCGTAGAGGAGCAGAGAGATATTTAAGGGTGTTGGGTTTCTTGTAGGAAAAAAATGGGGTAAAAATGGAAAATATAAACAAGATTCACTTGCCTCGCTCATTTAATATCATCATCGTTCTACCTAAATTTTTGACAAGTCCAGATCCGCCCGGCCGTAAGTTGACCATAACGAGTTCGTCTTTATCTTTTTTTAGAAAGTGTATACGTTTATCATGCACTTATATACTATTTAAGTTTTCATTTTTTTATTACAAGTTTGCCGTTTTATTTTAAAACGAAGCTTCTTTGTGAGTGCATAATTTTCTTTTGTATATATACAATAATGTAACTTGTAACTTCATTTATTTATGGTTCAGCTCCATGTGTTCGTTCACCTCGAACATCGACTTTTGGAGATAGTTTATTAGTAAAAGACTGGCACTAAAATATATATCATCGATTCTGTTTTAACTTTTGTAGTGGCAGATAATTGATGTTTTCGAAATAAGTAATTAGTCTTTGCAAATCTACCAGAAGACTAAACCTATTTGTAGTTTTTGTCCATAAGAATTGATACTTACTTTTTATGCTTTCTTTTGTCAACTAAAATTAAATTACGTCAAATGAATTTCTTGATTGGCTTTTCCAATCTCTCAAGTCTCAAGTATAGGCTTCGAATGGATGTTGCAGATAGAACGGACTAAATCGTTAGCGGAGTAAACCATTTTATTGTTTGATGGACAGTAATGAAAGAAAATTTTGTATGTGATGAAAGCGGTATGTAGTTGGTTTGCATCGAAGAATTTCATTTTCTGTCCATACCATTACAATTTACATGTGGAAAACTAAACGTGAATCCACAAATGGTTTTATCTGTATATATTATATGCTGGATCTATTCGAAACAATAGTTAACTTCAAAAGATATAGTCATAGAAAATGGGTCATTGGTCATTGAAAAATGTAGCTAGATACATGCATAAATGAAGATACTTGCCTCTAATTTTACGTCGGCTCTCTTATTTGACCTGGAAGATGGGTCATTGGTCACTGAAAAATGTATAGATACATGCATAAATGTATACAATTTATTATACAGTTTCAGGCCACACGTTAACTTTCAAATTGAAGGACCACATCTTTTAACTACTGTGGCGGGCAATCCACGTCCACCACCACTGCAACCCAAATTCAACTCTCACATGTTCCATGAAATATTTTTCTTTTAGTGGGTCTGTTTGTACTTTTTGAAATTAAAGGGTGTACAGAAAATTATACCCCTAAATAGAAATAGCTTGCTTAGTCATTTACGTAGCATGACATTACAACCTTGGCGAGAAAAGTTTCATCGAAGAAGAGGATTACCATATATGGTTTAGCTCTCAGAATCACTAAATCTATCATAACAAATTCATAAACCCTTCTCTGAATAGAGAATCAATTAATGACAATATACATTTTCCACCAAAGAATAAAGTGAATTAATTATAAACTCATTGTTGAATGTATTTAAACAAAGTTGTGGGCAGTTTTATTTTTAAAAAAAACGTTATGGGCACTCCACACTTGGAGCTACCTCTTTCTATTTGTTAAGGTGTTATAAATTCAGATAGAAAATGGAATCAATAACAAAATTAGCAATTGACTTTTGCATTGCTCATTAACTTCTATTTCTCTGGAACAAAAAATCTTCTATTTCTCTGTTAACAAACGGACATTGCATGGAAGATTTGGGCAGATAAAGCACATTTTAAAGTTATCTTTTCAAGGAACATTTATTATTTTTAATAAACTGGTACTCCATAAATTTGTGTTAATTATACCTTTATGGTACTTTAAATATTTTACAGCCAATTCATCCTGTAATATTTTAAAGCCGTGATTGACAAAATGCGTGATTGCATAACTATATCCAAGTTCTTAGATATTTACATCCTAATCTTCCTAGATACGAACTAACAAATTGGCTTGATATATAGCTAGAGTCGAAGGACTCCATCATATACTCTTAAACTTTCCCGTGAGTGGTTGGAGGTCCTTTTCTGAACTAACCACTAGTATTTTTGAGTCTCAGTTAATGTGTCTCATCTACCATATTAGCCTTTTTCTAGATAATACTGAATTTGGTTATTATTTTTTTTGGTCGGACTGAATTTGGTTATTATAGTAGGCATCAAATTCCATCCATTTTCAGTAATGTAAATTAAGCTCAATTTAAAAATATTTAATAAATACTTCAAACGTTAACTCACGTGATCCGTAAATAGTTAAAATTTTCCCACGTACAAATATGAAATATGATCTCCGAATCCTAAGGTAAAGCATAGCCATGAGAATCAAAGACTACTATACGTTTGTGAAATAAGATTGAATTGCAATTTAAAAGGTAAAGTAAACTAAGATACAATTAAATATAAAAAATAAATTGTATAAAGATGAAAATGTCTCAATATGATAACGCCGAAAAAGCAAATTTTTAGCTTCAAGTATATTTTCTTCACTGCATAAGTCATTTTGAGTTAAGTTGTAGGTTGTTAATAAATTCATCAAACTTTTATATTTCCTGAGGGCCGGCATGGAGCGAAGTTTCCGCTATTGGTTCTCTGTTTTCAGCTACATCTCCATAATATTCTCTCGGACATCTCACCGTGCAGCTCTTCTGTAATTTTCTTAGAAAATATTCATAATAATAGTTATTGACAACTCTTGACCAAATAAATAATATAGTTGTTGACTTTTTATTAGATTTTGAAATTGCATCATTAGCCTGTTTATATTAACATCGAATTTCTTGATCCAAGTGTAGTTGCTGGATTAAAAACAATATATGAAGTAGTTGGCTTATCATATTGATGACAACTAGCTAGTTCTCTAATTATGTCTGTTATAATTGCCATTACGTTAACACAGTCAATTAATACAAACGTATTGTAATTCCATAGAAACAATTTTATATAATACTAGTATTATTAGATTTTGAAATTATATGATTTGCCATTTTATATTGACATCGAATTTCTTGATCTCTGTGTTGCTACATTTATAAGAAAATAATCTCACCAATTTATGAAGTAGTTGGTAAAACGATTGATGACAATTATTGAGTGTCCCGTGCCCGTTACAGAACCTAGAGACACATGAAAAGGTTGTGGCAAACCACTATCACTTTGGTTCACCCATAAGTAGCACTCTTTTAATGTTGCTCTAATTGGCTTTTTAACTTCTTTTGGGCCAACGAAGCTCATGCCTTTAGGCCTATAGCTTTTTTTTTTTTTTTGTCATCTTTAGGCCTATAGCTTTTTCTTCAATTTTTGGTCAGATTTTAGAATTAATGGATAAAAATGAAATTATTGAAGATTTTAAAAGAAACCCCCATATTTTTATTTTATTTACATAAGATTTAATTACCGACTTAACTCTTGAGAATTGAGAGCGTTATGCAACGCCTTGGACGATACGCAATAAAAAATCTCCTGTCCAGGAGATCGCCGTTCATTCGATTCGCCGGAGCCCTAACGTCACCGGAGCTGAATGACACTTTACATAGTCGGATCATGGCGTTGGGACGGGAACGAAAGAAGGTTACTCCTCCGCTGGACGAATGGCTGAAACAAGGGAAAGAAATAAACCCTACGGATCTAAGAGGCCTCATCAATGCTCTCTGCGAGTCTCAGAGATTCAATCACGCCCTCCAGGTCTCAATTTCTTCCTCTTCTATCATTTTCGGATCTGATTCAGAGATTCAATCGCAATAATTCTCATAAAATGGTTATATCTCTGTGTTGACCTAAAATAAATAAAAGTCAAAGGGTTATATATCTCTGTTCTTGATGATGTATTATTAGGTCTCCGAGTGGATAAGTAAAAGAGGTATTTTCGATCTAAGCACTGAAGATTTAGCATCTCGGCTTTATCTTGTTGAGATCAGTTCAGGGTTGAAAGAAGCAGAGAAGTTCTTCAAAATCATTCCTGAAAACATGAGAGACGACTCAGTCTACATCAGTCTCTTAAGGTTGTACACAAAATCCAAGAAAACACGGCACGAAGCGGAAGCCACTTACCAGACGATGAGAGAGCAAAACATGCTTTTGAAACCTTATCCTTACTACAGCATGATTTGTCTCTATGCTCTTCTTGGAGAAAAAAACATGATCGACGAGATTCTGAGGCAGATGAAGGAGAATGGAGTAGAACATGACAAGAATCTCACGGCCAATAACGTTTTGAAGGCTTATGCGAGTGTACCCGATGTGGAGGCAATGGAAAAGTTTCTAGTGGGGTTAGAAGACGAAGACCCGCCATTCCAGTTGGCGTGGAAAACGGGAATAAGCATCGCAAAGGCTTATTTAAAAGATGGTTCAAGTAAAAAAGCGGTAGTGATGTTGCGTAGAACAGAACTTGTAGTTGATACAAAGTCGAAAGACTCAGCGAACAAGGTTTTGATGAAGATGTATGGGGATGCTGGAGCAAAACTAGATGAGTCTCGCCTTTATAGGTTCATCTATCTGAATAGTAAAAAGGGTAAGAGAATGAGAGCATATCAAAGCAAAGAAAGCGATGGAGGGGTCTCTTACTACCGGGACTCTTACTACCCGATATTTTTATGTGGTGGTGGCTGTGGCGGTGGATGTGGTGGTGGTGATGGTGATGGTGACGGTGATAGTGGTGTTGGTGATGTTGGTGGTGGTGATAGTGGTTGTGATGGTAATGTTGGTGGTGGTGATGTTGGTGGTGATGATAGTGGTGGTGGTGGTTGTGGCGGTGGCGGTTGTGGCGGTGGAGGTTGTGGCGGTGGGGATTGAGAACAAAACCAAGTAGAGAGTGGGTTGGTCAGTCAGATTTTCTTTAAAATAATGAAGTAGTTATTAGTTTTGGATTCTTTTCTTAACTACCGTCTTTTTCCACCAGAGTAGGGTAATATGGATCTTTTCATTGATATGATATAAGAGTGTTTTTTTATCGCTTAGTATGATTATGGTGGTTTGGGACGGTGCCATGATATGTGTATATTATCCAAGATCGTGCATGACTAGCTACAAGCAACACCAACACAAGCTATCTCTTCGACCCTTTACAGTATTTCTTATAAATAGTCACAATCATATATAAGGAAATATAAGATATAATTAATAGTCGATATGATACATGGATTGTGTGGGAGTGGTATCGCTTGTATTCCCCCTTGTATATCACCAATTTCTACAGGAGATGACTGAATCTACGAATTGCTTGGTCGGATGAGCATTGTGGGAGCCAAGGAGTGATCATAGCCTTGTTATTGTTTGGTGGCGAATGAAATAACATTGCCATAATATACCCGCAACTGAATAAGATAGTTCTTATTTTCTCTTTGATAGTTACAGAGAAGGCACATTGGGTCAATTTGAGTCCTCGAACTAAGAATACGGTCTTCTATCAAGCCTCTGCTTTTGAATAATAAAAAGCCAAATAGTAAACATATGGTTTGGTGTTTTGTGCTTGATCAAGACAATTAGCAAATAAATAGCCAAATAGCAAACATATGGTTTGATGTTTTGTGCTTGATCAAGACAAATAGCAAATAAATAGCCAAATCGCGACGCGTGATTAAGTTTTGAAGCTTTTCTTAAAGTTCATAATGTAAGAAAGCTTAATTAACGAATCAACAACTGATCTTCAAATAACCAAAAGGGTGTTTGCCCAAAAAAAAAAAAAAACCAACAGGGCAGATTTCATCTTGAAGCCATAGCAAGAGACGATATATATATAATTAGTAACACAAAATTGGCTTAAGAGAAGAAGAGTTGTTTCAAAATCAGTTAAACTTTGCATTAGAGAAGTCCATCCCAGGATGCTGAGCCATGAACTTCTTGAGCATATCTTTTTTCTCTATCTCATCACTCGTTGGCAGTCCCATCTGCTTTTGCCTTTGATCAAATATCATCTTCTCAACGGATTGGCGAATATCCGGGTCAAGATCACCTAGTTTGCTGCTCTCTGGCTCAACTTTCTGAGTATCTATTTCAGGTTCTCCTTTCAAACAATATTTCCACCACTCCATCTGGTCTTGCTTTGTCAAGAGCACCGATATGACCTTTTGATCCTCGATGTTCCAGAAACACTCGTCAGGCTTGACAGCGTTGAAGAATTCTCCATCGATGATTGGATCTTGTCCTTTGAAACCAACTTTTAGACTGTTCTTCTTGATTTCACAGATAACAGACCGTGATTTAGTACCGCTAGGCACTGGAATATTAACCGTGACCTCTTGGAGATTCTGTGTCCATGAGTATGTCTCAAGATCAAGCCCATTCCCTTTGTTAGGAAGGATGGGACTCGATTCCTGTTTCTCCTCTTTTGGCTTGTCCACCTCCATGGGCTCCAAAAAGACTAAAAAGGAAAGTTTAAACCATTTCAATTGTGTTTGGGTCTTTTTCTTCTCGAATTTCTAAATTCTATGTTTAATTGGTTTCCTTTTTCTCAATTCCTAAATTTCCTTAATTATTCAGGTTTTTTTTCCTTTTTTTTTTTTCTTGTTATCATCTTATTTCTCGAATTTCATCATTTTTTATTATTATATACACAAGAACTTGCCAGACAAGCAACCTAGAAGAAACAGAAACAAAGTTCGAAATATTAATTTTTTTAATTTGACGTACTGTACTCTCTAAAAAATAAACAGAGAGCTCAAAACCCTAATTTCTCATAGTTTCTCTTCTCTGCCGCCAAAAGCATGAGACCGATTCTACAAGCATGCGGAAGGAACATTCCAGCTTTCAGGAGGTATCTCTTTCGCTCTGCCGGAACCCTATCTTCACCGGAGCTTAAGGACGGCCTGAATCTTCATATCGCCAATGCCGGTGAAGATCCGAAGGCTTCATTCGTCCCAGTGCTAGAGAAATGGAAGCAACAAGGAAATCATTTGAATCCTTCTGATCTCAGAAGCATCATCCAAACCCTCCGTGATTCTGAACGATTTCCCCAAGCTCTCAAGGTTCCTCTGATTCCACCATTTTTTTTTTTGCCCCCCTCTTGGATATCATTTGTTGATTTGGTGTCTTTTTAGGTTTCAGAGTGGATGAGTGAGCAGAAGGTGTGCAATCTAATCCCAGAAGATTACGTTGCTCGGCTTCATCTCATTGACAACGTTTTAGGTTTGGAAGAAGCAGAGAAATTCTTCGAAAGCATTCCCCAAGACAAGAGAGATGACTCTGATCTCTACACAACTATCTTAAGCTTCTACACAAGATCTGAGAAAACTCTGGAAAAAGCTGAGTTAATCTTCCAGAAGATGAGGAAGCTCGGGTACCTATCGAAACCGTGTCCGTTCAACCACATGATGTCTCTCTACAATCAGATAGGTAAGCGAGATATGGTCCACCAGATTCTGAGCCAAATGGAGAAGAACAATGTCAAGTCAGACAATCGCACGTTAAAGATTATACTGGGGCTATTAGCAGAATGTGATACCTCAACATTGGATTGGCGCACGAGCTGCGAGATGGCAAAAACTTACCTAAAACAAGGACTAGTGGTAGAGGCGGTAAAGATGTTGCGTAGAGCCGAAGAATCAGTAGTAGATCCCGACTCGAAGAAGTTAGTTTACGAGTCACTGATGGTGTTGTATGGTGAAGCCGGAAAGGCTGAAGAGGTTTACCGTATATGGGGACTGTACAATAACATGAGCTTGCTTCAGAGAGTAGCCGACGAGGAGGGATATAAAGCAGTAATAACTGCCTTATTGAAACTAAACGATATCAATGGGGCAAGTACGATTGTAAACAAGTGGTATGGGAAAGATGTCAGAATCATAACTATGATGGCATCTGCTTACTGCGAGAAAGGGCAGCTAAAAGACGCCGAGGAACTGTTGTTTAGGAAGGGTTTTCGTTTCGTGCCCAAAAAAATTGCCCTGGCTCTTGTCGTATGTTACGGTTACATGTTATACGACCTCGGGGTGAAGCTTTATTTAGGGCTAACAATGTGATGAAGAAGTACTAGAATAATAGATTAGCTTTCCTACTGATGCTATTTTTTCAACTTAACTGAATTGCAGATTGAGGTTTTTTTGTTTTGTTTTGAGAGTACATGATTAGAAACAATGCATCGTCCTTTAAGCTAGATTTAAAATTAACAAATACATCTTCCATTAGTTGGAAACTTTCAAGATTATGTCCTATCCGGTCCAAACATTTTTAGTGTCCTAAGAGCAACAGCAACGATGGTTTCTCACACCGTCTCTCACCAATAAAATAAAGAAAAAAATATGAAAAAGAGGAGACAAGTAGATAAACGTTTCTTATAAGAGAAACCCATCACAAATGTTTCTCACAGTTGTCATTCAATCATTGGTTTAGTTAAAATACTTTCAATTAAATATTTATAATATTTATGTTCACACTTAGATTTGTGTTCACACTTAAGTTTAGATACTGAAATTAAGGAATTGCCGTTGCTGATGCTCTAAGCGGAAAAAGAAAATTGTCGACCAAAATATACTTTAAAAAACATTCTAGAAAATAATCATACCATTTTGTCAAATTTAGCTGTATAATTTGGTTGTTATGAATGATTAAAATATGCTAACTATACATTATGATTGCTATAACTATATGTATATGTTTTTATGATTACACGACAAATTATGTAAGTTTCTTTTGTTTCAACCACTTCATAGATTTACACGTACTTCAGTAAAGAAACAAATAACATTGGACTCACATGATCCCTTAGAAAATTATATGACTAAATACAATACATAAGAAAAACTTGAAAAATATTTTACAAAATACACAAACATTTACATACAAAAATGTGAGACAATACAATTTTATGTGGAGGCCCTAAGCAGCCGCTTCCCTTGCTTATGCTAAGGGCCGGCCCTACGCCATCATCATCATCACTAGATGTTTCTTTTTGTGGTTTTCACTTATACAAAACTGAAAAGCATTACCAAATTGTTCATTCATCCTAAAATTAATTGTCAAACTTGATCAGTCTCTTTTTGTTTCTCATTAAGATCATATGACGGTTTGAATTATTTTTTTCCGGCTAATTTTCATCTTCAAGCTTCTTGATTCTACAATTTTTTCGTCGTTTTGGCTTTATTTTCATCTTTTTCGTCAATATATCCACAATCGAAAAGATATCAAAGAAAAAAGATTAAGAAAATAATCATACTAATGAAAAATAAACAAAATGAGTAAAAAAAAAACCCCCCTTAAATCGATCTTAAGAGACTGATAACATTGCAACATATGACATGACACGTTGAAAGGCAGGCAATGAACACTCACGTCTTCACTTTGACACGTGTACATCACTCAAGCTTCACGTGGAACTACGTCAACAAGAGATTCCTTCTTTCATAAATTCTAGTACTCCTGCTAGCTTCCCTGCACTATCAACTTCATTCTTATCCGTTTGAATCATCATGTCAGGCGTGTCTCTTGCGGTTGGTCCAAGAACCGACGTGGACAAAACGGCTTCATCCAGTGAGAAGGGACGGTGGTCGGGGATGACGGCGATAGGAGGTGGCAGTGGCGGTTTGATGGGCTCGCTGAGGGTTATAGAGCTACAGCTAGTCGCGTTCATACTAGTCTTTTCAGCGAGCGGTCTCGTACCGATACTCGACATGCTTTTTCCAGCGTTTGCGTCTGTCTATATAATCGCCCTCTCGCGTTTAGCTTTCCCTTCTCACGGCGTTTCCACCGCTTCCCCTGAAATCTTCCGCGGCAGCAAACTCTTCAGGTTCCAAATCCATCACAAGAAAACAAATAAAATCACTCTTTTAACTTTCTTGATAAAAGGTTCCAAAATAGTTTTACCACTTTAGATTGTAACATTACAGATAATACTGACTACTTTTTTTCTGATGTAATATTTTGGGATAATGAAAGGATGTACGTGATTTCGGGGACAACGGTTGGTCTGTTTTTGCCTTTAGCTTACGTGTTAGGTGGTTTCGCAAGAGGAGACGATCATGCGGTAAGATCAGCAACACCACACTTGTTTCTACTGTCGTGCCAAATCCTGACAGAAAATGTAATAAGTGGCCTTTCTCTCTTCTCGCCACCGGTAAGAGCTCTCGTGCCACTGCTCTACACAGTCTGGAGAATCTTTGTCATCATTGGTTGGTCTAAAGATGTCTGGCTCAACAAGTCTTTACCAATTAATGCTACACCCAATGTAATGGCTAATACCTCTCTTTACTCAAATACAAGTCTTTTTTTACCGTTTTTAGAATTGGTTTATGTTAAATCGAGTGAAATCGTTTTGCAGGTGGTTGCGTGGTTCTGGTTTGGACGGTATTTAGCAATTGCAAACTTAGGCTACTTCGGAGTGAATCTACTCTGTTTCTTGATCCCTAGGTTCCTGCCTCGTGCTTTCGACAACTACTTCAGAGAAAGAGACGAGATCTTGGCGAAAAGCCAAGAAGACAAGCCGGTTCAAGTTCCTAGATCAAAACCTTCTGACCACAAATCTGATTGATCATCTTTCTTTTCTTTCCTCTGAATGTGTAATGTAACGAAACTAAGTTGCTTATTATGGAGATTGTTATGAAATGTTATTAGTAGGGCAAAAGAAACAATGTGGTTGTGAATATACAAAGTTTTGCTCTTGCAACTGAAAATGTGATATCAGTTTACCCACTTGATGATGCTTTAACCTTAATATTGACTGTCCATGAAACTAACCAGAAGCTCATTAACCATGCCTCTGTCCGGCATCTTCCCCGCTGCTCCATATATTGGAGCCAAGCCTCCAGTGATCGGTCCTGGGCTTGCTTTTACCTAACAAAATTTGTATAATAATGAGAGAACAATTGAGGAAATGGAAACGAGCATTCAAAAGACTTCTCATCAATGGACTTACAGTTTCTACAGCTTCACGCAGATCCCGAAGGAAGTCATCGACTACAGGGACGTGTTGAAGAGTTATACATATATGGATGCTGATCCAAAACACAGACATAGGTAGTTTCAGAACAGTGAAGAGAGGAATGTGGTCTTAAACTAGTTGTAACACCAATGTGTTTTGGTCATTAAGATTACCTGTTGGGTCTCTGTAGTGCATTCAAATGCCAACCTTTTGAAGACATGATGTCATTAACTTCAAAGATATCCAATGCTATAGAACCAAACGCCACGATTGTCATATCTGGCTTTCCAATGACGAATAGTTCATGGATTTCTCTTACTCTGCAGATTACGATAGTCAAAGCTATAAGAATCGAAACGATTAAAGAAGTGAAAAAGTCAAAAAGTAATACCAACCCTTCCTCTAGTCTCTTTGATGCTTCCATTATCTTGCTTGTGTTTTGTAGGTAGCCTGTGGAACAACAGAAGCATACAGAATCAACCATTTGAATTTTTGGCACACTCCAATGACAGGAGCTTGAGAGAGTGAGATATCTATTGTGAAACCTTCTTCGCCGAGAGACATCATTGCAGCCCAAGCACCAGCAACCAAAGAACCAGGCCTACTCCCAGCTATAGTTGGAGACACGTATAGACCTCCTGACCATTCAGTTACTGCAAAACCCAGTTTCAAATAGTTAAGGAGTAATACCGCATTTAAAATTTCAATGAATTCAACAATTTTACTGTTTCTTTCATTTCTTTTGTTTTCTTAGAGATGGAAGTAGCAAAACACTCTTACCAGCAACGAATTGGTGCTGTTTTGTAGATGCAGGAGCAGATATTTTGCAGGCAGAAAATCCAAATGTCAGGTAAAGATCATATATTAAAATTCATGAATCGATATTTATAAAAAGAAACTACATTTTGCACAGCACTGACTAGAATATACAAAAGATTTCATAAGAGGAATGTGACAGTGTGAATGAGAATTTACGGAAACGATGACGAGGAAACAAAAGTAAGCGATATCGTGGGTATGTTTTTGTAGATGACTCGTGACACAACAAGCATGTCAGAATCAGAACACAGGAGCTGAATATAACCAACATATGTGCTTGGTATTGAGCCTGGACGAAATTGCATAAGAGTGGAAAAAAAACAAGTATTTACCTTTCTGATCTCATGATTTCTGTAGAGAACTGTACTAGTTCCTTTAGGAGCCAAACCATATTTATGCACATCCACCGAAATTGAAGTAACTCCTTGTACAGAAAAATCAAAAGCTGGGATCTGGTACCTGGGAAAAAGTGAGAAATCACAATTAATTATCTTGTTAATCTAAATAATACAATGAAATGTGAAACCTGAGATCCAATGCTCTGGGGGAAACTAAGAGCAGTGGCAATAAAACAGACAGATACATACCATAAATTAACTTATCATTTCTCTAAGATATGAACATAGCTTCTTAAGTCCTAAACCTATAAAGTAGATACTATCTCTTTTGTAGGAAAAAGGCAGGCCTTTGCTAAGATGTTAGAAAACAACAGTTCCACATACCCAAGTTTACGAGCGAAAGGTAACACAAAACCACCAAGGCAAAGGTCAACATGAAAGCATATTCCATAGCTAAGAGCCAGTTGACCAAGCTCCTGTAATGGAAAAAAACAGGAATATGTCATATAGAAGAACATAAATGTCCCTTAAATTACAGGAGACGGAAAATCCAGTTTACCTCGATAGGATCGATGATGCCATGAGGGAATCCTGGTGCTGATCCAACAATCTGAAACGATATGGTTTAAAAATCATGAGGAAAACAAAGCACACGCCTTAACTTTAAAGCTACATTACCATAACAGATAAAAAGGTGATTATGCTAGTGATATTAAATTTCAACCATGGAAGTACAAATAAGCAAGGACTGATGTACAACAGACCAAAAATATCAAACCATGGAACCTGGAAAGGAAAAAATCAAACATATTATAACTGGCACCTCAAAGCATTACCATGATGGTGTTTTTGTTAATATGCCGCCTTGTTGCCTTCACATCAGCTCGGAAGTCTTTGTCTACTGGAACTCGCCACAACTTGATGTTAAAATACTGGGCCGCCTTATCATAAGCCGAATGACCCGATTCAGGTATAATCCTACACTTATATATGAAATGTTGTTCCATCAATTAAGCTTATAGTAGTACATAATTGATCAACGTGAAGTGAGGGAGGAAACATACATTTCTGGCCGTGTGATTCCCTTCTTGTACTTCATATAGTCACGAGATGACTTCACAGCCAACACTATACTTTCTGTTCCTCCAGATGTCATGTTTCCGCATATTTGTCCTCCAGAAACCGTTTCTTTACTCCCCAGTAATGCAGCAGTCATTGCGACTACTTCTGACTCAAACTGCACCACACTCTGGAATACGTCTATATGCAACGGATTGGTATGCGCAAACCTGGAAAGCATCATCCATACATGCCATACACATAGCAACTTCAACGCACTTTCATCCCCAAGAATAATAACACAACCAGAAGTCATATTCCATGAAGATAGAAGAGAAAATTTCGCTATAACTTACATTGAACATGCTTGATTTATCAATGCAAAATGTCCTTCAGACTCGGCTCCACCTATGTATCTGTGAGAAAAAGCAGTACAAGTAAAAAAAAAATCTCCACCAAAACCACAAAAAAAAATCCAGAGAACATAAAAAAAAAAGCATAAACTACCAGAGACATACACAGTGCCAGAGCATTTTCCTTGCCAAATAGCATCATTCCTTTTTTCATTCTCCATTTTCTCTAGAACTTCAACTCCCAGACCTTTTACTGGCAATACTTCAGCCCTATTCTTTTTCTTAGAGCTGCTACCAGATTGTAATTGATCAACAACCTGTGATTAGGAAGAAACAAACATCAACTAGATACACAGATGTTGTTCTCATACCTCAAAAAACAAGACACAGTGTGAAATGTAATAAACATTAAAGTCTCTCTAACCAAGAAACATATAATCTCTAATCCCAAGTAATATTCTATTCTTGAGGACTTATAGTGAAAATTCTTCAAATCAAGTAATGCCAGATAATATCTAAATCCTTACTAGTGATGCAACAATTAAAAATAGTACAAAATGGAAGAGAAGTATTAGATAGGCCATTACAGGGCATTCCTATATTTGAAATGTTTCCTCTTAAATACATCACAATAAGAAGAAGCAAAAAAATGGCCATTACAGGAACAATCTGCAGATTCAAACAAAAACTCACCTTTTGTTTCTCAGCATCAATGTAATTTTGAACTCCAGGAATCATTCTGTTTCATTGTCCACAAAAAAAAGCATTAGTCTCAGCCACATCAAACAAATATTGGGATCGCGAAAGTAAAATAAGATACGGGAATTAAAGATTCTCACTTGAGGAATCCCATGATAAACCCAATAACACACGCTTTGAGGCCTTTCTCATGAACAACGCCAAACACAGATCCGATAATCTGAGCGAGAAACAGAGTGAGAAGCGGAGCCAAAAGCAGAACCAGAGGCTCAAACTCAGACAAACGCGAGTTTAACGAGCCACGAGCTTGAATCAGCATGGATTTCATCGAAGAATATGAAAAAGAATCCATTTTTTTCTTTTGCTCTGGAAATTGAGAGAAAAGTGAATCGTTTGGGACATAGGAGAAAAGAATATAGAAAAAGATGGGATGATCAAAAACGAGGTCATCGCGTGAATAGTAAAGAGATTACGACAAAGCGTTTTCCTTTTTTTTTGGCGCTTTGTGTTTTGTTGCGTGTGTTGTCAATTTTTTTAAAGTACTCTGATCTGATATGGATGAAGAAAACCACACGGAATCTAATTGAAACAAAAAAATGTTTAGTGGTATAAAATAACAACAACTCGATTGGTTTATATCAATTTAAAATCAAAAGCAGATCAACAGTGTTAACTAAAAAAGCTTAAGAATGTGATTACGCTCTGAAAGTTATGAACTGCCAGAGAAATTGAATCAACGGTCAAAATTGATCTTTCGTATTGGTTATGGGAATCTGCGGAATTTTGTGCCTTGATTAGACTTGTATGACTCGGACTTGCAATGCTTATCACGTTAATTATTGAAAACTTGAAGCAATCTCCAACTGCAACCCCACAAACAAATCGACAAAACTCGAATATGATGACCCACATACACCATCTCTCAATTCACAATTAGTTAGTCAAAAGTTGCAACTGAGCTAAATTTACAACTTATGGTTTATTTTATACATAGAGAGGGTTCATTGAAACTAATTGTAAGTCTTGCAATAGATAGAGTTAACCTTTAGACACATTAACAGGCCAAGCTTGGACCATCAAAATATATTCGGATTAAACCCAGAAAGAAAAAGAGCCAAATGAACATTCAAATTCTCTTATCAAGTCAATAGATTGTAATGACAAATGAACAAACCATCCAAACCAAATACATGATGAGAGACAATTATCCTCTGTTCTTAAGGTAAATCATCTAGGAATAAGAAGAAGAAGAAAAAAAGGACCAAAGAAATTGATAGAAGGATTGCTCAAATAGTATAGAAATGCAGCAGTGATGATGTATGCTAACAATCTGATTTCTGTTTAGGCATAGTTCAACCTGAATATATCGTTGAACACGTAAAAGCTTCCTTGTGGCGTCGGCATCAAGTGAAACATCTGTAGCACACAATGTAAAAAAAAAGCGTTTTTTACTTGTGTCGAGAACAAGATCAAAGAAACCAAACAAATGAAAAACAAGATCAGCGATCGCAAAGCAAACAATACATAACATTGACACAACCAGCTTTTGTATATAAAGATCAAGAAACTAAATGACTGAAACAAGAACATGCCAAAACTAGGTAAACCAAAGATTTAGAAAAACAAGCCCATTCATAGACAAGAAAGAACAAGAAATTCCATCAGTTATGGTGAGGGGAAACAATTCTCTTCAATCTAATCAACAAAATTCATCAAATGAAACCACAATTTCTTTGTTGAATCGGCTATACTTTAAACACAATGACGCAGGCATACACGAGTCAGAACATCCGAGCTCAATGGATAACAAGTCGCAACGAATTTGCAATTCAAAATCCTTTTGAAGAGCCTTGTCCCAACAGGAGAAGTACAGACTTGGGAATATCCAGATTTACAGATCTATCAACCAATTTAAAACCCTAGCGATCTAATTACTAAAATCACAACACAAGCACAGGCAAAGCAAACAAAGATAGATCAATCGGAAATCTAGGAGAAAGAGAGATACCTGGCTGAACTTGAGAGTGTGCTCTTCGCCGGCGAGCTGGAGGTTACCGGAGACGAAAACGAGCATACCGGAAGCGGGACCAGAAGGCTGACAATCGACGGTGGAGATGTGATGCTTGCACTGCTGGAAGGGAAGAGAGGTGAGCTTAGCTACGATGCTTTGGACTCCTTGGATCTTTTGACCTTCGAAGGTGAGCATAGAAGCTTCCTGGTAGAGACCAGCGAGACCGACGCGGTTGGTGTCGAAGGTGGAATAGTAATGTTCGACGAAGGCCTTAGATACAGCGTCGGGATCCATCTGAGACATTAGAGAGCGATGAGAGATTTGAGCTGAGGATTGAGATTTGGGAGACGCAAAAGGGTTTTTGTGTTTTTCTATTTATTCTCTGACCTGTTTTAACTCTGCGTCGCTACGACGCTGCTTTTCTTCCTTTTTTTTTCTGTCAATTTGTTTTTTTCTTTTCATAAATTTCTTTTTTGTTCAATTTCTATATTCCTTTTTTTTTTGGTATTACAACAAATATAGGTATGATATTAAAAACTAAATGTCTTAATTTTTTAAAAAAATCTATATATAATAGCAATCTAATAAATACCATTTGCACATCTGAACGGTTGCGTCTTTTTATCGCAACTTTTCGTTAATGTTTTTATTAATTAAAATATATATTTTACGGTTATGTTTTTTTTTATAAATTGCATTCTGAATGTTTTCTACGGTTGCGTTTTTTTATTGTAACTCTTCATAAACAGTTGAAACCGCTTATTCGAATCATTGCAATATTTAGTTTATTTTACGAACAACTGCAACCTTTGGTTTATATATTTAGTTTATTTCACGAACAATTGCAATTTTTGGTTTATTTTATAAATAGCTATAACATTAGATTATCTACCGCCGCGTCTCTCGGTGTAACTTTTCATAAATTATTATTTTAATTCTTAATTTTTAATTACTAAAATGTATTTAAATGAGATTGTAACTATTTAATTGAACTGTTTCAACATTTGGATTATTTGACGAATTATTGCAACTTTTGGTTTTGTGTTACGAACCATTGTTATCTTTAGTATATTTGATGAACTATTGCAACATTTGGTATAATTGATAAACCGTTGCAGTTTTTGGAATATTTTATATCTACGGTTGCGTTTCTCGGATAAGTTCGTCATATTTTTAAAAAATATTTAAATACTAAAATATATTTAAATGAATTGTTGTTACCGTTTAATTTAACACAATAGCATTTGGTTTATTTGACGTTGAACGTTTTGGCTTATTTATCAAACCATTGTAATATTTGGTTTATTAGTTTATGCTTTTTGCACTTGGAAATAGTTTTTTAGTTACAAATTATTGTTTTTCTAATATTAATATACTTAATAAATGCTTGTGAGGGTTTTCTTTATCATAATTTTTGTAAAATATATATTGATTTGTTATTAGAAAAATTCAAAATTATTACAATTCATTATGATTTTTTCGTTTGTCATTTTTGTAATGATTTTTGAAATATATTCCCCCGCGACATCGCGGGGGTCCTGAGTCCTAGTAATAATAATATAGCTAAGATAAATAAAAACAAGATACTCCAAAAAATTATTTTTAAAATTTTACCCTTTTTACAAATTTAAATATTTAATAGATTCTGAGACGTCTTAAATTATAAAGCATACAACTATTTATATTTTTATTTTCAATATATAGCAATATATGAGAATCATATTGGCTAAATATATAATGGAAACTACACAAACAAAGTTTTAATAATTAATATCTACTACAAAATTAATGTTACATTTATAATGGTCAATGGACATATAAAATATATACACACATAATGGAGATTGAGATTCATTCGAAAACAAACTACTAAATTCTTACAGTGTTATTTAAAAAGAGATCCAAAAAAAATAAACTGTCATTGTTTGGATTAACAATCGGTTTTAGTGTTTGGAGGAATCTTTTAGCGTTATGTGTAATTCATCAAATCTTTTAAAGATCCAAAGTATTCAAGATTTGGTAAATTTCTGAATCATATGCTTAGCTTAACTAATTGTCCATGCCTCCATGGTATGTTGAACCATCTCTAAAAACATATAAATCTGATTCTACAAAAATTTAAATGGATAAAGTTACATGTTACTAAGACTCCATATCACAAATAATACGGTCGTGATATCTATCTAGTAAAAAAAGCATTCGATTAAATAGTCAGAAATCAACAAGATCCTTCCAACAAATTGTTCTTTCTTCTTTAAAAAAAAACTATTCGTTCTTTAACTAGAATCTAAATCAGGTAAGCATACTTATTCTTAGAAATTTTGGATACTCCTAAAAAAGGCGGATTACATACTAAATAGTTGAATATTCTCTTAATTAGTGAAAAATATTTTGTAAACACATTGGTTGATAACAATCAGTCATATGCTTTAGCTATGTTCGTTTCATAATCGCAAGCGATTACAACTGTGATTTTAAAATCGCGGGATGTTGTTCATTTAGCGATCACACGACTGATCATTACTAATCGCTATTTAAAAAGTAGCATCCTTATATTTGCTACAATTAAAAAATTCAATCGCAAATCATAACAACTGATTAGCGTTTAATCGCATAGTCCTGCAACTGTCAAACGAGCAACTTTCTACAAATTATCTCATATGCATCAACATTCATATCCTCTAAACCACATAACTAATCAAATCCTGTTGTAACCAATCAAATGAAAGAATGAAACTCAATTAATTGATTAAAATTTTAATTTAATAATACAGTAATTACGAATTTCCATGCGTCACCCAAACACTCCAGAAATCCTCAAAATTCGATAATTCCTACACCAATCTCTCTCTCAAGTCTCAACATCTTCCTTTCCGTAACAAAAGATTCTCGCTTGTGTCTTACTTTATCGTCTCTCTTCCTTTTTGCCTCCGATTGGCTGATTTTTTCTATGGCCGCTTCTTACCGAAGCACCGACTGGTTTCCTCCTCCTACTGGTAAGCCTCGTTGATTCTCCTTAAAAAGGGTAAATGTTGAAGCTTTTTGGTTTTATTTTCGTGGGTTTTATTGTTTCGTCACTTTAACGAAGAGATTACGATGTCTGTTGATGAATTTTGCCCTTCTGAGAAAGCACTGTTGTTGTAATTCATAAAGCTTAGACCTTTTTGGGATTCTTTCACTTACTAGGCTTTGTTAGATTCTTCCACTTCACCTTGATCCTATGCGTATTCTTTCATGTTTAGCTTTTACTTGATGGTGGTTGTCTCTCTTTTTGGATTTTTAGGTTCAGTTACGGGATTAAATATGCTGGAGATGGATATGGTAGAGAGGCTAAATACTGACCAGAGTGTCCTCCAAGATCAGGTAACTGATTTGTGGAATTGCTTGTGTCTTTTAATGTAAGTTAGCACCAATATGACATTGTGTTCAGATTTTACAGGACAAGATTAGCAGTCGCCCTGCAAGTTCCCGCGGTTTTAACACAGAATCATTTCACATTGGAGGTTAGATCTCTATGATCCCTTTTTATCAGTTCTCTAATATTTAGCTGTAGTTTAGTGGTTACAACTAATCTTCTGCTGATTTGTTGTGTTTGTTGTGTTTTCTCTCTTTGTCATGGTATTCCTTATTTTGCCATTTTCATGTGCAACTTGATTTTAGTTTTTAGAGAAGAAGAAAACTATTATTGTTTAGTCATGTTCTTAAACCAAGAGAACTGCTTACTCTTTCTTGTACTGATGTCCACCTACTTATGTGGGGGCTATTCCAGATTGTTATCTTTGCTTTTGATAATTCTTTTATGTGCACTAGAGGAAACATTGCCACATGCCCATGACAAATCTTTACCACTTGTTTATTTCTGCTTCGCCATGTTTGTCTTGTGACCAAAATTGTCGATTGTATTGCTTCTTAGCTGTTATTGTAGTAATATTTTTAAATTTCAGTGTTGCTCATTTATGCCGTCATTTCTATCAGGTTATGATTATGCAGCTGATACTCCAAGGTCGTACCATTCACATACGGATGTCCCAAGCATTGAAAAAGTTTCTCCTGTGCGTAAATCATCTAATCTACGCCTTCCATACTACTTGTTTTTGATTTGTGCTGTTCATGTTGTGGTCATTTATTTCCTATTTCTTATTCAATTGATATAGGGCATGCGAAATGAAATTGTTTACCATGGTAATGGTGTACCATCAGATTTTCAGAGGTCATCTCTTTCTACCAGAAATCAATCATCACTGCAGCATTATAGCGACCTCTATGCTGATGATATAAGACATTTCATTCCTTTTGACTTATCAAGTCAGCAGTATCCAAACCCTGAACATATTCATCTTTCTCCGGAGTTTCACATGTTCCAAGCGAACTCTAGACGTTTTGATAGGCATGTGAATGAGAGAAACAGTAGTGAGACTGATTATGTGATGCGAGCTAGGGGAAATTTTGGCTTAAGAAATGATATATATGGAGAACCTAGGGGTATGAATCTCAACCCCTTCAGTGGAGAAAACATGTTTCCTCCAATGGCATCTACCGGAACATGTATGAAGCACCTTGGTTCAGCAGAATTGCCGGCAAATGACTTCAATATGGTTTGTTCTGTAATCACTACCTCCACCTCTTTTCACGGACAAAGTTTAGTGAATTTCTATGTAGATCTAATTGATGAAATCTATGCAGGGTCCAGCACATGGAGTTTTGCATGATGCTTTTGAATCTGCTGCAAGCTTAAGTTACAGAGAGCAAGCTTATACTCAATGCAAAAGAGGCCCTTTCTCTGCTTCTTCTTCTGGCCCAACTTGGGAGACTGATTATAACTTGCCACCACTTGATGAAGCAAGAAGTGGAAGCTACAATGACTTCTGCCACTGCCCTGCCATGCTTGATCTGCTTACCGAGAGTAACAGAGGTCCGAGAGCATCCAGGCTAAACAGTAAAAGTGAAATGATCACTTATGATCGTTTTTGTCAACAAGAATTGCTTTCTCAGTTCAGGGACGCAAAGTTCTTTGTTATTAAGTCATATAGCGAGGATAATGTGCACAAGAGCATAAAGTATTGTGTTTGGGCAAGCACTAAAAACGGAAACAAAAAGTTGGATGCTGCCTATCGTGAAGCAAAGAAAAAAGAAGTGGCATGCCCAGTCTTTCTCTTATTTTCGGTAAATTACCTATTTTTCTTCATTACAAATCAAAATTTGTTGGAAGCTCTGAATGTTGAGACTGATAACTTTCTTGGAAGATATTTACACTTGCTTGTTTATTCAACCATGAAACTGCATTGTCAGGCCTTTGTCTTCCTAGATAAACCGGCATCACAGCAATCCATCTCATGCTATATCTGTGTATCTATACTTCAATCCACTGAGATGATACTATTAATGTTCTATATTTATCGCTTTGGCTTGGATCTGAAACTCATAATAGAAGAAGGGCTCAAAAACTTGATTTCAGGTAAATGCCAGTTCACAGTTTTGTGGAGTTGCTGAGATGGTTGGACCGGTTGACTTCAACACAAGTGTAGAGTACTGGCAACAGGATAGATGGTCAGGACACTTCCCGGTCCAATGGCTTATTGTCAAAGATGTTCCTAACAGTCTCTTTCGTCACATCATAATTGAAAGCAATGACAATAAGCCTGTTACTAACAGTAGAGACACCCAAGAGGTAAACTAAACTCTTCTTGTCTTCTGCATACTTTTTTTTGAGGCTCCTTCCAATGGTTCAATTATGCATATAGATTTGACAACTGTGAATCGTATTTTAATTCTCAAATTGCATTGATAATGAAACTTTGCTGTTAGTACACATTGATATTGATGCTTCTTTTGAATCTTGTATGATTTCACATATGAAAGCAGTTATCTCTCCACTCTATGTGGATCTCTCCAACGTGGAACATGTCTTCTTTGAAAACAAAGAATGCTTCTAGTTGATTGTGTATTTTTGTGGAAACAAATTCAAGATCTTTCCATGAACAACTTAGAAGTTTACTTTCAGTACATTTGGCAGACATTTAAATGATGAGATATGAAATAGTCTTTGTGTTTTATACCTGCAGGTGGGACTGGAACAAGGAATAGAGATGTTAGATATATTCATTAGCTGTGAGATGCGTTCTTCGATCCTCGACGACTTCAACTTCTACGAAGAGCGACAGAGAGCGATCCAAGACAGAAAAGCCAGACAACGTGCTGTTCTTGAAGCGCTCGCACTTTCTGCAACCTCTGTTCCAGCACATCCCACATATTCTCTCCACGACGAATTTGTAAGGGAAATGTCCAAGCACTTTGCAGAGGCTTTGGCCTTGCAACACAGACCCAAATAGACCTCTCTTCTCTGTTAGGACTTGAGATTGGCTGAGGTTTAAATATGGTTTAATACTCTAGATTTTGTAAATTTGATCACGGACTTAAGAAGCATAGGTTGTAAGATAAATTCAAGGTTCTAAAAGTCGGTATCTAAACCATCTTGACTTAACCATTTGAAAGTTTAGTTTACGACCAAATCGGTTATATATTCGGTTGGATAAATTTTCATGTGCGGATAGAGATCAGATTAAGTGGGAAGTTGACTCATTACAACAAATGTCCGAACAAAGAAACACACTTGAAAGATAAGTTTTGAAACAAAAGGGACAAAAACAAAAGCACCAACCACTTCATAAAGAAAAAGATTACATCCCTAACGTGACATGTCTAGGCAAGGTGGAGACGAAGGAGACGGTCATCAAAGCGATGGCTAGAGCCACGACGGCGTGACCATCCTTTGTGGAAGCTGATCCTCCCTTATCTGTGGATGTGGCTGGAGTTGCTGGGGACTTTCCTCCCGGTGCCACCGGTGTTGTTGACGTCGTGGCATTGCTTGTGAATACGGCTGCGTCTGGCGAGCTCGGCGAAAGCCCTAGAAGCTCTGTTCATTTGTCAACATTTTAAACATTAGCCTCACTGTATCATTCCTAAAGTAACTGTTATTTTCACTGCTTTAAGTTTTTCACATTGAATTGTTTAATTGTGGTTACAAATTAGATGTGGGAAAGTTAGGTAACATCTATAAATGTGCTACGAATTAAATGCGATTCTGTGTAGATAATAGTGGCAACCCGAGGCCACCTGTCGCATTAAGTATTTATTGCGGAGTATATGGTTTCTGGTTCGCCATAGGAAAATAACTTTTTATATAGTTATGACAAATGAAATTAAATTATTGATTAATTACTCTGTTTAATTAGAAAAATCATTAACAACCAAAAAAATATGCAATCAACTTGGAATACTAAAACTTACAAAACTCATGAAAGCATGCATTCATGGGCCATTGCTCCATTTATATATAGCTTAAGAATGTGACTTCACTATTAAAATATAAAACCTATATCATGGTAGTTTTGAACAAAATCATAATTAGTTAGTATTTTTCTTTTGGGCATGTATTTATTGTTCATTCTGTAAATGTAATCATCAAAACCTAAAATCTATTTCTCCAAGTAGCCTCAAATATCAGACTAGTTTGCATGTAATAGACACATGAAAGATAGCAAAAGCAGATTGAAAAAAAAAAAACGTGATATGTAGTAGAAATGAACTAGCTAGAAACGTACTTGGACAGTTGCTAATGCTAGCGTTGTGGAGCTGACAAGAAGTTGGGAGTTGAATGAGTTTGTCTTCTTGAACACCAAGATCCTTCAAGGCTTGTCCTCCTGTCTTTGCTTGTTGTATCACGAAACACAAACACTTTGGATCTCTTTCTTTGATATCTTCCACAGCGTCACAACACTTCTTAGACGGAGTCGTTGCCTTACCGGTCGCAAAGTCCAAACACAAAGTCACCTTTTGAAAATCCTGGCTGCATTCGTCAGCCAGAGCTCCTCCACCTGCTGGAGCAGCAGGTGCAGCCGCGGCAATGAAGGCAACGACCGTCATGGTGACTAGGAAGAGGTGGAGATGAAGACCCTTCATTATCAGTTTTTCTTTCTTTTGTTCAATTACTGTTTTGCTTGTTGGGGATCTTGTTTGTATTTAAAAGCAAAATGACTTTGAGGTGTGTGTGTGTTGTGTGTATTAAATGCAATGTGGTGTGTAGTTGGGAGCTTAGACACCTATACATATTAACATTAACGACGCTGATATAAAGTGTTGACCTTATACTTTTGTTTGCGTGTGTGATAGATAATAAGGACGCGAGAGTGAAATATCGTATCAAAAATGGAAAAAGAGTGGATTCGCTATATAGACATAGATATAGTAGTGTGTATTTGTAAAAATGAAATGATGCAGTAGCAAAATCATAAAATAAATAAGGTTTTGATTTTTTTGTGTAGCAAAAATATAAAATAAATTGGGTTTAGTGATTTTGGTTTATCTACGATTCACCGTGAGGACGAACGGTCATTACTATCGAGTTAGTGATAATAACATCATGAGTGCAAAAAATACATTTAAAAATAATACGTCTATCTGAATTTGAAATTTCAGTCGTATAGAGAAATGAAACTAAATTTAAAGTATTACTATAAGAGAATAAATTAATTCAAAGTAATAAATGCATCCATACCATACGAAAGTAATTTCTAATTCTATAACGCGGCTAGAATTTTAAGTGATTTTTAGGTATGAACAAAGAATGGAGTACTCTTTCTATTTATGTCGCTTTCACTCGTAGGATTCAATGACAAAACCTGCTCAGCTATTTCGTTTTCTTGTTATGCTTTTTGTTTTTGATTATACAGAAAAATATCTTTAGCTAGTATAGAATTCAACTTGCACAACAACAACAAAAAAAAAGTTATAGAATTCATAGAACAATAATATATGGGCAAAATTCACTCTTCACTGTATCAATAACTACATGCATGTGACTCTTTGAGTTGGGTCCATTTTCAATCAAACTCTCGTATTGGGACGCTAAATCCGTAAATCATGAAAAAAAGACTCTTAAACGTGAAAACAGTTGGAAATTTACAATTATTGTTATGCCATTTCAACAGTTAACAACAAAACACTAATCAATCTAAGGGTGATTTGAGGGATTTTGGTTGAATCTGGGGAAATTTTCAAACAAATAGTCAGCTGAATTCGCTGTAACAGTTCAGACTCTAAGTCTGACTCTTTGCAAGATTTAGCTCACATTCTCTCATTTTAGAAATTTGTACATACTCAAAACACAAAATATACTTTTTCATTGCTCATATCTCTTTGCACATGTCAGAAAAAAAAAAAAAAAAAAAAGATCGAGCTGATTCATAGTCGTTGACAAGACCAAAAACATAAAACACGCAAGCTATCCGAAAATTTCATCACCAAGATATCCAATATGAACGAGGACGAGTTAGTCTGGTGGTAAACGGCTTGCAGATGCAAGAACGGCCCCGGGTTCGATTCGCACTGGCCACCAGGGAATTTACATGCGGACTTGCTCTGGCGCCCGAGACCGAAGACCGTTACCTGGCCATGTCCCACCTTCGGGTGTGCGTCCGTGCCGTAAGGGTTCGGTCTCTAGTCTGGACCACCTCGGTGGGGCCAGGACACTCGGTTATCAAAAAAAAAAAAAGATATCCAATATGATCATAAATTTGTTATTATAAATAGGAAAGAACATCATGAATATACAAAATATTTTGGGTCAAAAATTGATGATACAATTTGTGTTGGTTATTATTTATGGGCCAAATTTTCGTAATGGGCTCCAAGGTTCTACTTTCAGGAATTGCTTGCTACGATTTGCGATGCACAAGAAAAAACTAAAGAACGACATTTTTTTTTTTTATAAACCCTATCGGCTGATCCGGTCAGCCTCGGTAGGAACGCACCAAGGTGCTACAGAATGGACTACTCTTGCGGTTCAACGGTTTAACGATTCAACGGACACCATGAGCTCCGAGCGGACTCGGGTCGAACGGGCCATGAGATCCAGAATTGGGCCACCACACTGCCTGATCCGAGTTTGGGTGCTTTCCGACTAATGCCAGGGTGTAGTTAGGCCGCCTGCATTTCTGACTACCAAGTAAACCAATTGGGCCAAGACCCAACTGACAGACTTCCCAAACAAATGTGTTTTTTGTTTCTATAGAGAATCGAACTCAGGTTTAGGAGTTTCACCCTTTCCCAAAGCTTCCTCTACCACTAGACCACATATGCTTGGGCAAGTAGTACGACATTGGATCGCGAGCTGCGTAACATTATCTCTTCAAGGCGTCAAAGGAAGCATTGGTGCAGCTTAATGCTTCTTTGGATCCGGTAGTTGTACCCATTTATTTTCTAACTCTATTGTCGCTTTGTTTTATTTTTTTGCCTTAGCTACTCTTCAGTAGGTATTACGTTCTGTAAAGCCTAAACTTTCATTATTAATGGTATTAACATGTTTAGCAAAAAAAAAAAAAAAAGTAGTACGACATTTAACATGGGTTTCAGGAAGATTTAGGAATTTAACAACAAATAGGGTTTCATAATTAGGAAAATACCACAAACCGTGTCGGTGTTGATGTTACTCCCATTTATCAAAATCGGCTTCTTTCCAAAGACATGCCTTGTCGACTGTCGTAAAACCCTAACAAGTGAACGATTGCATCACCTTATAAACAGAAACTACTTTGTCTCAAAGTACAAGCTCGATTACCTTCGATTTTCGTTTTTATTTTGTAAATTTCTCCCATTCAAAAAGAAGTAGATTCCAAGATCCGTGTGTTTTCACGTAAACATTTGTTCACCCGAATATTCGTCTTTGTGCTTTCACTTTGATAAATTGCATCAAATCGCCAATCGTCTCAAAAGTAATATGTTGATCAAATCATCACAAAAACTGTAAGTATAGCTTCTTGTTAATTCTTACAAACAATAACTCAAACATATTTGTGAATTTCTTTATCAACAACCAAAGTACACATGAAATAAATATTCAAAAATTGTAAAATTGCATGGATGAAAAACATCCGCGTATTACTTGCGTACGTAGTATATCATTACTTAAAGACAATAATGACAGTTTGACAACGATTTGCATGTTCCTCAAACCTACTAATACCATGCGTTCCTTTCATATTCATTTCTAGCATCACGTAAAAACCATTCACCATAATTTTTACATATATATATCAACTATGCGTTACTAGCTATATCCTATATCAAATTAAACATATTATGTTAGTAAGGATCATTATTATCAATAACTAGCAATTGTCTACATATCTTTTCACCCTAAAAACAATGTGAAAACGTTACACTCATGATACAAAGTGAGCAGCTCCACATTGATTTGTAAAACCAATAACACGTATACATTATGATTGCCCATAGGTTCCCCATTAATAAGATTATGGGAAAGCTTTAACTACGAGTTGTAAAAACAGTTAGAGCAATCGCTTTTTTAGGTAAGGTTAGACTTGAGTGTTAACACTTTACATTAAATAAGCGAGGGAGATGTCTCTATTTCATAATTCCCACGTTACCCTTTTTCC